GACGAAGCCCATAGTCGTGAACTTCGCGAGGCGGTCCTTCTCTAGAGCCAGATGACCGGACGGGGGGTACTCCACGGTACGCGGTAACAGGACTCGGTTGAATGTCAACAGAAACTCCTTGATAATGCCCAGAGTGATGCCGGTCGTAGTGGGCTCCTTGCAAGACCGGGGCGGGTATACGCTGAAATTCGGGTCCTGCGAGACTGGGGTGAGGGCGACCTGGTGTCCGATTGATGACTGCGGATGAAGGGTACGGTGGAGATGCGACTTGATACCTGTTTTGCGTGTTACCGAGTGTTAAGTTCACCAATTCGGACTTTACTCACCCAGGCGAAGTGATTTGTGGTACATGCATGGACTTCGGATGCCCGCTGGGACCGACAGCACGGGGCTGAACAAGTTGAAGGCGCTTCAACACGATATTATCCACAGGTACTCCTTGCTGTATTGGCCCATGAAGAGATACCTCGATTGGATGGCCGCGCCAGCCTTTCTCGCGGAAGGTTTCTGCAGCTACGTCAATATATCACATGAAGTTCGAGAGAAACAACTACCATGAGCTTTCAATGCGCTGGTGCGTCCATTGATTAAGACATGTCCGAATTGGTGATCAGGAGCAATCGTATCTGCTTTGCTGACATGACCACAGTACTCTCGAGCAATATCCTTAAGCTCTTGCCAGCGACAACCTTGAGGAATCTGACAATGGTCAGACGGAGTCGATGTCAGGAGGAGTAGCTCACTTTGTGCACCAGCAAAAGATACTGATCTTCCGCCTTGCTATAGCTGGGACGTCGAGCACCTGGTTCTCGGGGCATTTTTCGCGACCGGAAGTAAAAGCAGGTGGCGGAAGACCGACAGAGAGGTAGTAGGGGGTTTGTGTAGCCTCAGGATGGAGAGTTATATGGAGGCGGAGACCGGTTCCAGGCCCTCACGTAAGTAGTAGCCGTTGATAGCGGAGTGTCAGAAGCGGGTGGAAGGCCGGCAAGTAGAAAGGTCTTAGCGCCCGTCAATTGTCTTCTCCGGCCAGAACAGAAAGACGTTCCAGGTAGGTGGTAGTAGAATGGAGTGACGGCGTGGGCTGCAGAAGCCTCGACCTAGCCAACTGTAAATGCCGCAGCAACTCTCAATAGCCTTCTGGCGGCTAAAAGCAGGGGACGCAATGTAACAGTGGGCCAGAGTATAAGGATTGATGCAGAGAAAATAAGTTGCATTGGCAGATGAAACTTTTAATGTGCTTGCCAACAAAAGAGGAGTGAGAAGAAGATTCCAAGGTAGGCACGCCCGGCTTGGGGGGGTTCTTGTACACGACTCACGCGGTGCCGCAATACCAGTGTGTCAATTCCAATATGGTCCAAGTCACTGGTACGCTCGAGACAGCGAACGAGGCTTGACATGGATCAGGACTGGGCGGGTACATGATGTTGGGGTCGAGTCGAGCTCGTTTGCCACAGTCTGCCAGTAGTCCGGATTAAGGATGGCAGATTTGCTTGAGCCGAAGAATAGCATAGGTATGAATACTGGAGCCCAGATTTAGTGGACTGCGTCACAGATCTGTGGATTAGCACGACTCGTTCACCGGCCATGGAGGCCCACAAGCTGATCAGGGTTTGAAAGGGTCGAGCGGTGCACCCAATGAAGGACTGAACCGCATGTGTATCGTGGAGGATAACTGTGGATGCTAAGGCGCGTGGAAATCGAAGCATGAATAATGCTTGACGCAAGAGATAGCCCAGGAACATGCAAGTCCTTGGCCAACAAATAAACGACCGAGACTTAAGTGGTTCGGCTAAGACACGGTCTTGCAGAAAAAGATGCACGGTCGTTGCAGGCAGTTGCGGAGCAAGGGGGCTTCCGAGGGGAGTTTGAGCTTGCAGTGCGTTAGGTCGAGTATAGCTCACCGGCCGGCAAGGCTGTTATGCACGATGATTGACATCAAGGCACGGATGGACCGCGTGCTGCTGCCCCACACCGTCAATCTCGGACAGGGTCTCTTGCGTCGCCTACTCTTTGCACGGCTCACACCGATGCGGGTCGTGAAGCGGATGTTTGAAGCTTTCTGATTCAAGATGAAGTGTGAATAGTCGATATTTTCGGGTTACCCGACACACACATGTGCACATGCTGTGAATCGTGACACAGATCGGAAGGTAGGAGCATATCTGCCCGGCTTCGAAAGAGATTTCAGGTCCGGGGTGGCGGTCGTCGCGAATGGATGATAATTCCGTCCATCCTTGGAGCTGACGGGGTCTGCGTGAGAGTGAGAGTGTAGATCAGTAGCCGAGGGATACGAGTCACGGTTCCGTCGTCCGTGCTAGGTCGTTCTCAGTGATACTGACCTCGTGTCTTTTTTGACGACAGGGAGGGGGGCAAGCCGCACGGGAAGTGGGGTCGCAAAATCGGGGCCTTAGCGCGCCCCGAATCGGTCCCGTGCCAGCAGATCCGATTCTCGTCCAAGTTGCTATGTGTATGTACTGTATCCCCGTAGTCCTGCCCAAAGTTGGTGCCGCTTGACGCCATGCAGCAATCACTCGGCGTCCCAATCGATGACTGGACAGGTGGCTGAGTGGGGGAAGTTCAGCCACACGATCCCATTCCTGGTTCCTTGCAAGTCCGGTACCAACCTATCACCCCATTCTATCATCTCGAAAGGTTTGAAAGTACAAACCATCTCTCAGCGATGCCGTACGGCAGTGCATCCTTGATGTATAATCCGAGAGTAGGCTGTGTGACTCAAGAAGACCGTCTGAACCCCAGGAAAGACACAGGCTCCCCCAGAATCGATGATGTTCATACACGGCATGCACCACTCAGCATGACGTGGCGTCAAGTGCCGCCTGTGGACCCTTGGAGCTTGGGCGGGGGAAAGAACCTGATTACTGTTCGACGGAAGCCACCTTCTGGTTCCTGCTTTCTATTGTTTGAATGGAAGGATGGTCGCTATTTTAATTATTTTACAGGCAAGATCAAAATCCAGCTGATCTGACATTGTTGGAACCCATGGTTCGACACATTTCATGATGACCTGGGCGGTAGCCTGCAGTAGCTGGGCCATCCTCAGAATCGCTTGCGCGTACCCAGAAGTTGCACGAACCGAAATCGCTTGGGACGTTACACAGCGTCAGTAGTTGGTGCCATCGTCCCGTGTTTCCCTTGCAATGAGAGACACTTATCCATGCTCACTCCAGTGTAGCAGGACCCTCCCCTCCCTTCCGGGGACGGACCACGGCGATCGGTGTCTGGGTTCTTCCATGTCATGGTTTGAGCAAACACTGGTGGCGTTCTCAATGGCGTTGCTACCACATATCCATCTCGTATGTACTTTGGTCCCGGTCGTTATTGTGCTCAGTGAGGGGTGCCGCGGGTTCAGTTACCTCCACAGCGCCCTATCTGCCGATTTCATTTGACAAACCCCACAGCACTGGCGCAGCGAGTGCAGTAGTATGAGTTGATTCCGAATCTCACGGACCCCGACTGAGTGGCAGGGCCAGCAGATTGAATGCTAAGAGACCGTTGACATCGCGAACACCGTACCACGTCGAAGCCGGGTTTGCGGGGACTCGAATTATTGGAGGATGTTGAATTGCTGGATGAAAGAGTCGCGATGCTCTCATCGCTCACATTCTTCGACTTCTGGATTGGGATGGGATATGCTTTCCGGCCGCCGGCCTGAGTCTGCAGCTGCATCAACGAGGGCGGGGAACCCATGGTTGAAGCGTTGTGATGGGGAGTCGACTGATCACTTTTCGAGCTTTGTACAAAATCGTTTGGTATTTCACTTTGGTCCAGCAAGGTGACGATGAGCAGTGAGGAAAAAATGTAAGGTGGGAGCGAGGGACACTAAATGGACACCACCACACTTCTTGTAACAAAACAGGATCCAGGGCGGACGGCCAGCATTCTTACTGAGAGCCTTGGGCCAACACCAGCGCCCAATCAAAAGGGTGGCCCGAGGACCAGGCAATGACGAGAAAACATGAAAAAGTAGGAGGGCGCGTTGCAAGTGGGCGTTCGAACGAGTTTGAACGACGCCGGCAAGAGAAACGCATTGCGCAGAGACCGATGACTAGGCAAAGCCCCGATCCTCTCGAGCCATGGTAGCCAGTGTAGCTGGGCGCGTCCCTGAAACGCGGCTTGGCGATCCGGGCTAGGCCTGGGGCAGCCATTCAACTGTTAAGACGCCTGTGCTTCAGCCATCGGATCATCGATCGTGGAGCTGAAATCGAATGATCTGATGCCTGTGGCTAGAGTCGAACTTCTAGAACAAGACCTTGAACTTCTGCTGCCTATTTCGTGCCACTCAGACCTGAGCGTTGTGCACGCTGTCTGCTGCACGACTCAGTTCGACCGGGACGATACCACAGTACATACTGAAGGCCAATGACGCCTACGTACGCTTCGCCTGTATGTCTCTGTAGCCGAAGAGAGCAAAGAAAATACCAAGAGCCTTTGACATAATGCCCAACGTCTTGTTGCTGAGGTGTCGCTTCGCACCTCGTCGAATCGTCACCGCCGCCGTTGCCGTCGCCACCCGGTAGCACACGTGGAAACATACGGGGAGAGAGGGACTGGAAAGCCTTTATCATCCGCACTCTCCGGTTGGACTGTGGCGCGTGAAGATGGCTTGAATCGTGGAGATGGTCCCATGTCATCGAGATCGAGATCGAGCACTCTCCAGCCGTTCTCATCCACCCATACAACCGTTAAGGAACTCGAAAGGAGCTCGGGCCGCGGGGCTGCACGGGCTTGGCTTCCATCACTACCCGGCGCACCTTTGTGCTGCGATGGTGGGGTAATGACTGCGGAAATGTTCACCACTTGTGCCTCTGACTCGCAAGTTGCTATGCGCATCAATTCAACGTCGGACCCTACTCCAACACCATTTGCACGCTTGTTCGCTTGTACCATCTGTTTCTGAAACCCCAAAGCCCACTGACCCTGCTGTCGCGTCCCTGCATTAAGCCTTGTGGCCGGGCCCTCCTCTCACAACATCACCCACCATGTCTAAGCAACCGAACCTCTACTCCTTCCCAAATACCGACGCTCTCGCCCCCCAATTGCGGAGCTACATCCTCTCCGCCCAACGCACCGCCCTCTCCAAACACTCCTCCTTCCGCATCGCCGTTTCCGGCGGCTCCCTGCCTGCCACCCTCTCCAAAGCCCTCCTCGCGAACCCTTCCTCCCCGGATGACACACCCAATTTCTCCAAGTGGGACATCTTCTTTGCCGACGAACGCGCTGTGCCCCTCGACCACGACGACAGCAACTACTGCCTCCTCAAAGCCGACCTACTGGACAAAATCCCCGCCGACGCCGGCACCCCAACCGTACACCCCATCGAGGTCAAGCACCTGGACGACACGCAAGAGCTCGCCGACATCTACCAAGACGCGCTCAAGGACACCTTCGCGCAAAAGGACAGCGTCAAGCTCCCGCAGTTCGACCTGATCCTGCTCGGCTGCGGGCCCGACGGCCACACCTGCTCGCTGTTCCCGTCGCATCCGCTGCTACGCGAATCTGACGCCTGGGTCGCCGCCATCGAGGACTCGCCCAAGCCGCCCCCGCGCCGCATCACGCTGACGCTCCCCGTCGTGACGCACGCCGTCAAGATCGCCTTTGTCGCTACCGGCGGCGGCAAGAAGGATATCCTGAAGCAGATCTTTGAGACGGAGGAGGGCCGTAGTCTGCCGTGTGGTTTAGTCAATGACGGAGCTGGGGAGCGGGTGAGCTGGTTTGTCGACGACGCTGCTGTTGAGGGCGTGGTTTTCCCGCGGAGGGGAAGCCTGTGAATGTCAGTTCAGTGGGTTGGAACTGATGCCTGTCGGAGTGAGACGCGACGGCTGACTTTGGAATGACGAGGAGAGCTGAAAGTGTTCGATCTTGGAGGAACGTTGAAGCGGTAAAGCCAAACTAGGATTGCAGCTAAGTACATAGACGTTTTTCTTTTCTGTTCTGAGAGGCAAAGAGCAACTGAAACACAGATGTGCGACGATTCACAAACCGTTCAGTCTATTGATCTATATCTCCTACTGTTGTCGTTGTTCTACATGCGCAGATCCCGACTCGCCAACTCGCCTGTACAGCAGGGGCGTCAACGACCTTCACCGCTTCCTCGCACAGTACCTTATTTCGGTTTGTCCAGCTTGAAAGCCGTGAGGATTCGCTCCAGAACCTTGGAAATGCCGCCGCGCTTCTGATTCTGCGACCTACCGGCCCGTGCTCCGTCTCCTTTACCGCCCGCCCGATCTGCGGCCGCGTCGGCTGGCTTGCCCGAACCTGGGCCTTGAGGACCATTTCGAGGACGACCTTGAGCACCGCCTGAGCCACCGCGGGGACCACCATGGGTACCACCTTGGGTACCACCTGGAGCGCCGCCCTGAGCATCACCGTTGGGACGACCCCCTGACTTACTACCCTCCTGAGGCCCGCCGGTGGGTCCAGCAGGAACATCGGTAACGACACCGGTAGGAGCACCGGTAGGTCTACCAGTCCAATTCTTACGAGGTCCACCAGGACCGCCTTGACCACCAGGCATACCGTCTCGCTTCTCGAATTCGGACTCGTACTCGTCTTCATCCTCCGCATCCGCCTCAATATTAAAGATCCGAAGACGAGTCACGGTCGCGAAGGTGGTGGGGGTGGCCTCACTGATATCTGTATCTGCATCCACAGCAACATCGCGCTTCTCCAGCATGGGCGCAGGGGTCATGGCCGGCATGCCATTCTGAACAGCTGACATATACCATGAAGAGATCTCGCTGCACTTGGCTCGAACAACGAGCTCAGTTGCGGTAGGACAGATACTGAAGAGCGAAGAGACGTACACATTGCGATAGTGGGAGTACTCACCGGGCGGACTCTTTGTGACCGCTGCTGCGTCCTCGACATCAGCTGCGTCGGAGCTGCTGACGACGGCATTCGCTATGGCAGTTGGCAGCTCCTCACGCTTCACAGGTGGCTGAGTGGTAGTGGCCAGGGTCGACTTCTGAACGCCCCAGACGGAGCACACATACTGGTAGGCCGAGCTTGAGCTTTTGCACTTATCATCAAGACTCGCGACGAAAGCTTTCGATTTCTCGGGATCAGACGGGATGATATAGTGGCGATCCCTTGCAGCATATTGGTGGTCCTGACTCATTTCCGGGGCCGCTGTGATCTCCGGCAGGACGACTTCTGTAGCGGTCGCTTCGATGAACTCGTCCTCTGGGGCAGCAGTACGACCATACAAAGACTCCCAGATGCCATCAATACAAGCACGCGTGTATTGAGGGGAATTTTTCTTTGCAGTTGCGCAGTACTGCTTGTGCTGGGAACTGGTCATGGCAGCATACTCAGCATTTTCGGTGGGAAAGGAGCTGAAACTGGTCGGGTATGGAGTACGAGTGGTTGTGGCAGCACGAGCCTCAAGCTCCGCTCCGTACTCGGTCTCATCCGGGCCCAGATTTGCAGAGTCATCGAGAGCAAACTCGGCGTTTGCACCCTCCGTGACTATGCCATCCAGGGCAATGTCATCAAAATCGTCAAAAGGAGTGGCAAGGGAATTTTGCGCCAGCGCAAATGCTCCCAAAGAAACAGCCAGAAAAGATCGCATGGTGCAAGAAAGTGGGGATTCTAAAAGAACATGGTGTTGGTCTCTCGAAGACAGTCAGAGAAAATATATGGCCGCACAGATGCTGTGAAAGAGGATTTCATTGTGCTCGATTGATCGTACCTGGCTCGGGCTTGACAAAGCTGGATATGTTTCATGCAGGCAAGGACAAAGTGACCCAGTCTACTGAGAAACAACTCGAAGCGCTTTCTTTGTGCCCGTCCTTGGTCGTCTGGCTAGCCTAGGACTTTGAGTACTAGGCCACAGTTGCAATGACAGACAGGATGGTCGTTGCCGTTAGCTTCGAGACCAGGGCGTCGCTGCCTGACCTACAAGTCGGCCACAACATGGCTCCCACTCTTTCCCGTCTGATGAGCTATTTCATTACCTACCTCTCCCTACACCGCATTGGACTATCCATCTGACTAGCAACATTATTTGCTCACATTCGTTAAAGGTCTTCAGATTATAACTACTTCATCTATGTCACACAACTACCAGTCACTACATCATCAATCATGGAGAGCTCTCTCTGCCTGGATCCAGTCTTTCCCCGAGTCCTTCTCCGCCAAAAAGCTACGTCGATTCTTGACCTCCCACAAGAGATTCTCGAAAAGATCGTTGTCCCCACCGTCACAGGTACACAGATCCAAATCTTTCACGGACTCCGATACGCATTCTCATCCACCTCAACGGCCGAGTTTCTCTCTACGCGACAATTTGCCATCCTGTTCTTCGTTAACAGACGCTTCTATCATGCTGCCTGCACGTCTTTGATCCAGAACTTACGTCTACACGTGGCAAGCCAGCCTGGTGATCTAATATGGCTGGAGCGATTGGCCCAATGTCCCGAGGGTTGTATCAGGAGCATGGAGATATCTCACGCAGCATGGGAGAGACTAGCTTCTGCGTTAACGGACCCTGGCTCCTCTGGCTTTTGGACGATGACGACGACTTTGCTGGCTAAGAGTCTTTCCAGACTGGACACTATTCGCGTACGATTCTATCTCTAGGAGACATTCGACATCAATCTCCGCGAATCAGTCATGAATCGCTGGTTCTTATATGGGGTATATGGCATGACTTGTGATTCTGCATTGGATGCTGCGGTACATCTGTGTGGTGAGTCCATCTGCATGTCCCGGTCCTGGAAGTCCTGATCACGTTGTTGAGCCGAAAATTTTGCATTCGAAGTCACCTTGCTACGGCCTTCTCATCCACCACGGTGGTCTGATACTGACTTTTCCGCTTTCCGTCGATTCAGTCCAGACGGTACTACGTCAGGCGCGCCTTATCGATCGCAAAGAAGTGATGAGGTTAGCAGCTGAGACCAAGAACTCGTTCTTCTCATTGGAATCGAGTACCACGCCAGTAGTGTCTCTAGACATTCCATGCAGGACTAGCAAGTCGACAGTCAGTCATCCCGTCTTCATCACAAGTTGCAACTTACTAAGAACTCTAGACGATCAATGCCAAATGGTCGGACGCGGCGATGACAATTGAGGTGGACTCCGCACAGAAAACACTCACCGTATCGGCCCGTCCGCGGGGGTTCCGCTATACCCATATGCCTGCGCCGAGAGCAACCTTCGAGCTCCCTGCTTCCACTGGGGAGTCTCTGAACAGACACATCGAAAGAAGCATTGTTTGGTTTCTGTGGAAGAACAACTTGACTGATAGTGTGCCTGATAAGATCTGGAACGACAATGCCAATACAGGCGTCGGTACAGAAGTCTCCACAGGCAGCGCGATCGCAGTGATGTAAGCTGGCGGGGCAGTGTGGCTCGAATGAGGATCTCGAAATCATGGGGAGAAAATGTTCATACTTGATATGCGCTGTCGGACATAGCCTTATCGCATGCAAGCCAATAGTTTTGGTTTAGTCGCTGCAAAAGCGCGGCAATGGCATATTTTTGGATCTCATTCACAACACTTACAGAACAGAACTTTGAGTCTTCGCATCATACTGATACACCTCTGGAAACAGATCCATGAGCAACCCTTCGCCATCCTCACCAGTGGTCGTCCACAGCTCCGGCGCGGTGAGGTCCACATGATCCAGAGCTGCAAAATCAAAATCCAGAAATGCATCGTCAAACAGAGCTCCCGGTTGAGGGCGTCCTTCCATGGTAAAAGCATCATGCCCTTGGAGATCCACCGCCGGCGTCGCAGGCGTGACATTCGACGCATCACTGATAGTCTCAGCGTCACCGGCCACCGTACCAGCCAGCGCGGACGGCGTGCTATGATTGCCGTCCCTCGCCTCATCAGGGGAAGGATTCGCCCTTGCCCTCGTGCCGCCGCCGGCGGCCTGCAACGCCTCGCCCATCTCCTTGGGCGTCACGCCCCAACGCTTCCGGAACACGCGCAGCAGATGCCAGCGACTCAGTCCGACCTCCTCGCTCAGCTCGCGCAGCCCGATGCGCCGGCCCCGCGCCGCCCGCTCGCGAATCACGCGCACGGCCTGCTGGACTTTGCGTCGGCCCTCCTCCCCATCGCCCACGGGCACGACGTCGTCTGCGTCGTCGCCGCCGCTGCCGTCACCGCCGCTGGTGTCGTCTGCCGAGCGACCCGTGGTGACCGGCACAACGTCCGGTCTGCAGCGCTTACAGGCGCGGAAGCCCGCGCGCGCGGCGTCGCCGGCGGTGTCGAAGAAGACGATGTTGGCGCGGCGGGCGAGGCGAGCGGGGCAGGTGGGCCGGCAGAAGATGTGGGTGGTGGTGACGGCGTAGATGAAGGGTGGGGTGGCGGAGCGGGGGCAGGCGCGGGAGGAGAGGATGGACCAGCGGGCCGAGTCGGTTTTGGCGAGGGAGGGGTTGGTGAGGGTTATGCTGGTGGAGGGGGGTTGTGGTTGGTGTGGTGCTGTTGGTGGTATGGAGGACGAAGAGGAGGAGGGGAGGAGGGGCCGGATTGGTTGGGGAGTGTTGGCTGTGGCCATTCTGATGCTAGCACAGGGGTGCACTGGCTGTGTACCTGATCGTGAGGAGTGAATTAAAGTTGTTGCAGCTGGCTGTGGTGCGAGGAGTAGCATGGTCTGCAGAGAAGTTTTCCGTCTCCGGCCTCTGGCTTGAGGGCAGTGGCTGCAGAGCTTATGGAGAGTCGTTGTCGATGCGCAAATCTATCCTTTGAGATGTCAACGAATGATTGTGGAGCTCGGCGATGTTGTCTGCAATACTGTCAGATCTTGATGGTCCTTTGCGCAATACTCGAAGACCGATAGGTGACAAGAAACAGGAAGATGGGACGAGATGGCACTCTGAGGTAATGGCTTAGGTAAGGTGAGAGTGGCAATCGAGGCTTTCTTGCGTTGAAAGTGGCCAATCAGAAAGCTTCGCGCGTACTGCGCTTTTTGCCCCTAAACCAGCCCAGCCTTGAGGGCTGAGATAGAAGTGTGCCAACTCATGCTGCTGTATGTCATTCAGTCCTTTGGCCAAGGCCTCGTGCTGATGAGGTTCGTATCCAGGAACCAACCGTTCAGCGCCACCAACTCTCTGTTTGGCCCACGTCCGAAATTGCCGGTGCATCGGTAAATAGAGCTCGTAAGGTAGATCTTTACCTCACCATCTTCCCATACGTCCCACCGGTCACCACTCTTGATTTCACACCTGATGATCTCCTTGGCTTTGGAGTCGCAGGTCAACGTCTGTCCAGTATTAGCCCCAGAAATTTTAGCACGATGGTGGGCCATACCAACGAAGCCCGGCTGAATCAGACCGTTTCCATCAGTCGCACTCGATTGCTCTCGTCACTATGTATCTCAAAGACTTCAGGATAAGCAGCCGACCAGCGACGCTCCGCAAGGAATGGGTCGACCAGCTGATTGACGACTGAGGTTGTGAAGGTTGAGATTGTGCTTCTTGCTCGGTCGATGCGCCGAACGCTGGACACGTTGTTCGGGGATCATGATGTTTGTTGAGTGCTCTCAGAGACTTAGTGAGGAGCTGTTTCGGCTGAATGATGTCGTTGGTGAGATATATACACTAATCAAATGCTGAGAATAGTGGTGAATATGTAAAGCTGGTAGTCAACGATGGAGTGAGTCAGTACCGTGAGGAAGCATGCGACGTGAAGATAGCAGGGTGCATGCAAGGTTTGGTTATGGACTGGTAGCTTTGAGCTCAACTTATAGTCGAGTCACACTTGCCTGAATTTCGCATCGCTCTTAGCCTTCAAGGACTTCAAGACATCGATCATTTGGTTGCAATGGCTACATTCAGTAGGAACTCGAATTCCTCTCCATCATCACGTAGCTTGAACCCCTTCGCCTTGAGTAGCTCTTGCTTGAGGACTTCGATCGCTTCATCCCACCTGTCTTCGTCGGACTGGAGCCAACCAGCACTTGAAGTTCCTCCGACAAAACTCCACAGCATGGTTGCGAACCTTGTGAAGTCGGTCTTGGTGAAGCTGGTGTACGAGACCTGCTCCATTCTGATCCGTTCTCTATGAAAGCCACCCTTCTCGATGACACTCTGCAGAAAATCAGGCGCGTTCCACTTTTCGGTACCTTGACGCGGTAGAGGCGTTCCCTCGGGTCTCGTCTTGATCGCGGTTTGCTGAATGGGGACGATGTTTGGCGCACGTGCAATCGAGTTGATAATGGCGATTCCTCCTGGCTTCAGGGTACGATAGATCTCCTTCACCGCATCGATGCCGTCATTAGGCAGCACGAATACAACTGCATTCATAAGAGAGTGAGTAAAGGTTTTGTCGGGGAACGTGAGGGCGTTCGCATCCATGCGGCTCGCTTCCGCTGGCCAACCGTTTTCTGCCGCTTTGTTCTCGTACATGGCGAGGGCGCGATCATCAACATCGGTGGCTTTTACAGAGATGGTCGCTGAAGGCTCTGAGACCGCCAGCATCGCACCGGTGCCAGCGCCAACGCCGCAGCCGTTGTCATGGACCACGGCGCCACTAGAGATCTTGGGAATTAAGGAGAGCGATGCTTTGGCCATGTTATCCATGGCATCAGCCGTCATCTCCTTGTACATCTGTGGCGTTGGTGCCAGAGCCTGTGTCGGCTTGAAGGGATTGCTACTCTCTGGTGCGTTCATTGTGGTGGCCGTTCCAGTATTGTACTCGTGTATCTCGCATATTGCAGAAAACGATGCTTCCCAACAACTTTATATAGCTGAACTTTCGACATGTTGGTATGTCTCCGAAAAGTGTCCGGTACTGAGGCTGAATGAGTGCCTGGAGAGGGTGTAAGCAATGGTCCTTGGTAATGCTGAAACTTTGATCGGAGGCCTGACCCATGTAACTGTAGTATGGGGAATTTCGGAGCTTGAGTGGCCTTGACACCTTCTATATCGTGACATGCGTGTACACGATCGCAACGCTGGCATCAATGGGTTCGCACATTGCTGACCAGAAGTGGTAGGTATGTGTTATATTGTGGTCCGTTTCGAGACATCCCTACGCTGCCGTGCCCGTCGCGGGGCCGAGCTATGCTCCAGCAGAACGCACACCACCCGCGACACAAATATCATCTCTCAGCTTCTGTAGGCCGTTTGGCCGCGTCCTGTTCCCGCGCCAGCCACCTCACACATTTGGTACAGGAAGTCTCTGGTCTCTGACGCTGGGCCAGGGACTTCAAGCCGGACTCCAGGAAGCATGACGCTGCTGTGCAGAGTCATCGACAAAGAACTTTGTTGCATCCTTTATGCTGCAACGCATTCTGGCACACAAGCAAGTAGAGTTGCCTCGGCAGCTTTGGATCAGCGTGCTCGATGATTCGAAGGAAAGGACCCCTGTCGATAGAGGGCACCGGGTACACTGGTGGCTCGGCCAGAGACTTTGATATGCCACTTCCCCGCAGTCTTGGCAGATCTTTCTCTCATCATCGCTTCTGACCCTGGTTGCGACCTGAAGAAGCGGGAAGCCATCCACAGGGGCGAGGAGCCGGAGCAGCACAATGTTGTCGGCTCGCCAGCCTGATACCGTGGACCAAGTCAGAACGGGAATGCCTGGTGCAGGGACTGACTATCGAAACTGGGAAATGGCCCCCGTAGCCGTGATTAGCCCCTGAGGCACTAATGGTCATGATTGACAAGATGCGTGGTACCGAGAGAACTTGAATGGGCACACAGCCGTCGAGCTAGCCCCTCTTCCCACAAGCGTTTCACAATGATTGCTACCCGTTGGCACCCACTCTCCTTGGCCCCAATCGTTGCATGGAGCGTAACCACCTCTTGGAGATGGCAGTCAGTCATATGCCCTTCCAGTCGCTTTATGTCGACTCCATGTCCTCTGTGCTTCAGGTACTCGTTGATCAAGACTGCCGCTCCATGGAACATCCACGATGACTTCCCCTAAGCTAGCGACTGACATCGACCTGCGCCAAATCGACTCGACGACTTCAACACTCGAGCATATTGCGACGGCCGAGTCCCAAGCACCTACCCTGGTCCGATCGCGCTCCGGAGCGCCTGAGGAGCTGCATCTGAAGCAAGCCGTCAAGCAATACCCGAAAATCACACGCTATGTCTTCTTCCTCATGTCCGCCGTCCTGCTTTACGGCTATGATCTAGTCATCGTTGGAACTATTCCAGCAGTCCCCGGCTTCCAACGAGACTTCGGCCAACTTCATCGCGATGGCGACGATGAACAGCACATCATCCCTGCCCTGTGGTTGTCTCTTTGGAGCGCCCTAGGCCCAGCTGGCTCACTGGCTGGTGCTATCTTCGCGGGATGGCTTCAGGATCGCATCGGTCGGCGACGATGTCTCGCAACGGGCAGCTTTATGTCTGCGGTGGCGGTTGCAATTGTGAGTTCCGTCCCCCCGCTATCCCATAAGAAGCAGTATCTTGCTCCCACTGCAACTAGCAACACTGACATGCAGACTTCAAGCTCTTCGTGTGTAACAAACCGACCGCCATCGAAGTGCGACGCGGGGTGTTCCTACTCGGCAAGATCATCCAAGGCGTCGCCATTGGCATCATCAACATTCAAACCATCACCTACGTGTCCGAGACCATCCCGACGTGCCTCCGCGGCCCGGCTCTGGCCCTCTTCCCCGCCTTCACGCTGCTTGGCCAACTCATCGGCGCCATTGTCATCTTCCTCGTGTCCCGCATCGACTCCTCCGCCAGCTACCTCATCGCTTTCGCATCCCAGTGGCCCTTCTCCGTCGGACCCTTCATACTTGCGCTCATGATGCCCGAATCCCCGGCCTACCTGATCCGCAAGAAGCGCATGGACGAGGCGCAGCGCTCCCTGCACCGGCTCTTTGCGCCCAAGGTCGACCCCGCAGCAGCATTCGAGCATATGCGCCTCTCGATTGAAGCCGAAGAGCGCATGGCTCGCCAAGTCAGCTACCGCGATTGCGTCAATCGAACCAACCGTAGGAGAACTTGGATAGTGGTCTTCGCCAGTATCGTCACCGCGATTATCGGCCTTCCGCTACTGGCCTCCGCGAGCTACTTCTTGCAAGTGGTGGGTATGAGCGCTTTCAATAGCCTGCTATTCCTCATCGTGGGCATCATCTTGGGTCTGCTCGCGAACGTTGCTTCCGTCTGGGTGCTCTCGCGCGTGGGCCGGCGACAACTGACCATCACCACGCTGCTCATCGGCGCCGTGCTGTGGGGTGGCATGGGCATCTGTGGCTTCTGGGACGGTGTCGTCACGGTGTGGTACACAGCCATTTCTTGCATGGCCATCATCGTGGTTGTCGGGGTTGGAGCGTGGCCCGCATCCTATGCCATCCGCAGCGAAGCCAGCGCCTTACGCCTCCGCTCCAAGTCTCAGGGCATCGCGGGCCTCTTCGACTATCTGAGCTCCATCGCGCTGAATTTGGTCCTGCCATACATCTACAACCCTGACGCCGGCAATCTGAAGGCCAGGACCGGTTTCATCTTCACCGGCCTGTGTCTCATCGGCGCAGTGGTGACGTTCCTCGACGTGCCGGAGATGAAAGGACGGAATGTGCTGGAGCTGGATGCCATGTTCAAGCTCGGGCTCAAGACCAGAGAATTCCGCTCCTGGAACGGGAGCGCGGAGGAAGTCGAAGCAGCAGTGCGAGAAGACGAGACCGAGGAGGGCTTGAGTGCGTTGCGGGCAAACGGCCTGGACAAGTCAGCAACGACAGCGAAACCGGATCCTTGATGAGTGACACGCCTAACGATTGACGACTTTTGTATGCATCGCTTCCAAACGATTTCTACTCAACACTCTTCCTTTAATGCGGTTACGAAGACACCAGACTCTTTCGGCTGAGATTGGGGTGTTAGGAGCACCGATTCCCCCCCCCCCCCTGACGGCGCGGAGATGCAATAATGCCAACCATCCCGCGTCTCTGATTCTTCTCCTACGCGCTTGGATGCGAGAGTTATACCGCGCCCGCCGGCACAGCGTATGCTCGGCCTCGAGCCTCGGGCTCGGCATTGGAACCCGTTGTCGGTGGACTGTGAGAGCTTTTCAATCATGGTGAAGAGCTGCAGAAGCCCAGGGCGAAAGCAAGCTTCCCTCATTGATTGATGGGCTCTTCGATTGCGAGGATACCGGTCTCTGCATTCCCCACACACCAGACAGGCGGTGTTGCCAATCTCGGACACCACGTACAGCTGGAAGTTGAAAAAAAAGGGGGGGTTCAAGGGATTCCAAATGGATGAAGTTGAAAAGAAATGTTTCCAGTTGAAAAGTCAGTATCTTCGTTCTATAACTCATCCTTGACCGGAATAGCAACAGCTGGCCGACCACTGTCCTGGTGTAGATCGACGCCGGACTTCTTGCGCCATTTCTCCCATAGAGCAAAAAACTCCTTCTCCATGCCGCTTTCCATCTGGTCTGGTAGTACAATGACGTATTCGACGTACAGCTTGCCAAACTCCTCGGCGTCGTGGTCGTGTTCGTGCGTGTGGCCCTCGTGGTAGGTCGGCATGCCCTCGCCTCTGATTGTGTCGACCTGATTGGGCTGGACGACTTCTCCCCTTTTGCGCGACAGCTGAACGACGTGGCCGTCGAGGTGCGTGATGTTGCGCGTCCACTCGCCCATCCACGCCTCTCGCAGACTCAGCACTTCCTTCCAGTACAGGTCCTGCTCTTTTCGTCGGAAGAAGGTCCCGTCGTTTCTGTGACCTTCGTCCTCGGTCAGTTGTGGCTCGCCTTCGAAGACGTGCACGTTTAGATTGCCCGCAACGTAATCTGGGTGCTCGTCTGCTTCGCTCTCGAAAACGATCTTGCTGCCTTTGGGCATGCCCTTTTCGATAGTGGCCGTCAAGGTAGTCTGCCTTCGTACAACCTTGGATCCGCCGCAGACTTTGCATTTGTGCTTGATACTCTTGCCCTGGCCGCCGCATTGGTCGCATTGCATCTGTACTTGCTGGAAGATGCCCGGCGCCAGCATGTGCTTTTGAACGATTGCACCACGACCACTGCACTTCGAGCACGTTTCAACCTGGCCGTCGGCAGAGCCGGAGCCGTCGCATTCATCGCAGACGCCTTGCTTCTCGATCGTGAATTCGGTGTCGTGGCCGGTGTAGAACGATGCAAGGGGCACATTCAACCGCACGTCCATGTCTGGACCGCGCCGAACACCGCTTCCGCCGCCAAAGTGACCGCTGCCGCCAAAGAAGCGGGAGAATAGATCAAAGGGATCGTGGGCTTGCTGTCGACCGCCATTCTTATGCTGACTGAGTCCGTCGTGGCCGTACTGATCGTAGATTTTGCGAGTGGTCGGTTCTGACAGAGTCTCGTAGGCTTCGGCGACCTCGAGGAATTTCTTCTCGTCTCCAGAGGCTTTATCGGGGTGGAACTTCTTCGAGAGGGTGCGATATGCTCGTTTTAGGTCTCGGTCGTCGCAAGACTTGTCCAGACCTAAGATCTTGTAAAAATCTTCCGTTGTAGCCAGCGCGAGCGTTAGTATCGCCAGCACTGGCAATAGATGTGAAAAGATCGGTAGAAGCAGCATCGTGGCGACACTGGGTTAGAAACAAGGGCCGTTCGGCGTGGAATTGGGAAAGTTAGATATGTTGTATCATTGCAGGCCAGACGGTGCAGTTGCCAGCAGCGTTGAAAGAGAGACTGTGGTAAGTCGACTAGAAGTACAGCAGGGGCGCGAGCGTATCTATAGACAGAATAAGGGCAACCGTCCTGTTCGCATTCATGCCTCTCAATGACAGATCGCCCAAAACTGTAGAGCCATTTTGGCCGCAAAATCCGCCGTATGCGAGCACGGTGGATTTTGCAAGCAGACCGCGCACCTGCTCAGGGGCAAAGCCTCAGCCTTGTTCATCTCCAGCACATAGTCTCTTGTTCGTGTCTGTCACTGCTGCTAGTCTTTCGTGATTTGAGCAGATCGTACATCGCAATGGCATCCGTACCGATACTGGGCGAGCGGTCTCGGGGGGTCCTGAGCGGTGTCTCACGCTCTCGGTTACTCGAGCCTGGAGGCGTTCTTTCCATGAGAGAGACTTGAGCGGCAAGCGATATGGCGATCCGAATGGCCTGGATTGGTGAAGGCATCACGCGCAGCCCATCACTGAGCGAGGCTTTGAAGAGCCGCAATGAACCGGTCACTTCACACGCAAACGACTTTTCATAATAAAACAAATCGGTAGCCGGTGTCGTCGACTTCCAAGAAGTCGTGGTCAACACCTTGTTGATCACAATTGCGCTTAACCTTCTGCTGACCTGCAAAACAACATAGTGCCCTCCAACTAATATTTACAACCCCTTCAACATGATGCTCATCTTCTTCGCCTTGTTCGGTGTCCTTGCCGGCCCCATTCTCGCTCAGCACCCTGATAACTGGAGTCATAACAGCGGCTCGCCCACCACGATTCCCGCCCTCGACTGTTCTGTTCGCGACTCCAAGACCAGCGCCCTCGCCTCCTGCACCAAGAGCCACGACACTCTCGCCACCAATTACCCAGAAGAGTGCCGCAGTCTCCTCATGGAACAAGGCCTCTTCAGCAGCTGCATCACTGCCACCAAACCCAAGCCCTTCTCGAAGCCAACCTACACTCTCATGGACGGCACCACCCAAGCCACCTTCACCTCGAACCGCATCGTCACCCAGTTCAACGTTGCACCTCCTGACATGAAGGTAGCCGATATTCCCGCTCCCACCAACTCCATTGCACTCCTCGACGACCTCACTCACCCCACTGACCCCGTCTATGACTCCGGCTACCCGCTGCCATACTGTCCAGGTAAGTCTCTGCTTTCTGTGCCTTACATTCATGGAGAGCCCTAGCTTACCGTTTCCACAGATGTCGACCACTGCCCCGTCAAGTTCCGCTGGCGCAACGCCCCCTGGGAGGCGCCGCACGGCATCTGCACCCTCTGCAAGGACCTCGAGAATGTCGGCTGGGTCGGCTTGCCGTACAACACTTTCCCCTATCACATGCAGATGTATTTGTGCAAGAAGTGGCAGCCTCCTGCGGCCTACGACTGCTAGGCGAGCCGGTTCACTTTTTGGCGACTGATGACACATACCACATACTACGTGCCTTCAGGGGAACCTGGTGGAAGGATGATGCCCACGAGCAAAACCCGAAGTGAGCGGACTGTACCTGTTCTCGAGGTTGGCTCTCAAAACCGGTGATGGTGGGCATCTGAAAGTTGCCAGCATGGCCACCTTTGTAGCATAGTAATACAGACTATTGAACACTTGCCGCCACTCATAGGGGCTCTTTCATCCCTTTACTGGGCTTGTCCACCACCGTCAGGAGCCCTTCCTTGGCCTTTGCCCACACTCCGTCCGGTCCGTCCAGCGCATCCCTCATTTCAGCCAACTCTTTATACTGGCCCAACATGTTTATACATCTTCTCATGTACGACACCACGACCGCCACCTTCTCCCAGTCGACCTGTTCCTCGCCCTTGAACAAATTGCGCCAGATCGCTGAGCCCAACACCGCATCGCCTTTGACCAGGCCCTCATCGTACGCTGCGATACACCCTCTCCATTGAATGAACAAATCCTTCAGGTACCGGTTCCGAATCCCCCTCGCCTCAATCGTGTGCAGCAACACCATCTTATCCTCCGCATTCTGACTGAAATGCTCAATTAGATACCGCTGATGCATCTGCAACGACGAATAGTCCGGCAGCGTCCTCAGATGCACCAGGATGATATACAGATGCAGGTACGTGACCTGACTCCACGTGCTGAACGTAGGCAGCATGCCCAACTGCTCGTGCCAAAACACGCTGCCGCGGTTCTTGCTGCCGCTCTCGTCCGGCACGCCAATGTCCTCGCCCTGCGGGGTCTTGGGCGGGCCTCGCCCGCTGTAGATCTGCGTGCGCAGCTCCTCCGGGATGGTGTAGGGCGCCTGCGCGCCGCAGGACTTGAAGAAGGATTCTGCGTAGCCGTAGACGACGTAGGTTTCGGTCATGGAGGTGGGTGCGGCGCGGCGAAGCGCGAGGGCGAAGCGCTGCATGCGGCTGGAGTGGGCCAGGCTGGAGCGGATCGTGGCTTGCATTTGTGAGGTGGACATTCCAGAGGAGTCTGGTTGAGGTGAGGAGGGCGGCACTGTTGAAGCCGTCGGTGGAGGCTTTACGGGCGTGCTCCTGACGGAAGAGCCTTGTTGGCTTTGCTGCAGCCATCGGGAAGGTTGCGTTGAAAAGGCTCGGGCGCTGGATTTGGGGACGCATGTTCGGAATGCGTTTGGTGCAGGTCCGGGGCGTAGAGACTGGCGCATCGCCCGGAGGCAGTCTGAACAGATGGCGGTCGAATTCATGATGGCGGGCGGCGCGTGTAGCGAAGACACAGCGAATAGTAGTGGCGCAGAAACGCGACCGTCCTCCTCGCGAAGCTCTCTACAACTTTTTGGACGTCGCGCAGGTCCTGACGACATGGACTTGCGCCCTAACCCTAAAGGTGTCTGCCCGCTTGTGGTTTGGCGCCGATGATTTATCTGGCGGCTGTTCCTCAGCATCCAAAAATACTTGCTTGCTTACCTACACACATTGTTCTCGGCCTAACGCAAGGATGCTGCAGTGTATCATGGATCAACACAGAGCTCCTTGAAGCTTATTCCTTGGTCTCGAGGCATCGTTGGGTCGTTCCTGGCTGACAATGCTGGTCAGCCAGTGGCTCCCGAAGCTTGCGAGCTGTGCTACTTCGAGATTGTGACTGAACACAAACATGCTCACGGCTTTTCAGATCCTCTCACCGATTAGATGCACCTAGAACATTTGCGGCGCTAGTCCACCATTCATAATCTTCCAGAGCCAGCAATTCATGCCATCAAGTGGCGCGGCTACAGCCCCAATGGCTTCAGGTCTTGGCCTTCAGGTAGGTTAGTGCTGACTTCGCAACGCTCATGGCGAACCAAGGTCATTTGGGGCGTACGAGTGTCTATATCCATGCCATCCCCCCAGCCTCGTCAGCTCCCCTTTTTTAAACTGGTCGCCTTCGTTTTTCTGAAATTTCGTTCAAGATGCTGTCCGCCCTGGCTGTTTTGGCGCTGGTCAGCGTTGCATCCAGTGCACCAAGTCCCAGCCTACCGGAGCAGTACAAGAACAACGGTGGTGGCGGAGTCGCCCAACAGGCTATACAGATTCCCCTTTCCAAGGAAGGCGTAATGGAGTTCCAGGTCGCCAGTTTCCTTCAGAACCTCGAAGTCTCGTTCTTCAAGCAGGGGGCGGAGCACGCGAACGGCTGGGACAATAAGGATACCAATGGGGTCAGGGCCGCAGACGAGATCAATCGCATCTGGGCAGAGGAAGAGTCATACGTGGAGACCATTGCAGAGCTATTGCAGTACAATAAGGCTTCTCCAGTCGAGCCTTGCCAATACGACTTCCCTGTGTCAGACGAAAAGTCATTCTTCGCCCTGGCTAGCATCATCAGCAATGTTGGCATCGGCTTTTTGATCAACCTGGAGAACCGTCTGGCTAAGACTGATCCCACCATCATTCCCCACATTTCGCGTATAATCCCAGTCAAGGCCAGGCACGATTCTTTCTTCCGCATGTATGCTGGGGAGGTACCAAATCCAGCGGCCTACGAGACCACATTGCCTCTGGAATGGGCGTAAGTTCAACTCAGATGGTGGCACGCTCGTTTTGACCCATTTCTTCTAGATACAACCTAGCTCTGGACTTTATCGCACCGGGTAATTGCTGCCATACACCTACATCCAGCTCCATTCGCTAACAGATCCCAGGGTCGTGCAAGAATCCGCCATCCTATTTCAAGGACGTGAAAGTCCACCCCGACCTACGTCTGGATGGACGTGGCGAAGCTACTTCACTCACGCCTAATTCGCCTGGTGCCCTGCATTTCACCGTCGGCCAGCCCAGCATGATGCCACAAGGTTGGGAGGACAGAAGACTCTGGATTGGTTGGGCCAATGGAGACAACATGGTGCAGGTGTGTCGACAGTCTACGTTTCAACTCCAAAACTGACTCTGAATCTAGTACACGCCCATCACCAAAGAGGGTGATAAGCTCAAAGCCGATTTGCCCGAGGGTCTGTTCGGCATTGTTTTCGCCGCCTTGACAGACCAAAAGGATGTGAAGACAACCCTGGACCTGGTGGCGAAGACTCTTGCTGGACCCCTACCAATCCCGCTTGGCCCTGGCAAGTACGACTAAGCTTCTCATCAGTTCACAGCAAGGCGCTCTACTCATTGGGGATTGTATCACTGTATTTATAGGTATATGATACCAGACCAATGAAGACTTACCGTCAGATCGGCCAACGGTGCTGGCTCTTTGACCTTTAAGATTAACCGACTCGACCTGTTCAAAATGGGCTTCACTAATTCTGTTTTCGAGCTTAGATGGTAGACCGACTTCAATTGAAATCACGAGCTCGTCAGCTGGGAAAGGGGCGATGCCGTCCATATTGAAATTGCTCCAAACTGTCAGCTCGGGTCAAGGAGAAGTTGCAGGCATCAAGCAAGTACGCACGTGGCGACTTTGTCAGCGAACTGTTATCGCTAACCACATATTGTCACCTGCCCGTCACTCACACAGACTTCCGAGACAGTTGTGTCCACAAGGGGACAGCCACATGTTATCACTGCTGTGCTGAACCAAGCCTGATAGCAAGAAGCAGCTAACAGGTTCAACTCAAGCTGGATCAGGACCACAGAATGGCCGCAATTCCGCATTCTGCAGCTCGCTCAACCGTTATGGTGCAGTTGCGTAGCTTTGCGCGGTTATTCGGCTGAAGAGCTGGGCACGTTAGCGATATTTGGTCTACGTCCAAAGGCCAGACCTCGACTTGAGACACTCGATCAGGTGAGTCAAGAGATCCCGGACCAACCAGGCAAGACTGAGCGACGTGGAGAATTTTGCTCGGGTCTACCGTGGATGAAATCTGCTTCCACAGCCCAGACTGCCGACATGCCGTCCACAGGCGTGATCTGTCAGAAACGTCCCACAGCACCACGGCATCGAAATCGCCTAAGAGCTTGTTTCCACGGGCAGAGACACAGATGCGGGCCTCCGTACAACGGCGTTCTGACAGACAATCTTACATACATTTCTTCACGCTGACCGTGTGCTCACCTGCCCTAGCTCTGGGGGACGCCACACTGGCACCCCAGCTGGATCATTTCGAGTCATTCAGAAAGCATTGGTGTCTATCCTGCAATCTTGCGACGCTGCCAGCTTTCCAGAGTCTGCCGCTCGGATAAATCCTTGTGTGACATGGATGCAAGGAACCCGTCAGTCCCGTTGACTACTGCCAGGGGCCGCTGGTAAGTGCTTGAGTACTATCATATTAACGCGTTCCTCAATCCAGCACATCATCAAGCCATACGGGGCGCTCTTTCCCTACAGCATAACTATTGGTACAGGAATTAGGGCAGAGATGCTAGAGGCCTTCCTCATCGGCTGTCGTGAGTCTCGCCTGCTCATCGGAGATGTTAGCTAGATTGCTGACGACCGCATTTCTCATCCTCGACCTTGCATCTGCTGCCAGGCATTACGGGCCAGATCCCGCAACTTCGTATGCCGCCAGGCTCGGCATTTCCGAGGTCTTTGCTGCATCCGCCAACAAAACCCGAGTCTGGCTTTCGCCACTTCTACCCTTCTGGCTGGCTAATACGACGAATCTGAAATCGAGATCGGCTTCATGAGCCTTGCCACAACCGAAGCGGGATTAGAGCTCCAGCGTTACCCTGTACTGCCTTCTTGCGCCGCGTGGAATCTGCTCGGATCTGTCAGTGTATGCGTCAAGCCTGTCAGCGTATCATGTGCTGCATAGGGCCGTGGTCAGCGAAGACAGCTGATTGCTACCCTTCTCCACCCCAAGGTGATCAGAGCAATAAGATGAAGGTGTTGAACACCACCTCGTCCAAGCCCTTCAGTCTCTCTTTTGACCAGTGGTATCCGGTTGCCGGTCCAACCTTCATGATGTCGTGGAAGGATCTTATACTCTCGTTTTTAACGTTATCAACACTCGTTCTTGCTGAGACCACTGCCGGTATGGCTCATTGCCTCCCAGCTAGACAGAATATTGACCTAACTTGCAGAAGCTCCCGAAGGTCAACAGCCCCATAAGAAGCAGTTTGCAGATCACCTTCCATCCTAATTGCATAGGCTAGCTAATGGTCATTAGTGTTGAAGCAAGCGTACCTCCATACTTGCCTTCCGTATTTACCTTCTCCAGTCGGACCGTCTCCATCGAACCATGCACTATCAACGGAAACTCTGCTCTTTGCTGGATATCTGATGGTATTACTCTGAACGATGTTGGCAACTCTGCTACAAGTGCAGACGGGACCTTGACCACCACTCCTCCTGGAATTGGCACAGCATCCTCGACCGTGAGCATAAGCGTTGGAACGATCTTAGAAAACAACAACTCGACCACAACTGTTGGAGTGCCTCGGCCTACTGGCAACAACCTAACGACCACAATTCTATTCAACGGTACCTCGAGCACAACCCTGCTACCTGGCACAGGACCGAGCTACACCAGTCCAACGCTCGGGACGGCCACTGCGTCACAAGGTACAGGTACCGGCGTTGTGTCACCATCTGCAGGATCGAATACCTCGTACTGCGTCGGTTATAACTGCCCGGGAGGTCCACACAATTCGTGGACTGGGTGGTCGGGCAGACCTCGCCCCACAGGCGGGTTTCCCTATCCCAGCATCAATGCCACTGGTACCGAAGGCATCAGTTTCAACGCTACAGGAACAGGTGTTACATTGACGAGCTACCGCGCCACTGCCACAATAACCAGTTCAGTCTGGTTGACCAGTTCGGGTTGCTGCAACTCAACTTCGCCACCTTCTAGCCATAGCGGCGTCGAGATCAGTCCCATCAACACATCTTCGGTGGGACCGTTTCCCAACACCACGATCAGCTCCAATATCACGATCTCCGGGCCTACTGGTACGCCTTCGCCAAACCTCACAGTCAGTGCCAATGGCACACTGATACCGCCAACTGGCACGGGTGGCCCAAAGAACACAATGTCCTCGAATGTACCTCTTCCGGGCCCGACTGCAACCGGACCAAGATGTTGGACCATCACCAATGGCACTTACGTTCGGGTGAGCACTTGTACTGGAAGCTCCGACGTGTCTTCGGCTTGGCTGGACTGGAACAACACCGCTCCCTTTCCGACAGGTACCGGTGCCATTCCCAGCAATGACACTGGTCCTGTTTTGACTGGCACAAACACAGGAACTGCTGGCCGACCCACAGGCACAGGGTCTGTCACCGTGACAGGAGGTCGCACTACTGGCACGGGCACGAGCTGGAACTCAACGACTTCCGTGTGGGGTACGGGACAAGACACAGGCACGGGCTTGGGCAACCGCCCCCCGCCGCCGACGGGTTCTGGTCAATCTCAGCCCTTGGGTACCAGCACCGGCGGTGGCTCGAATTTGACAGCAACTACAAGTCCCTCGGGCTTTAACAGCAGTATGTCGTCAGCGTTGAGCGGTACCGGCGTTTCTCCCACAACCAGCACGAATGTCACTCTGGGTCCCATTCCAGGTACCGCATCGGGCACTCCTCTTAGTACGGCAAGCAGTGGTACTGGCATGTCCCAACCCAGCAACAGCACCAGTAGTACAGTATCGCCAAGCAGCGGCACCAGCATGCCCTCGCCTTCCAATAGCACAAGCTCTTCATCATTTACAGATACCAGCGCCAGCAATAGCACGAGCTCACAGACCTCCGCCATCTCCGCTTCACCAAGCAACGCCGCCAATGCGACAGCGCCCTTCCCATCCCCTCCCGTTGACACCACGTGCACCACATCCTCGTCCTCCACCAACACCTCCTCAACTCTCTTCAGCATCCCACCCGGCCCCGGGGTCACATGGCATCCCAGCTCCGACACAGCCATCTCGGCCTCGCCGACCAGTAGCGCAAACAACACCACCCCAACCACCACCACCACCAGCAACGACGCAACCATCGACGTCTCCGCCACTCTAAGCACCCTCCGCCACTCCTCTTCCTCCTCCTCTGCCACCTCAGGCTCCTTCTTCCCCACGACCTTCACCCTGACCCTCACCTCCGCCTCCAGCACCATCACCACCACCGTCGGCAGCGGCAACACCAACGGCAACGCAACCTCGCCCGCAACATACGCAGTGACCACGACCGTCGACCGCGGCGTGCTGCAGTGCTACGAGCGTATCGGGCCGGATGGCGAGGCGATGGGCGTGGTGTGTCCGACGACGCTGGAGACGCAGGTTTTGGCGGCGACGAGTTCGCGCGCTGGTGGGGATCGTGGGGGGAGTGCCGGGTGGCCGGATTGGGGCGGTGGTGCCGCCGGTGGTGGTGGTGGTGAGGAGGGAGGTGGAGGGGAGGAGATGATGATGATGGGGAAGAGGGAGGTTGGTGAGGGCGGTACTGAGACTGATGCCGATGCTGAGGCTGAGGCTGAGGCTGAGGCGCGTGCTGTTGAGGACGGAGTTGAAGGAGGTGAGGCTCGAGAAGAGGTTGACGGTGTTGAAACGAGACAACAGAGCGAGCATGACCAGGCTGGTGGTCACGGGGAGCGTGAACTCGAGCATGAGCACGAGATGCACGGCGTGCGAGAGGTGGTGCGTCGCGGCATGCATATCCCGGAGGGCAAGCAAGGGTATGAGAAGGGCGTGGATGGACGAGAGGCGGTAGAGGGCAGAGACGGCAAGGCACGGGCTTTTGTGGCGACAGTGGAGGTGGGTCATGCGGGTGTCGATGGACAGCGGGAGGAGGGACTCAAGGGTCGATGGGTGAGTTCTCCTGCCTTCTCTCTCTCTCTCTCTCTTGCTTCAAAGTTCTGCAGAGGTCATGAGCTGATGGTTGCGCAGTTACAGCGGATGATGGCCTGGGTGTAAGCGGTGGGAATCATTGATGGGCGTGGTTCTCGGGGGCGATGGGAAGGCAGACGAGGGGTGCAGGAAGTGAATGGGCATCGGGCGTCACTAGGAGCACATGGTAGTTGCTTTGCAAGTTTTGGTATGATTCTTGTTTGCGTTATCTCTTTGCATAGCTCATTTCCGAGAGGATGGGGTTGTGCTCGCATAGTGAGCGACCACAGGATATCGAGCAACTGCAGCATAGTCATATAGGCAAGAGCTTGCGCGAAGCTTCCTGGTGAAGAGCATGCGGAGATGTGGCTTGTTAGGTGCCTTATGATGTCGATTGTGTCCGATTTTGGATTCTCGTTTTATGGCTGTGTAGTCTCATAGAACTCAAGCATTTGGCAGCAGGGCTTTGATACGGGGCGATGCCCGTGCCAGACTCCTTGCATGCTTTCCCATATTCTAGGCCTCCAAGTTTCGTGGCCTGTAGATGCTTCCCTATGGAGGTTCTGGTCCAGGCTGAGCAATCGATTGATCACAACTTATGCTGAAGGGCGCTGGAGCTAAGGTAGTTTGGTGGGAGGCGAGTGCTCATCCTGGCTCCGAGTCCTCAGCGTGAGCTCCCGCACACCTCTGGGCCCGGGGGCTCGAGTTATTTGGTTGCACCAGGTCCGATAGCATACAAGTGTGGAGTGGTTCTGAGGCCGGTCCAGAATCATCGAGACTTAGCACTTGTCAGCCATTGTGGTACTTCGGGATCATCGTGGGATCAGGTCTGCGACCTTTGCCCAGCCGCCTTGATTGAAGCAGCTTCATTCACGACATAGCATGAATAGTTGGAATCCAATGTCGATGTCTAGAGGTCGAGGACGAGTCGTAATACTGGTGGCTGGGTTCAGACTTGAGTCATCTGAGTAGACGCGCTCGCGCCTGCTTGTTCTTCTGCACCATGCATCATCGGTGATCCTGGAGCAGAACTGAGCATTGACGAATTTCCTGGAGTAACACCTTCCTCAACGGCGTTGACGCTGAGCGACTTGGCCTTCAACTTGTCCATCCACTCGGCCAGACTGGTTTCTCGGCCTCCGGCGATAGTGACAGGCTGCATCTCGAAATCTTTGCCGAGCAAGGTGCCTTGAAAGCGGGCCTCTTCATCTGCTTTGCCGTGCTTTTTGAGAGCTGCATCACTTGTCAGTCAACTGCGCTCTCCAAGCAAGTGCGTCAATAGCCGCAACTTCTGAATTTCAACTGACCTGTGAGATAGTCTACCTTCTCATCAGTGCCTGCCGCAATCTGATCGACATTGAGCTCGTCTCCCGAGAATCCTGCAATCCGTCGAATCTCCTTGTTTACCTGGCCGTGCGCCCAGTCGATGAAGCCTTGAACCCCGCGCAGGTCCTCAAACGGCACCCACTCTCCAGCATCCTCAACCTCGCCCCTTCGAGCCTCCTCCGCCGGCGTCATCTGCGGGAACAGTGCGCCATTCTCTGAAAGAGCCAGCCGAACATCTTGAATCGTCGGCACATTGTCGTTGTGTGTGTTGAGAGCATTCTGAGAGGTCGAGTTTGCAAGTAAGAGAAGATACCTCGCTGCCAAATCGGTGACAGTATCGAGCACTGCTGGTTTCGCGGCCGTGAACCCGGCTGCACGAAGAATTTGCAGCACCGCCGGCCTCAGGAGCGCGGAGTGCACCAAAGTCGACGCCATTGCGCAGTGACGATTTTCAAGGTCGGGAAGTTGGGCAGGCTCAAGTCTTCAGAAATTATCTCAGTTGAGCTGTGAGAAGTAGAGCCCTTTGATACGCATCACACCCTTGATTAACTGGTTGACAAGATGGCGAAAAAGAAGGCCAGCAAGCAGCCTCGCAAACCCAGTCAGGCTCCAGTGGCACCCGGCACAGCACACGGCTTCATCACACTGAATCTTTCAACCGAATTACTTGCAACATTTGGTCAGTCTGCATCACAACAAGAACAAGAGAAGCGCAAGGATCAAAACGCAGAAGCAGCCAAGAAGATATTCGTCCCTGTTGTCTCGGTCGAAAATCATTCCATCACCCGCGCGGGTGGCCGGACCCACGTCGCGCCTAACACCGCCAACCAGCCGCCAACAGGGGCTTCGGATATGCAGACCCGGGGCGCCTGGGGAGTCAACCGCTCCAACCCTAAGCGCCAGAAGACGGCCGCGACTGACATCAAGTCTGAGCCCGACCACGATGCTTTGCCACTCAATCGCCCTGCGACTCCAGGCAAACGCGCCACGCCCAATCGAAAGCGCAAACAAGCCGATCGCGAGCCCAGTACCACGGTTCCCGATGTTTTGATACCACAAGCCGTGAAAAAGCGCCGTATAGCGCCACGCAGAGCCAAGTCTGTCTCCTTCGACCCCGAAGCCGATGTGGTCATTATCGATTCGGCGACGGACCTTGTGAGCAGCACTTCGTCGCCCGAGTCCCGAAACAACTGTGACAAGGAGAATCAAGAAGAGAACGATATGGAGCGACCCAAGTTGAACTTGAAGTTCAGCTTCAATAAGAGCAATAACGATGGTTTCGCGAAACCTGCTCCCCCTTCAACGGCCGGATCCCCTACTGCTCAGACGCCGAAGATCAAATTGAATTTTGGTAACAAAGGTCAAGATAGCTCAGGCAAGAAACGGAAGCGGGCGGACACCCAACAAGAGGTTCCCATCCAGACTCCCACCTCCGGCGTGCCCAAGATCAAGCTGAAGACGGCTGTGACAAAGGTGTCGGGCCCGTCGCCAGTCACACCGGGCGCGGCTGGATTGAAACTACAGACCAAAGGTAGAATTCCCAAGCGACATCCTGGCGTTGGCTACGATTCTGAGCTGTCCGATACTGAAAGAGATCCCGTCATACTTGAAGGCTTCATCCTGCGCATGCAACCTGGTCCTGATTGTGACTACATCAGAGATCACATCAACAGAGGCACTATGGGAGTTTCCAAGCTGCAAGGTGGTGCCGATATTGGCATCAGCGTGGCTGATACCAGTGGCAGACGTTGCAGCCTCCGAGTTCGCCAGAACAAGTATGCCGCAACTCTCGTTGACTTGCCTACCATCATCGAAGGTATGAAGTCTTGGGATAAGATGCGCTTCATCAAAAGCGTCGATGTTTGTCAGATGATGATTGTGCTTGGTCCGATTAAGAACGACGAAGAAGCCAAAACCTACCCCCTACCGCCAGGCGTTGATCCCAAAACATACCAGTACGCTCATGGTCTCACGGCTCCAATGCAGTGGGTACGTAAGCGTAGATTCGAGCGAACGAAACGGACTCGTGTCGAGGATATCGAAAACGTGGATCGCCGTGTCGGCCAGCTTCTCGCCAGCGACGCTGCTGCCTTGAGTGTTGTGGCTGAGCAGCTGGACTACGATCCACGCGTCGATGAAGACCAGTACTCTGGAACGGAGGATGAAGATGAAGACGAGGATGATGACGCTGACGGCGAAGCGGACGACTACTTCGCAGAACACAATGAACATGTCGACGACGAAATTGGAGAAGCTGAGGTCGATGAGTTCACGCAGATGTTTGAAGATGCTGACGAAGATATTCCATCCGCGGAGGCTGCCCCAGCCACTAACGGCGCCATCGATTCATCCGGCTTTGTGACATCTGCCGCCGATTCGCCAGATGTCACTGGTTCGCAGGCTCCTACAACAGCACCCACACCTGCCGGCGAAGTGTCAACGCCCGCCGCCCCGACCCCCGGCACGGATGGCGACAACGAGTCCGATGACGATGAAGACCAGGAAGACCGCGAAGCGCAGAACGAGGAAGACGAACAGAAATCGCAGATGCAAGAGCGAATCAAGGATTTGGAGGGCAAGATCGTGCAGCAGATGGAGATGCTGAAGACGCAAACCAATCTCATTATCAAGAGACGCCTGGCGCAGAAGATCAAGGAGCTGCAGCAAGATGTCGACATGTTGAAGAGAGAATTAGGACAGGGTGGTGACGAAGGTGATGAAGACTGAGGTTATTATATCTCCGACGCATATACAGAACACGGCAGAACGCGGGCCAAATTGCTGTATATCTTGGTCGATCGGACGGAGGGAACTTTACGGAGCCTTGTTGGGATCCGAATCTAATCCAATCGTTGCATATGGATCGATAAGATCCTCATATCACTTATTTCGCTCGAGTGGAGCCGAGCATCGACACACGCGTCGCAAGGTCCAAAAGCAAGGAAAAGGGTACTGCAACGTACCACTGCAGAGGACTGGTTGCTCCGGGGAGTGCTGAGCAGGCTATTCTTACCGTTGCTGCAACGGTCCTTTCTTAGAGGACTTGCAAGGCATTATGACAGCACATGGTGCGTATGAAATGCACATCAGACGTTCAGTCAGGCACGGTGGTTATGTAGGGCGAGATCAAGCCTCTTGTTGACTCATACGGAGGCAGAGATCAGGGAGCGAGCGATTGGAGCTCGAAAAAGCATTGCAATGCTAGCATGCCATTTTGGCTGCATCCAGATTAGGCGGTTCTCCTCGCTCTCGTTGTGCTCGTCCAGGGCTGCGTGATCGCTATTCAGCCCATCGTTGCGGTGCCTGTCTGAACAGCATAGCGCGTCTGCCTATCCCGTATGTGAAGGGAGTTTATGCGAGACTTGGAGAGGACCAGAAAGAATTATTCTTATCAGAATCCATTGCACTAACGTGTGTTCAACGCGAATTGTCTTCATATTCCCCTCTGCTCTTTCATCTAGAGTGTTTCGTATCTACTCCAAACTCGCGGTCAACAAGGGCCCGAGCATGGTCGAGTAGTCATCGCGCAGCAGCAGAGCACCAGGACTGTCTCATTCAGAGGGTACAGCTACAGCAATCGCTATAGCTATAGCCACAGCCCACTGTTCGTGGCTTCCAGCACACCTTCTTGATCACGCTTTCCCCCTTCCGCGGCGGAATTGAGATGCTACTGCTGCTGCTGCTCGTGCTGCTAGGACAACACACATGCACGCTCTAGCTCCCTCTCTATCCTTCTTTCCCCCTCAACCACATCCCCCTGCCTCCTCCCCTGCCACCTCTCCTCTCGCCCTCTCCACCCCCAATCCCGGTTCTCTCCTCCCGTCTCTCTCTCTCTCTCTCTCACACACACACACACCTCACAACTTCGCCTTCTCGCCCACAACCCCAATCTTCAACTTGGGGCTATACTTCTTGAGCACGCTCTCATTATGGTACTTCCAGAACTGCTTGGTCGCGTCCTTGCCCGCCACGCGTTTCAAGATCTTCGCGCCTCCCGGGTGCTCGTCGACGAAGTTGGTCACGTCGTAGACTGAGTCGTCCACGATGATCCACATGCCGCCTTTGTCGGGCGAGGAGTGCGCTGAGACGTCTGAGGGGGTGAGTGTTTTGGACATTGTGTGAGGCTGAGGGTGGGGTGTGGAGGGTTGAGTTTGGGTCGGTGGGTGTGTGTGTGCGGCGGTGTGATGTGTGGATTGCTAGGATGTGCGTCACGGGGTGGTGCGCGGAGGCCGTATGTTCTGGTGGCGCGCGAGAAAAGACTCTAGGAAGGTTGCAGAGATGCAGAGGGCGTCGAGGCAGGCAAGTGCTGGCTTGAGAGCAGTGTGCTGAGATCAGGGGAGTCGCGAGCCGTAGGCTTCGAGCAGAAGAGGTGAAAAGGAAATGATTGTCTTTGCGTCTTTGGTGAGCCGGGGCGACGACGTCGGCGGCCGCGCAGTTGCCGAGGTTGATAGATATCAGCCGATCGCGGGCCAATCAGAAGAGGGGTTTTCGGCATCAGCAATGCGGACATCGAGGGCTTCTGGTGTCGTATCTACTGCTTGCCTTTGCGCGATGTATGACCAGGATCGAGTAGATCTAGCGGCAAAAGGTCTGAGTCTGTGATAGATTTATATTTGAGCCAAATTTTGGTTCTCGAATATGGCATGCACTATTCAATATCTACTACTCCATTTTGTCTACTGGGCTGCCAGCAACGTACCTTTCGTTGTGCCGCCCCAGTGTTCATGCTCCGGGGACCCTCGGGCTAACGAACCTCGACCAGGTGGCCGTATAGTGTATGTACAATGTTGTACAGTAACATAGTAGTACATCCGTCCGGAGCAATAAGTCCCGTCGCGTCAAAGAACTAAAGAAACGTCAACGCAAAAGGGGGCTTGCGCCCAACCATCTGCTCCTATAAGGAGAGTTCACTCCAACCCGCCCAACACCAACAGCCCAAAACGCCGTACCTGGCCCAGTCCCGAATCAAGCATAAATTGCAGACTGAGACCGACTTTTCTCTGGCAGATTCATTGCAACAATCTTAGTGCTGCTTCACCCGAGACAATGCCCTCCGAAGATGTTGGGCTTCATACCTGTATCGTTTTGCGTCCAAGTGAGTCATGTTCATCATATTGACTTCTCTCAAAAGCCTCTGAAATAGTCTCGATCCTCACTTGCTCGAGCACTTGCTGGCACACTTGGTGGTGCCTCGGCCGCTAGCATCTCCTGGTACATCAGGCTGTCCACTGGAGAGTAGCTCCTGGGGTCATCGAACCCCCAGTGGCTCATGTCTTTCTTCTTGTGGGGCCCGTTTCGTAGTGGCCCGCCGAAGCCGCCCAGAGGCCCGCCGAAATTGTTCGCGCCTCTGCCCATGAAACCTGGCTGTTTCGAGTCGACGAAGGCCTCGATACGCATCATGTGGTTCCCATTGGTTGAATCGGGGAAAAGCTGATGAGCCATTGGCCGACCAGAGGCGGACGCCTCGCTGCCCCTGCGTGATGATGATAGACTTGGAAGTCCCATGCTCGGGGTGTAGAGGCCTCGGTCGGACCCAGTTGCCGATGTGACAGCCGTGCTGGTGGCATAAGATCCTGGACCAGGTAAGCTTGGTACGACGTCTTTTGATGAAAAGCCTCGGAATGAGCTGGGTGGCGCACGGGGAGCAGTGTTGCTCCTCTTCCGGTTGTGGAAACGTTTGATGGTCGGCGGCATAGCAGGATCATTCATAGGGTCGTAATACTCGTTCTCATCCCCGAATTGCTCTTGCAAATGCGGATACGAGTTGTCGGTGGTGAAAGAGCGAATGCTCTGCTGTGGTTTAGCGCCTTTTGCAATGCGAATCGAATCACGAATAGCCCGTCGGCGGAATGTTCCAGCAAGCGAGGGCGGCGGTGCAGGTGCTTGAGCAGTTGTCTCTTCTGGTGGCGGAGGAGGCGGCATAGCATTGAGCTCGTTCAAGCTCAGAGGAGAGTGGGACAAAAACGACAAGGCTGTAAGCCAGACAAAGTGTCGATCTTGGGTCAATGCCGTGAACTTGAGTGCTCGCTGAGGAGTGAGGATTAGGATGGATCGATTGAAATGGGGTCCAGTGATAGAGCCCTTGGGCATTGGGTTCTCGTCTTTGACATCCAACACAGACTTGATGGTGAGTTTTCGTCCGCTCTTGCCGCCCATCAAAGCGGACCCAGATGTTGGTTGCTTGCCACTCCACATGACGGCTCTTTCGTAGGGTGCGAGCCAGACCCATCTCTTGTGTCGAACACCATTATTGGTGACGCTGGCTGAGATCTCATCTACTGATTTGCCGGCGTCCCAATCTTGCTTCTCTCCCATCCCAAAGGACTTCCTCCGACGGACGTACTTGAACATCCATTCTCCGACCATGGTCTGAGCAATTGAATCGACAACAGAGGTCTGTTGCAGAAGACCGGCATCAGAATTTTGCTTCACATGTGTGCCTCGCCTGCTTGGGCCCGTTGCAATGGACGGCCGTGGAGCACTGGCATCGCTTTGAGGAGCACCGTAAGGTGCATTCAGGAATGCTGGAGGCTCTGCTGGCATTTGGAAAGTCGGCATCTCGGGTACGATAGATACCCTTGAGGCCATTGGCGGCGAGCGACTGCCACTCCTACGATCTTGGCCATATGGCGCGATAGCTGGGCCAGAGCGCGACTTGCGCAGTGCCGGTTTCTTCATGCGGGATTGTTTGGTCGGAGATGCATTGCTGCTTGCCCTTGAACTTCGTCCGCCTTCGCTCTGGGATTTTATAATTCGAGCTGAACTGTACCTTAATGGCACAGGGAAGGGCGGGTTGCTCTCGGCAGACGCATTGGTCGACTGAGAGGTGGACGCCCGATGAGCAGCAGATCCACTCGAGATCAGGGCAACTCGTCGCATGTTGTTTGATCTCGCAGACGGCACGCGCTTGAGTGGTTTCATCACAGGCGCATTTCGCTGCGTATCACGGCCCATGAATTTCCTCATTTCGGAAGAGAGGCTGTCTTCGGACAATCTCAAATTCTCTGGTTCGACTGCTTCAGCAATTTCGGAAGGTAGGAACTCCCCAATGTCTTCGAGGCCATCCTGTGCAACCATCTTGCCGCCTCTCAAGGTTAATTTGGTGGTAGGCCGGGAGAATATGTCATCATCCGGAAACGTATTGACCTCAAACTTGTCTTCCTGTTCCTTTGCTTCATCGTCAAATCCTTGGAACAGGCTACTTGATCGGATAGGACGCGGAAGATTAGGTTCACCGAACGAACTGGGATCTGCTTCTTTGGAAAGCGGCCCACCATCGTTTGATGGTGGCATTCTTGTCACTCCCACATTCATCGCATGGTTCATCCGCTGCGTTACCGTTGTCGTTGGTGGACCCGCTTTCCTTCGATTCACAGGAGGCACAGCCCGGACGGAAATAGGTGCTTTATAGGACGTTGTAGGCATAGACGGCATTTCAGACAAGGGCATGATGTTCCGGCGATCGACTCTGACGACCTCCGTCTGCATTGAAGACGAAGTATAGCTGCCAAGGGTGGTGCTGTCGACCTGGGTGTCTGCATTCCTTGTGCGAGGCGGTAAGACGACTTTAGGACCAGCCACGGGCGTAGCAGGGCGCGATGTAGGAGGGACAATGTTGATGAGAGGAATTTGGAGATCCCCCGACTCGGTGCTGACGTGCTGCCAGCTCTTCTGCTTGTCTGTTTGCGGAGGTACAGGTACAGCAATAGGCCCCGAATGGTCCGTCTGCGTGCTCATTGTCTTCATCTCGATACTTTCAGCTGCACTTTCGTGGATTGTTGCCAAACTACTGTCGGACTTTTCGGGCGTCAATGGCGGGCTCGGGAGCGCCTCCACAGTCTGGACGCCAGAAGAGACCATGACAGGTCCTGTGTGGTTCCAAGGCGCGTAGGTTGAGTCATATCGCGAATCACGGCTATCGGTGGGACTGGTTGGGCTGTGAGCGCCTGCATTCGAGAGCCTGCCGTTGCTGAGGTGCAGATCAGCTGGTCGTGACTGTCGCTTCATGCTCTGGGTCATGGCTTGGCTGAGCTGGCTCTCGGATCTTGGCCAAGGTGATGTAGGAGGAGAGAATTGAATGGCAGTATCGACATAGGTGCTTGTGGGTCGGCGCTCAGGATCAACATTCTCCTTGTCTTGTTCTTCAAAGTCGAGGGGAAGGCCTAGAATCTTCCTCGCCTTGATCGACAAGCTCGATGACGGCCTGGCTTCCTGCTGTTCCTCCGGTAAAGCATCTGGCGAGATCCTGCCGTCCTCCATGCCACCGTTGGCATACTCCTCTTCCTCATCGAAAGCCAACTCGTCAGCAAGGTTGATGTGATGGCCGTTGGCAAAGCTTAGCGCTGAGACCCTTCCACCCAAGTGATCACTGTACATGGACGAAGCACTCGCGCGTCGAGCCGGTCTGGAATCACGTTTCTTACCGGGGCTCTCGTGCACGCTGTTGCGACTGTCGCTCCTGCTGAGAGCACGCTCCGGCGAGGTAGGTCTTGCATTGCTCTGGGCGTTGGCAATCTCGCTAAGGACGACCTTCAGACGGCCCTCGGCGATTTGCACTTTGGTCTCGAGTCCGCGCTTCTCACCAGACCAGGCATCCTTTTCCTTGTCCCAAAGAGCCTGGGTCCGCTCAGCAGCCTCTTCTTGGCTTTTGGCGCGCTTTTGGGCCTGCTCAAGGCGTCTTTTCAGATCAGCAGTTTCTCCCACGGCTTCGTCGCGCTCCGAAGCCAGGTCACTAAGAGCAGAGAGTGTTCCACCTTCCAACATCTGCATTTGACGCTTGATCTCACGAGTCTGCTTGTTGCTGTTAAGCAGATTGCTGTTGAGGGTATCATTGTGCTGCTGTGCTTGGTGGAGACTTTGTTCCAGCTTTTCAATGTCATTCGTTTTGTTCTCAAGGTCCCGGCGCAAAGAGAGGATCTCTGAGACCAGGGAAGCGTGAAGAGTTGGTGTGAAGCGTCGAGGGTCTAGTGGAGAAATGTTATCGTCCAGCGCAGGGTTGACTGAGTCGGTACTTCGTCTCTTGGTTGCGCGATCTTCAGGCGGAGGAGGGGGTGTCGTAGCAGGCGACATGTCGTCGGCATGCGACCGAGTGCTGGAAGGGGTGCGGTATGGCGTATCCGCTGGAGAGGGCAGATGGTACATTGTCTCTACCTCCATTGTCGCGTTCCTGCCCGAAGCCGGTGAGCCCATGAATCGTCGCGATCCAGCTCCTGTGAATTCAGCACGAGCAAACGTGCGTTTCGAGTCTTGAAGGCATGTGTTCAATGGCCAGCGCTTCTGCTCTCCCACGTAACAGACTTGGAGTCTGTGGAGGGTGACGCTGAGGAAAGAGGTGCGATAGCAGTTGAGCGAGTCAGCAGAATCGAAGGTCCCCAAGATGCTTCCACCCAAGGTCAAAGCCGCGGACAGAAGGGAATAAGGTTGAGCCTCCAGGGATGAACGAAGACAAGAATCCAGCAAGCTGGGAGCAGTGGAGGCTAGTAGCGCAAGTTCGGCCTCGTCTGGCTCATCTCTCTTGTGAGTTTTGGATCACCATCTCACGCCTAAGAAAAAGGCTTTGGGGATGATAGCGGGACCATGTTCGCTGGTCTTGGAAACCCAGGAACAGGGCTAGCGGGCAGTAGACTGTGGGTACAGGGGCACGGATCGAGTGCCACCCAGTGGGGGAAACGGAAGATTGAAAGTCAGGGGCCGGATTGATTGGAAGGAAATTGAAGATTGACCGTAGCGAGACCATCCTGGCTACCGGCCGAGCAGGGGCGTTCCTAGTGCGACCGCGTTTTGGACGGCGTGGCGGCCGGACGCGTTGGCCAAGTCGGACTGACGAACGACAGTCGATCGCGAGCAGAAGTGCCGGCAGGGTTTACTGGAGACGAGATATCAGGACGGATAGTGGGAGTCCGGTAGCGTGGCCTGAAGACTTTTCCACCCCCGAGTACGATGTCAGGGACCGGCATTTTCGGTAAGGCAAAAGTCGAGGACATGCTCGTGCATAGCTGGGGCGCCGCATTCAACATTGACCGTTATAGAGTTTTGTAGGGTCAGTGATAGCCCAAATGCAGCAGTGCCTGACCAGGGTGCCGGGGAAAGAAGGACCAGTGCGAGACGATGGACGAAGTCCAGCCGGTGTGGCAGTGGGTTTAGGGGGGGGGTAAGTGCGTTTCATCCATGTCCTCGGTGGAGGGCCGAAGAGAGGGAGTTCGGAGAATAAAAGCCAATGAGATTGCGCTTCAATCTCATTAGACCCAGCAGTCGCGGTCAGGGTACTGCACGCGAGCGTATTAGTCGGCCGTATTCCAGCGATCAGCTTCGGAACGAGAGACACGCTGAAGATAGACAACGGTTAGAAAGGAGTAGTGATGATAGCACGGATGAGGATCAGTCATCTGGTGATGGTGATGATGATGATCCTAACGCAGTACGGTTGAGGTTGAAACCTCGGGAAGAACATTGCAGTTCGCTCTTGCCACAAGTGCAGCCACTAGTCCCATTGGCTGTTTTCGCCGGTACGTTCTACTTTTTCACCTTCAAAGTGAATTGGCAGTTGGCTTTGCGTCAAATTCCTGCTCACTGCACGATCCAGGTACAGAGTACCCGTATGCTGCGTGTCCGTCCCGCTGTCAGAGTATCGGTGGGACTGAGTTGAACGACAACTTGAGTCCATGCACTTGCAGCGCAGTATTAGGATTTCTCGACAGGCACTCACTGCTGCACGCCCACATTTTTCGTAACTCTTAGGGATAATAATGCGGTAGAGATCGCCGGGCCGCACCTTGCTCACGCCCGGGGGCCACAGGGACTCGGCCAGTACCCCACACGCACCCAGTTCCCGTCCTTTCACACTTGACATCCAACGATATCGGCCAGCACGCCCTATCACCTGCTGTGATAATTGAACATCACATCCTTGAATTTGGCAAGCCTGTCTCGCCTGTATCAACCGGTCGAAGTGCAGTTTTCGGTTGTACTCCTCATGCGCTATCCGTATCTGATGCTACTTCGTCTGGGTCTTTCTCTCCCGAGCAGCCAGCTGCACGTTATCGTCGTTCTACCAATTGCGATTTCCGTCTGTCGTCGCTTAAAAGATTTCGGCTCGCACACCCCAGCTTGCCCGAGCAAGTCAAGCTCGACTTTCATGGATAAGCCTGGCACAACTTCCAGGTCTGAACTGTCGTTTGCGTAAACTTACCTGGGCTAGCAATCTGGCTTACAGTAGGTGAGCTAGGCTGATGCTCCTGGTCCACGAACCGATCTTGCCCCTGTTGACAATTGCTCGAACTGTCCTACACACGGATCACAGTCTTCGGCATCATGCATGGGCGCCCCACGTGGTACAGGCACCGCGGTGGCTGAAACCAGGTCTGGCCTGCTAATAAGCACGTTGACTGCTGTGCCGCACCTGACTGGTCTTTTGTCAAGTGGTCTTTGCTATCGTTCCGTACAGTAACCTCGCGACTACATCTTGTCTTCATCAGCGAGCAGGTCACAATGTGGACCGCGATAATGGTGAGACGTCCCAAGAAAGTACCCTGGACGCAGCGCACATGAAGGCTTTAATGGTTCTATGCTATACCGATGGCGGAGTACGGGGTACACAGGACTATTCCCCCAGAGCGTGCAGGCCCCTGTCACCTCACACAGCAGCATTTCTGAATCTCCTACCGCCACCGCAAGATCATCGCAAAACCCCAAGCTCTATAGCTTTCCACTTCCCTCACCACTGCAACCAAACCTTCTGGCCACCTCCTCAAAACCGCCCTCACCTAGACTCACCCACATATCAACCCAACCCTTGGCCTCCTTGACTTTATCCTCTTTCCACCCCTCTTCCTGTTCCCGCTCAATATAGATCGTCTGATACCCACAGCCCCTCGCCGCCTCCAAATCGCCCAGATGCGCCGCCACAAGTGCACACTCCCCTTCCCGCAGTCCCAACTTCCCCGCCGCCCCCCTATACACCTTCTCATGCGGCTTGTACGCCTGAAAGTCCTCCCCACTGAAGATATGCTTGTACGGCAACTCCCCATGCGTTGCCAGGTCCTGCAACAGCGACGTGTTCCCATTACTGAGCGTGCACGTCTCGAACTTGCCATTCAACAGCCCCAACCCGGGCGCCGAATCCGGCCACGGGTCCAAAAAATGCCAAATCAAGCTCAGCTTGTGCACCTCCTCGGGCGCCCACAGGTCCGCGATGCCGTACTTGTCCAGCAGCTCCATCAGCGAGTCCAGGTGGTGCTGGTCCACGGACTTGAAGGGTCCGCCTTTGGCCGGGTCGTACGTGCGCGTGAAGTGGTAGTATGATGAGCGCCATTCTTGCGCGAAGGCCGGCCAGGAGACGGTCGCCGCGGCGGCGCGCGTGGCGCTGGGTAGGGAGCCGGCGCTCGAGTTGAGGGCGCTGCTGGCTGCGTTGGTGAGGTGCGTGGTTACGGTGCCGCGCCAGTCGACGACGGTGCCAAAGACGTCGGTCAGGAGTGCTTTGGGGGGCTGAGTGAGCGACATCGGGGGGCCTGCGCGTGAGTCGTCGTTGCTGCTGGTGGGAGATGGGGTTCGTTGGTTCTGGTGTAGTCGTCTGGAGTATATGACCTTACCTGCTGCAGCAAGGATACGTGAGTGATCTGGCCGGAGATATATATCCTCGCTCTGCCAGGTTCCTGCTGTCAAAACAGTCTTGACGCTGTCGAGCCGATTTGATCCGGTCTACGACCAATCAGAATACTACTGCGTTATGATGCAACAGTTCCATATGGAGTATGTAGTGGTGAACATCAGGGGGCGTGCCCGTCCGGGTGATGACTCTAGCAACGTAGATCGATCCTCCGCGCCGAGGCCGGCCACTCGTGAGGGGCAACGTGCGGGGGAGAGCCATGTACATACAAAGTCAGGTAGTGAGGGCATAATCTACCTACGTTATTTACGGAGCACAATCGGTGCATCGCCATGATCGTATTTGCCCAGGCTCGATCATATCATGCTTTTGTGCGATAGAGCCATGAGCCACCACGCTCCCACTGTTTGCCTCATCAGCGACACCTTCTACAGCGCCAAATGCATGTTCGCCGCGCCAGCCTGCTTCTCCGCCTTCTTCGCAGCCTTGTACCACTTCTTGTTCTCATCGCCATGCGTGGTGGCCCTTTCAAGCCTCTGCTTCGGACTCATATCCTCGTCACCCAAATCCGCTGCCGCAGCCTCGTTGATGCTCATCCCAGCTATTATGCCGGTAGGCGCTCCATTGGTAGGCGATGAGACTGTGCCGCCGCTGATCTGAGCTTCCTCTTCGTCCGTGAGCGGCTCGATATCTGGCACGGGGCCACGGGGAAGCACTACGTTCCACCCGAGGTCTGAGCCGCCGTAGAGTTGACGGTGTTTGGCTTTGTAGTAGCCGTATTTGTAGATTTCTATTACATGTCAGCATAGGTCGGCACACCGCCAGGGCGCGGGAGTGGAAGGAGAGGCTCTACCGAAAAAGGAGGTCTTTTTGAACACACCGTTGTTGGTGCGGTCGGTTTGGTCCCAATAGATATTACGCAGCCAACGGCTGATGCGTGGATAGCCGTGACGGATGTCGCGGAGGTTGCACTGGAAGATGGTCACATAGGCGGCATCGAAGCGGATCATCGTCGTGTAGAGTCTGACATCGGCCTCGGTGAGATGCTCCCCGAAGAGAAAAGGCTGGTGCGCAGGGTTTGCGAGATGCTTCTCAATGCGGTCCAGAGACGAGAAAAGAGGGTAGATGTTGGCATCGTATGCCTCCTGGGTGGTGGCGAAGCCGACCTTGTAGACGCCATTGTTGATAGTGTTGTAGACCCAGTCATTCATGGCATCAATCTCGGATCGAAGGCCTTCCGGATAGAACCCACCCCCAAGCTTGTTGACTTCGCGATGCTGCGGGTCGAGAAAGGAGTCGAACGTGGTGTAGAACATGCGAATGATTTCGGAGGATTCATTATTAACAATGGTGTGTTGCTTCTTGTCCCAAAGGGTAGGGACTGTGTAGCGGCCTTTGTAGTTAGGGTCGGCTTTCAAGTATAGTTGCTTGAGGTTCGTAAAGCCATAGAGAGGTTCGGCGGTGGGAGAGCCATTGCGGCCGGTGAAAAGCTACGTCAAGTTGTCAGCTGAACGTGTACTGTTCGAAGCAGCGAGAGGTCATATACCCAGCCATTCTCGGTGAGGTCAAAGTCAGTCACAACCAGCTCGATGATGGGTTCAAGGCTCTTAAGCGCGCGAACGAGGATGGTGCGGTGTGCCTTGGACAGATTAGGTTGAGGATATTGGCGGTGTGCAGGCGGCTTACCCAGGGACATCTACAGAACGTCAGTCTTTGATCGAGAGTTGAATGGCTACCGTAATCGACTCACCCATAGTTCACATACAAAACGTATCTGAACGATAAAGATCATTAGTGCCTCGATCCCCACAGATCAATTAAACGATACCATCGTATCTGTACAGCTCGTACAAAGCCAAGAAGCACCTATGCACGGGCAGTTGACTTACCTATCCTTCTCCGGAGGAAATCTGGAGCCCGGCTCATCGGAAATGAAGTTTCTAAAGGCACTAGCTGGTCGGCGGAAGTGACCATCCTCGTCGGCATGCTTGTGAATGGGTCGCTGCATCGGTCAGCAAAGGGCCCTCCGAGCTATCAGCGCTGGAATCGCGAACCTCTTCTCCCATATTGCTGTTTGAGCGGTGATGATTAGCTTGATTTTGAATATCCTGTTTGCTGTCTCTTCTATATTAGACACTCAGAGCAAGACGCTTACGAATCACAGTAAGGTTCTAATCCAGGCGCAAAGACGTTGTTAAGCACTGAAAGATGAGAAGTCGTGGGGAAGCCAATCGAAAGGTCATGCCTGAACCAAAATTCCGCCCCATTTATCAGCTTCCGGACAGGTCCATGACGGCAACGGAATCCAGAACCACACCCAGGGTTTAGGGCGCACCGCAGCCAGTCCGTGACCGTCGATATTGACGTTCAACGGAGGCCGGATGTGACAGATCGCTTTCAAAGACACACTCAATATACTGTCCGAGTATGCTGCCCAATCCGGATGGATGAAAAATGACTCGACAAGGCAGGGACAACCAGCGGAACACGATACATATACGATCCGCGATATTTTTCTCGGATGGAAACAATGCTTCTCGGGAATCGATGTCCCTGCCACTGGGGCCTGAAGCACTGAATGACCGTTTGAAACCTCTACTTGACAGGTGACAGGCATCGTCTAGAGATGAGTGTCCAAGGTGAGGTTGCTTCTTTCAGTGAGTCTAAAGCAGTATGTCTCAACGACCTCGAAGAAGCCTGTCATTCACCTATCGAGGTGACAACAGACATCAGCTTTCACACGATACTGAGTGTTCTATCCAATTGCTACGGTGTTGGCAGCATGGTAAGCATCTTACGATGTGTCAATGATACAAGATGATAGTGTTATCAAAGCTCAGACCAGTCCATCGACTTCTAGCTGCATCTTGCGCCCACCTTTGATGATCGCCATATCATTGACGGGGCTCGCCGCCAACAACGAACAATGCTCAGTCAGGCATAAGAATGGGGACCCCTCGCTTCCAGTGCCTTGGAAGTGGGATGGCTTGACGGGACTGTGGGATGGACTGTCGGTGGGGGGTGGATTAGTCTGACGCGGAAGGGAATGTCCTTGCCTTCCGACCCTAAGGCTGTATCAGACGTGACATGCCTCAGACGCCCGGATCGATCACGGCTGAGGTTTGTTATATAAAAAGGGGAACCCGTTCGTGTGCTATGCCAGACGCAGAAGGTAGCCAATTCTGACAGCAACGGCAGCGTGATGGTGCCATCTCGAAACCCAGCCTCGAAAGTCGGGCCGCGACGATCAGTCTAGCCACTGGCGATTCAGGAAGGGAGACAAGTCGAGATCGACAGGCACTTCTCGAACTTGCGCCATGACCGAATAGGTCAACTTCGTGGTGTAGTACTGCAACGTTTGATCCAGGGCCAGGTCACCCAGACGGCTCGTCGGCGTCGTGGTGTCGTAGATAGCTGCTTATCCTAAAGTTGGCTTCGAAGCGACAGCAGACTTTGAGCGAAGCAGACTGTAACGCTGGGCCAAAGTTCGGGGAGCCGCTTAAGCAGTCGGTGGCTTGAGCTGGCACCGGTTCAGTTAGCACTGTGGCCACCACTGCACACTAGGAAAAAACATGGTCGCAGGGGTCATGGTTATGGTGGGCCGTGGATTCTGTGCGGATGCTCCCCGTCTCCATTCGTGGCCAGCGCTTGACTGGCTACCGCCCCTCCAAGGCTCCTAACTCGCCCTGGCTCTTCCCAGTTAGCACCTGGCAGCTTTTTGACAGCCGCGAAAGACGATGTGGGTTCTTTGAGAATAGATCCGGTTGAAAAGGACCAGGAAATACTCGGAGCCGTTATGGGAGGCATTCAGTCTGCAATATAGGCCATGTTGGCTCCCTGGTTGATCTCTGCCAACCCATCTCCGGCTTATCGACTGCTTTCACGACGCTGCTGGACCATACTGGCTCGCTTCTGCCTGTTGTTACTGCCTCGACTTACTTTCTTCGTGCCCAAGACGGCGGGCCGAATCGCATCCACGAGAGTTTCTCAAGGGTGCAGACTGCTACCATCGACCCTGCCCGTGGATCTGGGCCTGATCTACAGCGGGAAACCAGTCCACAAACTGCTACCCACACAAAACACTTTTCGTTCAGAGCCGATCTTGTACCATTGAGCCATCGTGCTCCCTCAACATCTGCACTTCGACTCGGGTTTCTCCAAGTCGCACCGAAGATCGCCGAATTAGCGGAAAAGGGCCAGCATTTTCTTCTTCCGATACTATAACCTCCATCCAAACATACCCCTCCCTACCTCTTGTCTCCCACCTGCCACCCCATCGTCCCAGACGTCCGAACCGCCACCAAAAACAAATATAACAACGCCTCATACTGTCCCTGCAGTGCCCACGTGTTTTCTGCAAGGACTTTCCGATCTCAGCCAAGTATCGACGCCAAATCCTAGACTTTCACTGTGGGTGCTCAAGGCACGCACTCTAAGATCCGCTTGCTCCAAAGCCTAGACCTCGCCCGCCCAGGTCTACCCTGCCTCCTCTTAACGCCTCACCAGGAGACACGATTTACTTGAACGCCTTGACCATTCGTGCAACTCCTGTGCCTTCCCAATCAACGAGTTTCTACCGCGGGTACCTGTGAACAATACTGGGGAGGAATCCTTCGGTCGTCCTGAAGCCTTTCAAGATGGCTGGGCGGATGACCCTTTACAAGTTGGTATGTGGAATAACAAAGCGCAGGAAGCATTGCGTGCTAACGTTTTAAGGTGGTGCTCGGAGATGGTGGCGTGGGAAAGACTGCATTGACTATCCAAGTACGTTTACCGCGCTCGTGCTCTTGGACTGTGCGCTAATTTGAATACTTAGCTCTGTCTAAACCACTTCGTCGAGACGTACGATCCCACAATCGAAGACTCGTATCGCAAGCAGGTGGTAATCGACCAACATTCTTGCATGCTTGAAGTTCTGGACACTGCTGGACAAGAAGAATATACCGCACTACGAGACCAATGGATCAGGGATGGCGAAGGTTTCATACTCGTCTACTCAATCACATCACGGAACTCCTTCACTCGGATCCAGCGATTCCATAACCAAGTACAACGGGTCAAGGAGTCTGGCCATCCAAACTCGCCTACAGGAACAACGTACCTGCCTGCACAGATGAACTCAGCACCCGCATATTCTGGCCCAGTCCCAGTCATGCTGGTCGGCAACAAGAGCGACAAACACCACGAACGCGAAGTTTCATCGCAAGAAGGCCAAGCATTGGCCAGGGAGCTTGGCTGCGAGTTCGTGGAAGCCTCAGCGAAGAATTGTATCAATGTCGAAAAGGCGTTCTTCGATGTTGTGCGCCAATTGAGGAGGCAGCGCCAGTCGCCTACAAAGCAGTCCGGACCTGCCAAACCGCTCGGCGCTGCCATGAACGAGCGCCCCAACTTCTACGATGCCAACAAACCCCCGAGGATGTATCGCAATGAGAAGAAGAGTCGGGCCAAATGCGTTATCCTGTAATTGGTCCAAATCGCTCCCTCATTCACTCCGTGGAGAGGGCTTAATGAATGTATGCCAGGTGCTAGAGGAACACAGAACTCTAGCTCGAAGACATCTCAGGATTGGTCGACTGCACCATGGGAAAGGAATCCGAATCGCAGTGCCGTCCTTGTTTTACCGGGACCACTTCCACAGCTACTTGTTTTTTACCGGGACCACTTCTACAGCTACTTGACCACAAGTGGAGCGGAGGGGTAGAGCTCTACCCCTCGAGCGTCCGCAGGCGTCGTTCTGAGCGTCGAGTGCATCACCTCCCTTATCAGCATGCGTTCAGTCGAGCATCATCCCAGACACAGACTGCTATGACTTCGATGCTGCATGAACGTGCGCCTCGGTCCAAGCTCTCGAAACCCATTCCGACCGGAACCTACCTGAGCATGTGCAACAGAAGAGGGAAACCAGGCTGCATAGCAAATCTGGTATCGTGGACTATGCGAAAAATTGGCAGACCTGCATAACCTAGCTTCCCAATTTCCTGCCATCGCAAAGTCAGGCCAGCTTTCCACCGAGCATTTCAACCTAGCTAGCACGCGATGATCATGCACGGTACGAATTTATGAGGCCAAATTCCCGAGTTACAAAGCGTTCGACAACCTGCGGCAGCCTCCGAAGTCCTTCCTCGGCGGTCGGGTTGAACTTTGGGTAAGCTCAATTCTGCAAGACGCCGGAATTACAGAGCAGTCACACCACGGGGGCCAGCCGATGAGCCCCGGCGAGCATCAACGGCATTGACACACTCGCGCGCTCATACGACGCCCGGATAGAGCACCGACAAGTCCCGTATAAGCACCATGGATATTAGCCCGACTACGATCAGAAGCTCAAGCTGATGATCTGCAAAGGTCCTCGGTGTAAGACAACCGAGCCTGAGCCCCAGAATTGCGAGCGGTATATTCCTGCAGAGGTTATGTGTGTCGTGACAGTGGAAGTCTGTACGAGCAACCAGGATGTGGGAATCGAGGGCGAGTCTTACCTGGTCTGAGGTTGCGTAGCATGTGGCAGCCCTGTATACTCGATCCTTGCCGCTTTGGGAACGCAGCAATTTGCTCCGTAGCAGCATCTCAAGCGACTGAGCAAGGACACATCCGGGGAAATAGAACGCCATCTGGATTTGAGGCGGCTCAATTGCCGACAGACACTTGCATTGGGCCCAGAAGAAGGCCATGCATGAGACACCGTGGCGCTGCAAGTTGCCAGATGGTCGGTTCAGAAACCATTTGCATGCAAATGTTAGACATTATCAGACTTATCCTGCCCAGCTATCGACTCTTGAAATCCAAGCATGAGCGCTAACGCTTCCTTCTGCTGAATGTCGCTCTCGCGGCGAATGCGGCTCAACGTCCATTGATGCTTTTAAGTCAACACCCTAACGGCCACCTCCGGGGCGTCAGACGTGGCGAGAGTCGCGTAACAACCCTGCAGATCTTTTGTCCCAGCTCCCGGAAAAGCAAAAGCCGTACGCTCTGAAATCGACCCCGAATGGTATACTGAACAGTATTCCGTATGCCCATTATCCTAACGCTCCGTCAAAGGTCACAAAGGATTTGCGGGGTACATGCATGACAAGCGATCGAGCAATCTATGATTCCGGAGCTAAGGCAGCACGGCACTTGTTGCATTCTCCTCCTTCTTCACAACAAAAGCCGAGCCTCCAACGACAGTCTCCCTGTTCGGCATCTGGTCAAAGACCGGAGATGATCGGGCAGGTACGGAACGCAGCAGGAAGTACTTGTACCTGCCAAGACGACGGCAACGAACAACAACCCAACCCTGGGGGAGTCGGAGGGTGGGAGGGCTCCGCCCGATACGGTGATCAAACTGCTGTGCACGAGCACAGCACAGCACCGCCAAATGGCGGTCAAGCCTCGGGAAATAGACTCTTTGTGACTTGAAGAAAGTTCCTTCGCATAGGTAGTAGGCCAATGAAGATCCGTTTTTATCTATTCACGCCCAAGCGGGCTGTCTGTCGCTCATATGTTCGTCCAACGTGGAAGACTGTTTCATTGCTCCGACGCCCTGCTTTCAGCCGTACGCATTCTTCTTGTTGGAAGTCATGATATTCGTTTCAATTGTCGTGAAGTTGAGCGAGCACCCGACGCCTCGCGCGGCGCAATCGCCGGCATCTCTCCTATGCTCATCTTGTGACAAAGTCTGCTCTCGTCGATTTGGTATCTTGCGGGCCGCCGTTTAGCGCTATCGGGCGAACGGCGCGAGACTCGTAGTGGCAGACTGTATGTACAGTATGGAGTGGGTCGAACCATCTCCATCTGGGGGCGCGTATTGCTGAACGAGCCTTTACATGCCACATGCTATGGCGGGACCCACCGCGACAAAGTCCTTTGCTAGACCCCGCAAATCAAGCTGGACAGCGGCTTCTGAGATCTGCCTTCCTGCTTGCCTCAGACAATGCTGCGAGCCCATGTCGCATCTCCCCTCCCTCTGCCTCTGCCTCTACCGCCCACACCGCCAGCACCGGATGTTCCTCCCAGCTCCTCCCCACCGGTCCCCGACCCGGTCCGAGGCCGCCTCGGTCGCTTTGGACTCGTGGCAATGTCACTCTTGAGACACTGCACCACACTTCGCATCGTCTCCTTCTCCTGCTCCAGGCCGTGAATGCGCGCCTCCAGCTCTGCAATCTTGCGTTCCTTGGCCTGCACGGCCAGACGGGTGATTTCGCGGCCCTTGGCGACACCGGCGGCGCGGAGCTCGTGACGGTTGAGCAGGTCAATGAGTTGGGTTTCGAGCTGTGTTGGGAGGGTGATGGTGGGCTGCAGCAGCTGGAGGGCGGAGGTCGCGAGCGGGCCGGCTTCTGCGGATTCTGTGGCTGTGCCGGTGGCGGTTGAGCCTTTGTGGACCGTCATGGACGGGGTGATGTTTGGGGAGGCGAGGCCGGTGGGCTGAAGAGGAAAGAGCGCGGAGCCGGGCTTTTTGATGGTAGCGGGGGTGCAGAAGACATCGTCAGCTTCATGATCCGGGGGAAGAGTTACGGAAGAGGCGTCGGATTTGGCAGAGATGGCGGACGTGGTGCGCTTCTTGCCGGGAGAGGTGACGACGTCGGTGCGCCCCGCTTTGCGAGGCGTTTCAAATTCCTCGAGCGCAGATGCTAGGTCTTCGTCGTTGACGCTGTCGGATGACCAAGCATTGTCAATGTCCACTGGAGGAGGAACGGCTTCAAGCTTGACGGGAGATCTGGATTTGGTGGACGGAGTTGCGAGTTGAACGGGCGACGTTAGCTTGGTCTGCACCGCTTTGCCAATCTTCTTTGGCGTCCTCGGGCTTGTTGGCTCCGTTCTTGAATTGGCCAGGACGGCGCCCTCCTCGCGCACCTTTGCATCATCCTCCCAGAGGAAGAATCCGCACTTAGACGGTTGTGGCTTTTGACACGTGTAGAACCATCTTCCGTGATTTTTCCCTCCATTCTTGGTCTGGAACTTGTCGGCTGGCAGTCTCGAATCGCAGTCGCAATGCCAGACGCCGCCCATGAAGATGCCGCGTTTGGCGGTTCTGCCATTCTTGGTCACGTAGCGGGACGCCATGACGGATGTTCGAGTTCTAGAAAGTGCGCCGGCGGTCGCACGGATGATGGCGGAGGATCACATGGTCGAGATGCGCATGCATCTGACTGCTATGCGCTCGCGTGACATGTCGCCAGTGGCCAGGCAGGATGAGTGGTGAAGGTGAAGTGGGCAGTCGAGTGTTGCCTGCGATGACGTCGGGCGGCAACGCGAACGCCGCCGTCGCCAAATTGGGCTTACCTAATTGGGATGGCTACAGGAGACTGGGTCCCATGGACTTCGCGCGTTCTCGCCAACGTCGTGTCTTGTTCGTCGTGACAGCCTGCATACAAGGTCCGGAACGACTGACGTTTGTACCTGCCTCCTGAACTCGCCTCCGCGACACCGTACGCCGCCGACGGGGCTCCTATAGCCTGCCCCAGCGCCCTCCGGCGACCGACTATGAACGAAAAGGACAAACCCCAAATACAGTGTTAGCGATAACCACTCAAGATGGCGCCAACCGGTGGGGGCAACGTGAAGGTGGTGGTGAGAGTGCGGCCGTTCAACAAGCGCGAAATCGAGCGCAATGCAGCCTGCATTGTCGAGATGAAAGGCGATCAAACCGTCCTCTCACCTCCACCTGACGCCGTTGAGAAAGCGAAGAGGGGCGGGAACAAGGCCATCCACGAAGGAAACAAGACTTTCAAGTTCGATAAGTCCTACTGGTCCTTTGACAAGAACGACTCCAACTACGCTGGCCAGGATAACCTGTTCAACGACTTGGGCAACCCGCTACTCGACAATGCATTCGGCGGATACAACAACTGTATCTTTGCCTATGGCCAGACCGGTTCAGGAAAGTCTTACAGTATGATGGGATACGGCGAGGAGGCTGGTGTCATCCCCAAGATCTGTCGAGATATGTTTGAACGCATAGACAAGATGCAGGCAGATCCCAATCTGAAGTGTACGGTGGAAGTATCATATCTGGAAATTTACAATGAACGAGTGCGAGATCTTCTCAATCCTGCGACCAAGGGCAATCTTAGGGTTCGAGAGCATCCGTCAACTGGTCCCTATGTCGAAGATCTGGCGAAGCTCGCAGTACGATCATTTGCCGAGATCGAGAATCTGATGGACGAAGGCAACAAGGCCAGGACAGTTGCTGCGACAAACATGAACGAAACCTCATCTCGCTCTCACGCCGTCTTTACCTTGTCCCTCACCCAAAAGCGGCACGACGCAGAGACCAAGATGGACACCGAAAAGGTCGCAAAGATCTCTCTCGTTGATTTGGCCGGTTCAGAACGCGCCACATCGACTGGAGCCACAGGAGCCCGTCTGAAGGAAGGTGCAGAAATCAACAGGTCGTTGTCAACGCTCGGTCGTGTTATTGCGGCCTTAGCCGACCTTTCCTCTGGCAAAACAAAGACTACCAAAGTTCCGTACCGAGACTCAGTTCTTACGTGGTTGCTGAAGGACTCGTTGGGTGGCAATAGTATGACAGCCATGATTGCTGCCATTTCTCCAGCAGACATCAATTTCGAAGAGACGCTTAGTACGCTGAGATATGCCGATTCGGCCAAGAGAATCAAGAACCACGCCGTGGTCAACGAAGATCCAAATGCTCGTATGATCAGAGAATTGAAAGAAGAGCTGGCTCAGCTCAGAAGCAAACTTGCGGGCGGCGGTGGTAGCCTCGGAGCCGGCAATGTCCAGGCCTATCCAGAAGGCACGCCTCTTGAGAAACAGATGATCACCATCACGCAGGCCGATGGCACAGAGAAGCAAGTCAGCAAAGCCGAGCTTATGGATCAGCTCAACCAAAGTGAGAAACTTTACCAGGATCTCAATGAGACCTGGGAAGAAAAACTGCTGAAAACTGAGGCCATCCACAAGGAGCGTGAAGCGGCTCTCGAGGAGCTAGGTATCAGCATCGAAAAAGGCAATGTTGGTATGAGTACGCCGAAGAAAATGCCTCATTTGGTCAACTTGAGCGACGATCCTCTCCTGGCTGAATGCCTCGTCTACAACTTGAAACCGGGCATAACTACCGTTGGAAACGTCGATGCTTCGGAGAGCTCTGAGATCCGACTGAACGGTTCAAAGATCTTGGAACATCACTGCAAGCTGGAAAATGTCGACAACATTGTTACCATTATCCCAACAGAAGGCGCGGCAGTTATGGTCAATGGTGTCCGTGTGGAAAAGTCAAAGCGCCTACGGAGTGGTAACCGTATCATTCTGGGAGATTTTCACATCTTCAGATTCAACAACCCGCTGGAGGCCAAGGCTGAGCGTGCAGAGAGAAGTCTATTGAGACACTCCGTCACAGCCAGTCAGATTAGTTCTCCTTCGCCTTTACGTCCATCACACGAGCGTTCGATAAGTACGGCAGGCTCCGAGATTGACGGTCACTCTAGCAGAGCAGAATCCCCAATGCCAGGCGGCCGTGACTCTGACTGGTCTTATGCTCGGCGTGAAGCAGCGAATGCATTGCTGGGTAACGACACCAGGATCAACAAACTGACTGATGAGGAGCTGGACAGCCTTTTTGAAAACATTCAGCGTGCTCGCGAAGAACGACGTGGCCGGCCCATCCTATCAGATAACGATGAGGACTCCGATGAGAACAGCTCTTTCCTCGTCAGGGACAAGTATGTGTCAGCTGGAACTATGGATGGTTACTCGCTAGATACGGCATTCTCTATGCCTGGCACGCCATCAATGTCAGATGGTGCAGAGAATGACGGCGATGTCACACTCAAAGCCAGTCAGCTTGACATGCAGAATCAGCTTGAAGAGCAAAAAGCCGTGTTTGAGAAGCAGCTCAAAGTTGATCGAGTGTCCTCCCCGACATCAGAGTCTGCCCAAGAGGCCCAGGCTGCACAAATGCGGGAAGAACTCGAACGACAGAAGCAAGAGTTTAAAGAAGAGCTCCGAAAGCAGAAAGAGGAGTTTGCAGAACAGAAGCGGGTATGGGAACTGGAGAAGAGAGCAGGACGACCTCCCGAGCTAACACCTGGGGAGAGGGCTACGGCTCGTCTTGTCGTGGACAGGTGGCAAGGCAGAAACAACGTCCGCATTGCTGAAGCTGTGCTTCAGACTGCTGGACTGCTCAAAGAAGCACAGGTCATGAGCAAACTACTCGAGCAAGAGACAATGTTTCAATTTGCCATCCTGGATGCTGGAGAGAACCATGGATCTTCATACGATTTAATTCTCCACGACATATCTCGAGACGAAGACATTGCTTTGCAAGATGCACGGAAGCCATGCTTGGCCGTTCGAGTGATCGATCACCAGTTCTCGTGCATCCACCTATGGTCAATCGAGAAGCTCAAGCAGCGCTTGGCGAAAATGCGGCAGATGTACCATTACAAGGACCAGCCAGACTATCTACAGCATTTCCGGCTAGATAATCCTTTCAGGGACTCTGATCAGCCACTGTACTCTTTGATTGGTGATGGGAGCATACCACTAACAGCCGTTTTCGAGACACGAGTGCAGGATTTCAACGTCGATGTCATCTCACCTTTCACTAAGCAAATTATTGGAAAGGTCAGGATGTCGCTGGAACCTTCGCTTGCAGAGTCACCACCTTCAACAATCAAGTTCAACATCGTGATGCGCGACTTTGTGGGGTTCTCAGAACATGAAGGCACCAACGTGCATGCTCAGATGTCAGTTCTTGGTACGTCTGATGAGAGTGTGGCTACGACACACACTGTTTCCGGCTTCGGTGAAGGTCCAGTCCGCTTCGAAAGCATACACACTCTCAGCGTTGCAAGGAATAGTGAGCAGTCAGCCGTGTTGAAGATTGCAGTCTTCTCCCAAGTCACCTCCACACATCTCGACAAGTTAAACAGCTGGGATGAGCTGCGGGAGCTGATGGAAAATCCAGAAGAGGTGAAGCAAGCTAAGCATCGCATACCGGAGTCAGAGTTCCACACAGAAGAGCGATACGATGTGTTCGCCAAGGTGCAATTTCTCGAGCTGAACGAGAATGGCCAATACGCACCAGTAGAGGTCGTACACACCGATGGGAGTGATCAAGGAGTCTTCCAACTCCATCAGGGCCTGCAGCGGCGCATTTCGATAACGCTGACGCAGAGTCTGACGGAGACATTGCCCTGGGATGATCTGAAGAGTCTGCGTGTTGGAGAAGTCCACCTCATTGACTCATCAGGACGTATTGCAGACATCGGCACAGAAACCCCCGACATACCTCTCAAGCAAATTCAGGAGCCTATGATCAAGGACAACGCCGATGGTACGTCCAACGTGACAATAATCGGCCAATGGGACAGCTCTCTGCACAAGTCGCTGCTTCTCGACAGAGCCACCAACGAGAATTGCCGAGTCCAAGTCTCGGTAAGATGGGATATCGTTTCGTCCCGCCTGGATAAGCCCATGGTCTTCTCCATCCCACAACAAGTTCAGATCACACCACGAACCTACTACCGACCACAGTCCGTGCTCAAATCCTTTTGGAACCAGACCCGGATCACTCGCTCCACCGAAGGCCTCTTCAATATTGTGGTACGGCCAACGAGCGCTAAGCGCGCCGCCGATCTGTGGCGCATGGACACCTCAAAAGACTATGTCAATGGCGAAGAACTTGTTGGTAGCTGGAGCCCGCGCGGGATCTCGCTGGTCAAAGACTATATTTCCGCGCGTCGGAAGCGGCGCCAAATGCAAGATATCGAATCAGCCAAAGCCACTCTGGGCATCAAGCGGTTGACCGTTGCAGGCGGCAAATCTAAGTCTCGCACGCCCTCTCCAGCCGAACCTCCCAACGCTCGCGAAGAGGACCTCTTGCGCCGCTTCGCTGCGGTCTGGTCGCGCCGCGGCTTCGAGCTCTCTCACCCTATCTTCGGGGAGAGCAGTTCTGATAGTAGCACCAGCAACACCAATGGCGGAGGCGATACTCAACCAGCTGCCGACGCCAACGGCCGCAAGATCAAGTACATCGCCGCGGTGGCCAACATCCCCAAGAACCCCGTGTCCCTGAAGTCCGGATACCTCCTTACACCGTCGGACACGCTCGACCCAGACCACGCCTCGATGCAGTGGAAGCGACGTTTCGTTGACCTGCGCTCCCCGTACCTGATGATCCACTCGGTCCCAGACGGCGAAGCCATCAACGCCATCAACCTCAGCTACGCGCGCATCGACCACGACCCGGACTTCAAGCGCCTGCTGGGCGGCGTTCCGAGTGAAGTCATGGACGGTAGCAGCAGTAACGGCAAGGGCCACAAGCGAGGCGGCAGCGCGGATCTGCACGGACTGGCGCACGTCTTTGCCGTGTATGGCGAGCAGAACACGTTTTTGTTCGCGGCGAGGAGTGAGAGCCAGAAGGTGGATTGGATACTGAGGATCGATCAGAGTTACTTTGGGAGCGTGCAGGAGGAGGATGGCGTGGGGGACAGCTGATGTCGCTGCAGGTCGTGGGGTGGGGGTTGTGTATTCGATTAGTATAGACTGTTTGGACGAGGGGCAGGGCGAGAGGCTTAACGTTGACAGTGCTTCTCAATCAAAGGGGTGCGACGAGACAAGATGAGATGGAAACGGATTGATACCCAGAACAGCCATGCCAGTCTGTCGCTCCGGACTGGATGTTACGCTTTCGCTTCTAGATAATATTGAGAACAAATTTGAACGCTTGAAAGAGAACAAGTTGAGGTGCGTTCCGGCGAATGTTTCCTTCAGGGAACGTGATCAACACACACGAGCTGTCACTGCCATCACCCGAGCCCCTAAGACCGTCGAATTGACTGTCTTTGCTACCTCTGAAGCTTCATCAAGCCCTCGCAATTCTGCCTGGCCGCACCAGCCAGCAATCCCGCGTCCAGCCCGCCCAGCACCCACCTGGCCCCCATCTCATTGACCACCTTCTCCATGACATCCGGCCGATGATACAAGCCCGCGATCGCGAACACTTTGCCGTGCCTGCGACACGCCTCCCCGACCCTTTTCAGCGCCCCCATGAAGACCTCGCCCTCCCACTCCCCCAAACAGCCCATCTCCTGGCCCAGGTCGTTGGACCCGACCAGCAACGCCTCCACGCCTGGTAACGCGGCGATGTCGTCCACGGCGGCCAACGCGTCCTGGGTCTCGATCATGATGAACACCGTCGAGCCCGTGGCGTCCAGCTCCTGCATCGCGACGTCCGGCGCCACGGATGCGAGGCCGAAGTGCGGGAGCCCGATGGTCAGGGACCGGCTGCCCTGTGGGGGGAACTTGCACGAATTGACTGCGGCTTTTGCGTCCTCTGATGGCGCGGAAGACAAAGGGTTGCCCCTCTTTTTAGCCATTCTATTCATCGCTCCCTCATGGGACCAAGAGGGGGGTGGGGGGAAATAAAGGAAATGCGGGACTTACCAACGCCGTGAATATGCGGAAACACCACGCCCATGGCCCCCATGTCGAGGACGCGCTGCACGAAGCCGCGGCCGCACTGGAACGGCACGCGCACGAACGGCGTGATGCCGGACGCGAGGGCCGTGATGCACAGCTGCGAGGCGTCGCGCAGCGAGAGCGTCGTGTGCTCCAGGTCGATGAAAAGGCAGTCGTAGCCGGCCGTGACGGCCATAGACACGATCGTTACGTCGGTTGTGATCTTGATGCCGAAGGCCTTTTGGCATGGATGGGAGTCTTCAGCTTTTTGGGCGGGGGTGGGGAGATGGCGGTGGTGAAAGAGGTGAAATGGGGCGGGTGTCACAAACGTACCTTGCACAGACGGTCTTGCGAAGACAGAGCGAGGAGGTTGTTCTGGCGGATGCTGGGGGTCGTGGAGGCCATGGTGGGCGCGCAAGGGGCGAGGGAGTGGCTTTGGGGAGGGAGGGGATCAATAGATTCAGAGGCCGCTTCGTAGGAGGGGCTGCCAGGGAACAAGATTTGATACCCAGGAGCTGATGTCTAAGTAGTTCGGGGCTTTCAAAGAAGCAGCCGTTACCTCATTGCAACCTTCTGTCTTGCGCGTCGTCCGAGGTCGGTCTTTTTCTCCAATGTTGGAGGTGCATGTGTATAGTCACGTGGAGTAATGTAGAGGGGGCATATCAGGCAGTGATTACTTGGCACAAGGCCGCATCTTCATCGCCTGATATCCACAGCCTTTCCATCTCGACCATTGGATGTGCTTTGCACTTATATCACTCGGTCTTGAGAGTATTCAATCCCCTCGCCGACAGCCAAGCGGTCGCTACGGCACCTTTCCATACCACCTCGGCATTCTCCATGTCATGCTCCTGATCCGTCAAGACGCCCTCGCGCGAGCCTTGTCCTCGCGGTCCTGCAATCAGAAATTGGCAACCTGGTCCGGGCGCAACGGGATCGGGAATACAACAGCTCGGAGGCCTCCTTCTGGCGAATAGACAAGATGCTTGTCCTGGTGAGGTAGGAGGGCCTTTCTTGGCCTTGGCGTCGACAAGGTGTGTCATGTCGATGTCGTTCTTCATTGAGCTGGCACCGCTTTATCGCTCCGTCCTACTCTCCGACGATTCTCACACTTGCTCCCATGCTCTCGCGGTATCTAGTCATGCGCTTGGTTGTAGTAATGCCACGCCGCAAACCCCGCTACTCGACATCTGCTACAAAGTCATGGCCCTCCCAAGTCATTGTCGGCACTGCTCACGTTGAACAGTCATTGAAAGGGTGGATGGAGTGATCAGAGCAGTAGCTCTGCCGATTCCGGCGACCTAAGGCCGTGAATGCTGTCGCTAGAGAGCGAGGTTGGTTCCGCACTCCTCTCAGGTCGTGTGGTCTGTGAGGAGCCTCCGGTGGCGCTTTCCGGCACAATGTCTCCTCAACAGTCTTTTCGGTGCGCGTGGCTTGTCGTAAGTGGCAAACGACTCCCCGGCATCCAAGCACGATACGCTACTAGCGATACCTCTCACCAAGTGATCTTGGGTTGGTAGGATCGATCCAGTGCCACTCGTCCGTGTCCCAAGACAGACGTTCTAGCACATTATCATCTTTGATGTGCGTCGCACCAGCAACTTTCATTCGTTGCTGCACTGCCTCTTTCGCTCCTCCCAATACCGGAAGGACACCTGGAGCCTTGCTCAACACCATGTTGCACACTTTCAGACTGACATTGTCGGGCAAGTTCTGTCGACCTGCAGTATACTTCTCCTGAGCCTCTTTGATGGTAATATTGACACGTGTTTTCCTCATGGCATTCTTTGCCGACAGATAGTAGCTATTCACGATCATAGCATTCATGTAAGCGCTTAGCGCCGCCTTGCTCGTTGTTGGTGGTCCATCCTTCTCCAATGTCTCCCAAAAAACAGCAAGGCTGTTGAGGTTTCCTAAGTAGTGGGCATTGTCGGTACGAGCCCAGGCTCGGAACTCCAGCACTTGAAGTCGCGGCAGATGCGTAAAGGTAGAATCGATGACGGATAGCTGAGCATCTTTGAGCTGGCCCAGATCCATCACGTCGCCATCGTCGACAGCGATCCGAGAAATATTGTCTTTCACACCTTGACTGATTCGGACATCGCTCATGAACTCCAGCACATCGGAGGTGTGGCGAAATACGAGAGTGTTGACGGTAAAGTATATCGGGACAGCTTCTTGGCGAAGGAGTCGGGCGACAGACAAGGCACCGCTGGCGTCATCTTTGTCGATTCTCGATGCTCGGAGTCGGCAATGGGCAGGTGATCGAAGATGAATAAGTTGAGGTGTGTCGAAGAGATGGAGCAAGATGAGTTCCCGGATCTCCGAGGGCAGATTCATCAGACATGCTGTCGTGTTCATCTCGTGCGAACGAAGCCCAAAGAGCGCGTATGTCGTTGCTGGGTAGAGTGAGAACAGGCGCGTGTGACAATAATGTGTCAGCACGAGAGCTAGGCGATGCAGGTGGGGAGATGGGGAGGTCAGGGGGCGGGGGGCCCGACTGTGAGGGATTTTGTTCGATCAAGTAGTTGAAACAGATGACCGCATCGCCAACATGGACAACACATCAAGCACATGTGGAATCTCGTCGTGGAAAGTGAATTGTGGATGTGTAGTACGGGTGGATGTGAGGTGAGGTTGTGGTCACAAGGCAAGCAGGCAGTGACGCGCGTGTCTTGGCAAAGTTGCTGCGGAGGAGGTTGCCTGGCCTCGGTCGCTGGTATACGTCTTTTTGGTTCTAGTCAGGCAGTGGTCTATGATATGTTCTTTTAGCTTCTGAGGCCGACGACACGCTTCCTATGTGTACAACAAATAACCACATCATGTCCATACGATGAAAATGCCCGCTGTAAACGCAAAGTACACTTAATCTTTCCTGGTCCGCGGAAGCGACTCTTGCTCGGTTTGCACATGGCCGAGAGAGCCCAACACCTCGTCGCCAGAGAGTTGCCCCTTGACTAGCTTTTCTGCCAGTCCCGTCATCTTTGCACAAATCGGCTCAACCTTCATATTCCAGACCTGACTCGCGAACAGGGTCGATGCGAGTAAGGCGACAGTGGCAAAAATACATCTGAAAGTTCCGGGCAAGGGGTATTTCCATACCGATATGAATGTCTCGTTTGGCCACTCCAAGCCATTTTCGACCTTGAGCTGAAACTCGCGCTTCTCTGAGCCGAGGAAGAGTACCCATGCGAAGATGGTTCGCATAAAGGTGCCGTGTAGAAGGTAGATGGCAAAGCTGACCTTACCCAGCCACTTGAGCGGCTTTTGCGATAGTGCCCACCGCGTATGTGGTGAGATGACAATGCTTGCCACGAGCAGAATGCCACCGAAACTACCGTATAAGCGCTCTAGGGCGTGCTCGCCAAAATGTGTGTCGCCAAATTGCTCCAAATACGCCGACCATGGCGCTCCTTTGGGATTGTTTCCGGGAAAGGACATAAGTACCAGTGCGAAGATGGCGATTGGAGGACTGAGTATGACCGATAGAGGGGCGAGCTTGCTGGGTAGATTCGAGATGGAGAACTCGGCGAGGACTATGCCAAGAAAACAGGTCATCCCCGTCCATGCTGTGAGTCCCGAGGTTAGTAGATCGTTGCACGAGGCTTTGACAGTACTCACGATCACCAATGTGGTAGCTCCAGTCGATCGAGGCGAAAGCCATGAAGACCAGTGATATCGTTCGCCATACAGGTGTCATGTTCACCGTCATCAACAGCGTGAGTATTATCATCAGGCTGCCTTGGAGGAAATAAATCAGAGCCCACTGGGGCTGATCATACTGATTATCCACACCGAGCACCCAGGTGTCAAACAAGGCGGTTTTGAGATCGGCAAGGGCGACAAAGATGTTCACGCTCGGTTGTGGTGAATTGTGCGCCAACCAGAACGCATCGCTGTTACGCCCCATCTCGTAGAAGCCCATTTGACACACCATCCAGCTGAAAAGAGTTGCAAATGCGGCAGGCAGCATGAGGCGGAAGATCCTACTGAAAGCCGATGTCGCTAGCTTGCTGGAAGCCATATCCGCTTGGCCAGAGCGAGCGAGACTCAAAGGTTTGAGTGCATTGACAAAGCCCATCAGAATGAGGAAGATGGCAACCCATGAATGCCCGGACGCCACGAGCCGAAAGATAGGTCGTTGGAACAGGCTGGGCGCATCGCTCCCGTCCGCACAACAGGGATTCACTAAGGAGGTAGCATAGCTCAGGACGACATGCGAAGACACAACATAGAGAGCAGCTATTCCTCGGAGGCCCTTGAGTAATTGTCAGCGGTGTTGTGCGGGCGAATATTCGGGAGGCAGCTCACGTCTGCCCATGCGGTTTCCTGCATCGCCCGTTGCTTGGTATCATCATTAAGCGTGAGCTGAGAGGCCGACCACTGGTATTTGCCTGTGGCTAGCCGGGTCACACTACCGTAGAAAGGTCCGAGCATGCTGGTGGACGTTCGTAAAATCTCGAAATCAAGGGGTAAAGTTCGTCATTGGGCTCAAGAGGAGCGGCGAGTTGGCATCGGCGTGGGACCGAAAAGCGCGCTTGCTCCTCGACAACGGCAAACGATGAAGCCAGAACGACAAACAGACGCGAATAATCAATGGAAGGGAGCATCCTGTGTTTTCGATGCCAGACGTCGAGCTGTAATCAGTCGAGATGAAACCAGCGCTTCTCCACTGCTTGCCTGGTCTCCATAGTATGATCCAGCCCCGAAACTTGGCCTGGGCAGCCCTGGAGTGCCCGGCCAATGATCACGCTTAATCGCCACAACTAAGCGGCAAACTCGGATCTGCCCAGGCGAGCCGTTTTGTTCAGGGGTTCCCCCCCCCCCCCAAAGTGTACTTTTAAGGGAAAACATGTTGATACATTGCCATATCGCACCCCTCGATACACGAAAAGCCCCCTTGAAGTTTGGTGTGCTTAATCGCACCCCGTTCGCCGGCTTGAAGTAAGGGGCTTCAATCCCCGTACTCTGCACTATGGCTTTCAATCATGCATCCCTTCCGAATTCCCCCACACCTCTCCTGCCGGAGTGCGCCAAGTCCAGGTACCAAAGTCAGATCTAACTACAGGATCCCCGGTCCATATGACAGCGAACCAGGCACTCAGGCATAATCTTTGCGTATTGCAGCGCCACCAAACCGTCACGGCTGCCGACGACATCTGCAAGTCATGTATCAATGCCTGCCTTCCCCGTATCTGATAGGCTCAGCTCATCTGTGGCTCAAAGGTGAGCGGCAATGCCTAGCACTTCACGAGATCTAGCCATCCCTCTGCGAGGCACACAGACCTCCTCGACTCGAGCTCTCTCCGGAAGTTCACGGGCCTCAAAGCTACGGATCTCCTCCAATGTGAATGTTTCTTGACTCCCTTCACGGACCACCCAAAGATCGGGCCCGAACATCGACATTCTTATGTCGTTGCTACTGGGGTGACGAGGGGCCTGCGTGCGCGATGTCTCGGTGTTCCCCCTCTATACCTCTGTTTACCTCGAAGCCGAGGACCCTCTCATCCATCATCTACTCCCTCACTCGTCCCCTAAACCTGTTCGCATACACTATTTGAAGCAGACATGTCGTTAGCCGACTCGCCTGGCTTTGTTTTCCAACCTGATCACCTCAATTTTGCTCCTGCTGACGATTGCAATCTATTTGACGAGGTCTTTGACCACAAGCTGTACGAAGTTGATGATCATAAGCTGCGAGAAGACGATGCCGAATACTTCGAGACTGTCCCTTACTCTAACCCATACCCGCGTCTCCCATCATTGAGTGGTTCAACCTCTCAGGAGACTTCTACCGACCAATCTCCGCAGCAACCATGGCGAAAGGGCCTGTGGTGTTTGAACCAGGATACGCTCAAGGTCGACAAGACACGAAAGCCTGCACAAGATACTATTACTGCCGCCGAACTGTTGAACAATCAGAGTTTTCTGATTCGAAGTCCTCCATCTCCCTCAGTCAGTCCAACAATGAACCCCACAAAGCGATTCGTCACCAGTCCCAACGCAGCCAAGTATCAATACAAAGCCATGGACCCGCCCCCCTCCCGCGAAAATACCCTTTCTCCGAGCCCAATGTACTCGCAGCTGCCACTCCAAGCCAAAATGGAGCAGGTTGAGACGTGGCAGCAAGACTTTAAGAATTTCAACATTCAGACCTCGCAAAGAAGGTCCCAAGAGAAGCCTTTGCATGAGCTGTATCACAATCACGGCACTCAAATATCGGATATCAATAACGCTATAGTTGCGAAGAATGCGGAAAGTCAGCTTCCCTTGCTGAGCAACAATGCCTCCCAGGAGTTCTTGTACAACGAGGATGGTGGCGTTGCTGTCGACCCAAGCTTGATCCACAAGAACAGAAATTCGCTAGCCATACAGACACGACTGGACCATTGCTTTCAGCCAGCTGTACTTTCCCAACAAGCGTGTCATCAGACCCTTCATCCAACGTGGACTACTGAGAGCTTGCACTCATCAAATGATTCTCACCCATCATCCTACGACACAATGCCGGCCAGCATGTCTAGCGCTTTCAGCAGCAACGGGCTACAACCGGTGCAAAGTGGACAAGGCCAGGTATGGTGGTCACCAGACATGACTACCACCACTCCTGGCTGGGTCAATACATATCACGAACCCTTCTCTACCATTGCTGCTCCAACACCGAAGCGAGCAGCCACACAGTCTTATGTTGAGAATATTGACCGTCGCTCCGAAGGGCTCGGTATCAACTACCCAGACTCTAATACTGCGAGTCTACACGACCACAACACCTTTTATCCAAGCATCGAGTCCGCCAACTTCTACTCTCCCAGTCGATCGCAGGGCCTTCCTGCAGGCATCCCTCCAGTTCCACCGCTGCCTTTTCCGACTTCCAACCATATTCTCAACAAAACATCACCATTCACCACTCCATATACAAGCCGACGTTCACCCAGTCGACCTCCATCTCCTTGCATCTCTCCACTCAGTATGACTCCAAGGTCGACCCGTCGCCAGAATCGCTCCCCATCCCACCATAGTAACCACCGCCGCCGCAAATCCATGCACAAGCCAGGCCCCATCAAGTCCATCAACAACAATCAACTCCCCATCGAAGACCCTTACCCTTCCACTCCCATCGCATATTCCTCATCCCACTACCAACACCACAACACCACCACACGCGCCCGCTCCCGCTCACATTCCAAACCCCCACCACCAACGCGCACGCCCCGCACACCCAAAACGCCCACAACGGCGGGCATTGGCGGCAGCGGAGGAGGCAGCTTCAACCTCGACTTCGTCAACTTCACCGCCCGCGACAGTGCCAAACTGCTGGGCGACGTCGCGCCAAGCGGCAGCAGCAAGACGCGGGCGAGACGCGAGGCCGAGGCGCGGGAGAAGCGCAAGAGGCTGGGCGAGGCGGCGCTGAGGGCTGTCACTAGTGCGGGTGGCGATGTGGAGGCTTTGAAGCGGGCGATTTTGACGTAGTCGGAGGGGCGCAGTGATGGTCGGTACATGGTATAGAGGGAGGCTTGGAAAAGGCTTGGAGGCGGGGACCTTACGGGGTAGGCGATGCTGCAAGGCATAGGTTCATCCTCCCGGCCGATATGCTAGATCTTGGTGAAAGGGTACGGTCGGGTTCCTAACATCCTTGGGAATTGCTTTATGCTGATTGTGGACAGACGGGGCAACTATCGTGAACATGACGAGACTGTGGTCGGACTGTTATTGGTCCGTTCATCGTCGCCAGCGCCGTGTTGGTTTAGTACCTCTTCGAAGGCCTTGTTTGCACTTCAGGGTAAGGTGCATGCTGTGCTGTGATCATACACTCGCGATTTCCAAGAAGGGGTTGCAATGGAGCTTCAGCCAGGATTTCAGATCGCAAAGCGAAAGGTTTTGCAGCAACCTCGGGCTCATCTAATCTTACTTTCACGTACAGCGATGAAATAGACGTACCCGCTCGTTTAACATTCCCAGAATGTGCCTTTCCCCCGCCCCCCGCTTCTACGATCTCCTGTATGCATGCCACCGGGCCTCTCCACCACAAAGTTATACCCTTTCACGACACCTTCGCCTTGTCCTCGGCATCCTGCTCCTCCTTCATCTTCACCAACTCCGGCACCGAGTTCCACGGCGCCACGCTCAGCAGAACCGGGAACGTCAGCTGCGGCACCGTCGGCGTGACCAGCGCGGGCATGCCGTCCTCCCCCTTGTCCATCGCCCTGCGGTACGCGGGGCGGCTCGTGATGAGCTTCAGCCAGCGCCGGATGTGCGGGTACTCGGAGAGGTCGATGGGGTAGATGACGCGCAGCAGCGTGAAGCAGTAGATGTTCATCATGTCGGCGGCGCTGAAATCGTCGCCGGCCAGGTACGTGTTGGTGGCGAGGCGGTCGTTGTACTGCTTCAGGTGGTTTGGGGTGCGGCGGATGAAGGACTGGTGCGCGTAGTTGGCTGCCAGGGTGTCGGTGGGGAAGCCCGGGGCGTTGAGCAGAGAGGCCGCGTAGATGTCGGCGCTGAGGAAGGCTTGCATGCTGCCGTTGGCGAAGCAGAGCCAGTAGAGGTATTGGCTGTAGATGTGGGGGCCGGCGGAGGGGTTGAGCGCGAAAGTGCCGGAGCCATAGACGTCAATGATGTACATGAGGATGGCTTGGGATTCCGTGATGACAATGGGGGGAGAGACGTTGGTATCCTTGAGGGTAGGGGATGTTCCGGACGGGTGAAGTGCGACAAGGGTTTGTTTGCCTTCGGATTCCTCGAGGCCTCGCGGGAAGACATGGAGTTCGTACTTGAAGTCGGGGATCAGCGCGGTGAGTTCTTCACAGAGCCAGATGATGCGGTCGCCTTGCGACCAATGCAGGTAGTAGACTGTTAGAGTCATGGTGTAAGATGAGGGTCAGAAAGCAAATATGTCCTAGGAGTTGAGTCAGTCTTGTGAACGACTGAGAGTGAGAGTTGAGAAGGCGAGGCTGGTCGTGAGTATCTTGGATGTTGTGGAACGTTATATTTATACCAGGGCCGAAGTTCCATACTGTCTGACTACATCTATCTAGACCGGGTCCTGCTATGCGTTACCCGCGATCATGAAGGGTCACAGTACCTAAGGCCGACCCGGAGGGTTATGAGCAGCCAATGAAAGGAAAGACTACCCGAGAGTTGGTGAAAGGCCGGCCTCTTTGAGGAACAAATTGGTCGCGGTCGTATGCCATATGATGGTGCATCAACGTGGTGCGACTATAGCGAATCTGAATTTCCAGACGCACGGAGGACTGGGCATAGAAGGCTCGAGTCGTTTGAGGTCGCAGTTTCCTAAAGAACACAGGAGTTGCGATGCACGCGTAGTTTTGTATAGGACGCCTGACGGGGTCTGACCAATCAAACGTGCCGATTCCCTCGGTCAACGGTCTCTTGGTGCCTCTTGCGAGCTCCCTAGGCTGATATCTTTAATGTCTGTACGAGGTCAGAAGATGTACAGATTAGGCGACCGTAGACAGCATCAAGCGATCTTATAAAATGCGAAACTGGAGGTGAATTGTTGATTACAAAGTGTCTAACGCCCAGTCTTCTGCACATCGCCCCGTGTACGGGCTTTGATGCCTACGAGTGTTCCGAACTCTAGCAGCCTTCAGGACCTACTCATATTTTCGGTGTTGTCACCTTCACCATTCGCAGTTGGTCCACCTTCGTCAATATAGTGTCGAGCAAACAGGTCATTCTGAATCCACCAGAATTTGTTGAGTGCTTTGAGGATCTTCACTCTCGTCTCAAGGTCGAGGCTTTCTACTCCCATAACAACATCTGTGACTGCGTTTTCTACCCAGCCGAGCAGCAGATTGATGTCTCGGTAGTCGACCCATAGCGGTGGCTTGTTCTTCCTGTGCTTGAGGCCACTCTGGTCACCAACTCCACCGGTATGAGCCTTGCCGACGCCATCGAGGTATGTCCAGAAGTTGCTCGACGGGGTCCAGTCTGTGTTCGAGGCTAGGCGAATGAGGTAGCCTTTGAGGAAATCTTTCCGAACTTTGAGATTCTCGCTTTCGCCAAGCTCGTCGAGGGAGGTGGGAGCCTGACCATGTGCTTGAGGCTTTGTGAAAACCGTGGCGGTGATATCGTACTTGAGGAGATGGTCGTACACAGCATCCACAATGCCGTTCACAAGAGGTCCAAGGACTGGTTTACAGGCGTGGACCAGTCCTCCGTCGACCTCCGGGTCGAACTGCAGGAAAGACTGTAGGTATGCTAGTCTTGCAGGAAGTGAGGTTGTGATCTCCGTGGCATTGATGTGCTGCATTGTGAGTGACTGTTTGATGTGGTTGGGTTCTTGAAGCGTTTCGGGCAATGTGAGAATGGAATGCTATGAGGATTACTTGGGTGATGATGATGTCCGCCTCGAGCAGCAGCAGCAGGCTTTCCTCATTTTATAGCGAACCTCGATGCACGGTCAGACCCCCCTTGGTGGGTTCCAAGCTGCACAAGCCTCCGACCGCAAAGCCCAGGGCCGATGTTTTGTCGCGGTGGACTGACCGAACATCAATTCATTCGTAATTGTTCCTTTATCATCTCCGCGGGGAGATCACCAAGCAGCAGAAGCGAGCATCGGGTATCTGGGGATGATGAACTAGCGGATCATGGTAGCAGGCATGTCAACAGAACCAATGGCAGGGTCTTTAGAGTCAGCGGGCAGATGTATAGAGCTGATTGGGTCGGTGGAGGGCTTGGGGGCGGCCTCACACCACTCAGTATGCGTCATTTTCCGCCTCTGCGGACGGAGTCGGCGGTTGATATTTCAGCGGAGGCGGACGCTCTGTCACACTTGTCAGCACGTGTACGCACCAACGTATCCCCATCCAAGATCGTCCCTTCACATATCTCCGAGGTCTTCCAACCACAGGGAAGCCAGAACCATAGCATCATCCGGCTGGACTGCTGCTTCTTACGGTAATAAACATTCTGCATGCGGTTGAAGAGACTCTTGTTCAGCGGGACTCGGCAGGGCTCAGGCTCCGCAGCGGGAATTTTAGGGCGGGATCAAATTGCCTGCCAAAGGAACTCCGCGGAGCATATATAGTTCTCGCGCCGCAATGTGCTCGTTGGCATCGGATCGCAGAACCCTCGGGTACAGCACCTCGTACTCTTGGGACATGTTCTGTGCAAGAGTCTTTCGAGGCCATTTGCGAGTGGTGTGATGAAGCGGTGGAAGAGACCTCGGTGATCAAACTGAGTGGTGTTATCTATAGGGTTGCCCATAGAGAGCTCTTATGATGTTCTAAATCTGCTGTGATTTTGCTTAACTACAGCACTTTGGAGCATTGCATAGCACTTTGAAGAGTAGAGAGATATGCAGTCATCGGGGTCTCCTGCGAGTATGTATAGGACACTGAAGCAAGTGCCTTGATCACACCCATAGCCCGGTATCAATTACCTACCACATATTGCATCCGTGATATGGTTTTGCCGTGTGTAAGAGCGATTCCTCTCCGGGTACATCACCAAAGGAAGTAAATAGACATGCTTCATTGCTGGAAGCTATTTGGGAGTGTGTTTGCCAAACCGTAGTAGGCGTTCACCTGGGTGGATACTTGGCATCCCACCATATATCCCACGTTTTGCAAGGATTCTTCCTGTGCGGACGATCCCTGGACGATCCCACAGTTCAAAAAAAAGAAGAGGGTCAGACTACAACCTCAAAAAGAAAAGGATTTATTCCCTCGAACCGGAATCGAGCCGGTGACCTTTCGGTAACAATTGTTCAATTACAGCCGAACGTGATATCCAACTACACCATCGAGGGCTTTTGAGTGCCCGTTGTGCGAGGAGTTTGTGCTCCAAGCGAGGGATGATTTTGACTCGATTTTCGAGGACACAAATTTATAAAAGTCTCGTGACAGCAGCTCCAAATTCGTCTTGGGGTCAACGGTGGGCCCCACCCACCACAATGAACGCAAACTCCGGTACAATTCCCCGGTGCCTGAATTCGCCGCGGGCATCCCTGCGCCCAAGGGTTGTGATACAGTGAGTAGATCTGGTTGTGTTGACCGTATGGCACGTCGAGATGACATCCACCTCGCGTACGTAGCCCAAAGTTCGTTCTACCAACGCACCAATGACAAAATATACCAATTGCCCGTGTTGTTCGAGTGCTTTCAGCAGCCCTAGTGTGTCGCTACATGGGAAATGCAATAGCAGCTGAAATGGCTTATGGTTCAATTTGCAATGGTAGGCGGGGGATTTAGTGCAGTGCAATCTGCAAATCATAAACCATACAAACGAGTCCGCACGCAAGCCTACCCAACAACTTTCGTTTCCACATTATCTTCCACCAAGTCTACCGCACGCTCAAGCACCAGCTACGGACCCGTAGCGGCCGCTTCAAGGTCAGTTGGCGATCCCCAGAGCTTTGTGAGTGTGGATCTTACAAGCTCTTGGCCTTCCGTGGCACTACCTGACTCAGCCATGGAAAAGGCTTGGGAGAAGGATGTTAGAGAGGAGACAGATCTATCAGGAGAAGCAGCTGCAGGCCTTATAAGACCAGCTGGGACCTCGAACCTACCCGTCATACTACGTCTACATTATCCAACATTCCGGACTCGATTTGCAGACTTTGGAAAGGTTGACGATGTCTTCAACCCGTGTACCAATCTACTGCTCAAGAACGGGTTCAATGGGTCGAATTCGGTACGACAAGCTCCCCCTTGCTATTCAAGAGTATCTAGCACAAAACCTCTGGATTGAGGACGCCAGTATGTTCCACCAGCGAAAGATAGATGGCAAGACGAACCAAACCCTAGTCAATATTCTTCTCACCCGGATTATTGGCCACAATAGTCCGCAGCCTGCTGAAGACCCGACTTATAGCGCCTTGCTTGCCATTACCCACGACCGCCTCGCAACTATTCATCGTGTCAGTAGAACAAGAGATAACTGATGCTTTAAGACCAGGTGTAAGCCTGATGGATTTTAGCAAGATCTATTTTATGATCTCAAGGGGGGTGCCCGCAAATATCGGCGACTAAAGCGAGTCAGTTCAGTTACTCAGGGAGGGCTCCCACAATTATCAGCGGCGGCCGCGAGAGCATTTTCATGAACTCCAGAAGGGCTCCCAAGGTTTTGGGGAGATCTCTATCTAATAAAGCACTTGCACAAAGCAATAGATATAGACCACGCCAAGACAGAGTCCAGGCCGCCTGTCACCTAGTAGCTTGCCTCTTTTGGCAAGCTGCTGGCCCTAGGCCGCCTTGCCAAGTTACGCCGCCTTTTTACGGTTCGAGCCTGCAATTCGCTTCCTCCCCTTCCTCCCCTTCCTCCATTTTGCCCCTTTCAATTGCATCTGGAGTCTGCATCTCCAAGTGAGTACTAATTATACTATCTTTCATTGACGCAATGGCGCAACTGAACGGTAAGGAAAGCGAAGCCATAGAGGCTCTATTGCATTTCAGTATCAAGTTCCCACTTCCTCAAAACGCCCAGGGTGGTCCGATGATATGTTCAACAGCAGATATCCACCCTTCAATATACTTCAAGTCGCATGCAAAGGTAATCTTCAGTCTGGCCGGAACTAGATGTGGTATTCAGATGACATGACGAAGACTAAAAGCAACGATGATATTCCAAAGAAACGTTGGGGTCTGGCTAGCCGTCCTGATCAGAACAAAATCGTATTGACATCAAGTGCACCGATTGCTCTTGACGAGCCAAGTTGTGCACCACCCATGCCCTGAAGCAACAGGTAGAGGTTTCGGGAGAAGCGATAGATAGCCCCAACTGCCGGGAAGAAGGATGCCGTAATACGGTAGCTGTCTGCGGCGATCATGCGAATCTGCCGGAATGTGCTGGCTATGGTAAAGAGTCAGACGTTGGCATCTGCCATGAATGCTTCGCCTGCCAGCATCCGCAGTGCACGGCAGGAGCGACTCATTGTCTCTTCCACAACGGCTTGATTGATCCTGCTCCATATGCTAAGCGTGGGCAAGATCCGCCGCTGATTTGTTGAGTCTGCCACCAGACACGCGTCGGCACAGGGCACAAGATGGACGCCGCGGATGTTGTGGAAGTCACGGAGATGCTGGTTTCAAAAATGCTACTGGGTGCCCACGGGGTCACAGAGATCAGTCCGTGGCGTAAGGATGACGAACCCGAGTTTCAATATCTTCATCGTCTTCTTGAAGAGATCAAGATTGAGAGGGAACGAGCGTCGGCCGAGTGAGGGGGAAAGATAAGCTTCGGAAGCAGGGTGATGGGAAGAAAGCCGTGGCAAACTGGAAAAATTGGATCGAGAGGCAGCTCAAGTTCATCAAGGCCGCGGAGGATGATGCTGACTTCGGCAACGAGGAAGCGCCGGACACGCCAAGTGGCACAAAGAGGCAGGCATCTGGGCTCGAACGAGATCAAACACGGAATAGTAACCGGCGGCACTTGGAGCATCGACGGCAGATACAGCTGAAGTCTTGTATTCACCTCCATGTTGTCGTTGGATAGCGTACCGCACGACCGTCGAGTACTACCTAGGCTAAGATATGACCTCAACTTCACGGCAGCCTTCATTACCATCACTCAGACCGCAGCCAGGTGACTCAGCCTGGGCACGTTGTCACTATCGCGTTTGCTCCCCATCCGTCACCAACATAGTGACGCTGGCGCGTCCAGCTATAAAGTCAGCGGAGTCTCATGGCTTTCTTTTCCACAACCACAAACAATCAGACGAGTCACCCCAACACAACACTTCTCATCCACGACCCCCGTACAAGACAGGCGTTTACCGCTCCTCGAACATCCGACAGCATCATCACTCACGCCAGACTCAACAAGATGTCCGCCAGAACTTTCCTGATCCATCTCCTTCCTTTGATGCTACCTCTGCGCACCCTCGGCATCACCTCCGCGAACAACACCGCGAACAACAACATCATGAACGCCACAGCCGACCTCATCTCTTCCAACAGCAAGGCTCCCGTCGCCTGCCGCCCCAAGGACGCCGACTGCGGCAAGAACAATGACTGCTGTGGGGAGCTGTGCTGCTGCATGACGAGCCTCGACGAACAGGGTGATCCGTTTAGCGGACAGTACGAAGGATGGTGCTGCCCGGAGTTCGCTTGCGAATGAGAGAGCGCATTTTGGGAAAGCGAGAGGAAATATGGTGCTGATGATGTATCTCTTGACGGTGAAACACATACCTGATGGCGTTGACTGGGAGGTGCTGGTAGCATCGTGGGTTCTCATGGGTCGCGCATATTGGCCACCGACGGCTCCCAAGATCGCAAGGGGACGTCTGGTGCAATACTCTCTGCCAAGGCAGAAGAGCATAGCTTCTTGAAAATCCGAATCTCATTGAAAGAATATCCAAACGTTCACGCAAAGGCACCTACGACGGCCATCAACACTCCGCCCAAACCCACAGCGGCACACGCCTCCAGCCTCCTCCTTCCCTTCAAAGCCTCGTAGCTCCTCTCACTCAGAAAGTCTTCGGCGATCAACTGCACGAGCCCGGCAAAAAGCAACAAACCACTGCTAATAGCGTTAGTAATTCCCACCATCAGCAACCCCACCTGGCTCTCGGGATCGTACATCCCATGCATCCAAATGCCGAGAGCTTGGCCGATGGGTGTCGTTGCCCCGTAAGCCAGACACATCAGCCAAGGCCGTGGCGAGGAAGCCGGAAATAGAGCAGGAATGAGAGCAGCTATCCGCGAACCCAGTGCGAAACCTTCGAAGGTTTGGTGGAAGCAGATGGCAATCAGGAGAACAACAAAGGCCGTCCCGGTCGTCACGGAGACAGCCATTCCGATGAATATGGAATGGAACAGGATGCCGGCTTCAAGGAGGAGGCATTGCAGGAGAGCCTTTTGTGGGTCGCGGTCTGCAAGAGTCTGGGACTGGGAGTCGCGCCGATTGTGGGGGGGTTTAGCGGCTTGCGTGAACGGTTGAGAGTCGGCTTCGATGGGATCTAGCGCGTTGAGATCTTCGAGGTCCGAGTCATCTTCATCGTCGACATCAGAGCGCGTTGCTCGGAAGGGTGGTGGCTGCGGCGATCCGAGATGACCATTGGCTGATGCCGTTGAAGGACTTTGTAGGTTAGATAGAGCTATACGGCCGTTGATCTCGTCACGCGGTAGAAGAGGGCTATGGCCATTTCCATGGGCGTGTGGTATTGAAGATATCTCATCGTCGGGTATTTGTGCCCACTCATGGTTATGCTCGTGCTTTGCGCCGCGGGTCGCAAAGAACATTTCTATAGACACGACCATGAAGACTGAGAGCATCGCTATTGCACCGGCCATGGGCGGATAGTCCCTGTTCCAAAAATCGGGAAGACATGGGTCGGTCAAGGAGACGAAGGCAGTAGGGAGGAGGTGAATGAAGGCGGTCGCAATGAGTACACCGGTCCCGAAGTGTCTTGAGAGGAAGAGGAAGCGGTGCGGTATAGGTAGTTTCGGGAAGCGGCGGGCTATCACTGGGAAAGAGCATGCTGCGACCGTCAGACGTGGACCAATCTCTCACTGACCTACGTACCAAGTGTGCTCAATGCGAGGATGAGGAATAGGGCGAAGACGTGAGCGCCCATAGTGTAGCTTCCCTGCTTTCCGGAGCTCCCGCATGCCGGCTTCTCGTTGCCATCCTGGCGTCGCTGCAATTCTGCGTGCAGGATATGTAAGGGTAGACTGCTCAAAGCATCACCGAAGTCTGCCAGCAGCGTCAGTAAAGTGCGGAGGTTGCGGAATCACGTGCACGTACCTCGAGCGACATTGAGGTCGGAAGGGTCGGTCATATCTCTGCGACCTCTCCTGTGGCTGGTAACACAGGACGAAAGCCATGCGCAGATCGTGGGACACACGAATATACAAATACAGAAATGTGCTCAGCTTATGGGATGAAGGGGTCGACGGGGCATGCAGCCAAAAAATGAGACGGGCAAGGCCGGGCCAGACGCGCGGAGGGGATGCAAGTTAAGCCTCAGTCCCTCGACCTACTCCCATTCTGCAATTCTTTACCATCATTTATCTCAAGCGCTGTTTGTTCCTTTCAATCGTTGTTGATGCTCTATAGTACGGATATGGTTCGAACGGAAGAAGCAACTTTGAAAGCACAGAACGTGAGTTGTATGCTGTATTATAGCTTGGCCTTCTCTAGGCCAGCGCAGCCAACTTCGATCGCTCTCCACATCCTCTCGAGCGCCTCTCCAATGTAGTCTGATGGGTGAGAGAACACTATTCTAAAGATTCCTGGTGTTTCGCTTCCGAACAAGATCCCACTGGCCAGATACAACTTCTGCTCAAGTAAGGCATCCATTACTTCTTCAGTCAGGTCTCGCTTTCCTCGCCTGTCCGGATGTTTCTGGAGGTATGCGGCTCCGAGATTGACCCATACGAAGAAGCCTGCGTTTGATCCAGGAGTGTATTCAAGATCATGACCACGCAAGAAATCGATGACGTGGCTGTAGGACTGTGACAGTCTTTGTTGGTTGGTAGCAATATAATTGTTTGCGAAGCCATCGTCTTCAAGTAAGTTCGCCACGACGTGGTCAGCTATCGACGAGACAGACGACATTAGAGCGACCGAGGTCAGGGCTTCATGGAGCGCCGGGTTTGACTGACTGATGAGGCATCCAAGCCGCAGACCGTTTGCTCCAAAGTCTTTCGACGTGCCCCACAGAACGTGTACCAGGGATGGGTTGATCAGGCCCTCCAAGTTGATTGACATTATTGAGTTGAAGGGTCGTTGCAGAGGGTAGTGGTCCTCCTTGTTGATCCAAACGGTGAGACCGTAGATCTCGTCACTGACTAGATGCAGCTGGTATTTCTCGCAGAGCTTGAGGTACTCAATGAGCACCTCGCGATCGTAGCAACGCCCCAAAGGATTATGGGGGTTGCAGAGCATCATACCTTTCACCTTGATTCCCCGCTTTCTGGCATCAAGAATACCCTTCTCGTAATCTTTGACAGCCTCGATGCTCATTGGATCGATATCGCCAAACTTGACGGTGACTAATTCAACTTCAGGTCGTAGACAAATGTCTCCGGGGAAGGCTCCGTAGTAAGGTTGACCGATGATGAATGCGTCTCCTGGGTTTGTGCACGCCCACGACATATGCTCGATCGCACTCGTGACACCATTGGTCACTATTATGTGTTTCGATTCTAATGGAATGCGAGGCTTGAAGTGGACGCCTAGAAACCTAGCGAGCGCAGCTCGGAGTCTGTGGCTGCCTTTCGGGCCATCTCCATATGTGAAGGCACAGTCCTTGACGTTAATATTGCGCGTAATGTGTTGCTCAAGCTCAGAGTGCATCAAACGGTTCTCGGCCACACCAATGCTCACGTAGCCGCCAGAGTTGTCCTGCGGGTGCCATTGATCGCTGAGAATCTTCCATAGCAAGGTGTTGAGCTTCGGCGCGGCTTCGTTCTGCGCACGTGTTGAAAGTAGAGCCTTCGGGTCTGTCTGTTGCGGCATGTTGCAGAGCGTTGTCGGCCTGTCCGTTCACTGCTTGAGGTCCTTCTCGAGGCCCACTTACCTGTGTACTTGTATTCAAAAGCCAGCATTGCTGTAGGAAGGGCGAAAAGGCTTTACAACCGGGCAACCAATCGAGTGCGGCGCCCTCCAACTACGATTGCTTGTCAAGACGACGTCATTCACGCCCTATTTAGACCGGGATGCTAGTCTTTGCAGAGGCATTTGCATCGCGAACTTCGAACAGATTGGGGAAGATCACATCCAATACGCACTTGAGCATGCAGTCCACTTGATCTGCACAGAGGAGCAGCTTTGATGTTGCTGTCGAAGTCGGCGGTTGTCAGACGGCAAGGAAAGGAAAGAGTTGAAGCACCCCAAATCGAGCTAGCGCAACCGGCATTGCCAAGTCTTTAGCGCGGACCATTTGTTTACTGCTTCCGACTTGAGTTCCTCCGCCATCCCATCACAGCCCTGACCACATTCACCTTTGAGCATTGTAGTTCTAATCCGACAGTACTTTCCTTCGAGCTGGAAGAACGTGTTTTACGATTCCCAGCCCTAAGTCGCACTACGTTGGCCGACGCAACAGGGCTACACTCAGCATTGAACCGTTGGCGAAGACGCGAACCGACCGTGGTCTTCTGTACCAAAGAAACCATCCAGCAGCCGTCCAGTCGCAACAAGGGGCAACAATGGCGCCTCAATCTCGGAAGCGCAAGTCTGAAGCGATGGACGAGCCGTCTCGGCCGATGACACCCACCGGCAGCCCCGCGCGCAAGAAGCTCAAGATTACCGAAACACAGAAGCAGGCGCTCATTGACAACCTACAGCTTGAAATCACGGAAAGAGCACGGAAACTTCGAGCTCACTATGCTCTCCAATGCGCGGATCTGCGATCGCGAGTCGAACGACGCGTCAATCGCATTCCAATGGCCACGCGAAAGATGACCATGGGAGAGCTCATGGCAAAGCACGCTGCTGCTGCCAAACCGCAACCGACACAGCCTACAAAGACGCAAGCCAGATTTGGTCCCATACACGATCGACCTTTGCCCCCGCTCCCTCAAGAGCACTCTTCAAAGCCTGCATCTCCAATCCACAAACAATCACCTCCTAAGGGCAAGAAGCGCAAGTCTTCACAGATTCACATTGCGCGCGACAATGAGGACGTCTATGTTATGGAGCCCCTGCCAGTCGCTAAGAAAACTCGAACAAATGCGGCTGCCAATGCAGCACCCGCGAGGGCCACTTCTCGGAACGGCAAGCAGACCAACATCTTGTCTCCACGCTCTCACAATTCCCGTACCCTGCCAAACTCTCCCGTCAAGCAGACTTCACCGATGAAAAGCAATTTCTCACGACCGATGTCTCCTCTGAAGCCAGCCTCACCTCTGAAGACTGCCGCCTCAGCCGCTAGCAGTGCTATTACTGCCTCCATGCATGGTATGATTGAATCCACAAAACGTGGCACTGCTGCGGCAGCTGGCAAGCTTAGCCGTACCACCTCCCGCGAAAAGACCTCGCCTTCCAAACCCACAGCGGCCAGCACAGCCAACACGCGCGGCAAGATGTTGCCGCCACCTCGTCCAGCTGCACCACCCTCGCCTCAACGGAGCGCCAGCCAAAATTCTAATACATCGGACTCGTCAGCAGTTTCCAGCGGTACCACTGTTGTGAAGCCCAAGCGTGGGACACGTGCCACTGCTGCTACCAAGGCGCCACCGGTGACGAAAGCAAGGGCTACACGAGCTGGCGCAGGGACTGCGGCAACAAAGCCCACGGCTTCTAGTGTCGCCAAAGAGAAGGCGGCAGGTGCGCCATCCAAAGGCAATACTCGCACTGCGAACAAGAAGGTCGTCGTTGCCGAGCCAGCCTCCGGAAGAAGAGTACTCAGAAAAAGAGATTGATTCTGGACTTTGGTCTAGAAAAGAAGGCGTTACACTTTCCCAGCAATTTGCGTTCAGAGCGAGTCGTCATATGTGGCGACTAGATGAGCAGGCGATGTGATTTAAGACGACTGGACTACTGCCCAAAAAGGGGTAGCTGTGGTGTCAATGCTACTGGGTGCATTGATTAAAGGATCAGGGGTACAATTGCAATTCTTTGTAGTCAATGAAGGTCGACAACGCCTCGCAGCTTGAATCTTGCTTCCTTTCCGGTTCCACCACCCTGCTTCTATTATCAATCCGACTGCCTATAAACTCTCTGATGTCATCGTCCAACGCCATTAATATGCCCGACTCTTGCAGCCATGCTACATCTTGGGAGCCTTGGGAACCCGAGCATTTAGCTTTTTGGCATGATCCGTCACCACTTTCTTCACTTTTCCCCCATCCCTACCCGCTGGCGCGATGCCCGCCTCCCGCTGCTTCTGCTTCGCAACCCTCCGCTTCATCACAAAGCAACTGGGCACCCACACGACGGTGGCGCCGACGATCCACGCCACCAGTACCCCAAAGTTGAGGCCCAGCTGACTCCGGGTGCCGAACAACAAAGACCGACTCGCGTAGACGATCTGGCGCAGCGGGCAGCCGTAGCCCCAGGCGTAGAAGGTCGGGGCGAGTTCCAGCGCGTAGAAGCCCGTGCTGACGTTGGTGATGACCCAGAAGATCAGGAAGAGCGAGACCCATGGCTTGCGGTTGGGGAGGAGCATGGCGGCGACCTCAAGCGGGAGGCCGAGCGCGCCCATGCCCAGAAAGTTGAGAAGCCAGTAGACGGGGAAGGTGGCGTGGCCGACGAGGTTGGCGTTGTTGATGGGGGCGTCGGTGGGGAAGGAGGACTGGCCGGCGGGTGGGGTGTTGGAGAAGGGGATCTGGAAGGCGAGGCTGACGAGGCTGTAGGCGAGCGAGAGGAAGAAGTAGGCGGTGGTGGTGGCGATGTAGCGCCACAGAATGAGGTGGGTGAATCGGAGGGGTGGGTGTGGCTGAGGGGCGGCGGGGTTGAGGAAGAGGGAATGGATGGGCATGAAGAAGCTGAAACTGAAGAAGGCGATGATGATGAGATAGATCAGGCCGATGGAGACGGCGGGAATGGCGACCGGGGGATCAAAGGGACGCAGGTCGTAGATTGTGAATGCTATCCCTGGGGATAATGCCTGAGGCGTCGTGGCATAGGTGCTAGTGAGCAGAGAATTGTTCGTGAGGACGGAAGTAGTCCAATTGGTAGCAAAGGAATAGCTGATGTCGGTGCCGAGGCGGGTGAGCGTGGGGATGACATACTGATTGAAGGACTCGATGTCCCGAGCTTGGTTATAGATGATTTGACAGGCTCCGGTAGGGTCGTAGCTGGTGTTGCCTTGCTCGACGGCCTGGCGAAGGAGAGCGGTGGCATTGGGATTTATGACTATCGCTCCCCAGACGTCCTCGTGATGGACAGCTTGACGAACTGCCAGAGTGTCGAAGTCATAGTCAGCCGGGTCATGGATTTTGTATCCTAAAGCATGCTGGAGGGTGGCCGCTCTTCGGATCTCCTGTACCACGAAAGGCCCAACACTCGGCTCTATTGAATTGTATGGGGCCAGCTGGCCATCGAAGTCGACCACTGCAATGGTTGCATGCTTAAGGTTTTGCTTTATTCGGAAGAGGGCACCCCAGTAGATTGATAATACTCCGAGAACGAAGGCACACAGAACCAGCACTGTTGATGTCAGATGCAGCGTGACGGTAGCAAAACTAAACACTTACATGTCCAGGAGTATTCGATGAAGATAGTTCTTCTGGTCGTCCGCAAAGCGGTATTCCAGAAATTCGTTGGTGCTGGGGGACCGGCAGGCTCTGGGGCGTCTTTCTCTACATCAGCAACTCTTGCAACCTCGTGGCCAAGCGTCAAGGTTGAACAAGAAGACGTTCTCGGCCATCCTGGTCTCTGACGGTGCCTGAGAGCATCACTGCTGTGACGATGGAGGTCAACGATAGGCCGAGGTGTTGAAGTGTTCGGTCGTGGAGCAGAGTACAATGTTTCCTCCGATGCAGGCTCGTAACGGTCCGATTCCAGCGTGTCACTCCTCCCATCTGGACTTTGGATCGCCCGTGAGCCTTGGAAAGCCCACATCAGGTATCTCGGACAGTCTTCGGATAGAAATACCAGGTAGAAAATCAGTTGGTATGAGCAGTAGCAAAAGTGTCGGACGTTAGCATAGTTGAAGTACCTAAGGGCGTCCGCACGTTAGGGATGATTCAAGGCGTTTTCGACCCTGCAGCGTTGGCGGACTCAAGGACGTATCAGCTATGATCTGCTGGTCTGGGCTCCAAAGGCAAGGAGATGCAGGAGGATGGAGAGCGGCACGATACGCAGAGCTGTCTGCAAGCAGCCTGGCCATCTTCGTCATTATGGTTCGAAGGCCACTCGATTCATGGCCAGTCGGGGAGCTTCAATCTTCGGATTGCCGATGAGGCATCCCAATCGTCTGTGCTCTTCTAGTACCTTCAGTCGGCTAAAGCTGGGGCACCCGGACTGGGAAACGCGGTGCATTGAAGTGATGCGAGTATGTTCGTTCGCATAAGTATGGTCAACGGTAGTCATTGGCGGAAACATGACCTCCACGCATCATCGAAGTTAACTTAAGCCTCTCGCTCCGGACTGATGTGCAAAGGTCTTACCTGGGTGAGCTGACTCCGGCTTTCACAACCGCCGACTCACCGTTGCAAGCATTCCATCAATTGCGGGCAGGATAGAGTTGCTTACTATGCATGTTGTTGCTTTCGTTTAGTAGGGTGTATATATGCCTTGTAAACCGGTGGGTATCGGTTGTTGAGCGTGCAAGTCCTACTGACCATAATAAGCATGCAACAAAGTGGTCGTTGACTGTTTGGCTGTTTGCCCTCGAGATCCTGCCTATCATTGTCTACCAACGCTCCGCATGAGGAGCTGAATTTGACTGGAACTTGAGTCTGAGACATCGAAAAGGAGGCTCTCGGCCAGGAGTAGAGTTAGTTGCAGGTACAGCGTTGCGTTCTGTCCGCCGAGACCATCACGTCCGGCGCGGCCTTCAGGCGTACCTAGTGCTATCAATTCACTCAAAAGCAAAAAATAAAATAGCCCAACCGAGAGTCGAACTCGGGACTTTCGCATAACTCAATGGAGCCATACTTATGCTGTATTTCAGGCATATGTATAAGAACGACTAATGAGCCAACGTTTAGCTGGTGGTCGGGATGATAGGCGAGAATGCAATGGGTGCGGTAGGACTCACCACGCTAACCACTGCGTCACTATTCCACCGTTAGCGGTGGACCAGGATTGGATTGTTCGATTGGAACGTACCTGGGCTGACAATTCAGACCATTATGGGCTGCACTTCTCTTGCGAAATGTGCGAGAAATTTAACCGGTTTTTCAGCCGCTGTAATATGTAACCGTGGGAGAATATCACGTGATACCGCCCGTCATCTGTGCCTTTGCATGTCGAGGCTGTCTGCATCACGCTTGACGGAACTTGCTTTTGTAGTCACAAATCCAGATTTATTGAGGCACCTGCTGCCATTGCGGTGTACCAGAACCCTCCGAGAGACATTGTTGCAGGAAACTTGTGTGTTACAAGAGCAGGAAAGAAGTTTTAGGTTGTCCTACTTCTCGGAAGTTGAAGCCAGCGCGGTCCAACCGAAATCCTGCGTTGGGGGCAACCCGACCACTCTACAGGGTACATCGGTCGCACGCCTGACGACCGTAAGAATGGCAAACCCTCCCGACGAAGAAGATGATTACTTAACAATGACCTTCGAGGAGCCAAATCCATCTACAAAGAAAGAGACACTTACCCAAAAGAAACGACGGCAGGCTCGAGAAGCTGAAGCCAAAGGTCGACCCAAGTCAAAAGCCGAATTAGCTGCTGAAGAAGCAGTGAAACGAGATGAAGCCCTCAAGACCAATACTTTGGACACAAGCAGCAGAGGCTTCAAGATGATGGCTGCTCTGGGCTACAAACCAGGTACTGCTCTAGGTGCTACGAGATCCGAGGATGGCGACGGCGCCGCAGAGACACGTCTACTTGAGCCAATCGGTCTCGAAATGAGAGAAGGACGTGCGGGCATTGGTGCAGACGCTGAGAACAAGCGCAAGTTTCGAGAGGAAGCCGCAGCAGCGGAAGAAGAGATTAAGAAGAGAAAGGTCGACGAAGGCGACTTCCGGGAACGCCAACAAAAGGAACGCGAGGAGAAGCGAACCGAAGGCCAGGTATATGGGGCAATGAAGGTTTGTGAACGGCTCGAAGAGAATGAAGCCAATAATCACTTGGAGGGACATTCCGTCAACAAGCCACGTACGGAAACGTTCCAAAGCGTCAACGTCCTCTGGCGAGGACTAGTCAAGCAGAGATTGTTACAGGAGCGAGATCGCCGCATGAGATACGACCTGCACCAATCGCTCTCGCGCCGAGCTGAGAACGATGACCCGGAGGAGGATAAGGACGACAAGATTGCGTTGAACAAGAGTGCCGAGATCGAAGAAGTGGACATTGATTTGGATCAGGATGATGAAGAGCTCGATGAGTTTGAGATTTTACCTGCCGCCGACAAGCTTGCCAGACTTACAACATATCTGCGCGAGAAGTGGCACTATTGTTTCTGGTGCAAGTATCAATACCCTGACGAGTCCATGGATGGCTGTCCAGGTTTGACTGAGGAAGAACACGACTGAGATCGCTATGATGGATGTTGCACCATGGAAAGCCGGAGTGGGACGACCAAAGCATATACTCCTCACGTTCATCATCGATGTCAACGAACTCCAGGCCTGCTCGCAAGACCCCACGAGCAATCATAGGCCACCTAAATCTGAGGCTTGTCTTGGGATCCTTCGCATCCGACAGACGGGCGAAGGCGAAGTGCGTGGCGAGGTAGGTCCACGTGCAGTTCCTCCAATCAATCTACAGCTAAGTCATGGTCCCTTGATGTTATGCCATCCGAGCTTAATACCCATCCACATTGCAACGTCGTCGGCGTTGATGCCGAGCTACCGTATCGACGTTGCTGAACATTCTCCAACTATCCCGCAAGTCTCCAAATACCCCCACAGCTTACAGTCACCCTCAACCAACTCTGAGCCGCCCCCGGTCCTTGTCCCCGCATCCTACAAGCGAACACGGCAGATCACTGCATTTGATTGCTTCGGACAATTTGGTGACAAGCACATGAAGCCTCTCAAGACAGCTCTCCAAGCACTTCTTTGCGCCTTGGCCTGGGACCATCGGCGCCTCGGACGTCATGCCGTTGAACATCGCGCTCGCGTGTTGGTGTTTGATGTATCCGGTAGGTGAACTGAAGCTCGTGACATGAAAGGTGGGCAATTACTTCTACCGTTTCTCCAGCCGGATGGCGCATTTCCGCTGATCATGCTGCGTCTTTGACTATTTCTGCTCTTTGTACAAGCCTTTCCACCTTTTCACTTACTGTTGGTTTTCCTCTTGTGACTTTGATCGACGGCAACATGGCAGAATCACCTGATCAGAAAGACGCCGTCGCTCATGACGAGCTCCAATTGCCACCAACAACCAGCAAGTTCAAGTTCTCTTCCAAGTCCAACGATGGAGACGTTGCACTGGCATTATTCAATGATCCAAATGACCTGAACGAACCCATCACGCCTGAGGAGGAACAGAAGTTGATAAGGAAGATCGACTTCCTCATTCTGCCGCTGATCGCGGTGAATTATGCCTTCTTCTACATTGACAAGACCACTCTCAGTTATGCTGCGATATTCGGCATTCGGGAAGATCTCAACCTGGTCGGGATGCAGTACTCGTGGTTATCCTCTTTGGTATAGTTTCCCGTCCTGACAATCGACTTCCACCACCTCCCGCGGCTGTGTTACTAGAGCAACTTTACTAATGAGATCTGTGTAGTTCTATTTCGGATTCTTAGCATGTACGTGCTACGCTCATATCTTACCTGATCATGCGCTGATTCGCTTCATTTAGGGGCCTTTCCCACCAATTTCCTGATGCAGCGCCTCCCCCTAGGCAAATATTTGGGTGTCAACATCTTCTTATGGGGGTTCTTCCTGATTTTTCAGGGTGCTGTACAGAACTTCGCTGGCCTTGCGGCGCTCAGAGTGCTCGCAGGTGCAGCAGAGGCCTGTTCAGATCCTTCCTTCATGCTCATCACGTGGTCCGTTCTCTCCACTCTGGTCTCGCTGACTTCAGGCACTGACCAAGTAACAGTATGTGGTATACCCGCAAGGAACAGCCTGTCAAAATTGGTCTGTGGTACACAGCGAACGGTGTTGGCATCGCTTTGGGTGGTCTCTTGGGCTACGGCATCGGCCACATTAATGGCGCCCTAGCTTCCTGGCGCTATGAGTTCATCATCATTGGCGCGCTATGCTGTATCTGGGGTATCGTCATTGGAATCCTGATGCCTGACAGCCCGGTCACCGCCAAGTTCCTTTCGAATAGAGAGAAGCGAATCGCAATCGAGCGCCTCAAGAGCAACCAAACAGGCATTGAGAACAAGCACCTCAAGCCCTACCAAGTCAAAGAAGCCTTCCTCGACATCAAGCTGTACCTATTCTTCACGCTTGGCTGCGTCTGCAACATCCCCAACGGAGGAATCAGCAACTTCGGAACCATAATCATCAAAGGCTTCGGGTTCTCGACCCTCGTCACGACACTCATGCAGATCCCTTACGGCGTTCTCATCGCGCTCTCCATACTCCTGTGCGTCTTCCTAAACAACCGCTACGAGAACCGCCGCTGCCTCTTCGTCCTCATCTTCCTGTGTCCAAACATCGCCGGCGCCTTCGGCTTGCGCTTCGTTCCCCACGACCAGAACGTCGGCCGCTACATCTGCTACCTGCTCACTGGACCTTACAACGCGGCTTTCGTGTTGATCCTGAGCTTGCAGATCGCCAACACCGCCGGCCACACCAAGAAGGTGGTCACCAATGCGGTGCTGTTCCTGGGATACTGTGCGGGAAATATTGCGGGCCCCTTCTTCTACTTGGCGGAGCAGTCGCCGACGTATGAGCTGGGGATCTGGAGCATGATCGTCAGTCATCTGATTGAGGTGTGCCTCATCTCGACCTTCTGGTTTCTGATGAAGCGCGAGAACGTGAGGCGGGATAAGTTGCAGGCGGCAATGGAGGGTGGCTTGGAGGGCCGAGATCTGAACGCTACCGCATATGTGGACATGACGGATCGGGAAAACATGAATTTCAGGTACATCTATTGAGGAGTGCGTGGGATAGGATAGGCATGGGTTGTGTACATTGCAGCTGCGTGCGTGATGCTACTTTGGGAAAGGACATTCACTCTACTGTCTGTCCGTTTGAGAGCAACGGGTCTACAATTCGGAGAGTTCGAGAGCTCGCCCCCTTTTGCGCTAGAACGAACCACGGTAGCCCAATAATTCGAGTGCTGTTACGCTGCTCAATATCCTGTAGATCTGATGAAACTCATACATCATCCACCCCTTTGGCTCACTTCTCCGTCAGATGCAAGGACTCAACACCAGACTGTGCATCCTTAGCCTCCTTCTGTGTCGTCATTCTTACATCGAAACCTTTCCAGCCATCTAGTGCCTCCCTGACCTCCTTCGCATACACGTCCACGCCAGCCAGATATATCAACTGCTCACGAGGTTTGCCTGCACGAGTTTCCCGGTTAGTAAGCTTGTATCAAGAAGGCAAAAATCCTTACCAGGGATGTTGGCGCCCATATACCAAGAATCCGTATATGGAAACAGTGTTTTGGAATTCATCTCCTGAATATCCTCGCGCCATTTCTCTGCTGCTTCGAAGCGAGGTACGATGGTGTCGATACCCTCGTCCCGCATTTTCTTAATGGCGTCGACGATCCAGTCCACTTGAATCTCGATGATGGGTGGACCGTTCGCGAGCGATGTTGGAGCCTGGGGACTGTACGTTAGGAACGCGTTGGGCAGGCCGTCAATCATCAGCCCAAGGTAGGTGTAGGTGGCCTGCTTCCACTTTTCCTGCAGCAGCCGGCCGGAGGTGTCTTCGATGTTAAGGTCTGTCAGACTGCCCGTGAGGCTGTCGTAGCCTGTCGCAAGTACCACGATGTCGTATTCTCGTCCTCTGCCGTCGGCAGTCACTATCCCCTTCTCTGTAAAATGAGATAGGCCAGATTGTTTGAGATTGAGGACCGTTACGTTGTCTCGGTCCAGACTCTCGTAGTAATCTTGCTCGAGCGAAGATCTTTTTGTCCCGAACAAGATGGACTGATCCAACGGTGCGACAATGTCACGTTTTTCCGGGTTTTTCATTCGTTCTCTGACCTTCTCGGCCCAGAATTTGTAGAACACTTTATTGACGTCCCTCGAGACCAGAAAGTCTCGGTAGTTCGAGAGCAGGAATGAGAAGCCGCCCCTTTCCCAGAGCTCCTCGAATTGTGCTTTCCATTCCTCTTCCGATACCTCGCTGAGAAGCTTGGTCGTTGTGTTGTAGGGAAACCCTGACCGACAGTTTTTTGCACTCTGAAAAGCAGCTCCGTAGAATGACTTAGCAGCCTCCTGCTCCTCGGCAGACATCTTACGCTGCTTCATTGGCAATGCAATGTTTGGCGTTCGAATGTATGCTGTCAGATCGCAGTCTTCCTTCGCCAATTCCTGCACGATTTGCACGCCAGTGGCGCCGTTTCCAATTACAGCAACTCGCTTGCCCTTGACATCGAGACCACCCTCGGGAAAGGCTGCCGAGTGTACAAGCTGGCCCTTATACTTCTCCATATCCTTAAAGTTAGGATAGTGTCTCTTATATGAGGAGCCGGTGGATAGAACGAGGTATTTGCAGACAGCGGTACCTTCGTCTCGTATATTCAGATGCCATTTGCCGTCCCTGAAAGAGACTCCATCAACGACTGTGTTGAAGTACGTGTCTTCATATGCGTTTAGAGTCGTCCCACAGTGCCTGAAGTATGCTCTCAACTCTTCATGCCCAGGAAATCGCTCAGTCCATGTCCATGTTTTCCACAGTTTGGGAATGGACAGGGAATAGTACGGAGTCTCGGTGTCGACTCTTGCACCAGGATATCGATTCTGGATAATTGAGCCTTGAACTGAGTCGAATTTCCACTCAACTTACCCAATGCCATGTGCCGCCATAATCAGAGCCGGCCTCGATCAGTTTCACTGTCAAGCCGAGCTCGCGTGCTTTGTATAGTGCGTAAAGACCGGAGAAGCCTCCCCCGATAATGATAATATCAGCGCTGAGATGCAAAGCGGCGTTGGCGCTACCAATACTGCCCATACTCACTACCAACAATAGAAAACGCTCTGAGGAATACGCGAGAAGATGAAACAAAACTTCCAGTCTTTGAGGACATCTTCGGTTGCACCGCATAGACTTGTGCCGAAAGTCTCTCGATGTCCTCGGCTGAGGCGGGGCCCCGCAGATGATATCCGGGTCGGCCCCGATCTCTTGTGGGGGAAAGTTTAGTGTGACAGCATGCTGAGGACTGAGGACCAAATCGAGTCAAGTTTGTCCCCGTGATTGGTTCACCGCATGTCATTACTTACAATGGAGATTCGGCGGATCAGGCGTCGACGCATCAAGACGTCGATTGGTACCACAAATACTACATAGCAATGTTGCAACTTTGTTCGTGCTGCTAAAGGGCACTCTCGCCAGCCAACAGATTAGTATTGCCTGTTGCAGACCCGAGCACTGCTCTTGACGTTAATGTACCGATAGTCACTGGCAAATGCACCAGGAGTCATCGTAGTAGCGTTGATTAGCGCGATAACAACTCGAACGGAGTGTATGATTGTGGTTCAAAACCGTAAGCACAGTATGGAGAAGATGGTGTCCTCCATGTGGTAACAAGCAAAGACGTGGTGGGGATCTCTTTGTGGCAGCAAATCGGTCGCAGGGTAGAAGGCGAGTATGATCGTGAGGAAGTAGTTCTGATGCTGAATTCTAAGCCTTCAACAACCGCTTGTCGATTTGGTCAGCGGCATATACCTACTATGAGGAGTACCTCCACCGTCCACAGGATGCTTCCGCCTCCTCCTTCGCGAGAAGCATGTCTGGTGATGCAGGTATAGACTGGCCCATGCGATATTGGCCACTTGCGTATGTCAGGACCGTCAGCTCTGGCATAGCACCTCTGCTCTTCTTGCAGTTTAAGAGTTTGTGTCAGTGCGCAACTCATGGGATTCGAAAGCCTCCAAATCCAGATTGTCTCAATGTTGCTGTAGAGGTGCATATCATCCTGGAGAGGCCTATGTCGCATGAGTGGAAGTGCTTCAGGGGCAGGTCTCGAAGACAGTGAAGTTACATCACTTGTACCGTTGTCCTGAGCTTGAGTGAGAATGCCGAACTCTGGATGACAAGTGAAAGCCCGTTGCCAGTCAGTGAAGCACGTGACTGCAAGTGAAGACCTGCCTGCGGTTGACTCCTGCCTGCGCCTGTAACTGTCAAAAGTTTGTGACAACGAGTTCCTGCCTGATCGTACCTTCCCAAGTTCACCATCCGACTTCCGCATTCCTTGTATCTTCTTCATCTTCTCCATGCACTCTCTCACTATCAGCTTGGGCAACCGTCGTGTGTCTCCATTGACAGTTGCCAACCTGTATGATCATCAACTCACTGTGTCATATCTGCGCTCGCCGCCCGTCTCCATCTCCAGCACCATGGCTGAAGATGGCTCCAACGCTGACACTGATTACTTCACCCAGTCTGAGACTTCTCCCAAGCACGGCGAGGCTGCGATGACTGAGCTGATGCTGAGTGAGGCAGTCGACAGTGCTCAAGGCCCGCTGTCTGAGAACGACAGCCCTAGTATCGACTCCATGGCTGTCCACATCGGAGGCACCAGACCCCTGGAGAAGCCAAACTTCATCAACCAAACCGCCAAGAAAGCCGTCGACACCTCGCTCGGCATCGGTTCTGCTGTTCAGGATGACGGACCTGACAGAGCTCTCCAGGAAGCGACCAATAAGTTGAAGGACGTCGAGCTCGACCAGAAGAAGCAGGCGGCTGAGCAGACTGGCGGCAGTACTGTGACCCCCAACCCTACTCCTGCGAAGTCCGCCTCAGCACACACCGGTGTCGAAGTCTTTCCCATGTCGCCTGACAACACAGAACCTCCTGAGTCCTCCGGCATCGTTTCATCTCCCACCCAGGACGTTTTGAAGGGTGCAAGCGTTCCGGGCACTCGTCGCACTTCCAATGCAGGCTCAACCTCGACCTCGTACAACCATGCGGCCCTCGCTCGTATGCCACCTCTTCGTCGCATGTCTACTGCCGACTCTGCTGTGACGGCTTCCAGCCGCCTGCCTCTCGAGCGCGAGCTGAGCAATACCTTTGGCTCTGTCGACGATGTTACTGTCTATTCTGAGGCGACTAAGATGCGCTTCACCGAAGACGATCGTCGGCTCGAGGCCTTCGTCAACCAGAACGAGCGCGAAGGCTTCGTCAAGCAGCCCGCTGACAACATCCCCACCGAACTTGACGAGAAGCTGAAGCATGGGGCGTACTCATTCTCGTGTTCGTTCGGATGGGTTGGAGACGAGGAAGTCGATCTCGAGGAGACTCCTCTCAGTCGCGAGTCGTACATTGAGAAGCTCGACGACGCCAAAGATGGCATCCGCTTTGTCGTTCGCGCAGTCATCAATTACCAGTCCGAGATCAACTCGCGTGGTCACCACAAGTTTAAGGCCCAGTTTCTGAGTCACCAGAACCAGGCCTGCATTGTCGTTCTCGAGCAGCTTGATGAGATTGAAGCCCACCTCAACGATGTCATCCAGGAGATTCAGGCTTTCGGCGAGGACGATGTTGAGCTGAAGGACGAGCTTAAACTTGCATACACTCACGCTCTCCCCTGGATTCAGCGGACTCGTCGTCTGATCTGCGAGGCTCATGTCTTCTACAAGCTCAACTATGTGCTTGGTCGTCAGCAGAAGACCACCAAGGCCAAGCGAGCTTTGCCGACCATCCCAGCTGGCCGCCCTGTTCCTAACTCCTCGGTATGTGTAGCTGACATTGCTGAGAGACCTGTCTGACAATCGATACAGCTTGAGCGCAAGTGATGCGGCTTCGGCACAGACTTCAACACTGACACGGTCATGTGGTTTGATGGAGATCGATGCGATGGTTGAGGTGATCAGCCATCAACAGCTGAGGAATGGGTATTGGGTGTCGACTAGCATGGCATCTCCGTCTGGTGAACGTCCATGCTGCAGCGTAGGCGCACTTCGCCTGAAAGGCGATGAGTTGTATAGCCTTAAGAATGGAGCAGAAACAATACATGAGGCCGCAATTTGTCCTTGGGGCAAAGGTACGACATTCCTCCCAACCAGCAGCGCCGTGCTCGCCACGTGACATGACCAGCCGTCGCATCTCTTTTGCCCCGCGACAGCATGATTGAGACCGATGTAATGCTGATTACAGACACGCTGATGGGAACATGAAGGCTGTGACCAAAGTTCATCGTTCCTCAGCAAGGCCTGCGTTAAGCTGTGGTTGCCACCGTCTCTAAGATGTGACCTCTTAACGCCATTTTAGCATGCTGACAGCCCTACATTGGCTATTCACTACGCTTGCATCGTAAAAACCGCCTGGCATGCTGCCAAATACGGCAGTTAAGCTCGTCACCAAACAGATAGAAGGATGTGAGGATTAGGATTTCGGCTGGCTGCGGCTAAGCGGCACCCCCCTGGCTTGGATGTGGACTTTGATCGAAGAAGGTTCCGTGCCGTCGCCCGCAGTTATTTCACGTTTCGTGTTGAGGGGCATTTGGACTTTCTCCCCTTGGCTTCTCGCCTTTTCTTATTGCAGAAGGCAATACAGTTCAATGGTCTGGTTGATCTCATCCACATCGGACTGAACTCTGGCTCAATTGTTCACATGTCGGCAGCTCGAGACAGTTTCATAAGCGATTGATCACACCGCCAGTTGTCCGAACCACATCGCTGTATCGAATCAACAACATCATTGGCCGCTTCTGCCCGTGTTCTCACCGGTTGTGGCAAGACTGCCATCGGCCTCGAGCCTGCCTACACGCCGACCCTGCAGCGCGCTGATGCGCCCCACGGCGATGAGTTGCAAAGTGGGGTGAAAACAGCCCACCACTAGCCACCAAGCACGAGCTGCAGATTGGGCAGTCCGCAGGCGACGGTGCGTGGTAGCAGCACGCACATGCGCCATGGCTTCTTCTTGTCCTCATACTAGGTGAGCACCAATATTTGCTACTGGCTGCCCACCTCCCTGCATCAATCTTCAACGAGGGTTGGCGCTGCACCCGGAAGAATGAAAACGACTCCATCGTGGGTCGGCAGCAGACTGTAGAGGGGCCGGCGGGGACTCGTTTGGGCAAAACAGACTAGCCCATTCGCTCTGATAGAGGGGCATCCTCGTAGAGGGGCAACTAAAGCTGCTTCTAAATCTACCGAGCACTACAACACGTTGAGCTGGCAAGGAACGCCATGAAATGCTGTGTTCGCGTGTCCACCGAAGGAGCCAGAAACCTGAAGGCCGAACTTTCGATCCGCAATCACGCATACCTGAGACGCATCTAGAGCCGTAGGTCAGAAGATAAAAGGTGCTCGTTCCTCCGTTGCTGCACCTGCCTTCCTTCATTCCTCACCCTTGTACCTACCACATATTCCACCAAATCCGGTTTACCAAGTCCATCCACTCGTCACCATGGCCGACGTTGAGAAGACCCGCGCTGCCCTCCGCGCCAAGTTCGACAAGATCACCCCCGAGGAGTTCAAGAACACCGCCGGTAACCGCGACGCTCTGTACAAGCTCGTTGTTGAGAAGCACGGTCTTTCTGAGGAGGAAGCCAAGAAGGAGGTCGATGCCATCTTCGCCTCTGCTTAAGCGCATTCACTCCAGTCCTACCATTCGACAAAGACCACTACATTATTCTAGACGACTCGGACAACAGATGTAAATAGAACGCAAACCAACTAAAAAAGATGTGAAAACCGACGACGAGTGACAGGTGCAAATCGGCACGAAGCTGGACATCATCAACTTTTGCCAACGGTGGCACACGCATACTGGCGAGGAATCGTTTGGTACGGGGGCTTCTTTCTCTTGAGAAACGGACAACAGACAGACAACAGTTGAGGTTTGAAAGACTAAGATGCTGCGATGACGGCGATTAAACAAAATGCTATTGCCCTCTCCCACTCATTACCATTTCTGACTTCTCGTGCGGTACTCGCGATTATGGAGGGGCAATCTGATTTACTGCCTGCAGGTGCACTTTGCTACTGCTACCCCACCTCAAACCCCTGATACCCCGCCACACGCCCATTGTTTACCCCTGCGTCCAGTGCCCACTGAGATCAGTTTGCATCTGATCAACCCTGCTCACCGCACCTTCATCATTGTTATCGCAATCACCACCACCATTCTCCTCGCGAACTACAATCTCAACGATGTAGAGGCCACAGGAAGAGTGGTGTAGCCACTCACTTGATAGAACGAGCGGCGGTCAACGACAAAGCCTTCGTAATCCCGTCCGCTGCCATCGAATTAGTAGATCTCCGATTGCCATCGTTCCCGGGCCTGCGCCACACCATCCCGTCTGCCTTTCTCACCATCAACTAAAAATCCTACAGTAGTCGCATTCTGATACTTGCCCGTGAAAACGACAGGAATTCAGGTTCTGAATCAATGCAATCCAATACAAGTCACTTCAACCGGTCAAACAATCATCAAGCAATAGTCCGTACTGCATCACGGCCCCTTTTACCGAAGGATCAACAAATGCAATAATAATGGTCCGCAAGTGCCGGCTTATCTACTGCGATACAGTACACAACTTATTGCTCAACAAGCCCATATGAAGCGGACGCCAGCAGGCCTATCACGCGCCGCTCCGGCTGTGGTAAGCCATCTGAAGTGGGCGGTTGGGCCGTGCTGTGGGTGTTCCGGCGTGGATTTGGCTGACTGATGGATGCGAGCTCACCTGCTGTCATTATCATTGCCGGTCTTCGGACAATCGAAGGGCGGCATTGGTGGCGTCGTTGCGGCTGCGGCTGTGGGCTGGAGTACAGCGTAATATAGCGGCTGAGGAGTATAACCTTCTTCCGGGAGCCTGTCAGTGTGACGGTGTGTTGGGCTTCTGGATCATTCAGGCAGGATGAACCATGGAGTGGCTCTATTATGTGTAATAAACGATTTGTGGGAATGTTCATAGAGGTGCGGACGTGGAGATGCTGTCTAGACAGGGCAGAATGATTCGGGCTCTGCATGTTCTGCATGTTGGGCGGAATCCCTGATCTGAGCATGTTATCGTTCTAGCCACGTAGCAGCGGCAGCGGAGCCAGATGTCCCCATTCCTCTCCTACCTGTGCCCTACACTTGTGGCCGTCAACCAACCTTCGTGTATTCATCCGGCAGGTCAGCGCAGGGAAGCATGTGTCGACGAAGATCTACCCCGGCTGGATCTAGGCGTAGATCTGATGACACTGCAAGAGTATGATGCTAGACAGGCCCACGTGGCTGTGAGAATACACCTCTGTCATCTAGACTTGTCTCGGCCAGAGGTCCGAGAGTATCAAGGGATGGAATGAGATCGAGGAATGGCGTTGTTTTCGGTGTAGATTTTATAGATTTCTGCCGACGGGCCGATCGTATACTGGCCATCGCTGCCGATTTCCGACGAGACTCCGTGTTCTAGAAACGGCAGAAATGAGGATGGAGCAAAGGTGCTGGAATGCTGACCCCAAAGTTCATGGTGATGGAAAGAGCAACTCGACTGTGCCTTCAAGAGGCTGACTTGCTGAGCCTGCGCTCGACTTGGCTGGCCCACCGAAATTGCGTCCCTCGCCCTCGGTCCCTCGATTGACTTGTGCAACGTAGAGCGAGGTGGTGTGGGAAAGCCGTGACATGACCACCAAATGCCGTTTGCACAGAAAGCGACGAGCCTCCCTTTGCGATCATGAGGACCTTTATGAGGGTACATACCCATAATGTTAACGTAGCTGATTCAGCATCGCCGAATCAAATTCTCGATGAGTATATACCATGCGCGGCGCTCAAGAAAACCCGGCAGCGCTGACAGATTGGCAAGCAAGATCAGTGAACATCGTGGAAACTGGTCATATTGGCATTGCAACTAGTTTTGAAGCACGGCAGCCTGGGCTCGGTGCCTGTCCCAGGAATCATTGGGAACAAACGACTGCAGCTTTGTGCTTTGCCATGAGCCGCTGAAGTTGGTGGTGTTGCACAGCGCCCTGAGTCGAGATGCAGCATGACAGTCGTATCTGCCGAGCTAGGGAAGTGGTCCGATGTTGGACCAGATGAAGCATATCACAAAGCCAGCCATCATTCGATGTCTGGGTCACACGGGATCCGATTGCCAATGGTAGAATTGTTTGGGACACATGGCGAGGGCTCGGGCAAAGCGAGAGATTGCCGGATCGTTGTCGCATGCAAAGAAAAGGAAGGTGGAAAGGATACTCGGTACCATGAGTGGGAGACGACCGTTTACGCAAGTACTCCAGCTGTGCCTAATTGAATACGCAGTACTCGGTACCTCATAAACGAATTACCTTTCGACATGGGCATGGCAACAGCGTAGACGGAGGGAGGTCCGTGATAAATACGGGTTATAAAAGCCGGTGGCTGCATCTAGGTGTCTCAAGGAGGCCATGTGGCAGACAGGTGGCGGCTCGGCCTCAGGCCGAAAAGAAGAGGAGATCCGAAGAAAAGTAGCTCTCTACATCATCCGAGGCCCAACATGATTGGATAGGTGGCAACACAACAACAGAGGGAACTGCTGAATTGCGCGAGACGAGCGGACGCCACTGGACCAGTCGAAAAAGAAGGGTGATCAGGCTTGTAGCGCACCATCGCCAGTTCTTCGGACGGGTTTGTTGCGGCTGATATAACGTGCTGCAGGTGTGCTGGGCTTGTCTGTGGAGGTCACCTCGAGCTTCCCAAGGTTGATTCAAATCCCTGCGACCATGCGAAAACGCCACGTTGCCGGCCGCGAGTCAGCTAGTGCCGGGCCCAATCGGCCCCCGCGGGAGGTTTGTGGTGCCGCCAGGGCACGGCCACGGGCAGGGCCACAGAAAACGCCGAGTCAAGCTCGTTGTCCGAAAAAGCTGAGCATGGTCTGTGCGAGCATTCGAGGGCAAACTTGAGAGAGCCTGCTACTCTTTTTGGGAGAGAGGGGGGCAGATCGCTTGGTGCAAAAGCCTCGGCCGGCAGTGCAGGGCAGAGTTTCAAGCCGGAAAGAAGGAACAAGCGACGATCGTATACCATCCCTGGACCATGTGCATCAATAGTTGATATTACTTGCACGGAAGGTGTCGACCGGCCGGTCTCGAGCCTTCGCTACGTCTGATGCCGTTGGATAATGAGGCGATGACCATTATTGCGCGATAGATAGTATCTGGTAGCGCGATATGCGTACCTGGGCGATTGCCTCACACCTTGCGCCTTTGGTGTTTAGATGATTGAATAAATTCCAATAGTGCGGGCGGGGGATGATCTCAACAGGCATTAACATTCTTCTGAGGCTCTTGTGCAAGTGGGCCTGACCTCCCTAGAAGATCGCATTTGTGGTGTCATCCCTTACGCACCTCTTTTCGAATGTGTTGATCGCAATACGGAGAAACAATGTGGACTGTAAGGAAACAGATTTGTGATTTGTTCGTAGGCGGAAACACGAGGCATGGCTTTGCAGCCATGTGTTGTGGCGAGTTGGTCAGGGCATGCTGGGGGGCCGGCCGCCTAAGCCCACGTGTGCGTGCATCGGTGACATCGCAGCACACGAGATTTGCACATCCGTCTGCCAACGCTTTGTCAAGAGCCTTTCGTGGGAGGAGGAGACGACTTGTCCGAAGTCTAAGACAGTGCATCACCCGTCGCTGGGCATACCAATAGCTAGACATAGCACCCTGGACAAGGGACACTTGCGGACACGAGCGTCGAGCGTGGATGCAAAAGGTTGTGAAATGTGTAATTAAAGCTCCACCTACGGAACCCTGGGCAGGTGGCAGACTCCAATGTTCTCCAGCAGCCGATCTCAGCACCAGGGCCTTTGCCTCGCCCACTGCAGCTGGCTGGGCTAAGCTGCAGGTGCATGGCCCTCGCTCGGAGCCTCTCCTCACTATTCACTCACTCGTGGTCAAATCCCAGCTTTCTACCACTTTCGCATCATTCCCTCAGCGGTGATCTCGCAACTTGATCCTACATACTTTGGCGAGACAGGCTGTTCTCAACTTTCGAAGTGCTTCAAAATTACTACGGCTGAACAAAGCGTTTTTTACTCGGATCCGCCACCGTCCATCTTTCACGTGGCTCGACCCAGCCTCCACACTTCGCTCCGTCGCCTCAACACTCCATTGTCGGGTATCAGCGACGGCTGCATCCCATATGCGAACGCATCCTACCGTTCAGCGATCAAATCTTGCTGCTTCACACCCCTCGGCGCTGTGCAACGCAGTGCCTGCGTACCAAAATTCGCAGTCCTATACGCCCTGACTAGTCGTCTTCTTGGACACCTGCATAAACTCCTTATACCTTGCCACATTGTTGCGCCTCAGCAGCGAGATCACTGTACACCAGCGATTTCCCTTGCCAGAAAAGAACTTGCACGAACTGCCATCCACGATAGCCCGAGACCGAGCACAGGCCACGCCTCCACAAGACCAGCCCTGTCTGGCATCTTCAGTGATTCGAAGTACCTGCCACATATCACTGCTACGAAGCACTCAGTCACACGGCTTCCTGCTGTACTAGGCACAGAACGACATCGATAAGAGCCAGGTCACTGAGACTCGTGGGATTTCTTTTGAATTGAACTGCGATTCTCCCCAACGATTCTGCTGCGTGTTCCGCAGCATATCGGCGGTCCAGCGGTCCATCGCGTCCCGCGACGCAACCTCGAATGATCAGACTTTCCGGTGATCTGCCACTTCTGACCCGATTGCCCACATTCAATAAGCGTCTGGACGTGAGATTTCACAATGGAGACAACCAGTCATCGGCCATGGGAAAATGGCACATCCCAATCGCAGACCCTGCCCTCCATTTCTACTCTGACGTCGAAACTGCCGCCACCAGGAGAGCGTCAACATCCTGACTTGTCAATTAACCCTCCACAAAGAGATTCCGGCGCCTGGATGTCCAACAACAGTGCTAGTAAGTCTTTGTGTCTATCAAGCAGCTTGTGCTGACCGAACCCCCAGTGAACACCTCTTCAGCTCATTCGGCGAACACCATGCCCTATCTGAATTCTGCCCACTCCCCTACCGGCCCGGGTCCTTCGCCATATACACCAGATACAACACCTGGGTCCACGTTCGGTCCTTCTGCGATTCAGAAGCAGCAGAATGGTAACGTGGGAGAGCCGCATGGTAACAACCGAGGAAGTGGCGACTACGACGAATCTCGACGAAGTAGCGTTACGGGAAGCATTCACCAAGGGATGCAACACCTGGGACTTGGTCCTACATCCCCATATCATAGCAACAACCAATCACAGACGTCTATCGTTTCTGGCCTCCAGCAGCAACGGGGTATCCCCACAGGAAACGGATATAATAACAGCAGATATTCGACGATGAGCGGGGGTCCCTTGTCGCCCTACAGCTCGCAACGAAACAGCAGAGGCCCTTTGGCTGCTGGTCGCGTAGCTCCACCAATTCTGGAGAACCCCAAAGCGGATGTCTATAGTGCAGAAGCCCCTACTCGCGGTCAGGCCTACGCCTTCCCCGACCCAGATGGGTCGCGGACTTCGCTTTCTGGACGACCTCCCTCGACGTTCTCGCGCCGAAATAGCTTCGCCGAGTCGTTCACAAGCAGCATCATGACTATGGAGTCCACGCGGCTCCCGCGTGGCCAGCACGGTAAGCTCCCTTAAATTGCGAAAAAGTGTATCATGAGAGACTCATTCGTCGCAGAACTCCCGGAGGCGCATCATCATTCTCTTACCAACAAGCAGATTGACACTCTCCGTGATGACCCTGATTCACCAAACAGCACAACACCATACAGCCGAACACCAGAACTCAGAGTTACGCATAAGCTCGCCGAGCGGAAGCGCCGGAGCGAAATGAAGGATTGCTTTGAGCAGCTGCGCACTCGCTTGCCTGCTGGTCAGAACAACAAGTCAAGCAAATGGGAGACGCTGTCACGAGGTAGGTTCTATGGGAACACCCGACCTTTTCAGACAGGCACTGACTCTTTCCAGCCATCGACTATATCAACTCACTGGAAAGCTCCGTCAAACAACAACGCATTGATGCCGAAAAGCAGCACCGCCAAATGCAAGAGATGGAGATGAAGATGCAGCAGATGAACGAGCAGCTACAGCGAATGCAACATCAGGGCTCTTTCCCCGCCCCTCCTAATACGATACCCCAGAGCCCGTATGGATCGCACTACCCCAACGGCATGGATGGAGCAAATGAGCAACCGCGGACGCTCCCACCTCTTATGAATGGTGCCATGCAAGGAGTGCAGTTTTCTGACGACCGGCGGTAACTCAATGTGCTTTCCAACACCATTACTAACATTTTACTGAGCTATTTCGGACGAGGTTCATGTATATTGTTGCACTTTTCTTCCGGGTAGCGGAGTACTGTGGAGGAGCGCTGCTCGAACTACAGCAAGCGGCAGGGATGCACTTCAAGGCCGGAGATACGATACCCCAAGGCCAGCGCAATGTGACAAAAGACTCATGAGATGTGTAAGGATGTGTAGTTGTTTTTGCAATACAACTCTGCTAGCTGCCATCAGCTTTTCTTGGTGAGCAAGCTATGAGCCAGAGAAATCAAAGTCAAACCTCCAGATAATTTTCTGAAGTTAGAGCATTGCAAGTCTGGGAAGCATGAACTTTCATGGAGTAAGACCTCGCGTAGCTCAGGTTCTTGATCCACGGTATTCACCTACTTCACCTACTCATCGGTTTGGATGCCAAGCCTCGCAACCAAGATGATTGGCTAGGGCTACACGCGCCGACAACGATACATCTCGTCCTCGCTCGAGTTCCGATTCATTCTGAAACACACGCGCCTACGATGTTCCATGCTTTCTTCAGCATTGTCGTCCAGAGGCCATCGATTGGTCTGGTGAGCTTCCGGTATGCGCAGCCGCTTCTGCAGCCGCGAGAGTTGCCCTTGACCTGAGACCGTAGCTTGGGTCGGTCAGGCTAAGAATGGACACGACGTACAGCTTCTACGTTCAATTCGCGACCAGCCTGACGCTGCGCACCAATTCGCCACTGTGAAGTATATCAGCAGCTAGATCATCAACTGAACGTTTCGTGGCCACATTGTAGCCCGCTTGGATAGTCGATCTGTTGCCAGGTGCCTGGATCTGCCTTCCACCCTCCTTTTGCCATGTCCCACCAGAAAACCACCAACAAATAAGTCATCTTTCCTTTGTTTTTCCTTTGTTGACTCCGGAGCCTCCATTGTTGCCATCATTTTCCTATTGTCTTTCATTTCCCTCGAATAGACCATTCCATATTCAGTGCTGATCGCTGAGCTGGTCTCACTCGGCTCAGAAAAGTCTTAGACCTTCCTCTACTGCAAGCACGACAGCATTTGAAGAAGAGCAAATTTCTGCAAAAGGGAGACCAGCTTGCCGCCTCTGCGGGACAAGGCTGTCGTATCAGAAAATCGCCCTTCCATACGCCCGAAGCCGCAGGCCTTGCATCTGCCACTCTGCAGCCACGATGGTCTCCAGTATCGATCACCCTCAGGTTGTCGTCCGACCGTCATTTTCTCACCAACGGACAAACTACCCATTCGCTTCCCAGAGATCTCCCTCCAGGCTCCCTCTCAACAAGCAACCCTTCATGGGAACCTATACGAACGCTGCCACCAGATCACCAAGTCTCTCTGATGTTACCATCTCTGATGCGGACTCGTCAACGAGTAGTCAGGATGAGTTCTACTTGGAAAAGTACAGCGCTCCGAAGGCCAACTCCGCCACAAGCGACCGGAACATGACTGAGAATAAACCAAAAAAGCGAGCCCGCCCCGAGTTGAATATTGTCACACATTTGCCTGGCTCTCAAGCGAGGGCTTTGGACCCGGATCTAACTATCGCACAAGTTCGTGCAAAAAAGACAGCTGCGACCACGCGGCCTAAATCTGTTGTTTCGTCCAAGGCCGAGCACTTCGACGGCTCCCTACTTGTGGAGCGGACAAAAGCCTTTGCTACAATTAAGAATCTAGCACAAGCCCGTCGAGATCGAAAGCAAGCGCGGCGAGACGGATTTGAGAAACTCGACAATGAGCCGAGCCAGACGCCAGAGCCACCTTCACTGGCTTCTCATCCCATACCACCTTCGACCGGTGCGCCCAGTTCAGTTGTTATCGGAATTAGTCTTCCAAAGCATGAAGCCGTTGCACATGAATTCAATAAAGACTCTAGTGCGGTCACTCTCAATACGTCTACGCCAACTACGCCTGCTATTGTCATCACCCCTGCGGAATCTGAGTACCCGAAGGAGGTACTCCCAGCGGCCATCAGAGGACTCTCCGCGCGTAGACCACGCCCTGTATCAAGCTTCTATTCAGACGCAACGTTCTTCACTGGTGAGCCAGGCAGTGGCGGGAATGTACCGCCTGTCCCCAGAATTCCTCAGATCCCCAGCGGCCACAATCGTCGAAGCTCAAGTGATGAATCACAGCCCTACTCCAAACAGGGTGTCATTGGGTCCAGCCGACGGTTCTCCACCGAGAGTCGCGAACGAACCTTGCCCCCAAACACCGAAGACTCTCGTCACAAGTCCCAGGGTTGGTGGAGCTTGTCCCTGTCCCCGATGTTATCTCGCGCAGGGACTACGAAAAGTCATCAGGCTCAACGAGCCACAACTGTTCCGGATATACCACCCGTCCCGGCTACAGTGTTGAGTGGAAGAAGTCGTTCAGGCACAAATGATTCGCAAACCTCTCCCGAGACGCCTCGACGCTTGGGACTTGCGGGTATCCGGGCCAGCATATGGTCACATTGGACGACCGAGCCAAAATCCCAACGTGTTGCGAGAGACAGCATCAACACCACGTATCCAGAAGCCGGTGATGAAGACCATGACCGTGACCTTTCACCTCTGGAGGCGCAGGACCCTTTGCCCCGTGAACTGCCATTCCAGGACTCTCTTGCTCAGCTCCAGCCTCGCGTGGCGGGCGGGCTTGCCGATGATTATTATCATGCCTGTGCCATTGAGCAGCTCTCGGGCCAGCCATATTTTGAATGCGAAAACCACTCCTGCTCGGAACAGTGGCCTGTTTTTCGATCCGTGTTCGATAGTGACGGAGGTGACAATTCCCCCAGTGCTGGAGGAGCTGCACGTGTGGCCAGCAAAGCTGCAGCTGACGAGCAGGACGACTCCGGCCTTGCCACGACCGCTGTCGTTGGTGTAGCTGGTGCCGCTGTCGGAGCGGTAACTGCCGCAACTGCTCTCCATCAAAGTGACCTAAGCAATGCTTCTGAGCCCGCTGTAGTATCACCCCATGTCCGTCAAGCAGATACCGGCTCGGTGATGCAGGCAAGGGCGGTAGAGAACAAAACACCGCCTATGCCACAGAGCGAAGTCGCCTCGGACGCAAACGAGGGAAGCCGATCGGTGGATATCGCTGCGCCCAAGTCCTCATCTACGACTACAGCAGCCCCTGTGCCCATACCTCTGTCCACTCCTCCGCAGGAAGTTCCATCCACATCAGCTATGACAGACACACCAAGACCCACGACAAGAAATCCAAACATCGCGCCTATTGCTCCACCTTCATCATCTGCAGCGATCTCCGATGGAAGGGTCATATCACCCGGGCCAGTATCACCGGAGATGCACCAAATAATGACTTCCAGAGGCGGTGTTCCGATGTCTGAGATGCGATCAGTGGGTCAGTCAGAACCCACTGCGCCGCCAATAGCATACCATTTCTATGGCTATCCACCTGCAGCAGCTGCAAAACCGGTGGACGTGGAGGCAGTGAAGTCTTCTCCGGAGACCTCGAAGTCAGACATAACTAGCATGAATGCGAAGAACCCAGAGAAGCCAGGAAAACCGGGGTTCGTGCAACGCTTGAAGTCCTGGGCTGCAAAGAGGAAGAGCGCAAAATCTACACAAACAGTTGACAAAAAGAAGCAGCGAAAGCACCGTTGCATTGCCAGCCTCATTTTCGGCTGCCTGTTACTGGTCATAATTGGTTCAATCCTGCTTGCAACCCTCCTGACGCGACGGGGTGATCGTACACCGACCCAGACACAGTGGTTGAATTTGACAGGATACCCTCCCATTCCTACTGGTATCTCTACCATTATCCGCCCCGACCCCGTGGTACAGCAGTCTCAATGTGTGCAGCCAGCCACAGCTTGGAGTTGCTCTACACCGCCAGAAAACCAATTTGAGATCGCACCAAACAACCCCGATCAACCGAACTTCCGTCTCGAGATCAAATTTCGGAATGGCACAGTTCCCGCTAACATGACCATTCCCACAGGCGATGCACCATATGTTCGGAAGCGCGCATCCGACCCTTTCACGAACTCTCTGTTCGAAGCCAATCCTGTACCTCCTTCGCGTGCCGACCAAGTCTTCATTGGCAACACCACCGACAACATTACAGCTCCTTTCGACGGTGAAGATACCCCATTCTATATGTCTTTCATCCCTGTCTTCCCCATCAACCCATCTGATATTAGCTTGAATGCAACCATGTCAACATCACGTCTAGCAGCTCGTCAACAGGCCAGTAACGATAGTGTTGCTGACTTGGTACCGCCCCCTTCAGTCGATGACTCAGGCTTGGCTGCACCAGCTAATCTCTTGCCAACATCGCCATACCCTACAGCACAACCCATTCGTTTCTACAATCGTGGACTGCAGGACGAGCACTTCGGTTTCTACATTTATTACGACCGATCCATATTCCTATCCAACGACGTTCTCCAAGACGCACCTTCTAGTGACAATACTACCATTGTGACCCCCAACAACCCCAGCAATGGCGCCGGTAACTCATCCGACTCAGATGGTGGGTGCGCCCGGACTGACGCAAAATCCCGCTGCACGTTCTCCCAGACGCGGTTCCTGGTGCAAGTCTTCACCAACCCAGCCTTTGGTGGGCAGCTCAGAGGTGATGTACCGGAGGTGGGCAGCAAGGGCGCCGGCAACTCCGCGACCAACTATACGCCGCCAGGCTCCTTTCCCTATCCCACCACCATCACGGTTGACCGGCATGGCGGAAATGTGAACAAGAAGGCCGTGTACTGCTATGGCGTGGATGGCAACCAACGTATCGTTGGCGATGCGAAGAACTTCTTGCTAGAAGCGAGGGGTGCAGGCGGGAGTCTTGTCAATGCGGCACCAGGGTTGTTCTTGTCGCAGGGCGACAGTGTCAGTGCCGATTTCGACCAAGGAGCAGGAGGAATCGATGGCGGTACATCTGGATGCAAATGTGCATGGCAAAATTGGGCGTAAAGAAGAGTATTCGAATCTGGTAGGGTGAAAAAGATGATAGATACCACCCGAATGCTGGTCCCGGCAATACACAACAGGTTTTCAGCGTACAGAAGAAGTTCGGGGGCTGATAGAGCAGACAGGCTGGCACCTGGTCTAGTAATGTAATAGCCCAAACAAGTCACTCGGGGACCCATTGAAAGCTGTTGCTGAGAGCCCGTCCTTTCCATGCGTGTTGCGTACGAACGTTTTGAAAACAAGGCAGCCATTCAGTCTTGGCGTTGCATTCACTGCCTGAAAGTGGGTCACCGGTATAGCAGCACATCGAAGCCTCTTGCAGACGCTGCAACACTGCTAGACGGTTGTAAGTCGTGTATGGCTGAATTTTGCATCACGGTCATCCGTTGGCCTGAACATCGAACCAATGCGACTCTGCTGGACAGATTTCAACAGCGCGAAACGTGGGATTGCCGCCGCCTTGTGGACGCCTTCTTACCTAGCGCGCTTACCGTGCTTGAATGCTCTACAACACAAGCACAATGGCCTTCACATGAATCTTTCCTGAAAAGGCCGCTATGTCGTCATTCTCGGTCTGCGCTGTTTACTGGACCTCAAAGTTCTTAAAGACCGCTTCAGCGTCCGTCTCCCCAACCGCATATACACCGACCACCGGCCCCGTGAAATCCAAGCCCGTCAAATCCAACGTGTCCAAGCGCCCAGCCTGTGACCACTGCGATCCCTCTGCCGTGCCCAGTACATACGAGAATCGCACTTCTGACTCGGTGGAGTCCATGCGAAAGCCAATCTGCTGTCCCCGTAGTGTTTCTGGCACGCTCGTCCTCTGCGTGCGCGAGATCGATCTCGCCTGGTTGATAACCTCGAACACAATTTCAGCGGTGCCGAAATCATAGTGGATGCGCGCAAAGCGGCACTCATCTTTGTATAGCGTCAGACCCGCTTTCAGAGAGACCGCCGCGTCAGATTCTAGGTGGGTCTTGAGCGTCACCTGCGAGTGGCCTTCGAGCGCACGCATCCGCTTTGCAACGAATGTGACTTTGTCTTCCGGTCCACCCTGGGTAATGTCGGACCTTCCTGCTGATAGAGTGATGAGCCTGCCGTCGTGGGAGATGCGGTGTTTCGACAGGTCGGGGTCCCGGAGGTAGAGGAGGTCAACGCCTGGTGCTGCGGTGAGGGAAGGCATAGCACCCGGGAGGGTGTGGCTGCCATTCGATTCAAGGTCCATTTTGATCTGACTGATGCTTGGCCACTGGCCCTCAGGCCACTCCGCCGGCGTCAAGAACGTCTCCCTGCCCATCAGATACCTGCCCTTTGGATCCCTCCGGATACCCAGCGCGACAGCCCACCACTTCCCCTCCGTATCCTGGAACAGATCACTGTGCCCAATGTTCCTTATGTACTCGTCCGTGGCCCCGGCCGTCAGGATCGGATTCCTCTCATACGCACCATAGGGACCCCACAGATCCCGGCTTCGCGCCACGGTGATCATGTGGTCTTCGAAACACCCGCCCTCGGAGATGACCAGCCAGTACCAACCGTCTTTCTTGAACAGATGCGGGCCCTCCGGGTACACGCCTCCGGTCCCCTCCCACAGTACCTTCTCCGCCGACCGTTTCGCCCCGGTCTTCAAGTCGATCTCGAACAGCTTGATCTTGGTCATCGGCCCAGGCACGGCACTGCCGTGAATGTACGCCTTCGCATCCTCCCTCTCGTCGCCGTCCCAGAAAATACACGTGTCGATGCCGTCAAAGTCAAAGAAGACGGGATCGCTCCACTGATCGCCCTCAGGATCCGCGCTGGTGACAATGAAGTTCTGCCGCTCATCCTTGCCGCCGTCGCTGGGGTGGTGAATGACGTTGGTGCACACGACGTAGAAGAGGCCGTCGCGGTGCCGGATGGTGGGTGCGTACAGGCCGCCCGTCATGGTCATGGACTCGCCCCATTGGTCGGGCGGATTGACGCGCGTGTGCGAGCGCGAAAACGAGATGTGCTGCGACAGTCGATTGATGGCGTTGCCGACATGTTTCCAGGAGACCAGGTCGGTCGAGGTGTAGATGGGCAGTCCTGGGAAGTAGGCGAAGGTCGAGTTGACGAGGTAGTACTTTTGTCCGACGCGGATGCAGGAAGGGTCGGGCGCGAAGCCGGGGATGATCGGGTTGATTGCCATAACTCGGAGTCAATATGCTTTGCTTGTAGTATTGCTACCGAGGAACGATCAGGAGAGACTTTTGTAGAATGGGTCGTCGTGTGGCGAGGCTGGCGTTCCAGGGGTAGTAGGGCAACGGGACCGAGGCATACTTGAGGGTTGTATTCCAGACACGTTATAGGCTTCAGCGGCAGCTGCAGGTAATATCAGGCTATTACAGAGAACCACTCACCACCCACCACTGGATGCCACTGGCATATTGCCAGAATCGATGGAGATATGGGCGGGCGTGAGGGGTAGCGGAGGGGCCGCCGGCCTTGGTGGGAGGTATTGGCGCGGGCTGGGCACTCTCGCATCCTGCATTCCAGCCTGGCGATATTACCCGGACATCAGGACTATGGATGTTTTGTACTCTTACTCCCGCCGATCGGTCGCTCCGAGAGATATATATCTCTCGTATTCTGCTTGTGACAGTCTAACATTGCCGCGGCACATTTGCGTTGACAGCCAGAACCACAAGTGGACACTTGGATGTTGCAACTCGTGGCCCCAGCTTGGAAATGGCTTACCCGCCGACCCTGGCTTCGGCAGGCCACGTAGCTCTTTCTTTCCCACGCGTGGGGCGGAGGAGGGCGGCAACGTGCACACTCTCCAGGGAAGCAGCGTTTCAAGCAGAGTTGACTGAGAAAGCTCTTTTACGTGCATGTGCTCGCTGTCCCTTTCCTCCGCGGGCATTGAAGACGTGCCATTGGTGGGCCTGAGTGAAGCTGCTGACGGAACTAACATGGCCGCTGCCACGGAGATACTTCTCAGCAACTCTGGGGAGCAGAAAGTGCGTGTTCAGAAGGGTTCATCAGCAGGGCGAGAGCAGTGAGAGGCTGGATCAGGCAGTAAAAGTCTTGGCGCGATCGCCAGGATTCATGCGCCCGTATATCAATGCTACTGCGTTGCCTCACCCGCATAAGCTGCTCGGGCACCGGTATGAGCATCTTATGGTGTATGCAGTATCTTCGGCCGCACTCCCGCGGCGAAGAGTACCGAGATACTGCCGACTTGTAGATAGGCGAACGTTGCAATGGCCTCAAACAATATAATTCCAAACTCTGTCAACTTGCCGTTTTCACTGTCCTCGCCAGATCAAGCCAGACATTGAACGTTGCGCCTCTTACTCGCCGGATCCTCTCGTTCACGAGCTGTGCCGTACGCATCGCGGTCAGGACCGAATATCAACCTTGGAACCGAGCATTGCCTCTGTACGCGCGTATGTTCGACCACCGTTGGGGAGCAGGGAAGGCTTCCGAGGGCGCCTCGTGCGCGAATAGACCCGCGCATGCCGCATGCAAGTCAGTGATCGCTCCGTCGTCAACGAGGAGGCTCAAATGCTGTTGATCCCCAGACTAGGCTGCAGATCCAACTGCGCCTTGCGCAACTGGCAACAGCGATATGTCGAGTCGCACTTGCATTCATCAGCGCCAAGGGAAGACATGTCAGCTCTCACGTACGTCCATCGGAGATCCCACAGCTATGAGCATCATGTCGACACAGAGCTACGAGATACTGTTCAGAGAGCCAGCACATCGGACGCGTAGCACGCCCTGCGCGTCAACAGATGACATCAGCATGCAGGCACCATCACGAACTGACGGCGTTCGATTCGTTGTCCAAAGGGATCTTGCTACCAGATTCGTCGCAGCTAAAATCCCATCGGTTCTACACGTCCTCCCAGCCTCCGGATTTTTGGTTTGACCATTCGATTCTCGCGCAATCAATTCGATTCTGATTGCCACAAGCTTTGCAGCCAACGGCATGCGAAAATTACAGGCCCCATGGCGAAAAATACAGCCATCGAAAGATTGATCCAAGCCCTCTCCGTCGACCCACGACCCACAAGCAAGCAGCGGGAGCCGCCATGTTCGCTTCAGCGGTCGGACAGCGCTCGATGCAGGCTAGTGCACGCTGCCACAATTTCCGTGTTTCAGCTCATCTTTGACTGACGCTTGGCCGTATCTTACCAGCCCAACCGACCGGCTTGAGCCAACGTCAAGGATGCTTGGTCGTTACGAACAGCCCAGCACACACTAGCCGCCGCCAACGACTTGGTGAAGCGACAGGCGAGATCGACCGCGATAATGTGAGTGGACGTTCTGCAAACGTTGAATGTCTTGGGATTTCCCGAGAGTGAGATGATTGGGCTGGGGACATTGCTGGCACCAGATTGGCTGTGCCGCAACAGGTTTACCAATAACAACAACAATAATACCAACAGTCCGAGCGCTGGTCAGGTGATTGCCCGAACCCCAAATCACCATCGCAAAGGCACCAGAATAGCATGTCCGCCTGTGCCTGTGCTTCTAGATTCGAGACCTGTCCAGCCGCAGCGGCTCATTCCATCCTCAGCTTTCCGCGGCGGAAAGTCTCCTGCTCATCTCATCTCGGCCTGGGCATCGTCCGCCCGGGCAATGGCAGTGCCATGTGCACGGACCATGGCCTGTGTTCCACCCCCAATGCGGGAGTCGTCTCGCATGCACTGACTCTGAGACACCCGGTGCATCAGCTCTAACAGCCCGGGCTCCCATCGCCGCGGCGACGGCTACGCTAAGCATCTACCGAAGAGACGACAAGCCTACTTCGCCAAGCACCTTCTATACTATCAAGACCTCACTTCGAAACGGCTTGGTAGTTCCTGTTGGACCCTGAAGACGTCGGCTACCAGTCTCAGCACCGATAGATCCTGTAGCGATACCTGCACTATGAGCCTACGACGCCTTCCGCGCAAGCTTGATGCTGGCGTTCAGGCGCCGGATCGGCAGGGCACCGCCCACTTGGGGCAGAAAGACGCATGGAGCTGCTTTGAATGACATGCCAGTATCAATGTACCAGTATGTCTGATTGTTGACAGTATGGTATCCGTGACCAGACGGTAAGGCTCGAACATACCTTTCAAGACAGCCGTCGGGGGCCGTGGCTTCGCTTGCATCAGCATTACTGAGACGCGAGGACAAAAAGCACCTTCAAAGCCCCCTGCCAGGTCGGGTGCAACAAAAGCCCAGCCTGCCGGAACTCAGGTAATGCCAGGGAACTACCGGGCCTGCGGCTACGTCGATCAGCGCATGAGTCTATTGTACAGCCAGTCGCAATGATTCCATAAGCATTTGCACGAGACATTATACGTCGAGTCGATGGGACAATGGCGAAGACATGAACTCTCCCATCGTATTGGATGCGGAAGACCTTACTCATCCCGAGCCACGTACACCACCACCACCACCACCACCACCACGACGTACCAGCGTCCGTCCAGTGACGGAAGCGGCTGCCACACAGTAGGTAAAGCCCTCAAGGCCGCGGTCTCGCGCGCACTTTGCTTGCTGCAAGCCCGGCACGCAGCTTTCGCTGTTTGCGGGAAAACCGAGGTAACTGAGATGGCCGCACCAGGTCTATGTACGTAGTCTATACCTGCGCGGCCAGCGATACCACCATCCGGTTGTTGGGCGAAGCTTTAGTAGTACATAATCAGGAGAGGATCCAACCAGATAGCAGTTTAATCCTTCCATTACGCGCACAGGACCGAGTCATCGGAAAGGAAAAACAAGTACTGAGCCACAAAAAAAAAAGAGTCGTTTCCGTCGCATCCGACGCACCACACTTCCCACCCATGGCTTTACGTATAGTTCGCCGACATGTGCCCGTCCGGTCGCACAAGCCCACGGCGCCCACGGACTTCCCATATGCCAGGGAGTTGCGTTGCGCGACCACAAAAACTCGATCGCAGGCGTGGGGTGCGATCGCACCGTAGTGCAATCACTGTTCACTGCAAGGAAGAAAAAAAGGGACGGTATACGTTTGCATGGGCGTGGCGTCCCTCCCTTACTTACTCATGTCTACGTATGTGTGTGCGTGTGTGTTTGCTTTTGCTCCACCCCACAGGCAGGCAGGCGGGCATGTGCGCCGCTGACTAACGAGCCCTACAGGGTATCGTCACGTCCTCAAGCAGCTGCAGCTGCACTTGGGTGGGAAGGGGGGCCGGTCAGAGATCGGGATGCGGGTGGGATGGGATGGAGATGGGGAAAAGGCAGTGCCGCTGCAAGCTTCTGCTTGAAGTACTGGCTGACGACGAACGACGACGACGACACAAGAACGATTGCCGTCGCAGTGTATCAGTATCAGCATTCGATATCAATATCACTCTCAAGCCGTCACAGCGATGATGACGCCCAGGCGGGAACGGCCTCGAACGGTCGGGATGTGGGGTAGACGTGAAGAGATGCATGCTGTAGCTGTAGCTGTAGCTGTAGCTTAGAGATAGTGTGTCAAGGCATAGAAAGCTTCCGGGCTGTATCATCATAGGATCAATTCGCGGAAGACATGCGTCTTAAATCTCTTCCAAGTCCTCAGCGTTCTTCCCTGCTGCTGTCCAGGGATGTGCAAATGGCGCTGCTGTACGGGGAGGTATGCGTAGCCGAGAATCGTGATTGGTATTGCTTGGAGATGCAAAACGTTCATCATCGCTTTTGCCTTTTCGGAATAAGGGCCGATGAGGATCACGGTGGCTTGAGGTAAGGTAAGGCGATGGACGATGGACGGGGATGGGAGGGGAAAGGGCGGCTGCGCGGCACAAAACGCAAAGAAAAGCCCTGGCTGGCTTTTGCTTGCCCCGCGTTCTTGTTGAAGCTTGTCGAGAGATAGGCATGCTGCAGCTGGGAGCCAAGTTGCGCCGATACGGATGATCACGAATCGTCCGGCTGTAAATGCTGTCATCATGTCGCCTTCACGCGAGCCGGCGCAGAGGTTATCAGCGTAAGTGGCCTGGCCAATTCGCTGGTCGATTGCGACATGGCGGCATGTCAACATGGCAACATGGGACAGAGAGCAGTGCACGGCGCCCAAGATACGATTGTCACGCTCTTATTTGAGAGAAAGAGCCCAATAGCGAGTTTGACAAGGCCAGCGAGGGAGGCCACTATCAACAACAGCTTCGAACCAGGACACAAAGAATAGTAACACACTGGCGATCTACGCATGGAATTCCCGTAGACTACCTACACTGTTTTACAAAGAATACTGTGCCGCGCCGATATTTTTCTCCCCAATAGCCTCTCCGTCCATGATTATGTCTTTCTTCGATCCGACTCAGGCCACAGATTCAACAGCTTCAGGTAGTTCGCAGGGTACCCATGGGCAAAGTCTCAGAATACGTAGAAATGCCCGACGAAATCAAATCGTCATGTTCATGTCTGTACACACCTCGTCCCACCTCCAGCTGCCACGATATGTTCAGGTCATTAACACATTAGTCGACGTCCTCCTCACCAGTCGACTTGCTACCCAAGACCCACTTGGACTTGCCGTGAACATCAGTCTCGTGTTCGAGAGCAATGCGGCTAAGATGGCCAAGGATGTTCTCCATCTGGGTGTCGGCGTGGCTGCGGGTAGTACGGCCGAGGTTATCGATCCACCTCATCTTGACAAGGAGGAAGTACACCATGGCGATGACGATGGTCACACCAATCGAGTAACCCCAGATGACGACGACGGTGACAATGGATGTCTGCGTGCTGTAGTTATCGCGAGTGAGACGATCGACGGGGTCGACGAAGTCAACCTGCTCCGCCTGAGAGCCAGAGAGCCAGCCTGGAAGGTTGTCAGCAATGTCGACTTGAGACTGAATACAGATAGAACTTACCGAAGACACAGAAGAGGGTGGAGATGGCATCGACGACCAAGATAGCGCCAACCAACTTGTAAGATGGCCACGTCTCACCACCACGGGTGACGAAGATGAGCCAGTTCTCAACCAGCGAGACTTGAAGGAAGAGCATGAGCTGGACGTTACCGAAGTTCTGAACAAGACCACCGTTGGGCATGTAAAAAGTACCGCGCATAACCCAGGTTGACAGGGCAAGGAGGATACCGAGGACAACCGAGATGAACCAGATCTTGGGCAGCTGCCACTCGACGGGTCGCTGTTCGTAGTGAGCGTTGTCGTAAGCCACGGCAATGGTGGCTAGATCAGCGAACAAGGCCAAGAAGACGATCAGGTCGGTGCGGATGGTCTCGTTGAGGATACACATCGAAGTAACCAAGTACAGCTCCAAGTGCAAGCACAGAGCGATACGGTACTGGACGTAGGCCTTCATACGCTGGAAAATTTGGCGAGCGACCTTGATGGCATCGACGATGGTGGACAGACCAGGGGCAAGGAAGACGATATCGGACGCAGCTTGAGCAGCCTCGGTGGCACCCTCGACGGCGATACCGCAGTCAGATTTCTTCAGAGATGGCGCGTCGTTGACACCGTCGCCAGTCATGGCTGTCAAGTGACCACGCTGTTGGAGCATCTCGACGACCTGGTACTTGTGCTCAGGGAAGACTTCGGCGAAACCATCCGCCTTCTCAACGAGATCATACTGCGTAGTACCGCTGACACCGCCAGAGATGAGGCGAGTTGAGTTGTAAACCTTCGTACCGAGAGCAAGCAGCTTGCAAGTTTCCTTGGCGATGGCGATGGCGTCACCCGTCAACATCTTCACGGAAAGACCAAGGTTCTGAGCCTCCAGGATGGTGTGTGCGGTGTCCTCACGGGGAGGGTCGAACATGGGAAGCATACCAATGACCTTCCAGGGCTCGTCACCGCGCTTGGAGGCGACACCAAGAGAACGGAAACCACGGCGGGCGAAATCAGCGGCAGTATCCCTGTAGTGCTTGGAGGTGCTCTCGTCGCACTCAGCAATGGACAGAACAGCCTTGGGCGCACCCTTGCAGAAAGCCCATCTCTCGCCCTTGAGCGTGCAAATGGTGGTAATGCGCTTGGAGACAGGGTCGAATGGGGTATATTTCTCGGTCTTCCAGCCTTGCTGAAGGATTTCGCGGGCCTTGGGGTATCGCTTGAGAGTCAAAATGGTGATCTTGTCGATGGGATCGAGAGCCTTCAGGTTGTGGGAAGAAGCGAGAGCAGCAGAGGCCATCATCCAGTTGACGTCCTCGCCCTCAGCGACGTAGGGTTCACGGATGGTCAGCTGGTTGGCGGTCAAAGTACCAGTCTTGTCGGAGCAGAGAACGTCGACACCAGCAAGGGACTCGATAGCAGTAAGCTTTTGAACGATAGCCTTTTGTTGAGCTAGATAGGCAGCACCGACAGCCAGAGTTGTTGTAGTAACGACGGGAAGACCGACGGGGACACCCACGATGAGCAGGATAAGAGCGTAGCTCAGAAGAGTGTTGGAGCTGTCCATAGGAGTGGCAATGTTGATGCCGTGGAAGAAACCGCCAATCCAGGCAACCAGGATGAAGAAGACGACCAAGATCAGGAGCGCAGTACCGATGGAGTCCATGATGGCCTTGAAGTGACCAGAGTCAGTCGCACCTTGGACCAAAGAAGCAGTCTTGCCGACGAAGGAGCCACGGGCAGACTCGGTGACGACAGCGTAACCCTTGCCGCGCTTGCAACCAGTGGTGTAGTAGCAGATGTCGCCCATGTACTTGTCCACAGCCAGAGACTCGCCGGTAATGGCAGACTGGTCAGTAGCGACGATAGAAACACCGATATGCTTCTCCTCGTCGTCATCAGAATCGGTGTGGTTCTTGGAGTGGTAAGCCTCGGGGTCGTTGACCATCTCCTTGTATTCTTCGAAGCCGGCAGGGTTCTCGTAGTCGCAAATCAAGCGACATTCACCAGCGACAACCATACCTTCTTCGAGGAGGAGCTACATATTATGTTAGCCGTGTTTCGTGAGGTCCGGACTTTCGTGACTTACAATATCACCAGGAACAATCTCACGAGCCTTGATCTCTTGCTCAGTACCGTCGCGAACCACGATAGCCTTCATGGCGATGTCACCCTTGAGAGAAGCGACAACGTCGGCGGCTTGCTTTTCCTGATACCAACCGACAATGGCGTTGAGCATGAGGATACCGATAATGACACCGAAATCAATCCAGTCCTGAAGACCAGCAGCAAGGAGAACAGCCAGTTCCATGACTAGATTGCATGTTAGTAAAGTAACCTCTTTGCGAGATTTGATGTTTTTTCTTACCATAAAGAATGGGACCTCTGAAGTAGCCGATGAACTTGATAAACATGTTCTCTTTCTCGGTGGTCAATTCGTTGAAGCCAGTCTTGCGGCGGCGTTCCTCAACCTGAGCGGATGTGAGACCTGCCTTGATGTCGGTATCAAGCCACTCTTCAGGCACCTCATAGAGGTCTCCTTGTCCACCACCAGTGCCTAGGAGGCGCTTGAAGAAAGGCTGCTTCTTGCTCTTGCTGGCATCCGCGGCATCTTGCTCAGAGGCTTGGGAAGGAGCCTTGGAGAAACGGCGGTCGCGGTAGGTGGAGATGTAGCGGATGAGGTTGGCATATTCGCCCTCGTCCTTATCGGGATCCCAGCCGTCAGCGAACGAGATTCTCTCGCGCTTGGGATCGCCGTTCTCAAGATCCTTTTCGTTGGACATGATTGCTGCTGGAGGGGAGAGTCAGTACAAAGAAAGAGAAGGAAAAAGAGAAGACACGAGGGCCTTGTAGTGACTTGGACTGGCGACAAGTACCAAGCTGGAGAAGGAAAGAGGAAGCAGAGCTCTGCGAGTCGACCCCTCTTTAAAGTAAAGTCAGAGCAGCAGATGCGAGGGAAGCTCACCTCGAGCACCAGAGTGGAGGGAACGGGTACGATGGGTATCCACCAGTGATCCGACAAGCCGTGGAGCTGCGATGGGCGCCGATAGCTTGCAGTGTCAGTCCAAGGGCCGGCGGAGACAGCTGTGGTTGGCTGCTTAAGCTTTCCCTAAAGGTGAAGGTCAGCAAGCATGCCGTATGAGCCATTTTGATAAGGACTGACAGTACCTTGCGATGTTTTGTGACAGTGAAAATACACGTCTCAGCCAGGAGGTATAGCTAGACCTGAAGAGGTGAAGAGTGGATAGGGGCCTGGGGCCGCCGACACTCAGGCGAGGGTCGTGGTGGGAAAGTAGCGTGGGTACGGATTAGCAGGGATGGAGGGTCCGGAGGAAGAAGAGGTTGTTGTTGTGTGGTGGCTGAAATTTCCAGCGAGCGCAGGCGAGGAAGGCGAGTGAGCCGCCAGTGATGATCGCTGGCTAAGTCTCCACTCCGTGCGTGGTAACTCCAAAGCTAAACAGACCACCGTAGTCTATTTTAGAGCTAGCCTCACCGGTGAATCTGCTGCAGCTTGCCGGGCCTACAGGGAAGAAAGAAGTAAAAGTGATATAGTGGGGGCACAGGGATGATGAGTGTGCAGATGGTGGTGAGTGTGTGGAAAGTGTTTGTGTCTTTGAGAATTCCAAGGTGTTCGTAGCCGAGTACGTACTTGACGTGGAAAACGGGATGGGGAGGCACAACAGCTGCGCAGACCTCCTCCGAATATATAGGTATTCTGGCCAGCTACCCAAGAACAGGTACTCACTGTTGCCTGCACCTGAGGCTCAACCACAATTACCAAACCTATATCTCAGCATCTGTATCAGAATGCCGAATAGCTTTTCCGTGTGCCGCACCAGGCACTCCTCCAGTCCAGGTCCAGTCTTGCGCTGAGGCTACGCCCAGCTCAGCTTCCCAGCTCTGGATCGCGCCGAAAGCCACTAAACCCGGGGTTTTCCAACTGCCCTCGACGTTGCGCGAACCGCCTCAGCTGCTGGCAAGAAAGATTAAGTCAAATAGAACGAGCAGTAGGAGCCAACAGTGTAGAGCAACACTGTCATCTACACCTCACAGCAGGACAAAAATGGCGAGCAGAAGCATTTGCAACTGTCTCCCACAAGCTCCCACGATTCTCAGGGCGATGACATAGGCGTGTTATTGCGCGAACGGCCACTGGTCGGGCGGAGCCAGCTACCCATGCTAGCGCTTCGCCTGTCAGGATCCTCTCTGATACATGAAATGACCAGGCCCGTCCTTACGCTGCGGGTTACGCCTTACCTCATGTCTATCAACCACTGCTTTGGGTACAGCTGTGTCTGTTATGTTCCGACCAGCACCGGCGGCGCCAGACTATTGCACGGCTATTGCGCGGAATGATGCGTATGCTGTTTGTTGGTCCGTTTCAAGCAGCCTCGCATTCCTGGCCAGCAGATGCTGCAAGCGAGCCACCTACGACGACCTCTCCGTATACTGTGTACGTCGGCGTACCGCTTCTGAATATCTCAAACGTGCCGGCGAGAAGATTCAGCCTGGCGATAGCGTTTGCAGCTCGAACCTTGAACCGGGTCTCACCCATGGCTCGCTGGCTTGTCCGCCCCGAGCGCAAATTGTTGGACCGATATCCGTACAGCCCATGAATTTCATCTCAAAAAAAATTGCATCAAAACAAACAAAGTCCCCACAGAATGAGCGTCGGTTCCTCTTTGGTTACCGCCAAATTGTCTGCTCGGGAATTTTCATCTGCCCTACCGCGGCTAGCCTGCAGCCATCTCGCGCCAAGTCACGTCCTTTGATCAGGTAAACAACCGCCAAATCTGATGGTAATTTTACCGCAGAGCAAAGCAGCAGAATGATAAATGGCACCCTCTGGGGACCCTCTGGGGCGCGACGGCGACGCTGCTTCTGGTGCACAGACTCCATAGAATGGAAAAGCACCATATCCGCAGCCCGGTCTCATAACCATGTCCGGCGGTTAAAGGTCGCCCTAAGTCCTCGCGGCTCCATTATTATTTGAGGCATTTTCCAATTTTCTAGAAGGTGGTCAGGCTAAAGTGCAAATGCGACGTCGAATTCTCGCGCAATGAGCAAAGCCAGTGCCCGAGGCCGTTCGTTCAGTGCCTCGGAGTTCTGTTAAATGTCGCGCGACCGCCTTGTTGTCTCCATACACTGCGTTCCAACGGCCGCAGCACGGTACCGCAATCGGCCTTGTCTGCCACCATTTTGCCTCTGGCGCATTTGCCGTACTGCAGATGTGTCCTGGTCGACTGCAGCTACGTGTCCCAAGAGCCCAAAGGACCGTTTTGGACGTGAGACCTGAGACGGCCAGCGGCGCGCAGCCGATGCGCGATTTACCGCCCTGATTGCTGTCCGTACAAAGGGCCTCATTGCATGCCAATACCCTGTCCTCCCCCAGGGTCTGCTTGGCTCCGCTCCCGCCAATTTGCAGCCAAGGAGCGGGTTGTGGAATATGGCGCTTCACATCGTCTACCCTCGGTCTAGACCAGTGCTGGCAATATTCAGAATTCCCTCACAACTGTGTCACTATCATATTGAACTGCAACACTACGATCGTACAAGTGCTGGGTCCAGGGTTTGCGGGTGTTCGGCTCAATTTACTGATTTGACAATCCTGTGACGCAGAGCCAGCAGATCGCTTGACGTAACCCTTGCACGCTGGGCAGATCTTCTCAGCCCGCATCGTGACAAAATGCTACATTGATTCTGATCGACGGCAGCTCGCTTCTGATGATGATTATCATCCCCAAGGGCAACCTCTCACGCTCACTTCTGGACCGACGAATTGTGGTCCCGATCCATATGAATATGCGAATCCTGTTAAGGGGCTTACCATGTCAAAGGTGCGCAAAGACGTTCTACCAAAGAAAATCAACCTTTGCTAGTCCTACAGCGAGTATGGTGTACCAACGATTTTTTAGCCATCGCATCATAGCTAAGTCCTCCGGAGAGTGCGACCACACTTTGAGATCCAATGCGCCGCATAACACGCAATTCGAGTTCCGAGCGCACGGCAGAAGATAGTGATACCTCTGTCTAACGTCTCAGCGTGCTGAATGAATTCTGCGACGGCTGGTATCCTTTGGCGAACGCGCACCTCGCCTGGCAGCCTCATGCACCGCGCTAAATCTAGTCTCCACGAAAAGTAGGTAGGTCATGTTAACATCACTACGTCCATCGCGTCGAGCTATTAATCAAAAGCAACGTGCCCGTCGGGCATGAACTAAGCTCGTTGATGAGAACACTACGCAGACCCAGTAGCCTAAATGCCGTCTCTGGCGCCGGTGCAGTCTTCCCCATGCGTCGCTGCAGGTCCTTTGCTGACCAACGGTGTGAGCATGTTGGGACGATATTTCCGGTAAGCGATGTATGTGCCTTCAGATCTCCTGCTGTTCACAACGATCGCCCCTCATGCATATGCCTCGACAGCACAGTTGTTGGCAATGTTGGCAGATCTTGGATTTGGAGGCCCGCTCAGCCGACAGCCTGGAGGACCAAGGGTTTTGATTTTCGAAGCCGATGAAGTACGATTATGATGTGGCTGGTTTGTACTAAAGCAACGGGCGCCTGCCCGTCATGAGTCCATGGCTCTTCCAACAGCAAGTTGTAGAAGCGGCAACGGCAACTGCAACTGAACCTTGCACGCGTTGCTCGGACATGGTTCAGGAAACCGCGCTCCTTCCTTCAAGATGAGCATCAAGGATGCAACGTTCGTCGCAACTTGGTCAGGCGCTCCTGCCCTCAACAATTTTTAAACTACAGCTCAACTTTTCAGTCCAGACACAACCATCTCTCTTGCTCACCTTTCTTTTCGCTGACGGCCACCGCTCACTGTCACATTGCCTTCTCTTCAACTACGCTGCAGTATCCTGGTTCACTGATCTTGCCCTGTGCTTCACAGGCACCTCGTCAGTCCCGGACAGACCAGTCCACACCACTTCGTCGCAATGGGGGTGTTCTCGGTCTTCCTACTGCTGGCGGCAACGCTGTGTTTGGCTCAGCAGATGCAGCCCATGAACATGTGCAGCCAAGACAGCACCGCCCCAGCCTGTACCCTCACCTTCACTCCTTGGATGGCCCCGCAGAACGGCCCTACGTCTATCTACTATGACGCCATTCTCACGGAGTATCTCAATGTGAATCTCATCTAATATCTATTAAACCATTACATGCAGACGCTGACGACTCCCAGATCATCGACTGCCGGTACTGCACTATCACCAATGTTGATCACAATCCAACTCCTTCAGTAAGTTACCATGTGTTGCAAGGAGGCTGCGCTAATTCATGTCAGGGTCCATTCACCGAAAAGGCCACTCGTTCCGTCCTCACTGTCACCAGAGCCGGATGTATGCCCGAGACCACTGCCATCACCCGCCGAGACTACAGAGGCTACCAGAACTCTGAGGATTTTGCTCCAGAGACAGCACAAGCACCTACCTTAGCTCCTCGACTTGAGGCCAGCAACCAAGACCACATGGAAACCAATGCTGAACACGTTGATCCTGGCAGCTGGCAGGTCATGCAGGCAATCTATGAATACCAGAAACAGATATTCAGTGGCATGATGTCCGTCACTCTGATCACAAGTGGCCTCGACCTAAACTACTTGTGCCAAAATCTTCAGAATCAGGCAGTCAAGCTTTCCTTAGCAAACCAGGGCCTTTATCCGGATCGAGTTGGCAATGCAGTGTGCTACGCTGAGCAATTTGGAGTCAACTTCAATGGTACCACGACACAAACGTTGCAGCAGCTCGCACTGACAGCCTCCTCTTTCGCCTTTGTCTTCCAATCGGGTTCCATCACGACAGAGAACACTCTTGCCTTGTGCCAATCGCTGAACCTCAATAGTACCTTGTACAGGATGCTCGACATTGACAGCAGTGGTATCAACAACCTTATCTGCAGCGAGGTAGCCAACGGTACCTCAACGAGCACTACGAGCGGCTCTAGCTCTCTCATCAGCTCAGCAACGGTTGCAGTAAGCAGCGGTGCGGTCACATTCACCAGCTGGACAACCAACGGCAGTGTGGTCGTCACCGGTACTGGCGTTGGGTTTTCGTGGACCGGCGGCGCTGCTTCCGCTACCTTCGCCGGTTCCAGCTGGTCCGTGAGTGGCGGTAACATCACCGGCTCTGCAGTCGGAACCGCTGCCTCTGGCTCCTGGTCTTCTGCATGGAGTGCTAATGCAACCGTGACTACTGGAAGCGGTCAAAGCCCGATCGGCTCAATCTCTGGGTCAGCTAGCGCGGGCGCCAACGCCACTGCCTCTGCTGCTGGCAGTGGCGCTTCATGGTCTGGCTCAGCAACCTGGGGTGTATCATCTCCAACCACTTCCACCGCCGGACTTTCTGACTCTGTGTCAGTCCTCGGTACTGGACCTGTACCTACGGCCAGTTGGAATTGGACGAGTACTGCCGTTGCCAATGGTTCCGTCATTGCCTCCGGCACTGCTGGCGCGACTGTCACTCAATCAAGTATCGGCTCCGCTGCAGGGACTGGTTCTGCCGGCTCATGGACTAGCAGCGGTGGCAATGGATCGGTCGTTATCAGCTACAGTGGAGTTGCTTGGACCAGCTGGGTTGTCAGCAGCACTCCGACCGTTGCAATTATTACGGGCACAGCCGCATCCATTGAATGGGGCACTGCAGCTGCATCGGCAACAATCACAGGTTCCGGATATGCTGCCACGTTTACCATCGTCTTAGTCACCAAAACCATCTTCGTCACCGCTACCGCAGTCGCCCAAAGCTGGTCAGCCTATGGTGCGAACACTGCTGGAACTGTTATAGGCACAGGCACATCTGGCACATGGACCATTGGAACGGCCTTCAACACTGTCGCGAACACAGCTACAAACACATCGATCGAGACCGGCACCTTCACAGGATTTGGCAACATATCGACGACGCCGCCTTTTACAACCCGAACGGTGCCCCCAACTGTCTTCGGTAATCACTCAACTTCAGCAGTCACAAACGACAGCGGAATCCCATTCATTCCAGCTAGTGTGACAACGGTAGCCAACATAACCACTCTTACAAATGCAACAGCTACCACCATCACCGCCACCGCCACTGGGTTCTCCAACTTCACAACATCTATTGTAGGCACAGCTGTCACATCGATTTCAGGCAACGCCTCTGCCGTCATCAACGCAACTACGCTTGTTGCGACTGCGAGTTCCAATGTCACCACGACTTTTGTCGGTACGGTCTTGCAGTCCAGCCTTGCTAGCATTGGCACAAGCGTCTTGACTGTCACAAACCCAGAGAATGGGTCGAACGTCACACTGAGCATCAATTCAACACCTCTCACACCTCCCAAGGTCTCATCCTACCCCGCTTGGACAACGAGCACGACGAACGAGCGAGGTCGCTGAGATCACTGATGTAACACCAGGGGAGCATCCATCCCGCAGGAGCATGACCTGCATGACACGATTGAAGCGATGTTGATAGTGTCACCCTTGATATGAACATAGGTCATAGCTGCCGAAGTATTGTTGAACGACTTTATGTTAGAATAGACCACAGGGGAGACAGCTCAGCCGACTGGATGAGATATAGCATAATGTTAATGTCAATACCGTCAGCAATCAATAAGGTATCATAACTAAGCTGCCAGAAACGCTGTCTTATGTCCTTGCAATGCATGGTCATCAATCGTTCCGTATTCAAGTATCAGGATATGCGCCAGACCTGATGCTCTATCAAGACCACCAACCAACTCCGCCTCCTTCCTAGGACCGATGATCATATCTTTCGGGATGCTAATAGAAGCTCTACGTACCATCAACACCCAAATCTGGTGCTAGTCGTCTTGTATTCTCGAGACAACGTTCCAGTTGCTTTCCGCACGCGACGCTGCCATGATTGTACGTCTAGACAGCCATTGCCTGTCTCATGGACCAAGTCCAGCTTGGCTCCCACGGCAGATCCTCAGAACCTGCATTTTCAGGTGTGTGTGTGTGTGTTTGTGAGAGAGAGAGAGAGAGTGAGAGAGAATGCAAAGTCTTTGTTCAGCACTGCACGACTCTGGCGTAGCTACTGCTAGTTCACCTTTGCCAGCATCACAGTGGCAGCACCACACTTCCTCTGGGCTGTCGTTGCACGACGCTTTCGCTGACGCTGCTCGCGCTGCTCCGCACACCGCCATGCTCCATTGTGAAGGCCGAGTGGATCCCTCGCGCGGCCTTCTCGTACAGCTGGTCGATGGCGCCCTGGTCACGGAATGGGTTGGGCGACTTGTCCCAGCCGTGGGGCACGCGTGGGATCAGCTTCGTGTCGACCTGCTTCCCCAGCTGCTCGAGGCGAGAGCTGAAGGTTTGGCCTTCCTTGAGCAGCATGTCCCACTCGCACAGCCAGAGCTGGATGTCGCCAGGTAAGGCGTCGGCGAGCATGTGTGAGGGGGCCAGGCCGGGGGAGGCATACGGGCTGGCGTGGCTCCCGGCCGGGTCTGGAGGCGGTAGGTACGCGTGGTCGAATAGGTCGGTGAAGAGTTTGGGGAGTGTTTTGGGCGGGTTGAGACTGTTGCGAACCTTGGAGGAGCGCGATTGCGTCCAGTCCAGAAGTGGGTACCAGGCTACTATCGTGGTTATGCGTATTGGAGCACCGTCGCGTGTACGCATGAGCATGAGGCTGGTGGTGGATTGCGAGGGGGTCGGCCGTTGGGCGAAGTCGCGGGTCTGGGGTGGAGGATTGAGTGGCGTTTCAGGTTGGTGGGTCGAATGATCGTCTGAATCAGAGATAGGAGAGACCGGGCGATTGTCGTTATCATCATCAAACCCATAATCATGGCCCGGGTCCTCTTCACGATGTGTGCTGACTCGGGATGCGGTCGGTGATGGTGTATCGAATGGGGAATGAAAAGGGCCCCCGTTACTCTGGCCAACTTTGAGGTGACTGTTGTCCTGGGGTGCAAACGGAGGGAGTGGGTGAGACTTTCTGGAGATAGTGGTTTTGATCTTGCGGTGGTACGCAAGGCGAAGAGGAACCGAGAAAACCAGATTGGCTCCCGCGCTGAAACCGCTCAGGGCGATGTTGGTAGGGTCGATATGGAGATCGGCAGCGTGGTCGGAGATGTACAGGATGGCGTCGGCGGAATCATCGACAGCGGTGGGAAAGGGGTGTTCAGGGGCCCGGCGATAGTTGACACTGACGAAGACAGCATTCGTCTCCTTCATAGCAACACGTGCCCAATACCGATCATCTCGAGCGTCGCCGAGAGAGAAGCCTCCACCGTGGAAGTTGACGATGCAAGGGAAACGGTGGCGAGGATCTTGCCGAAGGGTGTTATAGTATTCTGGAGGCAGATAGAAGTGCAGATCGATAGGGATGGTGTCGGTAGGTATTCTGCGCTTGTACGCTGGTCGTGGCGGTCGCGGTCGGGCCATGTCGTGGAAGTGCATGGCGAAGCTCATCATAGCGCGCCAGAAGCGCGCCTGTGTCCGTAGCCATGATCGTGAAGGGACCTTCTCGGCGGAGAGATGATGCGATAGACTGCGAGGTCGCATTGGTAGGTTCTCAAAGAAGTTCTCGGGGGAGTCTATCGTGCTCTCATTTTCAAATTCGGCGACGTTGGTGAAGCTAACAGACGGCGGCTTGAATCCGCTTTGGGACGATGAATCAGATCGATTCTTCAACGTATGGGCATCGGTCGCATGAGAGCCGGTCTTCCTCTGAACAGCAGTGGTGGTAGAAGCATCAACATGCTGCCGGGTCATTGTACTGATATGGTTCGGCGGGAACTTAGCCGGGGATACCGGCTGTGCGTGGCTGCGGGGGCGCAGCGGTGGGACGACTGTTGCAGGTTCTCGGTAGTAAGCAGGTTAGCGGTCGACTATTGGCAAGATGAACGAAGGTCGCCTTAGAAGAGTGGCCTGACAGCTTGAATCCAAGAAGCGCGACAATCGTCTCCAAATAAGTCAGGCAGCACCATGAGGGCTAGAGGTAATGATCCTGCGGCCCTAGAGAGTGCGGCCCAGGGCCTTGTCACTGCCCGCATGCTTTGGGTGACGATCAACGTTCTAGAAGACATTCAAGCCGACTGGGCGCAGAGGCTTAATCTACGAGGAGATACCCGACATGCTAGTACTCTCAATCTGGGCTCCCTGGAACAGTCGGCCAGTGCGAGTGCTACCTATTGCGAGTCTCCTATGGTTTTCTGTGCACGACTAGGTCATACCCACATCCAATACTTTGAAAGAAACCAGCATCTAGGTAAGAAACGAGCTTTGAGTGTAGAGAAGTTGCCTGGCTTTCGGACGTCGACTAATGCCCGAGCATATCGTTGACAAGGCTTGTAGATCGATATTATTTGACCGAAACTGTGCGGAATGGCTGGTTGATCGTAAGGCCCTGCTCCAGAACCCTCCCACGGGGCCGGTGAGGGAGCAATTCCAACGATCTTGGCTTCCCCCGTGCTTTAATTACTGCAGACCATGAAGGGTTTATTCCTTATTGTGCTTGCCGCGATACGATATATCTAGGACGATATTATCTCGGCCTTACCACGAAGGGCACGCGACCTGCAGTCAAGCTCCCGAGTAGCTTACACACGGTATGCCTCAGAGGCGGTCTTGGACGCCTGCAACACCTAGGACGGTAGCAGTAAACGCGCTACGATGCTGACTGATCACTTATAAGTGTCCCTGCACAGGATGCCGGAAAGAAGTCGAGGAAGGGAAAAGCCATGAAGTCCCGCGATTGGACGGAAGAGCATCTCAGCTCGATGACCAATAATAGGCAATGCGCACAGTGGTGGGGCAGCTGGTACCCCTCTGACGAGCTTGCCAGTATCCCACCCTGCTTTCGATCATCTTGAACAAGCAATGATCCCAGGGCTGCTAGTTGGCAGAAGCGCTTGGCTGGAAGACAAAGAGTTACGTCTCAGTGTTCGTTAAATATGAGAATACACATCGCGGAAACAAGCATGGTGAAGGGACAGCGAGGAGCAGTGACTGCTTATACCAGTTGTGGTATGGGTAGCTGATGCGGCATCTTATTCATCACATGCCTAGTCCAAACCCAATGCCACCCGAGCTGATTCAGGTTCGCTATTCCAGCAAAGCGGAATCAGCCTGGCGGTTTCGCATCCCGGCACCATAATCTTGCCAACAACGCGCCGTGTACAAACAAGTCGGATCACCCGGCGAAGCTAGTATTTGACTATCCAAACCCGCGCATAACCTTGGTGGTCGATTAACGTCACAAGTCTGCCCCGTCAAACCACACTGCTCACTTGTCACCTTTCTCGCTGTGATAAGATTTGTCCGTCTGCACTACATCTCCCGTGCCCTCCGGTCCTTATGCCCTGTACACTCGCATCCTGAGATCTGTGTCGGCCTGCTCGACAACATTCCCAGTGGCGGACCTCAGTGGATTCGGGTTCTCCAGCCACTACAGCCTCAAGTAGCTTCACCAGATCAGAAACTCAAATACGCATCGGACTTTCGATTGAGTCCGATATCGAGTAGCTAGACCCTTGCGGCTGAATCTCACTCGACCTCCAAAGAGAGCGCCGTACATCTACCTCCTCACTCACGAAACGCCTTTGCCTTTACCCCTCATTCATCCCACTTTGTCGCTCCGCGAGCAGAAGGTCGCCTGCACGTGTCCACGATGTCGGGCAATCCTCTCAAGAAGTTGACCCAGAAGCTGCACTCTCCGAACGGAGACGGCCGACATGCACGACATGGCAGCGCCGACATTGGGACGCCGAGCAGCCAAAGCCCCCACCGTCGAAGCCTCGCGCAGATCCTCCACCTAGACAATAGCAGTTACACTTCGAGTGACAATGAGTCCGAAACTAGCGACTTCGATAGCGATGGTCCCTCCAAAAATCAGCAGAAGCGACTGGCTACCAAGGCCAAGAAGAAGGAAGCCAGATCCAGGCTCTCGTTGGAGCATCGTGACGACTCGGAGGAACGTAGCAAACAGCGTCTTGAAGATGCCGCCAAAACAGAGACGGCGGACATGAGAGCAAAATACGGCGATCTGCCCGTTATGCAGTCCACGACGCGCGACTCCCAAAAGCGAATCGACATCAACGAAATCACTGATGACATGGTAAACCAGGAGGTCATCTTCCGAGCCCGTCTATACCACGTCCGCAACATGGGTACAAAGCTAGTCTTCCTGATCTTCCGCCAGAAGATCTCCACTATCCAGGGTGTCATGGTAGAGAGACCTGGCCAGATAGGTCCTCTCATGATGCATTGGGCGGAGCATTTGAGAACAGGAAGCATCGTCCTTGTGACTGGCGTTCTCAAAAAGCCCGAAATCCCGGTGAAGTCAGCCTCGATTCACACTGTCGAGGTTCATGTCTCGGCACTGAAGACTATTGTCAAGCGCCAGGAGCCCGTACCTTTTTCGGTCCAGGAAGCCGAGATGGTCGCTCTGGATGATGGGCATAAGGAGGAGGGCCGTCAGAGCCAGATCCCCAACCGCACGCGCCTGTCCAACAGAATCATTGATCTACGAACCACTACCTCCCAGTCAATCTTCCGTATCCAGTCTGGTATCGGGAATCTGTTCAGATCGACTTTAGATGACCAAGGATTTCTCGAAATTCACAGTCCCAAATTGCAGGGAGCTGCTACTGAGTCTGGCGCTTCCGTCTTCACTGTCAACTATTTCGGTCGGAATGCATTTCTGGCGCAATCGCCTCAACTTGCCAAGCAGATGGCCATTGCCTCCGATTTCGAACGCGTGTACGAGATTGGCGCTGTCTTCCGTGCTGAGAATTCCAACACCCACCGCCACTTGACTGAATTCACTGGTCTTGATCTTGAGATGGCCATTGAAGAGCACTACCACGAAATGCTCGACGTGATTGATAACACCCTGAAGGCCATCTTCAAGGGCATCTACACCAAATATCGCCGTGAAGTTGACGTCATCAAGCAGCAGTTTCCATCCGAGGATCTTGTCTGGCTCGAGAAGACGCCGGTCATTCCCTTCAAAGATGCTGTCCAGATGTTGACAGACTCCGGATGGTTGAATGAGGAAGGTGAGCCTGTTTCTCCGCTTGAGGACTTGGGAACTCGCGACGAGATCCGTGTTGGTGAGCTCGTCAAAGAGAAGTACGGAACCGATTACTATGTTCTCGACAAGTTCCCCAGATCTGCCAGACCATTTTACACGATGCCCGATGTCGATGATCCACGCTACACCAACTCCTTTGACATTTTCGTCCGTGGTCAAGAAATCATTTCCGGTAGCCAGCGTATCCACGATGCGCAGATGTTGGAAGACAATATGCGCTTAGTTGGCATTGACCCCGAAGATATGGCTGAGTATATGGAAGGCTTCCGATGGGGAACCCCTCCCCACGGAGGTTGCGGTGTTGGTCTCGAGCGTATCTTGTTTCTGCTCTTGAAGCTGGGCAACATCCGTCTGGCTTCTATGTTCCACAGAGACCCCAAGTCCTTCCCTCCAAAGCCTGTTGTTGAGAAATTGCCATATCCGGATGCTGACACTCTCAACCCTGTATGGAAGCGTGAGCGAGGCAGGGAAACCGCAGTTGAGGATCGTCCAATGCCTGCGGTTGAAGATTTGATTGCCAATTACGGCGATTCCACACACACCTCGTGGGGTGACGAGCGCTTCAAAGTGTGGCGTCATGCCGACACAGGTGCTGCTATCTCTTACGTCGTGGAAGGCTCCCACGCTATTCTTCCCGGGGATCCCCTCTGCGCGGAATCTCAATATTACCGGGTCATTGTCTCCTTCTTGCAGTGGCTCAAGAAGGAAACGCACCTCAAACCCATCTGGATCCTTATCAATACTGCAACCGAAGAAGTTCTGGGCGAGCGCCTGGGATGGAAATCTATTTCTTGTGTTGCTGAGGAGCGCGTTGATCCCAGCAAACACTCTGCGGAGTCTGATCCTGAAGTTGCGAAGAAGATCCGACAAGCACATACCAACGGTATCAAGATTACTGACCTAGATCACAAAGAGCCTGTTCCCGAAAGCATCAAGGAACGCGCCAATGCGCGTGTCAAGGACTGGCTCGGAAACCGCAAGGGGACTCAGATCCATCTGTCGAACATTGACCTGTTCCGGGACGAGAAACATAGACGCTACTTTATTGCCGAGGACAAGGAGGGCACAATATGCGGCATTGCTGTGCTGGCACAGATTGCGCCACAACGAGGGTATGGTCGCGTCATTCTTTTACATTGCACAGACACTGACATATGGCTAGCTGGCAAGCCAAGTACTGCCTCGACTTCCCCGGCGCCCCGTCCGGTACCATTGAGGCGGTCACCACGCACGCCTTGCGAGCAGCCGAGGCTCTGGGTGCTAAGTCTGTCACCTTTGGTGGTGGTGCTGCTCCACATGTTACGCCAGGTCATCACATGTCCGGCACAAAGATGAAGATGTTGGGCGCCACCTACGACGCAATCGTCAAGCAGTTCAACCTGGGACGCAAGTCCGAGTTCAGAGAGAAGATGGGTAAGTTACTCGTAACCGCCGCGCAGTACAAAGAACAGTGCTAACATGACGCAACAGGTGCCAGACCAGACCCCCAGTTCATCGCTTGGCCACCCCGTGGTCTGGGCCGCAAAGGCATCAGCGCCGTAAGTCAAGCTCAGAATACCCGTGGTGCCCTCAAGTACTAACAACTAGCGTGCAGATCATGCACTTCTTCCAGGACGAGTAGAGCTCCACGACGGAGAAGCTACTGCAGACGGCGCTGTCCAGGTTTGTGCCAGAGTCCAAGCGCAGCCACTCCAGGAAGAGAAGAGGCCACGACCCGCGCAACTCGGCCCATCGTCCTCGTTCGAGCGGCGGTGGCTCGGTTCGGCGTGGTGGCAGATGGAGCCTTGCGGCGCTGATGTGCCTCTGAGGTTCACATGGGCTACTAGAATCTTGGCCAGGGCGACGCGCAACAACAACAACACAGGGAGGAGAGGAGTGATACGCACAGAAAGCGGAGCACAATAGAGAGAGACGATGGACCACCGCCGACGTCCCCGAATCCATTATTCCCCCCAGCGGAGCCTGACCCACAGAGAAGAAGACGGCCAGGGTAGCCAGCCCAGCCGCTTCACGGCTGTTGGAAAAACCGCGCCAGCTTGTTGGACGCTGAATGAACTTGCTGGAACAGTCTTAACGAGTCAGAATGAATGCAAATGATTCCATGCCCCCTACTATAGCTACACCGGAAGGAAGGTCTGAGCCAGTGTTGGCTTCACTTGACTCGAACTTTTTGATCTTTGCAAGGTAAATTTATATTGCTCGGATTCGCGCATCTACGTAGCTTTCGTCCTGCTGCCGCGAGGACCCCGTGTGAATGAATGAATAATGAACAGTACCAAGCAAGCATGAGTGTTAAGGTCAGATTCCGATTCCCACTCACTGAGCATGCAGGAAATCACATGTTGTCTGCGTCTGCGTCTGCGTAGGAGTGTAGTAAGCTAGACAAATAAGCGACTTCGGGGCGAGGGGCGGGCACCCCAGCAGCACTGGCGACATGTAAGGGCAAGGCGAGCACATAGAGAGATCTGGAGCTGGAGCTCAAGGTGCGACGAAGTGTTTGGTTTTTGAACTTTTCATCATTCGATTCCATTGTCTATGCTATTACTGAACGCAAAAGCATGAATGTCTTGGGAGTATCTTGGGAGAGCGCTGACCGACCCGGAGGATCGTCAGCAGGGATATCACCGCTACCAATCAATTATTTCCATCAAAAGCCGGGAAAGACACCAGGCGCCACGTAAGACCGCTCTTCCCTCTCTATGCGAATTGAGCACCGAGACCAGGAAAGGGTTCATGCATGTCATCTCGCATCAATCGCTTAGTCGACCTCCTCCATGGTGCTCTCACCAGCTTCGGCGGCAGGAGCATCCTCTGAGGCCTTCTCCTCCTCGGTCTCGGCATCCTCGTCAACGTTGAGACCAAGAGATACGAGCTTGTGGATGCGCTCAGCAAAGCCAGCAGGCTCGTCAATGGTGAAGCCGGAGACGAGTAGCGAGGTCTCGAAGAGCAGCTGTGTAATTGACTTGACGGTGCGGTCGTTCTCGCCATCAGCCTCAACCTTGCGCTTCAGCTCGCGGATGATTGGAGACTTGGGCGAGATCTCGAAAGTCTTCTTGGAGGACATGTACGAGGACATGGAAGTGTCGCGAAGAGCCTGAGCCTTCATGATACGCTCCATGTTAGCAGACCAGCCGAATTGACCAGTGCGGATGGCGCAAGGAGAGCCGATGAGCTTGTGGGAGACAACGACCTTCTCGACCTTGTCGCCAAGGATGTTCTTGAGCGACTTGGCAAGCTCTTCATACTCCTTCTCCTCAGCCTCACGCTCCTTCTTCTCATCCTCAGTCTCCTCGAGCTCGAAGTCCTTGGTGATGTCGACGAGCTTCTTGCCATCAAACTCCTTGAGCTGAGTCATGGCGTACTCATCGATAGGATCAACGAGGAAGAGAACCTCGAAGCCCTTCTGCTTGAGGGTATCGAGGAAGGGAGACTTCTCAACGGCCTTGATGGACTCGCCAGTGATGTAGTACATCTGCTTCTGGTGCTCCTGCATACGGGTTACATAGTCAGTGAGAGAGGTGGACTCCTCGCCGGACTTAGTAGACTGGAAGCGGAGGAGCTTGGCCAGAGCTTGACGGTTCTGGGAGTCCTCGTGAATGCCGAGCTTGATGTTCTTGCTGAAGGCAGAGTAGAACTTGTCGAACTGCTCGCGGTCCTCAGCAATCTCAGTGAAGAGCTCGAGGCACTTCTTGACGATGTTCTTCTTGATGACCTTCATGATCTTGTTCTGCTGGAGGGTTTCGCGAGAAAGGTTCAGAGGCAGATCCTCGGAGTCGACGACACCTTTGATGAAGCTAAGCCACTCTGGAATGAGATCGGTAGCATCATCAGTGATGAAGACACGGCGGACGTAGAGCTTGATGTTGTTCTTGGTCTTCTTGGTCTCGAACAGGTCGAAAGGAGCGCGCTTGGGCACGAAGAGGATGGCGCGGAACTCAAGCTGACCCTCAACTGAGAAGTGCTTGACACCAAGGTGATCCTCCCAGTCGTTGGAAAGAGACTTGTAGAAGGATGCGTATTCCTCAGTGGTGATGTCGGTGGGGTTTCGAGTCCAGATCGGCTTGGTCTTGTTGAGCTCCTCTTCCTCAATCTTGGACTCCTTGACTTTCTTGGTCTTGGGCTTCTTCTCCTTGTCTTCCTCGTCGTCATCGACTTCCTCAATCTTGGCCTTCTTCTCATCGTCATCCTCGACCTCTTCTGCATCCTCGTCGGGGACCTCTTTCTCGGTCTCCTTGAGGACGTGCAGGTAGATAGGGTATGAGATGAATTCGGAGTGCTTCTTGACAACCTCCTTGATCTTGGCCTCGTTGAGGTACTCGGTCTGCTCATCCTTCAGGTGCAGGATGATCTTGGTGCCGCGGCCAAGCTCAGGGCCCTCGGTATCCTGAATGATATTGAAGGTGCCGCCAGCGGACGACTCCCATACGTACTGCTCATCGTCGTTGTGCTTGGAGATGACTGTGACCTTGTCGGCGACGAGGTAGGCAGAGTAGAAACCGACACCGAACTGGCCGATCATGGAGATATCAGCACCAGCGGTGAGAGCCTCCATAAACTGCTTGGTACCCGAGCGGGCAATGGTACCGAGGTTATTGACTAAGTCGGCCTTAGTGAAACCAATGCCAGTATCCTGGATGGTCAGGGTCTTGTTCTCCTTGTCTGGGATGATGTCGATGCGGAGGTCTTTGCCCGAGTCAAGCTTGGAGGGGTCTGAGAGAGCTTCATATCTGATCTTGTCAAGGGCATCTGAGGCATTGGAGATCAGTTCTCTCATAAAGATCTCCTTGTTGGAGTAGACAGTGTTGATGATGAGGGAGAGCAACTGAGAGATCTCAGCCTGGAACTCGAAAGTTTCGGTCGACATGATGGCGGTGATGCGTGCTTTGGAATTGATTGAGAAGCAGCTCTGGAGGATACAAGTTAGCGACTGATTTATGCTTTCGATGATTGTTTGCAGGTGCGAAGTGAGGTTTGCGCGACCGAAGATTCTGGAATCAACGAGCACATGCCAGTCAACCAAGCGGTCCGGCAAGGCTGCAAGGTCAAGCCGCAGACGAGATGGAGACAACAGTTCAGAGCACTTACAAGTGGAGAGAAGGATACTAGGAAGCAAGAGTTAGATCTCTATGCGACTTGATGAGTATGAAGAGGTGTGAAGAAGCAGAAATATGGCTAGGCCTGACTGCTGCGATGGAATTTAATGGCTTCAGAATTTCCATGGACGTAGAAGGTCATGGAAATGCAAAGGGTCCTTTGGCCCCCACAAGTGCCTGCATAGCAACCACTACGCAGCCGTGCTAAACCATTTTGGGATCAGTTCAGCCTCGTCTGCCTGGCGGAGCGCGGAGGCCGAGAGGTGACTGTTGCGACGACCACAGGCAGCGCTCAGTCAGGCTTGGGTCGTTTCTCGGACAGCCAAAGAGGTAGAGGCGTTGGTGCCCGAAACTTGTGGTCCAGCATGATATGTGCAAGCCGAATGATAATGTATTCTAAGCAGCCAGATCATCGTAGAGTTTGAACCACGCTATCTTCAATTCTTTTCATCTTAGATCGATGTGCTTGCTTTTGGGCACGATCACTTCTATGACCCGTAACCACAATTTCAACAGCCTGGTATTTCACGGGTAAGCCTTACTCTACAACCGTGCGAGTCTATGTGCTATCTTGCCCAATGTAGCCAAGCGAGCCGATGCTCCTGACCGCAAACCGTCCTACCATGGTAATGCATGCAAATGCCCCGATGGAGGCACAAACTTACTGTAGGCCCCAATCAATGAAGCCACACCAAAATCAACGTCAACGTCGTCGTCCGGGTCTCATAATGGTGAATATCACGTCAAATCCAGCAGGGCGTCACTCCGAGGTCTGGGAGTCTGCGCTACTGTTCTCGGCGGCGAGCTTCTTTTCCACGGTGGCCAATTTATCTCGCGTGTCTGCCAATTCCGCCTGCAAGCTTTTGATGTACACGATAGCCATTTCGACTGTACTCGCTTTGCTTGCTCCCTGAGCATTGGAAGCAGCTTTGCCGGCAGCGTCCGCTTCAGCTTCGTTTGCGCTCTTCTCCTTCTTCATCATAGGAGTCGTAATTGATGCTGGAAGCAGTGTCTCGATCTCCTTTAGAGCAACGTTGATCCGGTTTCTTCGACCTTGCTCGGCAATTTTGTGTGAAGTGCGCTTCGAGCTCAAGTTTTCCGCCAGTGCTTCTGGATACGACACACCCGGCAGATGGGTGCCATCAATGATGTTCTGATAATTTGACTTTGATGCCAGATACAATGCACTCGTCTCGGCTGACAGGTGCGACATACCGGGACCTGAACGATTAGCCCCAAACTCCGCATGGGACAGATTCCGCTTACCTGACGCAGGTACAAGAGGACTGATGCTGGGCGATATTTTCGGCCGGAGTGCTGGTGAGATGGCTGCAGACGTGGTACTGCCACGTTTCTTTGGTCCACGAGAGGTTCCGGGTCTGCTCTCGATCTTTTGAGGCTTGTTGAATCCGTCTGTCGACCCACTTTTCGGCAGCATGCTTGGCGGCGTACTGCTCGCACTGACTTTGGCAGCTTTGGATGACATAGTTGGGGTTGCTTGCTCTTCACCGGCCGGTCCAACTGAGCCAGGTTCCGACGCAGGGGGAGGCACGGGCGCTGCTGCATCAGGCAGCATCATATCTTCCATGCTGTCCTCTGGTATCACATCCACCGAGTCGGCGCCCGACCCGCTTGAGGTCTGCTTGCTCGGTAGTGACATGAGAGTCATCGGAGTGACGCCGTTGCCCGAGCTGTCTTGTCGAGCTAGACCAAGTCCTCGTGGGGACTTTTCAGGCGGCGGCACAGGAGGTGGACGCATGAGGGATTCGGAGAGAGGCTCGGGAGATATCGAATCATCACTACTGCGCGTGGTATTGCCGAGAACGTGTGCTGGAATGTGTTGAGCTGGCGAAATATCTGCGACCCTAGCCTGGCTGCCGCTCGCCTGATCCAGAGTCTCATTGATCTTGTCGGTGGAGAGATTGGTGAGGGAAGCTTTCCTTCGACGACCAGAAGGTTTCACAACAGGAGACTGCTTCACGCTCCTTGTCCCAGCCCTGGTGGAAACGCTTCCCTTCCGACGTTTATTACGCGGTGCCGAAGTTGGCTTGCCAGCTGAGTCAGTGATGCGATCAATCGGTGACGCTGTGGTTCTGGCAGAGCTGAAGGCATGCTGAGCCTCGATAGCGGGCGAGGTGAGAGGACTGAAAAAGTCATCAGCTGTGCCATACTGAGGCATGCTGTATGCATGAGTAAGAGGCGTCTGTGCAGGCGATACGAGCGGTGTGAAGGAGACCTGAATGAATTAGCTTGGCGCACCACCCGGTTCGCTGGTGACTCTCACCTGCTGGCGATCGAATATGAGTTGCCCGGTGCTATCGACATGCTGGCCATACTTGGCAGCGTGCATCTCAGAGCTGACAGGCGTCGGCGGGACATGGTAGGGATGTTGCATGTGCATTTGCTGGTACTGCTGTTGGAAAAGCTCAAATTGCTGTGCGTTATGCATATGATTCGAGTATGCGCCAGGGCCGCCCGCAGCAGGCATGTCGAGATTCATAGCTTGCGTGACTGTGAAGTTTGCGGGCGACGTGTTGGGCGGCGGGGCATTGGGATGCGAGAAGGCCAGCCGGCCCATAGGCGTGTCAAGGCCGCTCTGCCCATTGTCGAGACCAGCGAACTGGAACTCGGAGTCGAGGTCGAGAAATTTCGAGAAGTCATCGTCGCCTCCGACTCCCCCATTCATGGGATCATCTTGCATTTCTTGAGGCCATATCACCGATTGCTGGTCGTGCTCTTGCGGCATGTTATTACGAGAAGTGTCGGACGGTCGAGAGCCCGCAGGTGGGCTGCGGGAGAGTTCGGCGAGTGCGACACGGTCGTCAGAGAATATTCATGTCTCTTGGATCGAGGGGTCGAAGACCGGGCTCAGCGAAAGCCCCAAGTTCACAGGAAGTCTGCAGAGGCAAAGCTGGGCGCCACCGACGGCGGCAGCAGTTGACTGACGAATTAACGAGCGTCGAGGATCGCGAAGGACAGGTGAAGGAATCTGGTCGTGCCAATGACGAATATTTTGCGCAGGGACGTCGTCGGTGGAATGGTTGGAGGGAGTCGGACGGGATAGGCGTGGTTCAGGTTCGCAGTGGGGTGAAAGCTGTCGACAGAGGTTTACCCACCCACAGTGAACACCCGCGAACCACCGCGAATCACATGGCGAGTGCCCTCACTTGGGGGCGGAAAATTCGCCCTCGGTGCCGGTGCGGTGCACCACCTGGTCAATGCCCGGGATTACCGACATAGGCATTACATTAGCTGCAGACAATCTCCCACGCCAAACCCTTTCCACGTCTCGTCAAGGTGCCTTGCCCGTGTCTCCAGCTGCACTGTACTGCCAGGTGATGAGGCCTTGACTCGCAGTGATTGGCAGGCCATCTCGCTTTGACTCGATCTCCTCGAGAACAAGGACCCGGGATATCTTCTACTTCGAGTCGCAGTTCGACATCGGCCCAGCTCCAAAGCTTCTGCAGCTGCGGATCAGTGTGGTACCCTCCATCATTCAAGCTTCCCAAAGGGTCCCACGGACAAAAGCCACTCTCATCAAGTGGACCATTCCTTTTACCGCTACATTACCAAGCCATCCTCACACACTCCAAGGTTCCAGCACCTGCAGCCGGGTATTTTGGGCGTCTAGCTTTGCAAAATTTCTCTTCAACCGACTCTGGGATATTTGGTGGAGTTTGTCGTTTGGACTTGACTTGCCAACCGTGCACCTTGCCGCCAAACGGAATACGGGCGAGCACCAAGCGTGGGGGTTTTGCATTGCTTGAGACACTCTGACATGACTCTTGACAACGCTTCAGCGACCCAAGACTCAGCCCCATCCGATGAACGCAATCCCTTGAAAAGGCCCCGTCCCAGGCCTGTCATCAGCTGTCTCGAATGCCGGAGAAAGAAGGTCTGTTCTCTCCTCGTGCATAAGGTATCATGGGACTGACAGCCTGAAGTTGAAATGCGACCGCACTTTGCCATGCCGGCAATGCGTGAAAGCCGGGAGGTCGGACGTGTGCGCCTTTCAGCCGGGTCAGCTTCCCGAACCCCGGGATTCATCATACGATGACCCTACTCCCAAGCGATCTCGAAATGATCAGACACGCCCCTTGGCTGTTAATGGCGACGATGCTAGTCCTTCTGAGCAGGACAACGCCACTGTCACCATTCCGCACGATGGTCTGGGCATGTTTGAGAAGCTCCAATTTCGGGTTGCTCATCTCGAGACCTTGTTGGACGTTGATCACACTGTAGGTACAGTCCAACGCAATCTGGCTGATCGTGGTGGTGTCAGGCGTGACCGGCCAGAGGCAAGTCAAGTCGCACTGCCACAACCCGCCATTAGCCGTCACCGCCTGCCGACCACAGTCTTTCCAGACGCTGCCTTCTTTATGCGAGGCTTTGCTGCACAAAACTCGGAAGATCCGAGGATACAAAGAGTCGCAGATGACCTGCGATGTCTGCACTACTCGCTCAAGCAATTTCACAAGAGGCCCCATATCGGTTCCAATTGTGTGGGCTTCATGAACCTCTTGCCTTTGATTCCGTCTCGAGATGTGTGCTATTTACTGTCAGAGCTATATTTCGACAACCTTGAGCACTGCTTTCGAATCTTACACAAAACTACTTTTAACAGACAGTTGAACGAATTCTTCCTCGCTGGCGAAACAATACAGGATCTATCTTTCATCCCACAGCTTATGGCCGTGCTCTCGATGGGTGCGCTGCTCGGTACTCGATCCGAGTGTGTAGATGTCGCGCAGGCCAATGAGGGGCGCCTAATCCCAATGAGTATTGTTTACATCCAGGACTACCTTGATAGTCTGAGTTCAAAGAAACTATACACAATCCCTATACTGCAGACGAAGATGCTTCTCCTCATACTACGGTGGATGCGACTGGACAAAAACAACGATCTTTGGCGTCTATCTGGAGACATTCTGCGGCATGCCCTGATCATGAACATGGACAGAGATCCGAGCCAGCTGCAAGAGCCAACAAGCCCACTACAAGCGGAATTGAGACGGCGACTGTGGATGACAATCGTTGAAGAAGACCTCATGCTCTCCATTCTTAGAAACATGCCTTGCATGGTTCCAGACTTCACCTGCCAAGCTCCGCTCAATGTCGATGATGACGAGTTGCAAGACTTTGGCAAGCCCCCGTCCCCGAGACCTCAAGATGAGTGGAGCGACTCACTATGCCAGGTCGTACTCGCCCAGTCGGTGAAGGATAGGCTACATGCTTGTCAAGACCTTAGGTCAACGCACTCGATTCGCTACGAGCATGTCTTGGACCATACGCGATCGTTCGAAAAGATCCTTGAGACCTTACCCGCACCTCTGCGCTTCAGCCATCAAGACAACATAGCAAGCAAGGCGCCGTCGCGCTTGATGGCAAGAATGGAGCTAGACATCTCTATCAGACGTCCCCTGATGCATTTGTACTCACCTTTTGCGCATGCAAATAACGAGCGTGACGAGTTCTCTGAGGCCCGGGCTGGCTATTTGCAATCCTGTTTGATGCTTGATGTTTATCAGGACCTGTTCGATCCCAAATACTCGGAATTGGGTGTAGAACGTCCCGACGGCTACTGGGACTTCTTCTATAATCTTTATCGCAGTGAGTTGCATCAAGCCGTGTCAGGCATTTGTCTCGAGCTCAAGCGTATTTCGACTTCATCCCAACCAGATACTCCCATCCCGACTTCTGGACTGCTCAAGACTCAGACTTACAGTCGCGCCAGCCTCATTCATGCCATCAAGGACACATTAGAACCGATGGTCAGGAGGATCGGTCACCTTGGCGCGGATCTGAAGGAGCTCAGCTATCTGACCATCGTCTTCAACTCTGTCAAATCTGCACAGTACGATCCTGGCACAGTGGTCGAAGCTCTCGAAGATCTTGTTGCGGCTTGCAAGCTCCAGCTGTGCCGCAACAACATCCCGATCATCCAAGATCAAAATAATGCGGCAACTGATACGAGTGGCTGGACACCGGGGCCCGGGAACGATATTGCTTGGACTGATCTGGCAAACTTCCCCTTCGAGTTTGACTATGGGAACGAGATGAGCTTCGACTTATCATAAGATCTAGGAACGACGACAATGATGAAAGCCAACGCCTGGTTTTGTGAAACATCAAGAAGACTTCTATTCTGAAGCAACCGAGATCAACACGTCCGTCACGCTGAGATCACCGGAGTCCGCCCATCCCACTCGCTGCTTTCGACGGCATCAAGGAGAAACCTTGCCACAGTCGGTGCAGATATCGAGGGCATGAATCCGGCCAGCTCGCCTTCATCACCCAACTCCTTCACAGCCGTGACTTTGTCTCCCATCAGAGCGCACGACCTAACCAGAACGAACCTCAAGCCACTAGTCTTCACCACCCCATCCACAGCATTGCCATCCGCAATTGTCTGATCCATGGCCGAATTGTTGAAAATCCAGCGCATTAAGAAGTTGTTGTTCTTGAACGACTCTCCCACTCCAAACAGAGACATCACAACAATCTTCGGAATGCTGTTCTCCTTGGCTACGGTAACTGCGTGGACTGTAGCGTCCGCCATAAACCGGGGCGGCGAAGTTGGCGCGGCCCAGGGACTGCCAGACTTTCGTGTCTGGCCGAGGGTTGAGACAATAGCTGAGATGGGGCTTTGAGCTGCCTTAGCAGCGCGTCGCAGGTCACTGAGCTCTAAAGGCGTGCCTTCGACGATGGTGAGACCTTGCGTTTGCTCGAATGAGGCGGCTTTGCGGACCAGGACAGTGACCTCGATGCTTCTGTTGAGCGCCTCGCTGACTAGTAATCTTCCTGTGCGCCCGGAAGCACCGAGGACAAGAACCGATGTTCTGGTTGTGGACATTTTGATGTTGCTGTAGCAATCTATTCGGCTTCTGGCGTGGAGGGTGTAAGTTCGGGTGGTCGTCAACGTTCTCGTGGTTTGGCGGTCTTTTTCACTTGACTGGAGCTTGGAGTGGTACTTATCTGCGGTACGAGATGATGTGGGAATAGTAGTGCTGCGAGCTCCAAGCGAGATATATGCGTACTGTACGGGTGGCCCTATTTATCTCCGACGTGTTGCCATACACTCGCATCTACCGTCGTCCTATCTGGAGGCTCCGGAGATGTTTGGCGAGATGGCCCCCATATGCGGATCCGACCAGCGTCCCCGCTTCCTCCGATCAAGTCCGACCCGCCATCTCTGCGCTTCACGACTGCTCCGGCACTGGGACATCCTCATATCGGGTTACATGGCCATTGTGGAAGGACCGAACAATCTTCAGACCGAGTTTGCGGTACCTATGTGATTTGTTTGCAATAATGGCGATGCACCAAAGCTATGCCCAGTGTATGCGCTCGGAGTTCCCAGTCTGCTCCGGTGCGATACTCGTCCGTACCAGGGTCAAGCGGCGCATCAAGCAACTTCGCCCTTGGGTTGCGAGTTTTGTGGAGAGACACATGCACCATGGGAGGACGCCTGACGCCTACAAACTCGTATAAAGAAGTCCGCTCAGTCCTCGGGTGCGCTGATATTCCAATTCGACAGTCAGCGGCGCACATTTAGTACATTCATACCTCTCAGCAAGCGTCAAAGCACCAACATCATGGAAACTATTGGTATCATTGGCGGCGGCATAGCTGGTCTCAGCACAGCCCTCGCTTTGCGCTCACAGAACATTCCCAGCGTCATCTACGAGGCCTCTACAGCGAAGGAGCGCTTTGCTGGAGGTATCATGCTCTCGCCAAACTCCCTTCACATCCTGGATCAGCTCGACATCTACAGCCGCATCCGTGCGAAAGGATGGTCGTTTCAGACAGTGGAGTTCACTGAACCTGACGGGCAATCGGTGGACAAGCAGTATCTTGGCTCGAAAGAAGTCTTTGGCTACGATGCACTTCGCATATACCGTAACACTTTGTTGCAGTCACTCAAGTCTGCATGCGCTGAACGCAACATCCCCATTCAATACTCGAAGAAATTCACCTCGATCGTCTCCGAGACATCCTCTGCCGTCACTATCGGCTTCGTTGATGGCACTCAAGCCACGCATGCCCTTATCGTCGCCGCCGATGGCATCCACAGCAAGGTCAGAACTGCGGTGATCCCTAACAGCGACCCAGTGTACACAGGCATTCTTGTTGTCGCTGGGGCTGTCCCACTGTCTGCTCTGGCCAACCCAAAGAACATGTCCCTCACTCAACCCCTGGCGGAGGCGGGCACCCACAGCCAACCCGCCTTCATCATGGCCCCGCAGAACCCTGATGCTACCGACTTCCTTGCGGGCACTCAGCGCCGCCATCCCGAAGAGGACCGTGAGGGTTGGGCCCGCATTGCGGCCGACCGGAAATTCCACCGGGAGTTCTTGCTTGAGGGCCTCGAGCATCGCAGCGAGCTGATGCAGTCTGCCGCCAAAGGAATCACGGATGAGAGCATCTACACCTGGCCCTTCTACATCTCGCCGAAGTTGGAACGATGGCATAGCGAGAAGGGCAGGGTGGTCATAATCGGGGATGGCGCCCACTCTCTGTCCCCGGTCATGGGCCAAGGTGCCAATCAAGCGATGGAGGATGCCTGGAGTTTGGGGCTGCTACTGGGAAAGATTGGCTCCGAACGCGACGGGGAGAACTGGTTGACTTATCTGGACAAGTGGGAAGCGGTCAGAAAGGAGACGATTGGGAAGTTGTTGGCCTTGACAGCGAAGATGAATAATGCTCGGGCGCCGCTCGAGGTCAGGGAGAAGTTGAGCAAGGACGAGGTCTGGACTGGAGAAGGGGGCGCCGAGGCCATGAGGTGGTTGTTCGTGCCACAGATAGAGGAGTGGGTTGGTCAGATAGTCGAAGGGGCGTCCAAGTGAGCACCGAAGCGAGAAACCGGTAGGTCTGCCAGTGATCTGAGGAGGGTTTCCATAGGGTAACCTCGATTCACCGCCGTGATCAATCCGAAGTCGAAATCGAAGCTTCGCCTCCGTTATGCACAACCTGGATACCTCACTGGCTTGAGCGTGTGCTCGCTGATTTTCTCGCCTCAAATGACCGCCAGCTAGAAGCGAAGGGTGTGAACTTGGTCTCGCTCCCTCGACCGTGCATGTTTGCACTAGTCTCTAAAGAAGGTATCTAGGCACCGTTGGAATGCAAGTGATAGGGGTAACCCCGTCCATAGCTGTCTTACCGAGCCTGGGGTGTGGGGAGATATGGATAGCTCCTTGGTCTCTGCTTTACCGAGCTTGATTTGATTGCACCACAAGCCTTCATCCACTACGCTGTAGACATCAATGCTGCGGATTCGCTTCCGGCCCTCGGTCAACCATAAAACCGTTTCGTCAGTACCTTTCGTTTGCAAGGCTTATACAGTGGCTTGAATGCGCCCGGGCACGTCGCGCCCGGAGGGAACCCAGAGGCCGAGCAACAAGTTGCTTACATGCTTAGGCTCATTTGAAGGCGGCGCTTCATTTGAATCAGCGAGCTTACAGTTAAAGTGCTGCCTGAGCACTCCAGGTAGAGCTATACCGAGAAGCTCGTGCATACAAACGGAAGATCTTCCTGACAACACAGTATGTCGTGGTTGACGCAGGTACCGGAGTGGCTATAGGTCAGCTGATACCAGATTCTGTTTGGAGGCGGGCACAGCCCTCGCCTCGATATTCGATATTGGGTTCCCCTCGCTATTCGAGTATCGATCTCTACGCCCTTTATCCCTGTCGCGGATGGTGCCGAGGGGACAGAATATGGCATGGTCTGCTCGGTGACCTGCCCAGATCCGCATGGTCATCCGCTCCACCTCCGCACAAGACTAGCCCTTACCCCGGAATCAACAACCGCAGATTTCCTCGCTCAAACACCGCAGGCTGTTGTGTACGCGAGGTCGTAGTGTACTGAATGAATGCAAGCTACCGGTCCTTTTCACGGGTATTGCTATCATAGCCTGGTGGGCCATCAACCTTATGGACCTGTGTAGTAGATTGGGGTACTTGCAATGGCTCCCAGGCGCTCCAATCACCTAGTCTGGCTGAACTGACTGGCCTCTAAGCTGGTTTCAGAACGGCACAGCACTCACGGCCAACTGAACTGTCAAGTATATATACCTGAGCCTCGACACCCTAACCGCAGACAACGACAACGGCCGTGTTCCTCTCATTCGCTCTTTACTGCACAACTTTGCAACATGGAAATGCTCAGGCGCTTCTTCATTTCACTCCTTCTCTGCACCTCTCTCGTTCTTGCGGCGGATACTGCAGCATGGAGATCCCGCAATATATATTTCGCACTGACCGACCGAGTCGCACGGTCTGAGAGTGACAATGGTGGCTCGGCATGTGGTAACCTTGGAAACTACTGTGGCGGTACATTCAAAGGTCTCGAGTCTAAGTTGGACTACATCAAAGGCATGGGGTTTGATGCCATTTGGATCACACCTGTCGTCAAGAGTAAGTTGCTCTTCCTCTGAGAGCTGCACGCTGACGGGGATCGTAAAGACAGCGCAGGAGGCTACCACGGCTATTGGGCTCAAGACCTATATGCAGTGAACGAGAACTATGGCACAGCAGATGACCTGAAGAGCCTTGTTGATGCTGCTCACGCAAGGGTAATTACACTGAAGCTCACTGCCGCCGCGTACTGACTTACCCAGGGCATCTACATGATGGTCGACGTCGTCACCAATCACATGGGACAAGGTGCGATCAGCGATAATCGGCCTTCCCCTCTGAACCAGGAGAGCTCATACCACCCTTACTGCGACATCAACTATTCAAATCAGGACAGCATCGAGGAATGTCGCATCGCAGGACTGCCTGACGTCTACACGGAGAAAAGTGAGATCCGAACACTCTACCAGGACTGGATCAGATGGCTCGTTGCCGAGTATGGCTTCGATGGAGTTCGCATCGACACTGTGAAGCACGTCGAGAAGGATTTCTGGCCCGGCTTCGCTCAAGCAGCAGGCGTCTACTCTGTAGGCGAAGTCTGGGATGGCAATCCAGAATATCTTGCTGGCTACGCATCATTAATGCCTGGCCTTCTGAACTATGCGATCTATTACCCAATGAACAACTTCTATCAACAGAAGGGCTCAGCGCAGGCCATTGTCGACATGCATTCGAGGATCGACTCTCTTTTCCCGGACCCGACCGCGTTGGCCACCTTCCTGGACAATCACGACAACGCGCGGTGGCTGTCGCAGAAGAATGATGTCTCTCTCTTCAAAAACGCTCTGGCCTATGTCATACTTGCTCGCGGAATCCCTATTGTCTACTATGGTTCTGAACAGGGTTACGCTGGTGGCGCGGATCCGCAGAACAGAGAAGATCTCTGGCGCTCCAACTTCAACACGGACGCAGACCTATACCAGGCCATCAGTCGCATATCTAGCGCACGTTCTGCTGCAGGCGGCCTGCCCGGCAATGACCACCGTCATCTATACGTCTCCAACAACGCATACGCCTGGAGCCGAGCCGGAGGTGACGTGATTGTTTTCACCACGAATACCGGCAGGGGCACGGGCGGACAGTATTGCTTCAATTCTCAGCGGAACAATGGGCGGTGGAACAACGTCTTCGGCAGCGGAGTGGTCACCTCTGATGGCAGCGGTAACCTCTGTGTGAGTATCAATAACGGCGAGCCTGTTATCTTGGTCGCTGGCGAGGGAGGTGGCGGTAGCACCACTACCTCTGTGCCCACGACTACCAGAAGCTCTACGACCTCAAATCCCACAACCTGTCCCACAGCGGTCGCGGTCAACTTCAACGTGCGCGTGACCACGCAGTTTGGTGATACGATCAAAGTGGCCGGAAATGTCGCAGAGCTCGGGAATTGGCAGCCCAATAACGCCCGCGCATTGGATGCCGCCGGCTACTCGACCAGCAATCCCGTGTGGAGTGGGGTAGTAAATCTACCCGCTGGGCAGACGGTGCAATACAAATTCATCAACGCAAGAACCGACGGGAGCATCAGCTGGGAGAGTGACCCCAACCGCAGCTACAGTGTGCCCACATGCCAGGCGAGTGCGACCGTCAGCGCGACCTGGCGGTAAAAAGAATTGCGGAATCAGGATATCTCCGGTAGGGGACAGACACACCTTCTATTCTTTCAATAGCATTCCACAGATTGGATGAATTAAGTATCTTTTTTTTCCACTTTCCCAACTTCTACGCAGCTACTATGCCCATGAACCCCGAAGGCACCAGCCCCTCCTCCACCATCTCCGCCACCTGCTCTCGGACCCACGCCTCCTCTCTTCCCGTATCACTGCCCAACGGCGCCTCGGGCGACTTCCCCTGCAAGACCTGCGCGACCGTGCTCCGCAAGCCCGCCACCGCCTTGGCATCGTCCTCGTCTTTGTTTTCGTTCTCACCAGCCTGCAGCCGGCTCGCGTTGCGGTAGAAGACCTCGGCGTTCTTGAGCAGTTGCGTCGCGTTGCTGACCGCGGCGGGGAAGGAGATGGGTGCCTGGCCCAACATGTACAGGTGCAGGGATGCGTCGCCGCGGAGGAAGTGAGTGCGTGCTGTGTCTGTGGCGGCGAGAGCGGGGAGCTTGCTTGCACGAGTTAGCGAGGCCACGGCGGCGGAGAGGGCGGCCCAGCGCTGCGGGGCGAAGGGGTAGGAGGTCTCTGCTGGCTCGGCGTTGGGGGTTTCGGCGAGGGCGGTGGCGTAGAGGATGAGAGCTTCGGCGTGCGCGGTGAGGGCATCGGTGGAAGGGTGGGACTGGAGTTGCAGCTCGGGTACCGCGAAAGCGGTGGTGAGTTCGTCGTGGTAGGTGCTGGCGTCGAGGGTCAGGTGACGGAAGCCGGCCTCGAGCAGGCGGCTCATGAAGTTTCCTTTTGTGAGCGCGATTTCTTGGAGACGCGGCGCGGAGGCGTCGGCGGCGAGGGCCGGGAGTTTGCTGGTGAGCATCTCCTCTGGATAGGAGCCGAGCCAGGCGAGAGTTGGGGTGGCAGGGGCGGGGAAGGTGCCGGCGATGATGCTGCAGATGGTTGTGAGCGTACTGATTTGAGCGAGGATCGTCTCGATCAAGGTGTCGGGGGTCGTGGGCGAGAGGACGGAAAACCATTGGTCCTCTGCGGCAGCGGTCGTTGAAGATGGGGCACTGGCCTGGGAGGTGGCTGCGACGGCGGTGGGAGACGCTGTCTCCTTCGCGGGTTGGGAAGAATCCTGCCCCTGTGATTCGACCATGGCTCGCCGTTGTTGCTCGGTTTCTTCGTACTCGAGTTCTTGCACACTTAGACACCGGTTTTGCATCTCAAGGGCTTCTTCCAGAAATTGTAAAGCATCGTTAGTGCGGTTGTCATCTTTGGCGAGCGCCTCGGCGATGCTGACAAGAACTTGTGCGGTGTTAAAGAGGGTGTCGGCGTTATTGGGATCGAGGTCGAGAGCATAGCGATGCGATATGAGCGCTGCTTCGAGGACTGACGTTAGAGGACGGTCCGCGTGGCGGACGAGGGTGGGGTGAGTGGCTATCTCCAGCTCTACGCGCGCTCTGGACGCATTGTCAGTCCTGAGCACCTTATGAGCAATTAGAGTAGTACTTGTTGTAAGCCAGATCAAGGTTTCTGCTGTATTTGAGAAGACCCTGATCGTAGATCTCGATAGCCCGATAGAAGAACCTCAAAGATTTCGTTGCGTCGCCGGCGCGCCACTTGCCCGCAGATTCCTCATGCTCGACCCCCGCTACATGCTATCAACAGCTGATCCAAGAGTCCTGGAACAGACGCACCTGCAAGATAATCATCGGCATCCTCCAAAATCTACCGCTAGCATGAGTATTGTGGCTCTGACCAAGGTTAGCCTACTCACCTGTTCCTTTTTCTTCTTTTTACTCTGCTTGATCATTGTCTTCGGCCTAGACATCTCGAAGACCTCTTGGATGATCTGGGTAAGGGTTCTTGAAGACGGTGAGTCCTTGCGCATGCAGTTGGATGTCGTTGAGATCATCATAGAGACCCCGAATCTGGTCGTCAAAATGCCAAGCTTTGCCTGAATTCTGCCTTAATATCACGCCTGTGAGGCGACTTCTCGAAATTCAAGTGAGTTGCTATGTATTGCGGCTGTCCCGTCAGGAAGCTGAGTGATAAGTCATGACCCGTGGCATCTCTATTGCTATATGCACGCATCCAACGCCGTCTATGCCTCAGAAGCCCGTTCTGCTCCCACTGCCGCGCAATCATCCCAAATGTTTTCGTAGCCCTTCCATGACGCTGAAAATGATGGCAGAGCTCGGCGCCGCCCGAAAAACCGTGATCCCACAACCTCTATAGAAACCCCGCACGCCAGACTGCTTCCAGAGATCTTTCCCAATGCCCAGGAACGTTCCTTTCTTCGCGATCCCAACCTCTTCTGTCTGCATTCGACTCTTGATGGTATCAGCAGGATAGAAGGCAAAGTTATAAAGCATGCCTGCGACTGCACCTGCCGTCATTTGCTGCCATACTTTCACATCCTCAGGCTTGTGAAGCGAAGAGTCGTACTTGAAGTACAACATCTTGACGCCTTCATACGAGCCAAACCAGGCTGCGGAGCCGCCAGTCTCGCGGATCAAGGTGCCGAGCTGGCCATGCCAGAAGCCCAATAAACCATGTGTCCGGAAAACATTCCCTATGATTTGCAAAATACTGGGCGACTTCAGCAACTGGCCGGCTGATGTTGTCGGTACTTGCATCTTGCACTTGACTAGTTCGATAGGCGTAAGTGCGAGGGAAGTAAAGGCTCCAGATGCTGCACCGCATGCCAACAGATAGACGAATGGCAGCTGGACTTTGTCCTTCTGGCTCTCATTTTGTTGCTGGAGAGACGGCAATAATGATGCGACGGCATCCTGTGCTAGTCGGTAGCTGAAGAAAAGGCACGAGGTCTCGACGGCCGCTCCGACCAAAGGTGCGCTGATACCTCGGTACAGATTGATCAGAGGTCCCTCAGGTGCACGGAAGGCGGCTGCAAATGCGTCGAGCGGACCATGAAGCCGCGCATGCCCAGATTGAGCGTTTTGCGATTGTAGCCGGACCTTGACAGTGTCGAAGGGATACTCAATGAACTTTCCCAATACACCAGCCGTTGAGCCGAAGACCACGTCTTTCAGGGCTGCGATACTCTGGACCTGAACATTTTTGGCCTGTTCCAGCGGCACAGTTCCAGCTAGACCGTGCGCTTGTGCTACGTCATCTTTAAGAGCTGCCATACGGCCAGCGGTATCTTCTGAAGATCAGACGTGAGTTCGTGTTATCGGGGGCAGCATGGTGTGTCTTAAAGTGACTCCTCTTAGAGGTAGGGAAAGTGGATTGAGCCGGGCTCGTCACGATTGACACGTCAGCATTATAGAGTCGGCCTGAATGTTCGACCACAACGATAATTAGCAGGACTAGTAGGACATGCTGCGCTGGGCAGGCAAATTCTGCAGGTTTGCGTTGTTTTCTGCGCAGACCGCTGAATCGCAGTCTACGACTGATCAAGATTAGATTAGATCCGAAATTTTCGCCCGCTACTCCACTACCAACGTCCACCCATCGTTCCCACGCTACGAAGAGGCCCAAAGATCTTCAGTGCCCCAATTCCGTCACACGATCAACACTTCCGATAGTCGGAAGTCATGTCGGTAGAGGAGCAGACTCCGGCAGCGACTGTCGTGCCGACTTCGAAAGCGGAACCGCATTCCTTGAGAAAGAACGGTGAGCACTGCCATTTCCGACTGCTGGCCTAGAACTAATAGCGATACAGGAAAGCAATGGCACAATCCAAAGAAGCCATTTCGGCCAGCTTCTGGTCAGTCATCCTACGCCAAGCGTAAGGAACGCGATGCAACCAAAGCAGCCAACAAAGCCCTTGAGCAAGAAATGAAGGAGGAAAAAGTGGCCGAGCGTGATCGAAGAATCCAGGTAATCAAAGACCGCCGGAACGCAAAGGAGGAAAAGGAGCGTTACGAAAAGATGGCCGAGAAAATGCACCAGAAGAAAGTCGAGCGGAGGAAGCGGAGGGAGAAGAGGAACAAACTACTCAACAGCTGAACATCTCATGCGATTGCCATTTCCCTCCAACAACATTATCACTCGAGCGATGCCGCCATCATTTGGACTCGTGACTAACCAAGTCAACGGCACATGGCTGCTCCGTACTGGTTGCCAAAGTGTATGAAAGACGGTCTTTCCTCGGAGCGTTTTAGCCTAGCCGCGAGGCGTGAGCTCAGACGCTGAGCGGCCAACCATCTCGAGGCCATTACACTGGCAATACTACGGTGCTCCAGAAATCGCCGGCGTACACCAGGTACTGCCGTTAGTACTATGCGGCTCAAGTTTTGGATGTTTGGCTTCGACGCTGCGAGCCCACTAAAGTCTTGGGGCCAGAAATACATAGGTTGAAAGGGCCAGCTCAGACAGGCCATTTGGCGACGATGAAGGAGTTTCAGCAAACTGCCCAGGTCCTCTTGATTTGCAGGGACTTCAGCTCGCCTGGTCGCTTTTTGATGGTGTTCCAGGTGCAGGTCGGAAAAGGCTTATGGCTACAATGCGCTGGGTGGCCGACAATTTCTTCGAGCAACAATGCTGTCCGTCCTTCTGGTCCCTCCAGGTTGCTCTCGATAGTTGCCCCTTGTGCAACTGGTAGGGAGGCTCACAGTAAGTGATCTGATTCTTGCCAGCAAGCATGGTCAAGGTTAAGGTTGAGTCGGTTTTGGTTGAATATCTGGTACCACACCATGACCTGTTTGAAGCCAGTATTCAAGCTTCAGGCAGCAAGGCTGAGGAAGGCGCTATCACGAGGCTGAGGGTATCCAGTCAACGCTCGCAAAAATGTCTATGCGCACAACTTCACCTTCCTTCCACAAACTTTCATGGGGCCTGCTGGGCTACTTAACTGAATCCTTCTGTCAGCTCTCATACTCTACTTATGTTGTGAACCTCTTAACCCAGCAGCATGGATCCTGAAAAGGAGGCAGCAGTTCCAGAGGGTCTTCCATTCCCTGGTGGAAGCCCCCAAGTTCATTCGCCTGACAAAGATGTTGCTCCTAAGGGCCGCCCAGTCTCCTTGAAAAAGATCAAAGAAAGTCACGTCCAGCAATTTTACCAACAGTACGTACAGGAGGCTGCGCAGAAGCGGCAGATGGCGCCTAGCGACTTTACGCTCGAATTCCGCAAATCTCTCTGGGGCGCTGCTGTGAAGTCTGCCAACGAACGCATCAACCATATTCGTAAAGGCCTGCTAAGGAACACTCAACCGTCGCAATCACCCAGCAAGAAGCCACTAGTTCCAACTCCTGAGCCGACGTAAGTTTTGACCTGCTACCTTAAGTCGCTCAGTCTGCTGGACTTAAGGCTGACTTCACTGCTAGCGTAAACCCCATCGTTCTTCAACAGCCGCTCCCAACTCGGCCTGTTTCTTTCGATTTCGACCTCAAACCAGAATTGCACTCTGACAACCCCTCACTGGCTCGTCCAAAGTCTGACGAGATGTCAATCGCCGATCTCTGGGCTCACAAGCTCACCGATGAGCAGCTTGAGCACATGAAATCGTTCGAACCGGACTCTGAGATGCAAGAGCTGCTGTTGAGCGATATCACACCTGGTAGCGGTGATCCTTTTAGTGACAACTCAGCCGATGGCCCGGGTGGTAGGGGCTCCTTGTTCGGTGCTCGCCAGGCCAACTACGACCTTCCTTCTGCTGCACCTGCTGGTACATATCCCATCCAGGATCAGACTCTTCCAGCTCAGCGCCCAGGCAGCAATCCATCCGGCAATTTCCAACAAGGTACATACGTCGAGTCGCCAGCAGGTTTGAAAGAGCCTAGGATGCAGAATAACAATTTCGACCGCGCCAACATGGACCAGCAGCATACGCAGGATGGCAACCACGCTACTCCTCAGCCCGGCGGCATTCAGTCGATGCTAGAGTCTCAATTCATGCAACCCAACCTCCACAGCTACTCTCACACCCACGGCTACCATCAAATGTCGCCTGCGTCTAACACCATGCGTAGTGCAGCACAGACTCCTTCTCAGACTGGTGGCAACGGCCTCGCCTCGCCTCAAGCTCAATTCGACCGCGCTGTGTTGATCAATGATAACCTGCAAGCTGCTCCATTCACAGGTTTCAGCCAGCTACCGGTCGACAAGAATGCAGATGGAGATTTGCCTGCGGATTTCAACTTCTCTCTGCCAGGCACGCATCGGAATCCGTTCGAGACCGACGGCCCGCCCAAGTCCGCTGTGGAAGCCAAACAACGCTTTCAAGTCCACATTCACCAGCTGAACGATCTGCACCGAATCCGGAAGGAGAACAATGATCGTTTCATGTTCAGTTACTTGGAGCAAGGTGTGTGGCTGTATCAGGCCATATATGAATGTCTGGCCATCACGACCGGACTGCGAACCCTGACTGACTTGTTGGCAAAATACGATGTCGCTCACGATCAGCGTATTCTATACCACATGGCGGTCTTCATTCATGGTCCCTTGGTTCCGGGTCTGGTCAAAGCAGGACCTCGCCTGGCCACGTTTGTCCAGGACGCCTTGAAATCGGTCCATGATCCCGAGTTCAGACCTGTAGCATTCAACAAGGTGACAAACCTGTTCTACACTACCTTCTTAGGTGCCAAAGCGCGTCTCATGGTCATCGATTCCCAACGCAAGGATAACCCGGCGCACTTCACAACCTTGCCTCCGCAGACATTCAAGGAGTTGTTGCCTATCACCAGCGGTAACATGTATGCCTGGCTGGCGCCTGGCGCAGATAATGAACTAGGTATCTACGATCACGTATGGCCGCCGACTGGGCCTTTTTGAACATAGGCATGCACGAGTACGATAGCTTCATCTGCAACAGCCAGCAAACTGACCCAGCTGAACATAATCATCAGCTTGAGAGACCTATGAGGCACACTCAGTCATCACAGGAGATAAGGGAGCGAGATTGCATGTGCATTACTGGCGTTACTGCACAAGATTAGTCAAGGGACGCTGAGCGGAGACGACCACCGAAATGGAGTATGGGGTCTCTTTATTTACACCGAAGTGTCTTTGCATGGTTTTGCACTTGTCGCACGCACGACAGGCATCCATCAGCCGTGGATAGAGATACGCAGAGTCGGCTGGCTATCAGGGATTCACGAAACGCACGACCAATACGACTGATACCCCCAAAAGGATAGGATAGGCGCAAGAAATCACAAGCGGATTCATTGATTAAGCTACCCTTGCGTGTAATGTCTATTTCATCTTGTAGAACAGTTTGTAGTACATGGGTATCGTGGTTCATAACTCGTTGAGCACCCGCAGGATCTCCGGTTCCTCGGTTCTGACCTGGCTTTCGATGGGATGGGTCTGTACAAGTGGACTTCTAGAATTTCGGTTCCGCTCCTCGATCTCCACCAACACCCTCTTGACATCTTCAGGAATACGTTCCTTCGCGCCCTCCAGCTTCCTCATACCAACGGCGAGACTAGTGTTGTGAAGCACATTTCCCTGACCAGGCGCGATCAGGTCCTTAATGGCTGCCCTCCCAAGCCAGACCTCCTTTGCGACAACGATGGCGACAACCAAGAAGACCACACTTCCCGCCATTCCCCAGACTCTCGCCACGAAGCGACTCCAGACCTCTTGCCTCTGCGATTCTTCCTCTTCCCATTTCTCAACTTTCGCCCGCGCCGTCTCCAGCCGCTGGCCCATCTCCTCCGCCAATCGTTGCACCTCTTTGCCCCTACTTTCAAGTTGCTTGGCCCTCTCGTCTCTCTCCTCGAATCCTTTTCTCAAATCTGAAGCCTTGCTCTTGACCATGTCATCAATCTTCTCGGCCTCCCCTTCGAGATTCCTAACCAGTTGCCCACTCTGTGTGCTCAGGCTCTGGAGGCTCTGAATGACGCTCGCCAGATTACCGACCTTTTCAAGCAGATTGTAATATCCATAGTCCAGCCTTCGCGTGATTTCCATGCCTCGATGACCGATCATCTGTAGATCCTCACGTAATTCGTCCTCCGCTGCCGCAATGTCCTTGTCTTTCGCAGCGACGTCCGCGTTCGTGAGTGTGAAGCGTCGTTGGCGTCGTAGGCGATCCGCGCGCTCGAGATCGAGTTCGATTTGCGTCTTTGGGCGCGCAGCGGCGCCAAGATTGGAGACATCGTGAGACGGGGCGCGGGGGTCGGAGGTGGCACGTCGTCGCAGCGCATCGGTCGGGCGGCTAGCGTTGTAGCCAATGTATGTGGCGTCGCCGGCTGCAAAGCCGCGATGATACGAGCGTGTCGAAGGGATGCGGGCTAGTGCAGCGGCAGAAGGGTGTGACATAGCAATTAGGTCTGCGGGGGAGGGGCGTTGGGAAGAAGACTGGTCTACGGGGGTTCCCTCGTCGCGAAGGTCGCGGGTGCGCAATTTGCTTGAGTGCACGGCTGCACTGTGTTGGCTATGCGAATTCGTGTAATGGTGCTGCTCGGCCAGCGACTGGGTATATCGATGAATCTTGTTGCGGCGTCGTTGAGTAGCGTCGTCCTGCGCATGATGATGGTGCATCCTGCTGGGCAGATGAATGCGGTGGTGTTTGTCCGAAGCGGACCGCTCGGACTTCTCTAAATTTGATGGCTTCTTGGAGTCGCCATGAGTATTGACTGCACCGTGAGGCAGGAGGGAGTGTGAGCGCGTATGCTGCGGACCCGCGGGCCGCAAGCTCGCGGAGCCAGCCGGAGACGCATCTTGGTACGGAGACGAATGGGATCGGGAACGATGGACGGTGGGTCGCATGTGCTGGTGATCCTGGAGATGGCTTATTGGGAAATCCATTGCCTGCTATAATCCGCTGAGCTCATCTGCATGGCGCTGATACGGAAGTTGACGATGTGAAGTCACTTTTGCGCCGCCATGCCAAGATCCGGGGTACCAGCCTTGCAGGGTTGGACGCCGGAAAAAGGGGCTACGATTGACCAAGATTGGTCAACTTCCGCCTGTCCAATTACTTCATGTGCAACCCCCTTCGCACGGAGCGATACGCAGCTAACGGAACGAAGCAACGACATGAACATTTATCCCGGTATCAGCCAAGAGTCCTTGGGTGAAGTAGCGGGTTTGTTCCGGAAAGAATTTGGTAACCGACAGCATGCCATGCCCTCTTGGGTATCATTGACCACATCTAAGCCTAATGCTATGTCTTTGACACTTCCGTTACAAATTCACCTCACCTCGAAAGTGCAATGTCGTCGATTCGTAGAATCAACTTCACCGTCTCGGCGGCCAGCTCGATGGCGCTTGTACTGACCAACAAAGGCTGCAGTACGTTCTCCTCCGCAATGTTTGTCTTGACACCGCCACTCCGGACGCTCACGCCGGCGTTCTTCTCTCCAAGGTCGTGACGATGTCTCAGTTCAGTGACCACTTTGATGCTGTTGAGCCCAGCATTCTCCGCCAGGGTAGTTGGAATGACCTCCATCGCATCAGCGAATGCTTTCCAGCAGATTGCCTCCGTGCCAGTCAGCTCTCGCGCTTGTTTTGCCAGCTGATTTGCAATCTCGACTTCAGGAGCACCACCACCTGCAATCAAGGCCTTCTTCTTCACCAAGCATCTGATGACACAAAGAGCGTCGTGCAGAGACCGCTCTGCTTCGTCCAAGACTAGGTGGTTGGCTCCTCTCACGACAATTGAGACCGTCTGGTGCTGAGGATTGGCCGTACGAATACCTGTGACCTTCACATAACGCGCACCGTTCGTCTGTACTTCCTCGATCAGGTCTGCACTGCCCAGCTTATCTTCCGTGAATGAGTCGATGTTGGCAATGGGCTTGCACCCGGTACTCTTGCACAAAAAGTCGACTTCGTCTCTTTCAATGTCCTTGATAGCCATGATCTTGAGTCTGGTCAGGAAATGGAGAGAGAGATCATTCACAGCATCGCGGAGGATAGACTTCTGAATGAACAAGACATTACACTTGGCCTTCTGAATCTTTTTCACCATGTTGAGAAGATACGTTCGCTCTTCCTTCAGAATCTTGTCCATCTGTCGGTAGTCGTTGACAACGATCGAGTTCTCCATATCTGGCTTGGGAGGACTAAGCTGAAACTGAATCAGACCTATTCTGGCGTTTTTAATGGTCGTTGGTCCACCACTGCTCTTGATGGCTGTCTGATTCAGTACGAGGCCGTCGATCATATCCGAGTCGTCGATGGTACCTCCGACCTTCTTCACGATACGGATGTTTCGTAGGTCGACGTTGTCCGCGGTTTTGGAGTCAATGGTCTTCAGAACCGAGTCGACGGCCATAGGTCCGAGAAGGCCAGAGTGCTGAGACACGATCTTAGACGAAAGCGATGTCGAAGCGGTCTGAAGCATAGTTGTGCGGTCGCTGAGAGAGATAGGGTGCGACATGTCTGAAAGTACTTTGACGGCGGCAGCGGCTGCTCTCTGGAATGACTCGGAAATGACTGTAGGATGGATGCCCTTGGATAAGAGTCTGTCCGCGGCTCCCAGAAGGCTGCCCGCAATGACCACGACTGAAGTGGTGCCGTCGCCAGCCTCAACATCTTGCGCAGCACTGAGATCCACCAGCATCTTCGCAGCCGGATGCATGACACTCATACTCTTCAACATGGTGTTTCCGTCGTTCGTGATCAGAGGGGCGCCCTTTGGATTCTGTATCATCTTGTCCATACCCCGCGGACCTAGGGAAGTGCGTATGGCGTCTGCAACGGCTCGGGCAGCCATGATATTGGCGGTCCGCACCGCCATAGGCTTTTCCTTATCCTGAGAACCATTAGAAACGTTCGGAAGGAGTGACAGGGAGCGCATACCTTGAAGGCCGCATTGCCAGCATTGCCTGGGGCAATTCCCAAGGCCGAAGCCATATTGAATGTGCGCTGCGGGGAGTATCACGGTTTATTCTGGATTCGGAGAGCCACAACGAGTAGTTGGCTTACGGACACGTGGGTGACTGCGAATTATCAAGCGAGCGAAGCTGTAATGATTGGAAGCAGCCAGCCTTCTCGAATCGTCGAAACTTTTTGGATCACGGTGCGGCGGGCGGATTTCAAGAAAGGTGAAATTGGTGTACCGGCTCCACCGTAGATGCACGCCGCAAGCTCAATAACATTACGTCCGCGGCGATTGCCTTCCAGCGCTGGCTCGTCAGTCATCTGCGGTCTCGTTCACACTCATTCCATTTCTTGCCCCGATATCCTGTTGTCACCTCCATTCCATCGCTCTCATCCGCTCCGCTTCTCAGACACCTAAATAGGTTTGATTCAACTGCATAGCGTTCCCGTCGGCCGCCATCATGCCTAGCGCAACGGGATCGAGTTGGGAGAAATACCAGAAGAACTACGCCGACGATGAGGAACCCGAGAAGAAGATCACACCTTTGACGGATGAGTATGTGATCCATTCGCGTAAATATGACGCTCTGCTCACAATATCAGGGATATCCAAGTATTGAAAACGTACGGCGCTGCTCCCTACGCCGCAGCCCTGAAGAAGATCGAGAAGCAGATCAAAGACAAACAGCAGAGTATCAACGAGAAGATCGGTGTAAAAGAGTCAGACACTGGCCTCGCACCACCCCATCTATGGGATACTGCCGCCGACCGACAACGCATGCAGGAGGAGCAACCACTGCAGGTAGCTCGTTGTACGAAAATCATTCAGGACGAGAAGGACAGCGACAAGGCGAAATATGTTATCAACGTCAAGCAAATCGCAAAATTCGTTGTCAACCTGGGCGAACGAGTGTCGCCGACCGATATCGAGGAAGGCATGCGGGTAGGAGTGGACCGCCAGAAGTATTCCATTATGCTACCCTTACCGCCAAAGATCGATCCCTCCGTCACCATGATGACTGTCGAGGACAAGCCTGATGTCACATACGGAGACGTTGGTGGTTGCAAAGAGCAGATCGAGAAACTCAGAGAAGTCGTGGAGATGCCATTACTTTCGCCTGAGCGCTTTGTTAACCTAGGAATTGATCCCCCGAAGGGCGCTCTGCTGTACGGACCTCCTGGTACGGGCAAGACCCTCTGCGCTCGCGCGGTTGCAAATCGAACCGACGCCACTTTCATCAGAGTTATTGGGTCCGAGCTGGTCCAGAAATACGTGGGCGAGGGTGCTCGGATGGTTCGCGAGCTGTTCGAGATGGCCCGAACAAAGAAAGCCTGTATTATCTTCTTCGATGAAATTGATGCTATCGGTGGTGCTCGCTTCGATGATGGTGCTGGTGGTGATAACGAGGTCCAGAGAACTATGCTGGAGCTGATCACTCAACTGGATGGCTTCGACTCGAGAGGCAACATCAAGGTCATGTTTGCAACCAACAGACCGTCGACTCTGGACCCAGCGCTCATGCGACCAGGAAGAATTGATCGCAAGATTGTAAGCATAAACCGCCCAGTCATGCTTTGAAGTCGATGCTAACCATTTTCCAGGAGTTCAGTCTGCCAGACCTCGACGGTAGGGCCAATATCCTTCGCATTCACGCCAAAAGCATGTCCGTCGAGCGAGATATTCGATGGGAGCTTATCTCTCGTCTCTGCCCCAATGCCACAGGTGCCGAGCTTCGCAGTGTTGCCACCGAAGCCGGTATGTTTGCCATCCGAGCTAGGAGGAAGGTCGCAACTGAGCGCGACTTTTTGGACTCAGTGGACAAGGGTAAGCTCCTCTCACTTGTGACTATTACCACAACTAACCAAAGATGCAGTCATCAAGAGCAATCTCAAGTTCAATTCCACCGCGGCTTACGCCCAGTACAATTAAGCTACCCATTCGGCATTGCGAAGGCTTCCATTGCAAGGCGTTCAAGGCAAATGGCCCAGGCTATGAGACATTGGGCTGTGAGGTGTACAACTATAGTTAGACGGGCGGGCGTAGAACGTTGCTGAGACTCTCAGAAGAGAAGCTCGGGCGGTTAGGAGACAAGTCATGGAAAGGTCCTTCAGCTCAGGCCACTACCATCGTCATCCAGAGAGAATTGATGCCGTCTTCGCACGGGCCATTGACTTATTCGTACACCAAGTGTCTCCCCACACCCAATGGTTGACCTTGCACATGCGGACGCGAACAGCAGGAGCGGTCCGTCTGCCTCTCAGTAGAATCTTCAGGATGCTCAAGTGTAAAGCAGTGGCAACAACGCGAACACCGGTCGTCACTCTAGTTGACGACTATCTAGGGCGATTTGCCATCGGAAGTTGACCGTGGGTGGAACGTTGCCGACAGGTCAAGCAAATACAGATGCCGTGATTGGTCAGGCCTCGGCTCTTCATGATGCGCATTACTGCACCTTGTCTTTCTACCTTTGCTACACTCCACGCCTCCACGCTCTCCTCTCCTTCGTCTCACTGTTCTCGCGCAACATGAGCTCTGCGATGCGGCTATGGAGCTCAGCTCCTATCAGACAGGTGTGCAGGAGCTTGCCAGGCTGTTTACTCCGCTGCTAACACGCCACAGTTCCGAGGTCTGGCGCCCGCACGACGATGTTTCTCTTCCACCTCAAAGACCGGCAAATACTACGGATCGAGTCCTTTAAGAGCACAGGAAGCCACCAACATTCACGGACACGCATACAACGTGGTCGACCATCAATATGGTACGCAGAATGCATTGCGACGGCTTTTGTCCCGGACTGACACCGTACAGACGCACTGGTCATTGGAGCTGGCGGCGCAGGTCTGCGCGCCACCTTCGGTTTGGCTGAGGCTGGATTCAATACCGCCTGCGTCTCGAAGCTTTTCCCTACTCGAAGTCATACAGTCGCGGCACAGGGAGGTATCAATGCTGCTCTAGGAAATATGCACGAGGACGACTGGAGATGGCATATGTACGATACTGTCAAGGGCTCTGACTGGCTTGGAGACCAAGATGCTATTCATTACATGACTAGAGAAGCGTAAGTCCCCCGGTTCCAGCGCCAATTACAGTTTTCAAAATCCTGGCTTGGATGTCGATACTGATAGGTGTTTTCAATGGCTGTAGGCCTCAGTCCGTTATCGAACTCGAAGGTTATGGATGTCCATTCTCCCGCACGGAAGACGGCAAGATCTATCAAAGAGCATTCGGTGGCCAGTCACAGAAGTACGGCAAAGGCGGACAGGCATACAGATGCTGTGCCGCAGCGGATCGAACTGGTCATGCTCTTCTTCACACGCTCTACGGTCAATCACTACGGCACAACGCCAATTACTTCATCGAGTATTTTGCTATGGACCTGATTATGGAGGACGGCGTCTGCAAGGGTGTTGTTGCCTACAACCAGGAAGACGGCACTCTCCACAGGTTCCGCGCTCACCACACCGTTCTGGCAACCGGTGGCTACGGTCGCGCGTACTTCAGCTGCACGTCTGCGCATACGTGCACAGGTGATGGTATGGCCATGGTCGCTCGCGCTGGTCTGCCCAACCAAGATCTTGAGTTTGTTCAGTTCCATCCTACTGGTATTTACGGTGCAGGCTGCCTAATCACCGAGGGCTCTCGCGGCGAGGGTGGTTATCTCCTCAACTCGGAGGGTGAACGGTTTATGGAACGCTATGCTCCTACTGCTAAGGATCTGGCGTCCCGCGATGTCGTCTCTCGGTCTATGACCATGGAGATTCGCGAGGGTCGTGGTGTTGGACCGGATAAGGACCACATCTATCTTCAGCTCAGTCATCTACCTCCCGAGGTTCTCCACGAGCGTCTACCGGGTATTTCCGAGACTGCATCCATTTTCGCCGGCGTGGATGTGACCAAGCAGCCCATTCCTGTGCTACCTACTGTCCACTACAACATGGGTGGTATTCCGACCAGATATACCGGCGAAGTCGTCCGGGTTAACGACAAGGGCGAAGATGAAGTCGTCCCGGGCTTGTTTGCATGCGGTGAGGCTGCTTGTGTATCTGTTCATGGCGCCAACCGTCTGGGTGCGAACTCACTGCTCGATCTAATCGTCTTCGGTCGTGCCGTCGCGCACACGATCCGCGACAATTTCTCACCCGGCGCACCTCATAAGGATATTCCTGCTGATGCCGGAGCCGACTCGATCGATGTCCTCGACAAGGTCCGCAAATCCGAAGGCCCGAAGTCCACTAACGACGTGCGGTCTGCCATGCAGAAGGTTATGCAGACCGATGTTTCCGTCTTCCGGACTCAGGAGTCTCTGGACGAAGGTGTTAAGAAGATCAACGAGGTAGATCAGATGTTCGGCGACGTTGGAATCAAGGATCGCAGTATGATCTGGAACTCCGATCTCGTTGAGACCCTCGAACTCCGAAACCTGCTCACTTGCGCGTAAGTAACAAGCTGTTTAACCTGTTCTTGATCTGACATTCCCAGGACCCAAACTGCCGCTGCCGCTGCCAACCGAAAGGAGTCGCGGGGTGCCCACGCTCGCGAAGACTTCCCTGAACGTGACGATGAGAACTGGATGAAGCATACTCTAACGTGGCAGAAGTCGCCTCACGGCAAGGTCGATCTAGGCTACAGATCTGTGACTGGTCATACCCTGGATGAGAACGAGTGCAAGGCAATTCCCCCTTTCAAGCGTACGTACTAAGCGAGGTTTGGCAAGGTAGCATGTAAGAGGGAGGCGCAAAATCTGATGGGTTGTTAACCTCGACCGTAGGCGATTGAAATGTAGGCGATTGAAATGTACATTTGGTGAAGCTTCACACTTCTTGATCCCTGCTCAACTGCCAGGCTCTCTACTCTCCAATGACATACTCACAACCTCGTAATCACCATCAGCGCTTCGTTTCGCTGCCGATCGTAGGTACTCACCATCATCGCCCATCCACACTTCGTGGACCTTCCCAGCCGGTACGTCGACACGAGCCCCAACGCCGAAGGTCTCTTTGGTGGGGTCGGTGTCTTCGGGGTATGTGATGCTCAACGAGCCTTTCCGAATGAGATGTGTCGTCAAGCCAGAGTGCGAATGCGGCCGATAGTACGCGTTGCTAATGTGTAGCGTTCAGCATGAGAAGTGGATGCTAGATAGCAGGGCCTGGGTAGGACGTACGGTCCATCTCTCCAAGTGAAAACGTGCGAGAAGCCCCAGGAGGACACTTTGGATTCGTCTTCGGACCTGCTCGGCATGCTGATTTGGTCTTGTTATGTGAAAAAATGGGTGCAGAGGTTGAATACTTTGTATACTTCGTGCTTGTATGATGTCAACTGAGGGCGAGCTCACGTGACTACTTGGAGGGTTCAGCGGGATTAGGTAAGTTGACGGGGGGACTTTTGGTGGCAGCTAGTCCAGTTTAGAACGAGAGACACTTTGGTAAGAGACTCTCGCATAATCACAGAATCTGTCTGTTCTTTGTCATTCACGGTCAGCGAGTGACTCGTTGACTTCAGTGCATCATTAACATCGACCAGTCTATTCCCCGGCCACTACTTCCGTTCCCGAGCAGATTTGTTCGGACAGTGACAAACTGCTCGGCTGTAGCCGTCAGTTTCGCTTGGCTGGCGGCGTCCCCAGTGTAACAAGGCAAATCAGGCGTCAAGGTGTGCACCCCGGTCGGTACTCTGTCGGGAGATCTCCCTCCATTCCTTTGATGGACAAGGGTTTCCACCCTTGAACATGAGAAGACCAGCACGGACATTTCGGTAGCGAAAGTGAGGAGGGATGGCAGATCCGATCTCGGTCAGTTCGGGCATTGCAGGTCTTGTCACTTTGGGTATACAAGTCACTGGCGTCGTATACCAATACATCAACGCCGTCAAGGACCGAGGGAAGAATGTAAAGGAGCTTCACGATGAGCTGGTTCTCCTGGGCGAGGTCTTGTCCAGGTTGCAGTACTTTTTAGCCAGTAACTCAGCAAAAGCTCATGACTTCGACGAGCCTGACTCTGTGCTTTCTAAGGCAATATCTGCCTGCAAGGAGCGGATGGAACGCATTGGCGACAAGCTCAAGCCAAAAGACTCGAAGTTTGGCAGAGCCGTCGAACGCTTGATATGGCCGTTCAAAGAAGAGGAGGTGCAGAAGCTCATGGAGTCGCTGCGCAGATATCGCTCCACGTTTGAGTTCGCTGCCAACATCCAAGGTTATGAGATCTTGTCAAAGACAGCCAGCGATGCCCGGTTGGGCCTGGAGAAGGCTGAACAGATCTCCAAGCAGACGCAGGAGTTGTTGGCCATGCAGGGAATGGGCGTGGACGTTGCGGTTGAGCAATCCGAGCGGCTTGAGCGCATCCTTACTCTCTTGACCGTCCTCGAGACTACGAAAGACGAAGTCCGCGAAGTTTCACACGCCATGAAGCTTCAAGAGCTACGAGAGCAGGAACGACGGAAGTCCGAGATCTTAGAATGGCTTTGCCCACTCGCTGATCTTCATAAGCACAAGGACGTCCAAGCCCGCCGAGCAGAGGGTACTGGCCAGTGGCTGCTAGAAACTCCCGAGTTCAAACGCTTTGTGCAGGACGGGCTCCAAGACCTGATGTGTGTCGGCGGTCCTGGCGTTGGCAAGAGCGTACTGCTGTCGATGGTAGTAGACGTACTAAAGCAGCGCCATGAAGACGACAGCGAGGTATGCGTGGTTCACTACTACTTTGACTATTCGGAGCAGCAGCTACAAACTGATGCCCACTTCGCTCGAAGCGTTCTCCGCCAAATCTGCGTAACAAGTACCGCCATACCTGAAGCAGTATCCTCGTTCTATCAGAAGACCCGCGATGTCGACAAAGACCGAACGTGGTTTCAACAGCTTACGACGATCATCAGACGCGTCCTATCGACGTTTTCAAAGTGCTATCTCGTGCTCGATGCGCTAGATGAGACTGAAGCTGTCAGGCAGCGTACCGCCTTGTTCGATGTCATTACGGCCATAAGGGCAGAGCATGCAGGAGTCAAAGTCGTTGCAACTACACGACCACATGTCACCAATCTCCAGAAGCAGTTTCCGCGGTCGGCAACTATATCCGTCATCGCTGATCCGGTTGATCTTCGCCAGTACCTCAGTGCCACTATCGAAAGACACCCATATGCAGAGAATATAATGGACGACATTTTGAGACAAGAAACCCTGGACAAATTAGTGGAGACTGCAGGAGGAATGTTCCTCTTGCCATCTCTTCACATTGGAAATATCCTGGAACAGCCAACAAAAGGCGATGTACGAGATGTGCTCAAGGGCTTGTCGACAGATCTGACTGGTGTCTTCAACTCTACGATTGCACGAATACGAAAGCTACCGCCACGCAGTCAAGTAATAGCCTTCCAGACTCTGATGTGGATATCACACGCTAAGCGGCCCCTCACGATGCTGGAGCTACAACATGCTCTAGCTTTGAGACCCAGCGATGCCGACATCAGTGAGGAGCGGCTGTTGGAGCCTCGCCAGGTTCTTGATTACTGCTGCGGGCTTGTTGAGCATGAACGAGACAGCGACATAGTGCGACTCGTCCATTACACCCTCGAGGAATATCTCCAAGCTCATGACCATGACCTGTTCCAGCAAGCGGATCTAAACATTTTGAAGACTTGTCTCCAATACATGACATTGGCGTCGCTGAAGCAGGTGCCTTTCAAGAACCGCACGGATGCGGACCAGATCATGAAGCGCATGGCTCTCTGCCATTACGCGTGCCTAGAATGGGGACATCATGCTAAAGACGTGGATCTTGCTCTCTACGCAGACTTGGTTCTGCCGATTCTGAACTCCAGCCAGAACCTGCTCATTATTGCCAGAATACGAGACTCAAAGACCCCGGATGCTCGAAAATGGCAGGACAGGATGTGGGTCTGGGCCTACGAGAAGAATGGAGGAGCAGGTATCAGCCTTGCTGCTACCTTTGGTCTGACTGACCTCGTACGTCTCCTCATCAGTCAGTACACGGAGCCGAACTTGGCGGCTCGGAACATGTTTGGATCAACACCACTGCACGAGGCTGCGCTTTACGGTCATGAGCAGACTGCAGAGCTACTCATTGCCCACGGAGCTGGTATCCTCGACCAGAACAAAGGCAAAGCGACGCCATTTTTCCTGGCTGTGTCATACGGGCGGCTGAACATGGCGAGGTGCTTACTGAAGTACGGTCATCAACAACTAGATCAAGGTTGTCGTGGTGGTGCTACAGCTCTACACCGAGCCGTAGAGCTAGAGTCGGAACCTCTGGTCGAGTTCCTCCTGTCCTCGGGAGCGTTGATCGGGGCGAGCGACGAGAAGGGAAACACCGCCCTACACTACGCTGCTCTTCGTGGCACACTGAAGGTGGTCAAAATGCTGGTGCTTGCGAGTGCTTATATCCATGCCGAAAATAAGAAGAGAATGACAGGGCTCGATTTAGCTGCAACTGGAGGCCATACGAGTGTCGTGGAGTTCCTCGTTGAGAACAAGGCCGATGTATTGCACCGAGGGTCTGACCTGTGGAGTCCTTTGCATCGAGCTGCCAGGGGAGGTCACGTCGATACGGTGGTGGTCCTGCTGGAGGCAGGCGCCAACCTTCTAGATCGAGATCATAAGGACCATTTCCCAATCCATCATGCTGCAAGAGCTGGACACCTGGAAACGGTTATGCAGCTCCTTGAGTACAGTCCAGGGCTCAAAGAGGAGCAGCTGTTCCACGCAGACAGGACAGGGTCCACAGCAAGAGAAGTGGCGTTCTTTTGCGCGCACTACGACGTTCACAAGTATCTGCGATCATTGGAGTGGGAGCTCCTTGGAACGGCGACGTCAATCAGCAACAAGGTGACTGTTGCAATTGAACGGGGCGATCTAGCCGGGCTCGAGCACTTACTGGACAGCGGGCAAGCCGCGATTGAGACGCCAGATGAGGACGGCCAACCACCGCTTCACGTTGCAATCCAGGAAGGCCAGGACGCCATCGTTCAAATGCTGCTACGGCGACATTCTTCGATCGAGCAAGCCGGCTACCATGGCTGGCGGCCACTGCACGTTGCTGCTAGCCTGGGCGATCTTCAGATGGTCAACACGTGTATTCAACATGGTGCTGATATCCACAGCCGTACCGCAACAGGGCAGCAACCAATTCACAAGGCTGCCTCAGCAAAGTCGTTGCGAACGGTACGCCGCCTCATCCAGGCTGGAGCAAACATTGAAGCTCGCAATGATCGAGGTATGACAGCTTTGCTTATTGCTGCGCATAAGAATGACGGTGACACTGTTCGAGCGCTTGTGCAAGAATACAACGCGGATGTCCTGGTCAGAGATAAGCAAGGGCAGACAGCTGTGCAGTGGGCTGAGAAAGGGGCACATTTGGAACTGACGAAGTTCTTGAGAATCCAGCAGAAAAGGGGAAAAGACCCTCGGAGAGGAAGCTTGAAGCGGGCTGATACCTCAAACAGCAACTTCAGAATGAGTAAAGAGTCCTTGAACGAGGACAGGGTCGGTGAGGAGCTGATGCTGGAGGAAATGGAAATGCTATAGCCCTCTCAACATGAGGAGGAGCAATGCGGATAGGATGAGACCTATACAGATCACGATAGCGCCATGCATGCAATTAGCTGTAGAGCCGATGTCAGAGGGACCTTCATTCTCGTGAGGCAACAACCTATGGTATAGGATCAACAGGGTATCATTGTCAAATCCGTCATATATATTCACTAGAAATCGAGAGTCTGCCACGGCTTGAGCGTAACAGGAACTCTTGTCTTGCGAAAGTTCTCATGTACAATAGTTTCCATGAGCTGCATCTTGGACGATAGGTCTGCGTGTGTTGACCATGCTTCAGAGCAACCGATCTCTGCTGTTCAAACCTGCGAGCAGAGCAAGGCTGAAATGTTAGGGAGCACCCTTGGCCGATGGCTGCATTGGCTAGCGTGGGAGCCGCTATTTTCAGGGACCGTCAGAACTAAAGCTTAACTGTGCCTGCGGCGACATAGCCTAGCCATCAGTTTGGCGATTCCATAAGTTCGCATTACTGTTTAGAACGTACAACTTATCTCAGCAGGGCCGTCAGTCGGTGATAGCGACCCGATCAGAATACCAGGACGTCTCCTAGATGAAAGTCGAGCCTTGAACGCCATGATCGAGCAGCACTTCACGCGCGGCCCTTCCCCCATATTCGAATCATGAGACCGTCTCCCACCTCATCCCGACATGCGGACGTCCTTTCCGTCCTGCGCCACCGATTACTTCGGGTTACGACTGGCCTGATCCTGATCTGGCTTATCGCGGTCTGGTGGGGCGAGCGAGGCATCTACAAAAGCGCTGTCGCGCACTGTGCATGGGAGAACTGGGAGCAGTGGACGACCCAAGCACAACCGCACCATGTGCTCTTAATAGCAGACCCTCAGCTCGTCGATCCACACACTTATCCAGGGAGACCATGGCCGCTGGATCGCTTGACGACTCTATACACGGACCTGTACCTCAGACGGGCCTACTATAACCTTCAGCATGCTCTCCAGCCGGATTCAACCCTCTTCTTGGGCGACCTGTTCGATGGCGGCAGAGAATGGGGCACGGGAGGGTACAAGTCGCCAGAAGATCGTTACAAAGACTATGGTCCAAGATTTTGGCTGAAGGAGTACCAGCGCTTCAGCAATCTCTTCCTTCGCGATTGGTTCCAGGGGCCCATTGCCTCTCGCTCGGCACCCTATGGCAGACATCTCATCGCGTCCGTTCCAGGCAACCACGATCTGGGATTTGGCAGTGGCATCAGTCCACAGGTCAAGTCCCGCTTCGATGCTTACTTCGGGCCTCTGAACCGCGTAGATCTGCTCGGCAACCACTCCTTTGTGTCCCTCGACACTGTTTCCCTCAGCGCCATGGATGAGGTCGACCCCAAAACAGGCGCCCATGGCGGCGACGCGTCGTCGGCTGCGGCCACCGCAAGTAGTCACCTCTGGCGTCCGGTCGAGGACTTCCTTGCTGCCGCCAAAACCCTACGCCACAAAGCTGTGCAGCGAGAGTGGCATAGGCTCAGTGGCGCGGGCATTCGGCGCCTCCATCAGCCTGGAATTGGGTCCCTCAAGGACGAAACATTACCTGCAGAAAAAAGTCCGGCTGGACGAGTGCCTTCAAGCCAGTTTCCTTCCATAATCCTCTCCCACGTGCCGCTGTTTCGCCCTGCCGATACACCGTGCGGCCCCCTGCGCGAGGGCCGCCCGTCTATTCCTTTGTCCGCCGGCTACCAGTATCAAAACGTGCTCACGCCCCTCATCTCGTCGGACATAATCAAGCATCTCGTCCCAGAAGAGATAGTGGGCATCTACTCAGGCGACGATCACGACTACTGCGAGATCTCGCACAGCGAATACACTGGCGCGATCAAAGAGATCACCGTAAAGTCCATGTCATGGGCGATGGGCATCAGGAAGCCCGGCGTGCAATTGTTGAGCCTGTGGAACCCTGTCGACCTGGAGCGGATTCAGCAACAGGCGCACAACGGCGATAGCCAGGGCCTGCCCACACCAAAAGATACTGTGCAGAACCAACTGTGCCTCCTTCCCAACCAGCTGAGCATCTTTCTAAGGTACGCGCAGCTGTTCGGCTTCACACTCCTCATTCTGGGCATCAACACCTTGCGCACCTCTTCCCCGCCAGAACCACCGCTCTCGAAATCCGAGCCCTTACTCCCCCTCTCGCACCCCACCCCCAGCGAAGAAGACATCAGCAAACCGCGCAGCCGCACCTCCTCCATCCACCCCCACAACAGCGCAGCAGCCGCCGAGACCTCTTCCCGCAAGCTGGCTGGCTACGGCAACCTCCCACCCGCCTCGCGCTCCGCCTCGCCCGCCTTGCCAATCGAACACGCCACGGAGGCCGCCGATCCGGACGTAGGCGCCGACCCATTCGCTCCTGCGCCTCACACGCTCGTCGCGAACGTCGAGGCCGACGACTGGGGAATGCCGAAGCTCCGTCGACGGTCCCCGCTGCCGCCGCGAGGGAGGCTGGAGCGCTTCGCGTACAGCTTGTGGGATGTGGCGTGGCCGGCGCTGCTGTGCTACGGGTGGTTTATGTGGGTGGATCGGGCGCGTTGAGATTTAATAACTTTGCTTTGCTTTGCGTCCATCCATGTGTGAAGTTTTGGTGCGGGCTTTGAGTGAGAGACCTTCTTGTACAATAGATAGAATTTGGGTTACTTAGCAGGTACTGGTACTTGAGGAAAACCACATCCCGCACAACGAAACAAGGTAGAGAGAGAACAGCTTCCTCTGAGCGTGATTCGAATCGGGGAACGTATGGAATTTTCTTGTCGTCGTTTGTTTCCGACGACACTAGCAAGCAGCTAGCTAGCTAGCTAGCTAGTTGCCTAGTTGCCTATTATCTAGATAGAGAACGCTGCTGTTCACGTTTCATGAGCGTAACGCCACTGGTAGGCCGCAGGTCTCTAAGCCACATCCATGTTTTCTCGACCAATATTAGAATGTTGGCCAGTCCTGATTGACTGGCTCTTTCGTATGGATGGTTCTCTTTCACGCGGCAACCAAGGCCTGTTCGCTATTCGCTCGTACAAAATACCAATGACAACTCCAACGCCTAGGTGATCACCATCCACTGTACATGCGAAACACACAACCTTTCAACGCTAGCAATGGATTTGGATAATCTTCTTCACAGCCTCATGCCCAATTCGTCAGATCAGAGTACTTCAAGCTCCCCGACCCAATTTCTGATGTTGAAACCGGTCTCATGGTCGACGCTCGTTTCCTATTTCTTTGCGTCATTTGCACCGGGCGGGCAGCATTGCTTCGAGTCAGCGCAGTTGTCGCTGCAGTCCAGCAAGCATGTCCTCCCAACATCGGATCTGAGACTACCAGCCTTGGAGTGCTTGCCAGCCGCTGGGCCGTTGGGGCTGGCGCTTCCCGAACCGTTTTGTTCTTCATCGACGGCCGCTTGTAGAAGCGCATCTTCAGCCGCTGTGGTAAACTCGGGCTGAATAGTGCTGCTATGGATGCCGTAGCCGTGGAGACAGCGACGAATCTCACGGGCTAGGTGCATGTAGCTAGAGCTGCCAGAGCCTTCGACTTCGCAATCGACCTTGACATGCAAGCTGGCAACGAGCTTGGTGTCGCTGAGTTGCCAAACATGGACGTGATGAGCCTCGATGACTCTCTCAAGAGACTCAATGTCGGCACGAATTTCGTCGATGCTCATTCCCATGGGAACCGCCTGCAGTAGAATGCGGCTGGCAGCCTTGCATAGCGGAATGGCGGAGCAAAGAATGATAACCGTAATGATCAGAGAGACAGCAGGGTCGAAGTAGTAACGGCCTGGAAAGCTACTAAGCCAGATGATGAGAGCCGTGACAATGACACCGATATTGCCCAAAGCGTCTCCAAGTACATGCAGGAAGACGCCGCGCATGTTGAGATCGCCATGTGAATGCCCGTGGCCACCGTGCGAATGTGCAGCATGATCGGCGGAATCCTTCGGCTTGTTGTGATGGTGATCATCGTGGTTGTAGACCCGGCTGTCCTTTTTGGACATACTGCCATAGTTGATAAAGTCATGCTTGCCTAGGCGCGATGGGCTTCCGTTGCCATGGTTGGGGCCGCCATTTTCGTCAAGCAACGCCTCCTCTTCACCTGAATCCTCCTCAGATCGTTCTTCGAGGCGGGCCGCTTGGATGATCTCGTTCCGGAATGACGCAGGATGAATGGAAATATTGTCGACGGAGCCAAAGCCACGACTATATGATCCACTGGTACGTCGTCTGTGTCGTGTGAGGTCACCACCAGTCGTGGACTTGCGACTAGGAGTCTGCGTTGACTGTGCTGAGACAGTCGTGCTGTCCTCGTCGGAGGCAGTGAAGTCGGGAGATTTTGTGGTCTTCTGAGGTCCGGTCACAGCCACCTGGGGAAGGACATCTGCCACGCTTCCGTTGGGATCCATGATTCTTGAAGTTTGTTCATCGTGCGTATGGGTGTGTGAATGGCCTTCTTCCGCATTTCGGACATGATCGTGCTCATGTGCATCTTCTTCACCACCATGGCCGTGACTGTGGTCGTGGAAGAGTAGAAGGCCGAGGATATTGGAAGCTAGGCCGAGACAACCAACGATCAAGACGAGCTTCGGGTTGCTAACCACTTGGGGTTCCACAAATCGCTGGATGGCTTCAAGAAAGATCGACATGCATAGCGCGACCAGGAACACGCCGTTGACGAGAGCACCAAGTGTCTCAGCGCGTTGCCAGCCATAGGTGTACATATTGGAGGCGCCACTGTTGGCAACTTTCACGGCCCAGAGGCCCACACATAGGGAGAGTACATCGTTCAACTGACCAAGTTAGTTTTGAACACGACAGAATCAAGCAGACGTACCATATGGAAAGCATCAGCCACCAGGGCTAAAGAATGTACGGCATAGCCTGCGGATGTCAGCCTGTGTCATTCACGTGCGGATTGATTCACGTACCGACTGAGAGCTCGATGAGAAAGAAGAGGCCATCGATACCCAACAAGATGCCAATACGCTGCTCTTTGGAAAGACCCATTCTGCCGAACGTTGGACTTGCCCGCCAGGAGCGTGGCGCGCAGCACTCGTTAAGAGTAACTGCCGAAGAGCTGCACGTAGGACTGTGTAGAGTCCGGTCGGGGGGCAGGCGCGCAGGCTCAGGCTTCGAACGTAGAGCTAGGTTGGGTGACGGAGGAAGAGAAGGCAATGAAGAGACATTAATATTGGGAGCAGAAGCTGAAGTAATGGAACGAAGTTTGTGGCAAGCTGGTGTCGCCTTTGGCTTTGTTGCGCCATTTGGAGACGCAGCGGGCGCGGAAGCGGAGTCGGGGGTCATTGTGCTCGCAACCCTAACCCTAGGACTGATGATGCCGTTGGGCTTTGGGAGTAGAGTTCTTGAACTTCTCGTTGCGCTGCTTGGTCTGATGTGACTTGGTGTCCAACAACCTTTATGGACGTTTGCTTCGTGGTGCCGATACAGCAAGACAAGAGCTCTGCTGTACTGCCGGCTACATAAAGGGTGCTGACCCTGAAGAAGCATGCCACCTGCCGCCTATTTCAGTTGGCCTCGGTCGCCACGGCAGGCAGCGGCGCCCGCTAAGGTAGGTACCGTGCTGCCAGCGTTTTCCCGCGCACCCAGCACGACCATATATGTCGCAGCAACTTGCAAAAAGTATGGTAAGCCCTATACTACGTGTCAATTACGCTTCAGCGCATTGCTGAGACTGCACGATGCCGAAACTCCTACGGCGTTTCCGGGAAGCGACGTCTCTTGCCCACGCCATCCCGCTGACAGCCAGCCGAGACCATCTGGCAAATGAGCGCACATTTCACGCCTGGCTTCGATTCTCGATGTCGCTTTCCACCACCGGCGTGGTGCTAGCCCAAATGTCACAGATCCAACGGGCCGTCCATCCCAGCCGAGAACGCGAGTTCAAATATTTTGTCCTTGGTGCACCCCAAGCTTGCATTTGTCAGGCTGCAGCCATCGTAGTCCTACTTATGGGCTTTATCAGATTCTGGAAACAGGAGCGAGCAATGTTGAATGGCTTCGTAAGGGTCAGTGGATGGGAGTTGTGGGTAGCATTTGGTCTACTACTATTGGTGAGGCATTGCCCAATGGAGAACGAGCTATTGACTGATACTTCCAGGTCTTCGGAGCGTTCTTCTGGGTTGTGTTTCTCGTGAATGTTGTCAAAGCCTTCGATTGACCTCGGTTTGCTTACAAAGAGGCCGTTTCTAGTGAGGTATGAGGAGGTTGTTCTGAGTGGCAGTGGCAGAGACACTATACTTTCACACTGTTCGTCGCGAGACAATCACACTGTAGACGATATGAAGTCCATGTCTCAGCAGCACGATAATCCCTCATCGGGCACATTTAGCTTACGGAAGGGCATCGTACTCGGATGTTGCCTCGTTTGGAGACCCCGCCCCGACATCGGCGCTTCTTATAGGGTATATGACACTGTTCAGCATTGATAGATCTGATAGTCCTCAACCAAACTGAGGTGGTTAGTAGCACGGAACATTGACCCAGAATATCTGTTCTTCGCAACATCTAGTGCCGTCAAGCGCAGGTCAGGTTCCTTGCGTTCACGTTGCGCGGCTCTACAAGTCTCGGCATCAGGCAACCTCAACGCCTCACGGACGCCTCGTTCTCCCTTCTCTATACCAGCCTCGTCTGACACGTCGGCAACACACTTAATCTCGCGAAATCGCCACGCACATCTGCATCCTTTCGTCTCATACAACATGTCCAAGGACCAGCACGCCCCACCCCCATCACAATGGACCGCGGCAGCCTACAGTTCCGCCGCCGCCTTCGTTCCGCAACTCACCACCAAGATCCTCCAGCTAATCTCCCCACAGCCCACAGACCGCATCCTCGACGTCGGCTGCGGCGACGGCAAGTTCACTGCGCGCTACCTTGGCGGCGTCACTGAAGTCCTGGGCGTGGACGCCAGCGCCAGCTTCATCGACACGGCGAACGCCGAGTACGGAGCGGGCAGTTCCTGGGCGCGAGCGTTGGCTGCAGAGCAGTCCGACGCTAAAGGAAAGGGGAACTTCAGGGGCAAGGTGGTGGACTGCCGCTTCCTGGAGCGGGATGCCGAGGTCGCGGCGGGCGGGTTCGACAAGGTGGTCAGCAACGCGGCGCTGCATTGGATTCTGCGTGACGAGGCAACGCGCAAGAATACGCTCCGTGGCTGCTTCGAGGCACTCAAGCCTGATGGAGTGTTTGTGTTCGAGATGGGGGGCGCGGGGAATGTGGCGGAGATGCACACCGCATTCGTAAGTGCGCTGGTACATCATACTACCTGTGGCGTCCGGGAAGCGCAGGAGGTGAGCCCGTGGTTTTTCCCGGACGTGCAGGAGATGAGGGCCTTGTTGGAAGGAGTGGGGTTTGAGGTGTCAGAAGGAGGCTTAGAATTGGAATATAGGCCGACTAAGATGGAGAGTAGTGAGGATGGGAAGCCGAATGTCGAAGGTTGGGTCAGATTGATGGGACGGCAGTTCTTGGATCGCGCTATGGAGGAGGGAAAAGAAGAGGAGGTCGTGAGGGAGGTGTGCGAGGTTGTGGGGATGAGAGGTATCTGTGGAAGGGCTGATGGAAGGGGAGAGATGGGATACGTGAGGCTGAGAGGACTGGCGAGAAAGAGAGGATGATTGGTGTTGATGGATAGCATAGCATGGGTATCTTTTCCCTCATCCGACATGAGCCACCGAACATTTTGCGATTCATGGTCACCTAGTATGTACTGCAAACAGTACAAATGTCTGTATCAACTCCGAGACAGTATCTTCCCCGGACGCGGGCATCTATCTGTGCACCCCCTTTACTGGTGCGATCGCCGAGCTTCTCGTCGGAACGAGTCAGAGTCGGGATCATACCACCTTCAATAAGGTCGTCTTTCCTGCATGGTCGTAAGAGGCGAGATAATGCCTATTTCCGTAGCTCGTGAAACACACCGCCATTCTGGTGGGATCGGCTTTCTTGTAGCGTGGTTATCCAACGCACGGAGCTGAAGACCTTGCCATATGATGAATGGCCTCGATCATGGATATCGTGCTCTATCATTTCATGAGAGCTTTTGGCGTTTTGGTAAGGCATCGACATTGTCGCCATCTGCCATCTCTTCGTCGCTGTCATCACCAATGCTGATCTCATCGCCACTCGCACCGACGCTGCTCTCGTCAGAGCCGTTCTCGTCGTTCAGCACCATACCACCACCAGCAATGTCCTCATCTTCGCTGATGAAGTCCTCTCCATCCAAATCGCCATTGGTGGAGTTTTCTTCGCCCTCTATATCAGCATGCGTTCGCTTCAGGCCCTTCATCTTGCGGGTCTGGAGTTGAGACAGATCTTGCTTGCCCAAGTGCACTCTGCCAATTTGGTCTCCAACCAAGTCAGTCTCAATATTCTTCTTGGTACGTGCTTCGTTCGGTCTTCTGCCATGCTTCAATGCCTCTTTCATGACTGACGGGTCAGCTTCACGGAAACGACCAACACGGAAGTCGAAAACTGGCCCAACGGGATCCAGCTCCACACGTGGAATCTTTGGCGATGTTGATCGCTTGGTGCTGACTTTATACCATCGGAGGTGTATCAGAGGCTTGTTGGTGGGATCATTCATATCTGTAGAATTACCAGACTCTCCAGCAGCGATCATCAGAACATACTGCAGCCCTGCAACATCGATTGCCGGGATCTCCTCGCCCTGAAATAGGTCGAGGAACAATGATCTTAGGGTCTGGTAGATAGAGGCCTGGGCTGAGGATGAGGTGTCGTCCCACTGTGAACCAGCGAAAAGAATCATCGGTTTCATCTCGACACCAACTTCTATTCTTCGATTTATCTCCATATCATCTTGTGATGTGAGCAGTAACAACTCCACCATGTCGAGTACATGGTTATCGAAGGTGCGTAGTAAGGTGATGTTATTCGGTCGCTTTTTCGAGTGCGTACCAAAAACGACGACACCACATTCATTTTTGCCGGCAAGAAACTCAAGTGAAGCCGGGTCCTCGAATGGATGAATATTGTCGTTCTTTTTGTTGAGCTTGACGGAGTTTGGCTGGGTGAGTTTGGCAAGGGTCGTCAGGACAGTGCTTATAGGCAGTGGACATTTCGTGCCGTGTAGCAAGAGTACTCGTTTTCTTGACTCAACTTGCTGAGGTTCTCTGGCCTTGACGATGCGTGCCGTACGCGCATTGCGAGGCTTACTTCGACTGTTAGATGGAGCACAAGTCTTCAGGTGGGGGAAGGCTTACACCTCGCGCAGTAGTGACATGGTGATAGGGCTGCGTACTTTAGAGGTAGAATAGAGCTTATCTTTCCGTCCACACACTCGAATAGAGAGCCTGGCACATGTGCATGGTAGAGGGTACTACCTGGCTTTCGACATTCAAGCGCTTGGAAACGGTTTGCAGACAACTTTTTTCCAAGTCCTAATCGATAAGCCTCGCCAAGGCCGGGGGCCACTCGCACCTGCATGTACTGTACTGCCTGAGAACGCCGGTTCAACGTAGCAACTCCTGGTACCCAAATTCCTGCTCCTTTTCAACTAGGTGACTGTTGAATCCAAAGCATAAAATAAGAGTAATAAGAGTTAGTCTGCGGTCCTAAAATCGTACCAATGCCTCCGTCGTTCTCGAACGATAGGTTAGGTACTACGTAGGAGGTCCAAACTCGTAACAGCTATACCTTATTTGGAGGAGACGCGACGCACTGCGCTGGGGCCTATCCCCGCGCAACCTGCCGAACCGGTAGGAACTTGAATCTGAACCGCACGTAGCATATATAGGAGAGATTTCCTTCGCATCGCACTGTTGACAAAGTATCCTGCATCGACAAAGGCTTTGGCAACCCCCTGCCTGGCGACGAGTGTCCCACTTAACAGACGCAAAGCTGATGTGATCACTCGCGCCATTCCCTGCGGTGAACGCGCAATCCTTCCTCCCTTTCGAGATTGGGACCTGAAATAAGAGCCAGTCCGCCCACACGAGCTTTTTTCTCACTCTTCTCGACTTACGCACGTCTCTATACGCGTGTGCACATTGACGTTGTCGACTACACAATGGCCGGGAGATGCCAGGACTCCTCTGGACGCGACGGATGTCGTAGGCCCGGGGCCCGCATGACAGTACTGTATTGAAGATGTTATGTCATACAATACCGTCGGCTAGTTCCCGTTCCAAGCCGCAATGCCCAGCTTCTCCCACACCATTTTTATCAGAGTCGCCCAGCATCAACCCGCCTCGCTGTGCCGCGCTCATCTTCCGGGTCTGGCTAGCCCCCAAAAGTGGCAATGCGGATCTCTCGCTAAGCTACCGGTATGCATTCCTCCTCAGAAACCACGAGAGCCCACCAGGCTTCAACGCCAGCGGACTTGGGACTGTCGCATGCCGCAGACGAAGCTGTATGTACGCGTACGCAGATATTGTGTGCAACGTCACTGGGTCGATAACGCAGTCGCGTGCATCTGATCTTCTCCGCATGGCGACAAGATGAGGCAGTGCAAAGAGGCCAAGTCGCTGTGGCCCACCACCACGTTGAGTGCCAGCCGAAAAACACTATCTCGGTATTGTCCCTCTTTCTCCACTATGCATTTGATAGTGGCCTTGGCTACAGCCGACTGCCTCGATGTTTCAAGCCTGCTATTCGACGCCCGGCTCAATTGTCCTGCACGCTAACATCCTGGCGTTCTGCCGCTCTCGTGCACGTTGCATGGCTGGTGGAGTGGGAGGTGCTTCGGAGCTGGGCATTTCCACTCCCCCCATTTACCCTAGTCAATTGCCAGGACACTTGCGCTGCCCGTTGACGTCTTGTTACAATTCCAAGGGGAGTCGATCAAGCTTGATTTGAGGTCTCTTTCAGATCCCTGGCTGGCGCCGTCGCGCAGAAAACGTGTTGCATGGAGACATTTCCAAGGTAAGATCGGTGGCTGTCCGGTCGCATTCTCTTCATCCCCTGCCACCCCGTGTCTGATTTCACTTAATCCAGGCTTGCTCTGTTCTTCCGTTACAAGCTGCCATCCCTCTCACGCCTGCCAATATTGCACATACCACCGATTTTCCTTGTTCAGCGTTCATCCATCTTCCTAGGCGGCACTGCACTACCACACTGTGAACAACCAAGTTCTCCCGTTTAAATTCAAGATGGCGTCTGGTATTCCATACACCCCAAAGCCTTCGACGGACATCTTCACCCCCTACCAGACCGATATCGACCGGAGACAATGCAAAAGAATAGTGCCCATGAAAGTTTTGGCACTTGGGCTGGGTAGGACAGGCACAGCATCTCTTCGAGTAGCCTTGAAAGAGTTGGGCTATACCGACACATATCATATGATGTCTGCCAGCGTCGAGAACCCTCCTGATTGTCTATGCTGGCAGGATGCGTTCGCGGCAAAGTTTGAGGGCAAGGGCAAGTTCGGACGTGAAGAATGGGATGCGCTATTCGGACATTGCCAGGCCATTTGCGACTGGCCAGCTGTAGCCTTTGCCAAAGAGCTGATCGAGGCATACCCTGAGGCCAAGGTCATCATTACGACCCGGGACGTGGATTCGTGGCACAGTTCAGTCATGAAGACGGTGAACTGGCGAGCAAACGATCCGGAACTCAAAGCCATCGCCAACTTCGACTGGGCAGCTGGATTATACTATCCTATGCTGAGACAATTTTGGAAATACTTTTTCTACGACGACTTCGAGAACAAGGGCAAACAGCGATTCCACGACTACTACCAGGAGATTCGCGAACTCGTTCCACCTGGACAGCTCCTCGAATACCGTGTCAGTTCAGGCTGGCGACCTCTTTGCGAATATCTGGGGGAGCCAATACCTCAGATTCCCTTCCCGCGATCAAATGATACCAACAACTTTGTCCAGAGATGCAGAACTCAGAATCGCAAGCAGATGATGAATGTACTGCTACGCGCACTTATTGTGGGCGTTCCAGTACTGGCGACCGCATTGTCCGCTTCCTTCGCCTATTCAAAATACCTGCCGAAAGTTGCGCTTCCGACGAGCGCCATCTTTGCAGCTGCGTCGTGAATTGGAATTGCTGGTTGTTACTAGGGATTCGTTAGCCGGGCGAATGGGGTTCAGCGACGGAAGCAAAAGCATGGGCTACGTGCCAGGGCATCATCATGACCAGCTGAGGAGCAGGCATTGATTCTACCCCAGTTACTCGGCAAGGTTGGGACATGAATTGTACAGATATTATTATTAATTATAGACCATAGGGCGGTTCTCCGTCGGGATTGAATGCAGAAGCAGCTTTCCACGCGCAGTATATTCTTCCCTAAAGCATGGTCCTGGCAAGCAATTGCTTTGAGCCTCGCCTGCTGACTCGCCTAATCTGATAAGGACACGGGCCCGTAGCGTAGGTAAGCGTCCCGCAGCCTCACGGCCGTCGGCGCTTTTGCGAGAATCTCAAGGGTCCTGCCAACTGCGTTACTGCCTTGCATTGCAGAATTCTAGGTGCGCACCCTGCACCATCATGAAGCTTTGCCATCGCGGTGAAATGATTCCGATGATACACTGAACACCTCCAACCCACCCCCAAGGACTCGCTCAAGCACAAATCTCCGAGTGAAGAAAAAGTCAAGGAAATGCATAAAGCCGCACCCCCAAGCGAAGGGGCGCCCCTCCCTGGTCCCCTGTCCCAGGTCCCGTATCCATCGACGATCGGTGGAAGAACCAAAGCTAGTGTTGTGGCTCCACCTCGACCATTCGAGCATCCATCTGCACGAGTTCAAGACCATAAGCGAGGTTACCACCGACGGTGTTTCTTTGCACAGCTCAAAACTTTGATGCACACCAACTTGAAGCACCTCTCCAATCCCTGCAATCAACACCCAGGCTCCTCGCCTGTTCATGTGCAAGGCCTGCAACGCCTCCTCCGATAGCCGCAACTCAAAATTTATGTACAAACTGTACCGTGGTCGAGCTTGACCGGGATCGGGCATAGATCATGCGAGCGGCAGTCTTCCTAGGCCTTTCAAGCTCGATTACAGGTGGACGGGCAAAGTGATTTATCTCCAGCCATCCTCCTGCATCCCTACTTCGCCATCCTGCTGTAGGAAACTGCCGATAGCCCAAACGAAGGTACTCCGTACTGGATGCCAACTGGAATGGAACCACGGTGGGGTCATGGAACTGGCCGCCCTCTTGCATGGATCGCTCAGGGATTGTGGCCCGTGTGGGGTCACCCACCTGTACCGAGACAGCAGCTCGTGGTTATCACATTGCTTGACGTTACTTCTGTCCACTCAGGCCCAGTCCGGACGGACCGCATGAGGCAATACACGGCCACCGGAGGGACTGGTAGGTACCGTGGCTACAGGACAAGGACTGGCAGAGTCGCCAGGACGGCACTCGGCACACATGCTGCAAACCCCGAGGAGTGGTTGCCTGATGCAGCAATGATTGCGTATGCCACATGATCTGCTTGCAACCAGCACTGCAACAGAAGGAGCATGATAGTTTGAGCCAGCTAATGTAAGATCTGCTGGACTTTGCGCACAGTGGGTTTATCGGTGCCCGTTTGGCAGGACGATCAATGGCTTTCCTCTCCGCTCCAACGCCTTATCTTGTCGCTGTCGATTGTGCATTCCGGGCTTATTCTACGTGTCTCTTTCCTTGCTATGTGATATGCTGCTATATTAATAGTCACTTCACGCTCGTTACTTGCGTGAACGAGGCTAGGATGAGCCATGCAGTCTCCGTTTCTTTTTTGGGTCACGCTGGTGTACTGCTTAACAGCATGTCTGGCAGATAACGAGACCTCACCGGTGGCGATATTTCGAAGCGTGGGCATAGCTCCCCCTTCTGGTTAGGTCCAGCCATTGCTGACGCCGCGACTAGAGACCCGACCTCGTTGCGCATATTCTTACGCCTATCAGCCAGGACCGCGAGAAGCAAGCACCAGGTTTCTATTTCGTGGCGCCTTATATGAATGAGCAGGAAGGAATCTACATCTACGACAATGATGCGGTACGTATTGGCCTCCCTAGGGCACAAGAACACGAGTTGCCTTGCTCCAACATCCGTCCGAATCTAACAAGTTCCGTCATGACAGAACCTAGTCTATAGTAGCTGGGGCAGCGGCGGTCCGGGTGTCATTCACGCTCCTCAGGTGTGCAATTACAAAGGCTCGCCGCATCTATGCTTTTACCAGGGCGTACAAATGATCGGTTGGGGTCACGGGCACGGCGTTATCATGGACAGCCACTATCGCGTCGTGAAGTCCATCGAACCGTCCGGCAGTTACCAAGCAAGCAGCGACATGCACGAATTTCGGTTGATTGACGGTGACCGTGCCCTTATGACACAATATCTTCGCTCCGTGCACGACCTCTGCGATTATGATCTCTGTGACGGACTAGGTTACATTCAGCAAGGCGCCTTCCAAGAGATCGACGTTGAAACTGGCGAAGTCATCTTCGAATGGCACTCGCTCGATCATATTGCCCTCGATGAAAGCTATGTTCTACCCAGCAGTACTGAAATCAGCGGCTCGGGTCAGGAGCCGACGTCGCCATGGGACTATTTTCACATCAATAGTATCGACAAGAATGACGACGGAGACTATCTGATCTCTGCACGGCACGTGAGCGCCGTGTACAAGATTTCTGGACAAGATGGTCATATTATCTGGAGGCTGAATGGTGCTAAGAGTGACTTTCATCTTGACAACTTCGGCTTCTCATTCCAACATGATGCGCGCTGGATCAGTGACAGCAAGGATGAGAGTGTTATCAGTGTGTTCAATAATGGAGGCAATGGCTTCAATCAGACGCACCCGCATTCAGACGGCAAGATCATACACATCGACCACAAGACCAAGGTCGCCCGAGTACTTCAAAAGATTAACCCGCCATTCATCGATGGGCATGCTCACTACGCAAAGAGCCAAGGAAATTTCCAGACCCTGCCTGATGGCGGTATTGTTATGGGCTGGGGCTATGATCCTTTCTTCACCGAGTACGCTCCAGGCGAGACAGAGGACCGGGAAATTGTCTTCTACGGGTACCTCGCACTCGGCCACATGATGAACTACCGTACTCACAAGTTCGATGGATGGATCGGACGACCTCTGACTAAACCAGCACTCTGGACTTACAGCAAGACTGGAGAGGAGGACAGCGGAATGATCATGTACTTCAGCTGGAACGGTGCAACAGAGGTAAGCAGATGGGCCCTGTATGGCGCTGCGGCAAAGAATGGGCCATACGTACTTCTGGCAACCAGAGACAAGAATGGATTCGAGACCATCTACAGGCATAGAAAAATGCTCCCATGGACATACGCCGAGGCACTGGACAAGAACGGAGAGAGCTTGGGCAAAAGTGCGCCGCAGGAAACGTACGTTCCGCGACAAGAACTGAGGCAGTACTGCGATGACTTGGCGTGTCAGTTCATGCCCAGCCAAGAGCAGAGGGACAGGGAGCGAGAGCAGGCCACGGAACAAAAAGCAAGTCAGAGAGGAGGATTCCTTGCACAGAAAAAGGATCAGATCTTGTTCGGCAGCGGTATCGGGGCGTCGATACTGCTTGCCATCATCGCGGTGGTGCTTGGGACGAGGAATAGGGTGAAGAGTGCGATTCTTCGTTCTGTGGACCGCGTGTGGCGACTCATCTGGGGCAAGCTAGGAGAAGAAGCTACAGGGCCAGAGTATAGGGCAGTCGCTGGTGACGAGGGCGATGACGAGGAAGTCAAAGCGCCCATGTTCAGGGGAGATGGATGACGATGAAGCGCTTTGTCGAATTGATGCCTCCCACAATGTTGCTAGCCACTACTCGAGATTCCTCCTCATGCTGCATGCTCTTTCTTGAAGTCTCTCGATGAGTGTCTGGTCTGACCACTTGATTGGGCTCTCTCCTTCTCAATGTTGGCCGGTGTTTTCGCGACAACTGCTGTCTGAATTGCTCCTCGTCACTTTCACCGCAGAACCGAGTCCACCGGTATATCCGGCACGTCCGCCTAGCATCAAGGTCCCCTGCATACGCAATTGACCATGTCTACGCAACAGCTGTGTCACACACAGTGTAACGCCGTGTCCCCGCGTCAGTGAACTCCGTCGGCACGTGAAACTCGACTCCAGCAAAAAAAAAACTTCAGGCAGTGAAAGTCTTGGGTCGCTGGCAGCCGTCAGAAATTAGCTGTCATGACGGTGAATTTACAGCCATCTTGGCCGACACTTCGAAAATTGGCGAAAATTGGCCAAATCTCGCAAAGGGCGCCACTAGCCAGGTGCACCGCAGCACACCCACGCCCGTAGTGGGTGGGCTTGCATGCGCCCAGATCTTGGACATGCGTTCGGCTCCCTTGGTCGCGGGGCTCGGCTGATTGGTGTTCCGTCTGGAACCGATCGTTACAGTTTCCCGACAAGAATCCTACAGAAGCTGGCCGTGGGCGCCCCTCTACCATGTTGGAGGAATTGACGCCCGGAATGCATCGCCTGTAGCTTGATGAACAGGACCCGCGATTGGGGTTCTTTCAAGAGCTGTGCGGTTCGGGTGAAAACTACGAGGTACCGGATAATACGAGGTGGGCGAGCGACGTTCGCTAAATTGTGGTTAAATCTGCCGCCGAGCAGCCACCGCGACAGGGATCTACTACAACGTGTGGGTCGGCTTGCCTCCTCCGGCGAGTATGATCGGCTGGAGCATTTGCTTCATGATGCCCACATGCATGCAACTCTGCTTGTCGGGGAGTGACGGGGTGGGGTACCCGCTCTGCGGTATAGGGCAAGCTTTTTGCGACGAAGCTCGGCCGGCTATCGACTTCTGCTACGAAATGAATCCTCCTGCTTGGGGATTGGGCTTGTCACCAGGCAAGTGTCATCATACCTCTTTCTTAGACTTTGTGTGTCAGTGTCGTTTCCTAAGTGTATAGCTGGTGTCGACCGCATACTGTTGTATACGTACCTGCGTCATACCCTATCACTGCTGCTGGATCGCAGTACACCCGAGTCACTGCCTGGCCATACTCGCTGCGGTCGTTGTACCCCCTGGTCATATCTAGTATGCCGTACCGATAATACTTCAATTCCTTCAAAAGATTCCGAGCCACGAAGATGGTAGACCCCGAGCGCGCCGCGGCGCCGCAGAGGCCGCCTCGGCCACCCTCATGGTCATCCATCCCACACAAGGCCCAGCTCGCCATAATATGCTCGGTGCGCATCGCCGACTTCTTCCAACAAGCCTCGCTGCAAGCCTACATGTACTACCAACTCAAGTCGTTCTCCCCGTCCTCCTCCGACGCCGACATCTCGTTCCAGTCCGGTGTCCTCCTTGGCGTCTTTACCGCGGCCCAGATCTTCACCGGCATCATTTGGGGTCGCGTCGCCGACAGTCCTGGCTGGGGCAGGAAGAGAGTGCTCATGGTGGGCCTGGTGGGACAGGGCATCAGCTGCCTGGGCGTGGCGTTCAGTGGCAGTTTCACCACTGCCGTTGTCTGGCGCGGGCTGGGAGGTGCGGTCAACGCGACGGTGGGAGGCGCGAGGACCGCGCTGAGTGAAGCGACCGAGAAGAGGTACCACAGCCGCACATTCCTGATACTGCCGCTGGCGTGGAATGTGGCCAATATCTTCGGACCCATGGTCGGTGGGGTGCTGAGCGACCCCGTGCTGAACTACCCTGGGTTGTTTGGCGCCGGAAGCGTGTTTGGAGGCGCCGACGGCGTGGGTTGGATGACGAGTTGGCCATACGCCGCACCGAACATCTTCAGTGCGCTGGTCTGCTTCGCCGATGCGGCGCTGATCTTCCTTGGTCTAAGGGAAACGTTGGTATCGAGAAAGATGGTGAGGGATCGAGGTTTGGAAATGGCGGAGAGCCTGCGCTACCACCTAAGGAGAATGTTCTTCAAGAGATGGGGATACCGTCAGCTGGACCAGCAGGAGGAGATGCAACTGGGCACGCCCGATGTCGATGACGGCGAGGAAGCAACGAGTACGCCCCTCACACCTTTACCTCTCAAAGAAATGGACGCACCGCCATCTGTGCCCATGCCGAAACCATCGTTCTACGACACCCTCACCAAGAACGTCCTGTGCGTACTCCTCACGGTGGCATTCATGGATTTCCAAATGGGCGGCTTCACATCCCTGTGGTCCGTCTTTCTGTCGTCCTCCCTCCGCACCAAGGAGGAGAATCAAAATATCAGTCTACCATTTCACTTCGCCGGCGGCATCGGCATGAGTCCATCTACGGTCGGCGTGGCCATGTCGACGCTCGGCTTCGTGGGCATCATCTTCCAACTCACGCTCTACCCGCGCGTCAACGCCCGTTTCGGACTGCTCAAGAGCACCATGTGGTCGCTGGCGGTGTTCCCGTTACCGTACGCGATCGCGCCATACCTGTCGCTGGTGGTGCATGAGCAGGTGCTGCTGTGGCTGGGCGTGTTCCTGGTGGCCGGGCTGCAGGTGGGTGCCAGGACATTCGCCGTGCCGGGCTTGGTGCTGCTGACGAACAACGCGAGCCCGAGCCCGGCCGTGCTAGGGACGATTCACGGTCTTGGAGCAGCGACGAGTAGCGCGGCGCGGACCATCGGGCCTATTGTTGCGGGACACTGGTATAGTCAGGGTTTGGAGGGCGGTAGCGTGGGCAAAGCGTGGTGGCTGTTGAGCATGGTGGCGCTGGCGGGAGTGGTGCCGAGTTACTGGGCGAGAGATGGGCGGTAATGATACTAATGATAATGCCCACCTACTTGCTTCCTTGACACTGTTGCCTTTTCATCACCGCGAGGCGTTGCATGGCTCTGGACGTCGTACAGTCATCTCTGGATCATTGGGTAAACAGTACTTGCTGTCAGACAACACTGCTCGTGTCCACGTGCCACCATCACCATCATGGCCACTGCTGTTGATGGGAGGCCTCCGTGGGTGATTTTACTGGTACGAATCAAAGCAGATTGTTTGCTGAGAATATTCAACTGCCACGAATCTTTGCATACGTCTTCTCTAGACAGTGCCTACGTGTTCACCGGCTGTCTGGCCCCACAGGGATGCATCTGTCTGCCCGCGGCTGAGTGGCTGGATTGCTCGGACGGTTGGGCTGAGGGGAAAAGTGTCAAACTGCGCGCGGGCGCGGACGCGGACGCGGGCTGCGCCTCAAATCATCTGCGAACGACGGGCCGCTTCCTTGGTTTTGTCCAAAAACTGGTGACCAGTCGACTTCATTCCACATCGTTTCCCCCTTTCGCGTCGAGTTTCGTTGCGGATTTATCGACATTGAATTGAGACTCGTCCTCGCCCGACGGAGCGCCAACAAGACGAGCGGGGTCGCCACTCGGAATCAGACCCTACGACGCAGTGGCACCACGAACCAAAATGCCGGTTCTCGAAGCGCGACAGTCCTACTAGTGAGTCTCATCAACACGGTTTATTGCTATCAGCACTTTGCGTACTTTCACGACGAGCACTATGTACTGCATCATGCACTCAAGCTGGCAACAGCAAGTGGTGGCGGGGATGTGAGATGCCGTTGTACCCCTCTACTCATGCTTTGCTCTTGGCCTGCCATCTACGACTAGCAAACTGACAGAGCATAGCTGTCAAGACTCCTTTGGCAATGTTGTCAGCTGTAACGTAAGTCCTCGATGCTGTTGTTCTGTACCATTCAGATCATTCGCCATATTGAGATGAGCGGTCTCGATATCTCTATCCTTCGATTTTTTCAAGCTCTCACGGACGCATATCAGCTTGGGCCAGCCAATTGTCGATATGTGACGCGCTGAGCTTCTTCCGCTACCCTCAGCCCGCTTACCTCCATCCGATACTCTCGGGACTTCCGACCCAAGCTAATCATTTACCCGCAGAATGCCTGGTACGACTGGGGCCGCTGGGTTGCTCTTGCCATCATCATCATAGGATTCGTTCTTCTCTTCTTCATCTTCAGTTGTATTTCTGCACGACGCCGCCGCAGACGTGGCGCACAACCATTCTACGGCACCGGCTGGGTGGGCCGCACGCCCTTTGGCCATGGTGCAGCGCAGTACAACCCGCAATACGCACAACAGGAACAACCATATGGCGGCTATCAGCAAGGCGGGTACTATGGGCAGCAACAGCAAGCGCCACCAACGTATCAGCAAAGCCATGACCCAAACAGGGGATATTACGGTCAGCCAGGGACTCCCAGTACCGGCGTGTATGAGATGCAGCCGCCGACCAGGGCTTATCAGGGCACCTCGCCAGAGGTTTCGGGAGCGAAGCACTAAGGCGACTATGTTGGCTACCACGGAGATTCCGCTGATGAGACTGTGTGCTAAGCGGAGTGGCGTGCTTTACAATGATAGTTGCCCGAACCATCGGAATGCTATGGAGCGAAGCAACTGCACAGAGAAGGGCATTCGAGTACGATATCGATTGACGCGCGTGGATGAGCCTGTAACAGTGACCATGTATTGATGTTTGAGATCCCAGCTAGTTCCCTAATCCACTTTACGATACTAATGCATCATCTGCTACTCGTCCAAGTTGTCAGGCATGTGAGAAGCATTTGATGGTCGATAACTGGCATGATGTCCCGCCACTCCGGACACTGCTTCGAAGACGAATTTGCATCAGCTCACCATACTTTCCCTGTTGGCCCATAGTGTGGTTATAGTCTGGGCCGATAGAAATGACTGGCGGGCTCTCTGGACTCACAACAGAGGCTTTTGGCTGTGCTATGCTATGAGTCCGGGGAGCCCTCCCCGTCAATCTTGTCGGCCCCAGGTGCGCTGAACAGCCTCGGCCCATACGGTGTGGAGCCCCCTCCAGCCCCGGCTTTCACATGGTCAACCGCCCGTGCAGTGTTGCTCTCCAACCTTCACTCGACATCAATGACCATGCTGCTGACCCAGCACTGCACCTTCTGCGTCTCCTCCTAGCACTCGTACTCTCTAACCCTCTAGATCCCTTTACCACCAGCGACCTCCAGACCGCCCACTCTTCCATCAACCTCTCTCACACGACAGCGAAACGGCTTCCGCCGCCCCGACGTCATCCACCCTTCCCTTCCCTTGCCTCCCCTCCACGTCCTGCGCTCCCCCACACAGCCACAATGGACGAGCTCGCCAGCCGCGCCACCGCCCTGCTCATGGAGCCCTCACTCCGTCCCCTCCTCGCGATCGTCAAGTCCGCGCGCAACGGCGCCGTCTACGGCGCCAAAGTCCGCTTCCCGCACGCGCTGGTCATGGTCTTCCTCTTCCGCTCCGGCACGATACGCGAGAAGCTGCAGCTCGTGTACAAGGCGACGCGGCAGCACGCGCGCAACCTGGCCTCCTTCGCCGTCGTCTACAAATCGTGCATGCTGTTGCTGCGGCTGCTGAACCCCGACGGACGGGGGAAAGAGGGCGCCTACGACACCTTCTTCAGTGGGCTGGTGGGCGGGTACCTCGTCTTTGGGCGGGGGAGGGCCGCGAGCAGTAGTGTGAATCAGCAGATTGTCATCTATGTGTTTGCGAGGGTGGTGCTGGCGTTGGCGAAGTTGAGTTTGGAGAGCCCCAGGATGACGAGCGCGACGCCCACGCCGACGCTGTGGACGCAGCGGCTGGATCCGGAGACCAAGAGGAGGATCCAGGAGAATGCGTGGCCCGTGTTTGCGAGTTTGAGTTGGGCCATGGTCATGTACGTCTTCAGGTGGCAGCCTGAGAGCATCCAGCCGAGCTTGCGGAGTAGTATGAAGTATATGTGGGTTTTCCTTCCCCTCCCCCTTGGTATCGATCTGGTGGTGGTGGTGGTGGTGGTGGTGAGATTGGTCAGTTGTGCTAACATTGCGGCAGTTATGTGAATTCGGACCACTGGGATTCGTGGAGGACATTTCTGTGGCATAACACTTGAGAGTACAGCAGGATGCAGTCAATGGCGTTACCCAGGTTCTGCTACGGATACGAGGTATACATGTGAACGTTATGATCACGAAGCTGTGAGGGGAGGGTCAAGCAGCCGCAAATCGCAGCAACGATGGCTAGATGATGGGTCTTTGGGAGCCATGGAGCATTTACCAATTCCAGTTCTTAAATGAGCGGTGGGCACAGCGAGTCACATTCGGGAACAGGTAGAAAGTGTGGCTCAGCCGCGAGCTCCTGGATGCCCGGTCTTCATTGAGTGATACACGCCCGCGGTATGGCGAGTACCACGATGTGCTAGAACTATGTGCTGGTTCCTCTCTGTCTTGTCTTCATCATCATCGGACCCCCAAAGAGCTGTTGTTACAACGCCTCTCCTCGTGCGCAAGGCTCTTACAGCACCGGCCTCCCTCTCTTATGATTCTGTCTTCTCCTTGACGGCCTTCCGACTCCCCAAGATCTCATCCACCACACCCAACTCGAGCGCCTCATCCGCACTCAAGAAATAATCCCGCTCCATCATCCCCTCAATCTCGGTCAACGTCAGCTTCCTGCCCCCGTCCTTCTTGGGCGTCAAATGCCGCTCGTAGATCTTGTTCAGCTGCTCCCGCACCCGCAGGATCTCCTTTGCATGAATGGCAATATCCGCCGCCGTCCCGTGATACCCGCCACTCGGCTGGTGCAGCATCACGCTGCTATGCGGCAGACAGAACCGCTTGCCCGGGCTGCCGCCAGCCAGCAGGAGACTCCCCATACTCGCGGCCTGGCCCAGACAGATGGTCGTGATCTCTGGCGTGATGTATTGCAGCGTGTCGTAGATGGCCAGGCCCGCGGACACGCTGCCGCCAGGACTGTTGATGTACAGGTTTATGGGCTTCTCCGGGGCGTCGGCTTCGAGGAACAGGAGCGATGCCGTCACGGTTGCGGCCATGCGCTCGTCGACTTCACCATAGACGGCCACGATGCGCTCTTTCAGCAGGCGCGAGAAGAGGTCTGTCGTGTGGTGCGTACTGCCGGAGGTTTCAGTCACAAATGGGATGGGCAGCCATGAGGCGGATGGCGATGTGGAGCGGTTGAGGGTGCGCCGCGAGGAGGAGAAGGTGCGTCGGCCGGGGGGAAGTAATGGGCTGAGGCGGGACAGTGTTGCAGGTGTGGCGAGGGGCCTGGTGGCCAGAGAGAAGACCTCCAGAGGGAGGGCGCGCATTCCGGAAGGCATGCCGAGGAGGAACGGGAAGGTTGCACGTAGAGCTGCGCTGGGGAGCTTTTGCTGTTGAAGCTCGAGAAGTTGATGCATGGTCGGATTTCATCTCCGAGTGGTAGGGCTTGGCATGGACAGGCAGTAAATGGACGGGACCGCCGTGACCAAACTACGATGCCCCGGTTGTGTTACATGGACGCGAGCACAGGAGATAGGGTTTGTCAGAAATAAGAGATTAGAATCTCTTGATCAAGATTCTGAGGCCTGGCATTGTCTTTAGCTTCCCGTAGTAGTCCCTGTACCAGTTGCTGCAGCGGTTCCTGCACCAGCTCGTTCAGCCGCTATACGCATGAGAAGCGCCCTCAGGCGATCTGCTCTCTCTGAAGCACTGCTCACTGTAGCCACTGTCGAGTTGGCTTTGTTGAGTGCCACCAACCCTTTCAGACTCCGTCTGACGTTTAGCGTAAGCACCAGGTCATTCTGTGCACTAGCTCCTGATGCGGTTGCTTCTTCCGAGTGTGGCAGTAGTGTCTGCATCTCTATGCCGTCCTCAGTCTCGCCAGTGTCCTCGTTTACACCTTCTTGACGCCCTTCCTCCTCAGCATCGAGTGTTTGCGGAGGCGTTGTTTCTTTCTTGCCTTCTGTGAGCAAATAACGCTCGTATGCAATTGCCAGCATGATGAGCTGAAGCGCGCATATTAGCACGTCTTGAGATAGCAGCCGCCATTTGGAAGTCTTCTCCGGCTCGCCCACCAAGTCCACGAATAGGGAACCGTGTATGTATCCGCGCGCACTCCGGGCGGTTGCCGCCGGAGCCGCGTGTAGGACATGCGTGAGGATGCATATGACGTTGATGAACAGCACAGGGCCTAGTGACGCCGTGATGTCGACGAAGAGGACTTGGGCGGCGGTCCTCAGCACTAGCAGGATGGACAAGTTATCGTAGTAGTATGAGCACGCGAGCTGGATGAAGACGCAGCTGGCTAGGGTGTTGGTCAAGGCGCCGAAATGATCCAGACGCTGGTCCGGGACGCGCAAGCGGGCATCATTGTTGCCAGCCGAGCTCATCACAGGAAGCGTGGATAGCAAGAGCTCGTATCATTTCTGTCTGATGATAGATAGTTCGTTCGTTGCCTCGTGATCATGACTCGCGTGTGCTTGAAGTGAAGTCAAGGCGCTCTCCAACCAAGGAGGTGCCTAAGCCCGCAGCCGACGTCGCCCCGCCAAGAGGCCCCCAGGCGTTATTCGCTCTGCAATCTGCTGAAGCTGACCTCTCTACTTCGTATCCCGACACACCCATCACACGTTTGGTTTTGTGTCATCGAACCCGACATGACGCCTGTTCCCATGCCCCTCACTTGCATTTCTTCAACTTCTTTCCAGCAGTCGTGTCAGTATGATACTCGACCTGGACCTCGCCAGCTACCTTGCGGACTCCCGTCACAGCTTTGAATTGCATCATGCCCTTGTCGGAACCTGGCTTGACCTGGACCTTTACATCGATCTTCATGGAACCTGGAATAGACATGGCTCCATTCTTTCGCAGTCGGCTCCGCTCTGCCCGCGCCGCCCCTGAGAGTTCCATGGTGAGTGTTCCGAGGGGATTGCATGACTCGTCCAACCGCTGAGGCGCCACGTCGTCCGAATTCGAGAAAAGCTCTTGCTGCACCAAGAGCTTCTTCTTGAAGCTGACGTTGTCGCACTCAGCGTACAGGCTGATCTCCTCCTTGGTCGATGGGTAGATCTTCTGGCCACGCCTGATCGCCCAGTGCATCTGATTCTGAGCCCGGGATCCTGAATCCAGTTCAATCCGATCCTCTTCATCGTGCACATCCTCGTCAAATGGCACGTGAACAGGGTACCCGAGGTTGTCCCTCGCCCGGCGGTAGACGACAACGTTCCGCTGACGAGCATAGATGCTGGCGCCGCGGCAGATTGCAGACCATGCTCTCTCAGGGGCCAGACAAAGTATGTCTTTTCCAAGCTCCTTCTCAACGAAATCCTTGAACCGGTACTTGATGTACCTGTTTGCGGCGAGGCCGCCACATAGGACGACGGACTGGACTTTCGGCATACGAGCCGCTTTGACCGCTGCAACCTGGTCCCGAATGAGCTGAAAGCCTGCGTCGAGTATCGGAGCGAACCAGGATTCCATCTCTTCTGGTGTGAATGTTATGAGGCCCTCGTCGCTATCATATCTCCTTTTCACCTCGGGATCGTCCATATCAGGCTTCTTGAGTCTCAACGGGACGGTCAGATCGGTCGGCTGCGTCTTCGAGTTTGCTCCTTCAAACTCCTGTTTCAGGGTCTCAAACTCTGCCATCATTCTGCTGCCGGCTGCTCGTGCTTTCAAGGGTACGTCGGTGAACGAGATGCCGAACGTCTTCTCCAGGAAGACATAGAAGCCCCTGTCAATGGTCGTAGCTCCAGCCTTGGCACTTTTCAGAGTCAGTGATATGTACGGGACGATATTCAATCAAAACGTACCCAGCGCCAACTGCTGCTTCCTCGATTCGAAGGGGCTCGAGGCTTACGAGCTTATAGGAGATACAGTCTGAACACGTTAGCTGTGTCCTGCATCAGCTGAACAGAATTTACCCAGTGTACCGCCTCCGAGGTCACAATTCAGGATTGTCGACCCTTGCTGCGGGTCTTGTCAGAACGATTCACGAACCTAGGCCTGAATGACCTACCTGGAACGGCTGCGCTGCGCTGTCGTAATCGTGGATAGTTCCGTGCAGACAGTCCAAGACGCCTGTCATTGCTTCATCGGCCAATATGAGCTCATCCCCATAGCGTGTGCCGAAGCCTGCTGCGACTGCTGCTTTGCGAGTCTCCGCTCGAGCATAGTGACTCCAGGTGGCTGGAACAGTCAGGCAGAAGACCAACGGTGTTACCACCAGACCCGGCCCTAAGATTCCTCTGAGAGACTCTAGGACGTGGTTGTAGAGAAATCTGAGGTAATCGGTCGCCACGTCAGTGGCAGTCTTGCCTTCGGGTAGTCTGACAAGGCCATTGCTAATGAATTGCTGCAGGACTGGGTCATCATAAGCAGCAGGATCCGTGGCTTCATCGAGTCTCAGCTTGAACCACGTGAAGCTGCTCTCACCTGGCTTAATGGAATATCCCCAACGGTCCTCAGACCAACTGTTGTCCTGGGCATAGCCAATGACTGATGGCACCTTGTCCTGGAATGCTAGTTGATGGTCAACGAAGAGCAACGAAGAACACCTAGCAAGGTTCGTTGTTACCTGCTACGCCATTACGCCATCCCTGAATGACGACTGGTGGTTTCTCGAGGTTGGCATTGGAAACGAATGCTATGCCTAAACAGGTGTCAGAGACTCTGCTGCCGAACCGTGCCTTAATGTCTTGCTAGCCTGAGAACGTTGTGCCCTGTGAGATGTCAGCCTAGCACCGGGCGAGCAAATTGCCGTTTCTTACCATGTCTACACCAACACAGATACGTCTCCGTTCCTTGTTGGCTTCCTCCTTGACCTTGTCACGGTAAGCATCGCGCCTCGCCTGAGCTTTCGGATCTTGACTGAGTTCTAGAGGAAGTGAGTGGCGCTTCTACTATGCAGAGCTCACTCACCGCCTCGCTTTCTCTTCAAGCCTCTCGTTGATCCGTCCTTCGATGCTGAGGCTTCTGTCTCAGTCAGTGGAATCGCGTCTGAAGCCGGAGCATAGTGCCTCAGAAATTCACGATGGCCACATACCTTTGTCTTCGTCGGGACCACGCACGCCGAGGATGTTTAGCCGAGCCATCGTGATATTGGAGAGCCTGGCACGGGTGTGGATGGGCAAGACTTATGATGATAGGAGCATTTATCGAGCCCTGCAAAGGTAAAAGTCTTGATATTGAAGGCCAAAGAGCAGGCTATGGTAGATTTATTGGGGAGAAGCGGGATGTCGGTAATGGGGGAGTGGTCATATAGGACGGTGGCACTGAAAGATACTGTTCATGGATCAAGCCGGAGTGAATTGCGATTTCAATTGAGACTCTAGTGAGTTACGTTTGTGGCTGAGGTTCCTGCTTGAACTCACACCAACGTCACGTTCTTGCTGCTGCACTGAGGTTATGATCTTGCTGATCCCCTTCATAAGGGCGAGTACTTAGGTGTCGATGATAGGCTATGTTTTGCCCTTCAGAACCACCATGCAAAGATTCAGGCTCGTTATCGCCAGAGCCTGGCTGTCCTCAGAGATTCATATGAGAGACTTGAGCTGACTCCGCTGGTATCGTTCATGGCCCTCATTACACCTTTCAGCGCACTAACCAATCCTCAAGTGAGTTGCAACTCGCGGCCTACGGAGTGACTTCAGAGCTTGCCACCAACCTAGCCACCTCACTTGAGGGTGGCGAGCCTCAATCTACTTGAGCTGGTCTCATTGAATCTTCTTTCTCATCCACCACAATACCACACCATCATCAGATGGCGGCCACAGAAGGAGACTCCCGTGAGGCGAGCTCGCATTGTTTCGTCGACCTAACCGGCCCCAGCACTCGTGGCAAGTCCAGATATCTAGGGCAAGACCTCTATTTGCCTTCCGACACGGAGATGGATCCGCCCGACGATGATGGCCAGACACAGGATGACGACGATTCCGATTACGTTGGCAACGTTACCTTTTCGCGAGCTATGAATAGATCCAAGAAGCGGCTCAAGGCCGACACTCCCACGATGGCAGCCTCTGGACAGATAGCCAACAACGGGCATTCCAAGAAAGAAAGGAAGCTCAGAGATTATGGCGTCGAAAAGTTTCATCTCATGATCGATAAGTATAAAGCCGAAATCAAGAAGCTCCAGGTCCAGCGGGCGGTTGAGAAAGCGAAAAACGCAGATCTCAAAAACAACCAGCTCGCGAAATCCAAATCGAAAATCAAGGACAAGGACGAGAAACTCGGTGATCTCACGGCCGCTTCGCAGTCGCTCAGACATCAGCTACAGGCAAAGAATGAAGAGATCCGGAAGCTCAAGGATACAGCTCGACTCAGAGAGTTGACGCTCAAGGAGTACCAGGATGCAACTCTGCAGCCACTCGAAGAACTTGAGTCAAACGATTTCAAAGCTACTGATGACAATTGTGTTGCGTCTCAATTGTCACGGGTGTTTCGCGCATCCAAATCCTGGGCTTCTCGCAATGCTATCTCAAAATGGCCAGAGCTCGACATTGAAGCCATTCAGCATGGTCAAGATGTGTTGGGTGATCCATGCGTCCCTAGAATCGCCTCCACCAGCGCTCTCTCTGCGATTGATCAGGGTTTCATTCCACCGAAGGTGGTCGTCAACGCCCTTCTCAACAGCCTGATCGTGCGGCTGATCCTTGAACACCCCTTCTCTGTCATCTCGGCGGTGCGCACTAACGGTGGTAGCATATCTTTGGGAGACGTCACCCAGATTATATCTCGGAGTGTTGCAGGGTTTAGCAAGAGTGAGTTAGCCGATCTTTTCGCGAGCTTAACGCTGATATTGGCTAGGTACAGCTGAATATGCCGAGAAGTTTAGGTGCGTTGCGGCTTCCTCTCTGCTACCGCCAGACTTCAAGCTCGACAACGTCTCAACTTCAAACGAGCTTGAGGCCAGCACCGAAGACTTCCGCGCACAAGTCCTGCAGTTGGCCATGAATGCTGTCGGATTCTTGCTGCGAGAAGATCACAGTACAACAGACCAGTCTAGAGACGATCTACGCAAATTTATCTGGTTGGCTGTTAGCACCAGCATCCAAATACATGCACAATATCCACGCGTGACATTTTTGTTCTTGTCGGACCTCAAGAGACATCGGTTCTCTTGTGACCACGAACAACTTGAAGCGCATCCAATCATGAACTTGAAGCATGATGGTGATAGCAACGACGGCAGGACGGCGGAGGAGGCTGGCGTGGCGGGTCGAAGCCCGGATCTGGTTGTCGAACCTCTCGTCCAGCGATCCGGCGACAATCAGGGCAAGGCTTGGGATGGAGAGCGGCTCGTCCGTCGGGCGGTGATCTGGATTTGCAGCCCCAAAGACCACGAAATGGCCGCGCAGAAACTAATCAAGGCCGCCAACGATGTTCCACGTCACGAGTCGTCTCAGAAGCACTCGCGGATACCTGTCAAATCTTCTCAAGTCTCACAACAGCGTTCCAATCCGGGAGATGGACGTAATATCAACGGTGCACGGCAAGATGATGACAACACGCCCGCGCGTCCTCACGAGAGGTCGTCCCGACAGCAGCGTGTTGTAAGGGGCGAGCCAGGTCGCCAAGCTCGAAAGAGGCAATCAAATAGGTCACAGGAGTACCCCAACAAGAAAGCCCTCACAGAGACTGGCCCACGCTCTCAGAACAATCAGCCCGCCTGTAACGAGCCGACCATCAAAGCCGAGCCAACCATCAAGATCGAGCCAGGGAGTGACTCGAAGGTGGGAAATTTATCAGGATCGCTGAGAAGTACCGTCGACTCGATTGGAGGCACTCGACGCAACGACAGCCGGCACCCAGGCGAACAGAACAAATCGAAACATGTTCACGTACAGTCAGGAAAGGCACGGAGCTCCGATATCCACGAGTAACATAGGAAAGTGGGAATGGAAAAGGCATAAGTCTATCGCGCAAAGCGACAGCTAGCTAATGAGGCAACGAGGTGTGGTGGTCTGGAAGGTCAGAGGCGAATGAATGACTTTGTCGAACGGCCCCCGCGCGCAGCACACGATCAAAGACATGAGAAACGAGGCCTCTTTTGCGACCAGGCAGCTGGTCATTTGGGATGTGGGGCGCATCATAGCAACAAGAACCATCATCGAGCTCGAGCTGACGCCGTTGCGAACAAGACAACAAGGCAACATTCCAAAAGCATATGTTGGGGGGGGGGGGGTTCATAACTCTCCACTCTTAGTACACCTTCCGTGCGATTGGGCTTAGGTAGTCAAAAGTCCCGAATGTTCTATGCAGCATGATAGTCTTCGCGGGGACAATGCTATCTTTTCCCACGCATGTACGCTGCGTTGCTGCTTTGACTCCTCAAACTGTAGACGATCTGGCCTTGACGGTCAGATGTGTAGACGATATGGATGTAGTAGGGCACCGTCTATGTCCAACGACCTGTTCGGACGCTATGGGACGGCTGGCTCTATCGCTGTGCTCCAGAAGCGTGTGTATCTTGAACAGCACCCATCTCTCGACGCCGACGCTCACCACACTCACGCTTGGTATTACTCCACCCACGTTGGCACCGTCCTCTTCAGGTACCGCATGAACTTCCACATCCCAACTGCATGCTCTACATTCCCATGCGGGCCCTTTACTCTTTCCGGAAATGCAATGCCAGCACCAAACGCTTGAGGAAGTCCCGCACCCTTCCCATCGGTCAATGCACCCGTTTCTGGATTCCAGCCTAGGCCCTGCACTTCTTTACCATCCACACTGACCTTGGGCATCGTGTCTGAGCGTGAAAACCCGATAGCCTGTACGATATGTGTGCATTTCTCGAGCTCGGGCTTCATCTTGGGGTCTGCTGCATCCGGACAGTCAACCTTCGCCAGGTAGGGTCGCACGGGAGAATCTTTCAGACTGTTTTCCTCGAGATGCTCGCGAGCGAAATCCGCTGAAGCTCCTTTGAGACCGGTGTTGTCTCTCAGGATCCACCCGTCCATCTCTTGCGCGTAGGTGAGCTCGCTGCGGACGAACCATCGCATCTTCAGCCGCGGGTGCGTGGATGTGGCGAGCTCATACAGATTCATGATCAGCACGATGGCGGAATGGGAAGTGCCGATAATTCCAATCGTGATGTCTTTGTCAGTTGGAAGGAGGTCTCGAAGTGCCTGGCGATCTAGACAGTCGTCGAGATCCAGAGTCTCAGGTTTGGTCGTGGGAAGGGCAAGAGTCGTTGGTGAAGACCCGGTGCACACTATCAGGCGATGTGCTCTCAGCGCGCCAATAGTCGAGGTACCGATTGCTGCTGCTGAATTGGATGATGAAATTGCGCCGCTGTTGAGATTCAAACGTGCGGACCAGAGCGAGTCAGGCCTGTTGACACTTGATAGTCGGCCAAAGTAGGCATCCACGTTCGTCATCTTCCACAACCCGCCAGTAAGCATCTGCAACATATCCGCGGCATAGTGAAGCTGGCAGCCGCGATTCTGGTCAAGCTCCGCCATGACTGTCATAGCATTTGGTTTAGGCGTGGACCGAATAATCTGTTGAAAGGGCTCAAGGGCGTTGGCATAGTCGGCAAAGAGCCGCACTTTGGTATTCGAGCTGACATCTCGATATTTCTTCGAAATGCGTCCACCCCTGAAATCGGGGTCTACCCAGGCTACATTGAGCTGAGGTTTGAAGTGCAGGAGAGCACCGACTGTTGCGATTCCGGCGGCGCCGCCACCAGCGACCACGGCATCATAGACGCGCGTGAGCATCTTCACTGGGTCGAGAGTGTGGGTACGAAGCGTAGGCAGAGGCTTCAAAGCCGATCCTCCTCCTTTCCGTTATCGGATCGGCAATGTCACCTCATCTTCTTTATAACGGTCGATGGATATCAGTACAGGGCGACGGTAGATAACTACCACGGAAGACCCAGAAGAATCGCGACGACGCTAGCGAGCGTTCTTCAATTACGAGCCCGGCTGATGTTTGATGCGACTCTTTGGGTTGACGTTGGAGAAGCCGCGGCTCGGCGTCCTAGTTGCCTTGATTACCCCAACGGACGCCTTACAGGCAGCGAATGTCGTTCACCAAATGACTCAAACAGTCGTTAGAGCCTGCACACGTAAGGCATCGAGAGCAAAGTGACCAAAGGGGACGGAGATACGGTTTTGTTTCATTACTACGCATCATAGCTCATCCTTCGTGTCCATCATCCGCTTGTACGGGTTCCGCGGCTGAGCCTCTTGCTCTCGTCTCTCCTCTTCAGTGATATCATCTACTACCGTCCCTTGCTGAGCATCTTCCGCCATCTGGCCCATCTCCTCAACCATAGGCGAGTTTTTTGGTGGTGGGGTACCTTGCCCGCCCCAACCACCACCTTTCGGCGCCAACTCCACCCGGACTCTTTGCCCAGGCCCGAAGGTCGGAATCCCGTGGCTGCTAGACAACACCGACGAGCTCTCTGCTAGGCTCCTGTGACCACCTCCAAAACCCACAGCACCCGCCGCACTCATGGTAGTCCACCACATCAACCGTAACGGCTGCCATACCAGCCACCAAAGTGGTCCATACAGAAGCCGCCTGAACACCAACCACGAAATTGTTACCACAAGCATGTAAAACGCCGTCTGCAGGTACCACGTATCGCTCTTATTGCTCCTGACCAGCTGCCCAACCAGACTCCGCGAATTCTTGAGCAAATCGCTGGTGCCACCGTAACTTTCTGCGAGCCCTTTCAACGCATCCTGACTCTCGTCCAGCGTCTGCTGTGCAAACTGCGACTGCTGTAGATTCGCCGTCATGACATCGTGTGTCCGCCGCAGCGCCCTCGTAACATCCTCTGACGCGTTCCGCGCGATCTCCTCCTGCGTCAACTTCTCCTGCCCTGGTCGTCTGCCGTGTGGTAGTGGTGCTGCACCGTCCTGGCCTTCGCCGCGACTGCGTTTGAATAGCGCTTCGCGCTCCTTCTGCCTCGCGTTGTCCGCGTTGCGTTTCGCTTGCAGTTGCGCGCGCCGATAGCGTGTACGGGCGGTGTGGAGGTCTTCTGTCAGACGCCCGACCAGGTCGGCGTTGCGCTCGCGCTCGGTGTACCGCTCATCGCTGGAGTTACGCCGCGCAGGGAGAGGCTCGTCGTCGAGTTCTTGCCGGAGCAGCTCGAGAGTGTCTTCTTGTTCTTTCAGGGAGTCGTGGATGTCACTGGCGAGATCGGCGCGGCGTGTCGAAGCATCGGGACTGGTGGCGGGTAGAGACTGGAGTTCGGCGATTTGAGCTAGGGTGATTTTATAGGCGTCATTGAGGGCCTGGAGACGGCGAGTGAGTGAGGAGGACATCGTTCCATTGGGACGCGTGAGAGGAGAAGCCGTAGGAAAGATGCATGTCGTCAAAGGTGGCCGATGTAGCCTCGTCGGAGGCGTAAGGCTCCGCCTTACTTTTTTGCGGAGGAGAGTTCGGAGAGCTTTCGAGGGCTATTCATCTTGCGACTCAGCACGTACAGCTGGATCGCATTGATCGCGAAGAGAACAGAGTGCAAGAGCTTCAGGGTGGCAATTTCTACTGAGAGACCTCCCCACGCGCTCAAGTCGGCCCGCGAAGCAACATTTCATATCAACCTCCTCAAAATGAAGACCACCTACCTCACCTCGCTCAAGGCGGCCTTCGACCCCTTCTCCAGAACAGCGATAGTACCTCGCCTCTTTCTCGGTCTCCTCCCAACAAACGCACACAAGTCTATCCAGATCAAGACTACACAACTACCACGAAATTCAAACCAGCCGGCGCTTCTCGAGCTGGGATTTAAGGATGGCAAGAAAATGAGCTATACTTGGGTAGAGCAGTCGAGGGAAGAAGCCAAGAAGGCGGACGTGAAGCCAGCTACCATCCAGGATATCATCGCTGAGGTCGACAAGCACGCGCGGATAACGGGCCGCAAGGAGGAGTTATCTGGCTAAGGGAAGCTGCAGCACCGTTTCAGCTATGAGGATCGCACGAACCCCAGTACCCGTGGAGTTGGCTATGAAAAGAAGTCGTCGAGGACGCGGTGGTGCCCGGCGTCGAGGCGAAGTCATACTGCGACGCTCATGGTGCAGAGTTCACCCTGTCCCTGTACCTATGGTCGTAGTGATTGTCAACGTGAGGCCGTGGAACGCCCAGAGAAGTATACGCCTAGAGCGACACATCAAAGTGAAAGCAGAGCACGGCTGAGCCTACTGCGACACTCTTGAAAGCAGAGCCACGCATAGTATACAGCATGGCGGACATGCTGTAAAACGATTCCAATGTCTCGGGTTTATCTGAATTGATCGAGTGGAGTTGATGAAAGGATGAATGTTGAAATATGTATTCTAGAATGAGGAGAATTCATTTGAATTCGAAGCTCGCCATTGCCCTTGATCTTCGAGGTGGGAGCATTGGTTTGCTTGTGGCATGAGCCACTCTTACAAAGATCAGTGTTGTGTTACCTAATATCTCGTCTTGCACTCTCCTCCCAATGTCGTCTCCAGCAGAGATAGCTCTCGTACACAAGATGGCCATGGCAGGGTCGTGTAGGACGGCTCGACATCACACTGCAAAGTGGCCACTTGGGTCACGAAAGAGCATCAGATAACCTGGTTATGCTTGTGATCCGTGCCGTTTAAAGCGATTGCCGGAGCAAGTAGAGAGACGTCTATGTCGTCGAGCCGAAGGTTGGATGCCTCCAGAGAGTTTCGAGTCAAGCCGCTACGGCCAGTGCTCCTCGTCCTTCGCCTTCGAAACCTGCATTCTCTGCGGCCAGCTCGGCTTTCCGCTTCCGGCTGCCATCTGGGCTGGCGGTTCGATTGCGTTTCGGTGTCTGCTTGTTCCGGTCTGCCTCCCGTCTTCGCGCTGCTGCAGCTTCTTGGAGTTCCTTATTACGTCTTTTGTTTTCCTTCTTTATGTCGTGCTTTGTCGTCTTAGGGGTATCAAGGTTCAAGATGTGGTCCACTTCTTTGGCTTGAGCGACCAGAGCGTCCTCTTTGATCTCCAAGTGCTCGAGAAGCTCGGTGTAGGTTTTGGACATCTGACATTTCTGATACGCTGGGTTCTTGCCCGGCATAAGTTGGGACAGTAAGAACTTTGTGTTGCCGTACTTGTTCTCCACGCTCAGGGCGAGCTTCAAGTATTCTTGGACAACTTCTCGCCACGGTGCTTTACCACCATCCGCTTCCTTGCGAAAGACTGACGAGTTTGCTTCAGCTGCGGTAGCAATCATGGCGCCGTCTACACCATACTCCTTGGCCAGGGCCACACCCTCCTCGCGCGAAACGACATCACCATTCATGAGGCAGGCAACTCCATGACTTCGGCAGATATCACCAATCATCCTCAATTGTTCTCGGATTGCTCGTTCCCGTGGCCTCATGGGCGTTGTGCGGCAGTGGATAGTCAGGCCTGTGATCCCGGTCTTGCAAAGCTTGTTGACAAGATCGGACGTGAGCTCAGGAGTCTCAAGAAGACGAATCTTGACCGATATTCCGATTGCGTGTGGTTTGCCCACCTCTTCCACAAGGGCTTTCAGAATGCTGGCTAGTAGATCTGGTGTACGAAGAAGGGCGGCGCCCATGCCCCCATCTGTAGAGAACGACTTAGGACACCCGGCGTTCACATCGAAGCCGCTGACGTGCTCGGCGAAGAGTTTCGCGGCCTCTACAGCGCGTTCCGGCGAGTTTGTTCCGATCTGATAGATGAGCCTGCCACTTTCCCGGGACGGATCAATGCGGTACAGGACCGTCTCCCGATCGTGGGCCGACCGTGACCATTCTAGACAGCCTGTTCTAGGGTTTGTCCTCTTGGTGCATCCAATCATTGAGCGATCGACTGTCTCCGGGCCCCAGACAAGGTCAGCACCATACTTGAGCGCAAGAAGACGTGAAGGAAGTTCGCCGGAGCGGACCATGGGCGCCAGAACGATCTTCCCTCTGTAATCGACACCTCGTCTTGGGATGGGAACATGGGGTGTGTCATGGTTCAGAGGGGAGGTTGTTCGCTGGGTAGTGGCTTCCTCGTTCGCCTCACCTGCGGCCGTGCTGGAGGCTGCCGACATACTAGTAACGGGATAGGAGAAGATGGAGGAAGAGGCGTGGATTGAGGTTATCGTAGAGAGTCGTCGCCGAAGTAGACGCTGGAGTCGCAAACCATGGCTTGCAATCATCTACTCGATGCAGTAAGTATGGTTGGTCCGCGACTCACAATTCACGACAACTGACTGCAGAATACGGTACAGATGCGGCGAGCCAAAATTGCGGAGTGGACCCTGCCTTTCTGTCTTCGGGTCTTGTGCACCTTATCGATAAGGTGCATTTTCGTGATCCCGCGGCATGGAAATGTCGGAAGACCAAGTCACAGGTACGCTGTCGGCATCAGCGGGGCATCATCCACAGAGCTCGTAGGCCCGGAACAGTCTTAAGGGACATTTGTCGGCCAAAAACGTGCTCGAGATTTTTCTTCCCATGCATCTGACTGCGCCCAGATTGAGCCTCCGCTGTAGCCCAAGTCGATTACGTCTGCCATCATCGTGCAGCAGCTCCCTCTTAGCGATCGCTCACTCGCGCTGCACCGCAGCTGCACCTGCATTTTCCGTTGCTCCTGCCCACCGCCACATCTCCCTCAAACACCCCGCCCTGGCTCCCACTCAAAAATCTTTACATTCTCCCCTCCATCACTCCCCATCCGCCACCATAGCTTCCCAACGTTCTGAAGCTATTCAACGACACCTCTCTACTGGATCACAACCCTCTACTTCCACCATGTCGTACGGCAAGGGCTCCTCCGAGTACTCTGCTCGCCAGATTGCTCCTAAGCACACCCTCGACTACAAGTGCTATCTCGAGCAGAATGGCCAGCCAGTTTCCCCCTTTCACGATATCCCTCTCTATGCCAACGAGCAGCAGACTATCCTCAACATGATTGTCGAGATCCCCCGCTGGTCCAACGCCAAGCTCGAGGTGCGCATTCCGTCTGACCGCAAAGGCCGATACAATAGCTAACAGCAACCCAGATCTCCAAGGAGGAGTGGCTTAACCCCATCAAACAGGATGTCAAGAAGGGCAAGCTGCGATTTGTGCGCAACTGCTTCCCCCACAAGGGCTATCTCTGGAACTACGGCGCCTTCCCTAGAGTACGTACTCAAGATGCTGCCGCTGCAAGCTTCATCCACTCACAATGTGCAGACCTGGGAAGACCCCAACGTTGTCCACCCCGAAACCAAGGCCAAGGGTGACAATGACCCGCTCGATGTCTGCGAAATCGGCGAGGTCGTTGGCTACACTGGTGAAATCAAACAGGTCAAGGTCCTCGGTGTGATGGCTCTCCTGGACGAGGAAGAGACCGACTGGAAGATCATCGTCATTGACGTTCACGATCCCCTTGCTCCCAAGCTCAACGACATCGAGGACGTCGAGCGCCACCTCCCTGGCCTTCTCCGTGCCACCAACGAGTGGTTCCGCATCTACAAGATCCCAGATGGCAAGCCCGAGAACCAGTTCGCCTTCAGCGGTGAATGCAAGAACAAGAAGTACGCCGAGGAGATCATCCACGAGTGCAGCGACGCCTGGGAGCGGCTCATCACCGGAAAGACCCAACCTAACGGCCTCAGCCTTGCCAACGTTACCAACTCCAACTCTCCCGATCGTGTTGATCCCTCGGAACTCAGCAGGATCCCCCCTGGCACCAACGAGGCTCCGCAACCCATCGATGCTAGTGTCGACAAATGGTTCTTCATTTCTGGTGCGGCTGTCTAAATCTCGCGCGACATATCCACGGCTGACCTTGGGCTAGGAACTGGTCAGGTGTCGACCGACTACATCAAGAAGTAAATACGGGAGGACTCGTGTGCTGTATGGGACGACTCGATACTAAGCACGTGGGACGCGTACTCCGTAAAGGGCAGATAAATTAGACTGCAGAAAAATCCAGCCAGCAATCAATCAAAAATCCATGAACACGGGCTATGCGGCTATGAAGCCCGCCCAGACTCCACCCATTCACGGTAACTGCCATGTGCCAAGCCCGCCGTGCCTCGTCAAGTCGCTGCACTTTTCAGCTGTCTGCATGCCATGGCTACCTTGCGTTGAACGTCCTCCTCTCATCTACAATTCTTCGTATACATCAAGCCACGGGTTTCAGGCGCCATGGATCAGAAGTCCGTTTGAGCTCACCACTTCGGCCAAGACCTTTGCAGAGCTTTGCTAATCAGGGCTGTCAGCCTTAACCGGTGGGGGCTACTTGGGATTTTGGCAGCTCCCCTAATCTTCTCAGGCGTCGATGAAACAACGGGGTCTGGAGCACGGTATGACAAGCGCGCCCCGCCTGGCAGATCCAAGTCGGCCTCTCGTGCTTGACCGGATCCCATAAGTCCTGTCCGCCAGCTACATTCCCGTTCAAGTTCTACCGGCCTTGCAATTGTGAACCATTCTCTCACCATTGACAAAATGTCTACCCTCTTGTTCTATATAGACGACGCCTGCACTGACACAGGAGATTTTCCTAACGTAACAGCGCAGAACGAAGGTGTCGATGGGTACTGCACGCTCTTCAACATCACTGGATGGCAGAGCTTCAAAGTACAGACTATCTTTGAGACATGTGCATGTGAGGATTCCTCCCATTGCCAGTCCTGAACGTTCTGACGAGGATGAGCAGTCACAGTATATGATTCCCAAATCCAATGGGTAAGCCAGTCTGTCTCCACAATTACTCCGCTAACAACACCAGTGCTCGGGGGACTATACAACATTGCGCCTTGGTGAATGTATGCCCAGCGCTACTACAGATGTTAATCAATTCTCGCTCGATTGTCAAGGGTAAGCATTCTAGAATTCTAGCAGAAGAAAGTCTCATCTTATTCCCTCGTTGGAACCGCAAATCTCCCGCGGACGCTGGCTGATTGTTTAGATCGTCTACGGCTCTTACCACTGCATCTTCGGAACCGTCGGCCTCGAGTGATGGCGGCCTATCAACTGGCGCGCAGGCAGGAATCGGCGTCGGAGTGTCACTCATAGTCATTGCGGCCATTGCAACGGTTGTGTTCTTCCTGCTACGCCGACGACGGAAAGCCAGCCCTGGTGCAGAGGAGAACAGAGCAGAGACAATCTCAGAAATGAGTGGAACAAAGGTTTACCCAGCAGAAGTCGGAGACCGGTATAGCGCACACATGATCCCCTATAACAAGCGACAACCTACGAACAGTGCCGTCGAAGCGCCAGGCGATGGCCCAACGAAGCCAGTGTTTGAAATGGACGCCGGAATGGATGCCGGTCGGCCTCGGGCACGAACCTTCGAAATGTCGGCAGACTCAGAGACTTGGGCTGATCACACCAACAGCACCAGCACAAAGGTGTCACGAGATTGGGGCCACACGAGGTGACAGCTGAGCCGTCACATCTTAACTATCTACTCACGAGGAATTCAGCGGACGATTGCTGCAACAGCAGACCAGGGCAACGGTCATGCTCGACTTGTCACCAACGCACATGCCTGCAAGGTATACCCAGGTTTGGGCGCCCAATGTCACGAGGACAGCTTGACAAGGCTATTTTCAGGGCAGACTAGGAGATCGTATAACCTCTACAATCTAGTCCTACACGTCCTTGAGCGCCTCGCTGAACGCCGACGGGAAACTCGCTGGTCTGCATTGCGATTGCGGCCCGTCACGTTCGCAACAACCCGCATCCGGACTGCAAAGCATTTTCGCGAATGGTCTGTCAGGAGCTGCTGCTGGGTGACACAAGATTTCTATTCCAGCCCAGCCAATTTGAAACACAGCGGGCAGGCCTTGGCGGAGAAGAGCAACCGGCATTTCCTGGCGCCTTCAGAGGCGAGAGTGTGAGCCTTCGCGCTCATCACTCACGGCCTGGTAGACTTGGCGTACTCGTCACGACACCGAACGCCAGAGTCAACCGGAAATCATGCGAGATGCCCGCCGGCTTACTGACGCACTGTAATGCGCTGGACATGTCCAGGGCTTCGTTCATCTACCAGATGGACGCTGAGGAGGTCAGAGAACCCATCACCTACTGGTAGCGGTGACAGAGGGTTCCTCTTTGATCAGAGCAACATAGTAGAATGTATCCTGGAGATGCAGACACAATATAGACAACACCATGTTTCTTATGCCTTCGTTTCAGATTACCTTTTCCCCCAACTCTAGCGTCTAGAAGAACAGATTGCAGGCCCCAAGGCTCTCGGTGTCAGGGGCCCCGGAAAGCCACGTCAACTCGCCCCGAGCTCCGACAGTTTGACCCCAATTCCACCTCCTCGCGTCCCGCGTTCCCAAAACGACAGCGTCAGCATTTTTATTGTGCACTGCCTTTGCCCCAACCACCGTCGCTCGTTCCTTCGACTCATTCGTTGTATTATTGAACACGCTCGAACCCTATGTGACCCCCCCCCTTCAAGACGGGTGAATTTCTCTTTCGATCATGTGTTCCGCACCCACAGACGCCCATCGCTCGTTCTTCAAGTCGTGACGACCTCGAACCTCTCTTGAGTCCTTGCGCGCCGCGGCGCCGCAGCATATTCCGACCACGTCCACCACCGTCGACATGGTCGCCGGCCCCACCTCAGCTTCCGCGCCCCCCCGCGGCGCCAGCTTCGCCGGCATCCCCACCATACGCTCCACCTCGCCGACGACCCGACTGATCCTCCTGACCATCTCCCTCGTGGGCGTGCAGTTCACCTGGGGCGTCGAGATGACCTACTGCACGCCGTACCTCCTCTCCCTCGGCCTCACAAAGTCCAAGACCTCGCTGGTCTGGGTGGCTGGCCCGCTGTCTGGACTCATCATGCAGCCGGTGATTGGGGCGCTGAGCGACAAGAGCACGAGTAAATGGGGGCGGAGGCGGCCGTTCATGGTGATTGGGAGCGTGGTGGTCGGAGCGTGTCTGGTGTTGCTGGGGTGGACGCGGGAGGTGGTGGAATTGTTCCTGGGTGGAGGCGAGGGTTGGGAGGAGGGCGGATGGAAAAGAGGGCCGACTGTTGTGCTGGCCGTGCTGAGCATCTATGCGATTGATTTCGCCATCAATGCCGTTATGGCGGGGTGTCGGAGTCTGATCGTGGACACGCTTCCTCTCAACCAACAGCAGGCGGGAAGCGCGTGGGCGGCAAGGATGGGAGCATTTGGAAGCGTCATTGGGTATTTCATTGGGAGCATGGACCTGGTGACGCTGCTGCCGGTTTGGTTTGGTGGTGACACTCAATTTAAGAAGATGATTCTTGTCGCTTTGGTGGGTCTGTGGGCCTGTGTTGGCTTGACGAGTTGGGCGGTGGGAGAGAGGCGGTTGTTGAGCAGTGACCGAAGCGATTTGAGCAGTTCGGAGAGTGTTTGGAGTGTGCTACCGGCGCTTTGGAAGCGCACGGTGCATCTGCCTCCACGGATCAGAGGGATCTGCTGGGCGCAGTTCTGGGGCTGGATCGGCTGGTTCCCCTTCCTGTTCTACAGCAGTACCTGGGTGGGCGAGACGTACTATCGCTACGATCACCCGGAACCTGAAGCACCGGATGATGGTACACATGACGCACTCGGCAACATTGGGCGCTTGGGAAGCGTGGCGCTCGTCATCTTCTCAATCATCACCTTCGCCAGCTCTGTCCTCCTACCTTATCTCGTGAGCTCTCCGGATCAGGACGAGTCGAAAGAGAAGTTCACCCGGAGGCCCCCACCATCCCTAGCGAATTTACTCAATGCCATTGCCCGCATGCAGCCAGATCTGGTCACGGCCTGGATGATATCAAACCTCGCCTTCGCAGCGATCATGCTGTGGGCACCGGTGGTGCGATCACTACATTCGGCAACGCTACTTGTAGCGTTGTGTGGCATACCGTGGTCCGTATCGTGCTGGGCGCCCTTTGCCGAGATCGGTCGCGAAATCAACAAGATGGGCACTGGCCCACATGTGTTAGTCCATGGCTCTAATGTGCCCGGATACATGCCAGTGCGTGCAAGCCTGGACGACGCCGAGCTGGACGATTTGGATGCTGAGGAATCCCAGCGCTCGGGGCGGCTGGTGTCGGAGGGTGTGCTACGCCTCAATCATCCTGCAGAGGACGACGAGTCATCGTCGACGGGCGAGCTGTCCGGTGTCTACCTGGGTGTGCTTAACGTGTACACTACGCTTCCTCAATTCGTCGGCACATTCGTGAGCTGGATCGTCTTCTCGTTGCTCGAGCCAGGGAAGCCCACCGGAGAGGGTTCCGAGGCCGACCATAGCCGATGGCTGAACGCCAACAAAGATGCACCGAACGCCATTGCAGTGTGTTTGTTCATTGGTGCATGTTGCGCAATTGTCGGAGCTGAGGCGACAAGGCGACTGAGGAAGATGGGGTGAGGCCCCGCGCGTCTATAGAGCAGCTGCTATCAAGGCGCCCTGGCTTCTTGTCCTTGGGCATGGGCCACAATAACGAATCTGTTACTTCTGTGCCGCCCACTTCACGAGCAGGCCTCCCCATTCCCTCAAGCGCTGCCGCGCCTCCATGTTTCCAGGGAGAAGTTTGGTAGCTTCAGAGGCTTGCATGTGCACCTCGACTCCACTGCTCGCCTCTAGCGTCGTGATAGGACCATGGGGGACAAAGCAACCGCCTGAGGGCCAGCCCCAATTGCTGGAGTCATGTGCTGGACAGATCTTTTCAGCACTGCCATAGCCGACTGTCGGAGGGGCAACTGACGAAGATGCCGAATGACTCTCTGTACAGAATCAGCCCTGACCCCTACCCCAGGCCCCAATGTCCACGGCCTCCTCGGCCAGAATATCCACCTGCAGTACCTCAGCCTCTCTTCCCTGCTCAGTACCCCTCGCCAACCGCTCGAGGACCAACCATAATCCACCCGACCCCGGCGCATGCATCTCTGGCCTCAGATCCACATCGTCGATCCGCAGGCCCGTCCCCACCGCGTGGAACTCCTCCTCGTCAAACGCACTATCCGCGACAGTCCGCTTGTACGGACCCTGTCCCTGCTCCAAACTCATCTTGAACAGGCTACTGGTACTCGACCGCTGCACCTGCCTCGCAATGATCACCACCTTGTTCACGCGCCGCACCGTCAAAGGAAGCAGCATGCGGTCCAGGCCCCGTTCAAACACGGCGGGGGGCACTCGCATCAGCAGCTTGCCGCTCTCCTCGCCCGGCAGGCGCTCGAAACTCGACCGGGCCGCCGCATCGGCCTCCGACGAGTAGAAGTCGAGCGTGAACTTGGCCAGCTGGCCCGCGTCGAAGGTCGAGGCGATGACCGTGTACTTCCCCGGCGCGAGGGCCTTCTCGATCACGGCGCTGCCGCGTCGATAGTCGCCTGAGTGCGCGACTACATCTCGCGTGCGGAGCCGCGTTATGCGCCGTCCGTCCGAGGAGAGGATGGCGAGCTTGACGTGGATGTCGGTCGTGTCGAGAGTGGTGGTTCCGTCATCGACGATGCGCAGAAGGCAGGCGATAGGCTGGTGGGTGTGTAGCGTCAGGCTGAATTGTGGATTTGAGAGGTAGTGCGGAGAATCAGACGAGCCACCAGCGGTGGACCTGGTCCATTGTGCGCTTAAGGTGCGGGCATGGGGATAGCGCGCGATAGCTTCTTCCAGCGTGGCCGGGCAGTGACTGAAGAGGGAGATGGTGAAGTTGTGTTTGCCGGGCGGGAGGTCGGACTGCAGCACCGCGACCGTGTAGGGCTGGTGCGCCGTGGCGGAGAAGCGGACGAGAGTATTGGGAGAGTCGACGAATGGACCGCGGGTGCTGGCGCCTTCGCGGGACAGGACGCGTCGGCCTTGCTTGTCGAAGATGTAGAGCGCGATATACCCGTTCTTGCCGCTGTTGGCGTGGCTGTAATCGCCGTTGCGGAAGTGGCGGTTGAGGAGGATCCAGACTTCGCTAGTGCGCGTGGCTTGAACAACGAGTTGGTGGTGGTCGTCAAGGATATTGGCTGCGGGCCGTTTCTTGGGAAGAGTCCAAGAGAAATGGCGGTCATGGCGATGGCTGAAGAGGCCCGGGTTCCAATTGATATAAAGGTTTTCAAAATGCTGGAACACGCTGTTGAAATCCATCCAGAAGGTACCTGGTACCATGTCGTTGCTGTCGTCTTCAGGGGCCGTTTCCGGGTCGGTCTCACTATTCGGATTGGGGCGTCGTCTCGATGCGCCTTTCCAGACGTCGCCATCCATCCATGGATTCTTTACTAGCAGTTCTTTCACTCCACCTCTCTCCTTCATCTCGAGGACCGCGTAGTCATGCTCTGCCGCCAGGCCAAGCTGCTTCTGTTCCCTGCGAGATAGCTTGCCAGTGCCGACCGTGATGATGCTGTGGCCTTCCGTCGTGGCGTCAAACAGCTCTTTCCACAGGCTGTCCGAGTCGACGTCATCATCGTGAAGAAATACCTGTTGCGGGATCCAGCCGGTTATAACCGCGAGGTCAGTGCCGGAGTTACTTCCTGGGAAATCGTAGCCACCTCGGACCTTGAGGTATGCTTTTTCTACAAGGGTTGGCCAGAGACGCCCAGGACACGTACGGTCCACGACGTGCAGGACACGGGAAGTCTTGGACGTTGGTAAGCGGTCATCAATCACGACCCGTCGCCAACAGCCGTTGAAGTAGAACTTGAGTATGTACTTGCCATTCGGGGACAAGCCAAAGGTGTGCTCCTTGTAGTCCCATGGGTAGACGAAAGTGCTTGAGATCTGATATTGTCAATCACGCGAGTTTGAGATGCCTCAGGAAATGGTGAGACTTACCATTTGATGACCTCTTCCTACGCGCGAACTCCCCGCGCACAAACTGGCTACCACTGAGCAGTCCGAGGTCAGGTCTTGCACGAGATCAATTTTGCTGATCTGCCGCGTCGTCATACACACCTCGTTACCTTCGGAAGCTCCAGGGAAGCGCATCGATGACAGTGCTTCGTTTGGTCTCTTCCAGCCGTCGAATGACTCCAATTGGATATCCGAGAGCGGCAGTTCCGGCAAGTCAATGAACGGATCTTCTCCGTCGTTGAGCGCGAATTCTTCGTCGGCGGGCTCCTTGTCCCATGGCTTGAAGAGGAAGCCGTTCAATTTGGAGCCTTCAAGCAGGATGATGTTCTCCCGGGTGGTGAGCTTCCGTGGCGAAACAGGAGGTTTCAGGAGCGGCACTTCGCGCACGCCGTTGCTGACGCTGCCGTCCTGCTTCGCCTTCAGGACTTCGGCTTTGTTGATGAGGTCCTTGCACCTGGCATCGATACGCTTTCGGTCAGTGGGAGTATCCGCGAGCCTCAATGCTTGCATGTACAGTTCAGCTGTTTCGATGGTGGCTTTGAGTGCAGCTGATGTGTTGGTCTTGAGGTCAATGGTCCTTTCCACGCTCTTGGCTCTTGCCTCGATGCCGCTCCATGATCTCCCATGCTCACTCATCTCACTGGCTGTGGAAAGATCAATCACAGAGGCCACATCTTGTACCAAAGGAGGCTGTTGACGTTGGCCTGCTAAGTACCCGGTAGCAAACATGCCAAGAGGCAGCGGATTGAGGCTTGGCAAGTTTGTCTCTCGCATGACATCGCCCCAACTTCAGCCGAGGTTCGTGCATCCGGACTCGTGGGAACACGGAGCCATGTGAGCTGCTAGATCGTTCTACCTTTCCTCGTATTTCCTTCATGCGCTCACTGTCGCTGGAAATGATATAGACCTGCCCAGCTCCATTCCTGTCGCTGCCGCTCCTCTCGTCGTCAACCTCTGTCTCGGTCCTACGTGGCTCTTGTTCGCCTACCTTAAGCCGCATCCACAGCAACCGGAAGATACCCCCGCACTCACCTCCGTGTGTCACCGGTGACAACAGATTCCATGTCGGAAGGAGCCAAGCCCCTACCCCCATGGGGCAGTGCCATTGCGGGCTCTACGGGTGCTGTTCTTGCGAACGCACTCGTGTACCCGCTAGATATGTACGCAGTAGCCCGGAAGCGTTCTGAATAGCTATATTGATGTGACAAACAGTGTCAAGACCAGACTTCAGGTCCAGGTCAAACGAAAAGATATTGACAGTCAGCCTCTCCACGAAGGGGACGACCATCATCCCCACTACGAGTCGACCCTGCACGCCATCCAATCGATTATTGAACATGAGGGCATCCCAGGCTTATATTCAGGCATGACTGGCGCATTGGTTGGCGTGGCCAGCACAAACTTCGCCTACTTCTATTGGTACTCAATAGTGCGGACTATCTACCTGAGGTCCGGTGCGACACATTCCACAGCTGCCGAGTTGTCATTAGGTGCCGTCGCAGGTGCACTTGCCCAGCTCTTCACCATCCCTATTGCAGTCATCACAGCTCGGCAGCAAACGCAAAGGAAAGGTGAGAAGAAGGGCATCTTCGAGACCGGACGAGAGGTCGTGCACAGCGAAGATGGCTGGACTGGCCTCTGGCGGGGACTCAAGGCCAGTTTGGTCCTTGTCGTTAATCCGTCCATCACCTATGGCGCGTATCAGCGCCTCCGAGAGAGCTTCTACCCAGGTCGCGTGAACCTGCGTCCCCACGAAGCCTTCCGTATGATTGACTCTTCCCCACCCTTTGAGAACATCTTGCTAACTTCTTCTAGTTCTCGGCGCCCTCTCGAAAGCGCTCGCGACCATCGCGACGCAACCCCTCATCGTCGCCAAGGTCGGCCTCCAGTCCCGCCCCCCTCCCGCACGGCAGGGCAAGCCCTTCAAGACCTTCGGCGAGGTCATGGCATACATCATCGAGCACGAGGGCCCAATGGGTTTGTTCAAGGGCATAGGCCCGCAGATCATGAAGGGCTTCATTGTGCAGGGCATTCTCATGATGACCAAGGAGAAGATGGAGCTGCTGTTCATCATGCTGTTCGCCTATGCGAGGATGGTGCGCGAGCAGAAACTCAAGAAGCTGGCCGGGGCCGTCAAGGAGAAGGCAAAGGATTCGAACATCGTGTGAGTGGTTTTCGACCTATCCCACGGTGGTGACGAAAATAACGGTTCGCGTGGGAGAGGGACGTGCCGAAACATCGGCAATCGTCAGGACAGGGATGCTCCATCACTGCCTGGGACGAAGGAAGGAAAGACTGAGCTGTCCTGGTTCTTCGGCGTCAGGGAAGCGTCATGACATTGTCTCTATTGCCAGTTCGAGCTTTATTAGATTCCCGTTCTGGCGGTCGTTGGGGCGGCGACCGGCGCAAAATACCGTTCGGTCCAACTTCAATGTAGTGTATATACATCGAAATACACCATCCTGGCGCAATGCATTTACTTATAGCTGTTGCTACATATTATATGCTCTATCTCTGTTGTACATGGCTATTCACTTGGGACCGATCTTTCGATTGTGGCACGGTATATTAAAACGGTCCGGCAGTTTCCGTTGCATTCGTAGGCTTCTTGAAGGTCGACTTCCGCCACAGACCAAGGAAGCCGCCTCCAAACGTGAGCTCGCCAACCTTAGGACGGCACACCATCTTCGACGACTCGTCGAATGTTTTCTGTCGTTCCTCCACGAAGGCTTGGTCTTCAGATGTAGAGCCTGAATTCTCAGTATCTGGATCGGCCGATTCGTGCGGAGAGTCGCTGGCACGTTGATGTCTCAACAGCCGTGGTGGCCGCGGCGTAACAATCCTCACGTCCCAGATTCTACCAGTGCTAATGCCTTCGCCTAGCTCCACGGCTTTCTCGAGAACCAGTGGCAAATTGTCCTGTTTGATGAGTTTCTGACACTCGGCGACTTGGGTGATCGAAGGGCAGAAAACGATCAATTTTGCGTCTTCCTGCATGGCGGCAGCTGCCCGGGATAGCATGTTCTCCACACCCGGCATATCGAGGATGACATGCGTCAAGAAGCCGCAATCGCGTTCATCACGGTCTACCAGCCTTGCGTCGATCCAATCGTCCACGCCACTGGCATAGAAGTCGATATGTGGCCAGTAAAGCCCTTGTCGGAAGCCTCGAATCAACTTCTCAGCATCGGTGCTGTTTTTGGAGACATTTTCGACGGTATTGACAACAGCTCGTCGGGACCTAAACCACGCCGACCATTCCGGATCAACATCATCTGGCAACTCCTCCGAGGCTTGCACGGCTTGCAGCAGACTGGATTGACGGCCCCTGGGTAGAGCAGTCACTGGCTGAGGTGCGTTGCCGACTGCAATGGCTCGCGCAAGATGCAAGGTTAAACTACCGTGCCCTGTGCCAGCCTCTAATATGTCCACGCGGTCTGAATCTGGTGCTACCTCTGAATCAGTGGTAGGTGGGTGCACATGTAGATCTAGCAGAGAGACAACCGTCGAAGCGTACGAGGAGTATATCGGAGTGACATTCCGGCGGGTCATTGACACATACTGATCGAGGGACGGGTATTGCACCGTAACGTAGCGGTTGTCCGCACCGTCGATGCGCAGGGTAGACAAAGGCTGGCCTAGGATGTCATTGTGCTGGATGCTCCCGTTACCATTGGGCACAGGAGAAGATTTGTCCCTTTTCAGTGGTGAACTGAGGCGACGCCCGTTGAGCAATACTTGGTCGCCCTCTGACATGTATTGTCAGCATATGCTGCGACTTTGGCGATTTATACTAACCTGCATAACGGGTGAAGTCGCGCACAATTGTCGACGCAGACTTAGCGACAGAGGCTTGCTCAGCTGGCACGAGCTTCCCAAAGAGCTGTTGCGCAGCACGAACAGCACCTGACATCAAGCAGCTGTAGACGACCGTACACCTCCGAATGAAATAGAAGAGCGATGGTGAAGCGCAGGCTGTGGGCTTTGACGAAGATCTGTTCCGAAAACGGAAAATCTGGGGAAACTCTGCATCTCAGGCTCCTGCACCAAAGCGGCCGGACTCTTCTGACTCTACCCCTACTTCGCGACCACATACAAATTGAAAGCGCCTTATAATATCGGGCCAGATAATCTCATTCGGCAGGCACCGCCAGACATGCGACAGAGGTAACTGCGATCATCCACACTTTCCACCCGGGAGGCCGCTCGGGTCTCCCAATGCGACGATGACCAGACGAATAGTATGTCCCCTGAGCCGCCGAATGCCTCGTTGCTGACAACGACTGCTCAGGTTCGCGCTGGCCTGCAGCTTGTTATATTTACAGCAGTTGTCTTAGTTTTAGTCATATTCCTCGACAATCGCTATCGAGTATTACCACAATCAATCCACAACCACCTACCGGCGCACCACCCCGGGTTCGTGGTAACAGATGTCACGGTCGTCACTTGCTCCGCGATAAATCCCTTCAGCAGCTGTACGAAAGATGGGCCGAATTGGCACCGAATAGAAAAGGACCTCTACCTCGGAAGCGGATATGTCTCCACAGCCTACCTCCATGTGCGCAGGAAGAAGGAGGATGATCTTGAACCGCACGAGGAGATTGTCCTCGACGTCAAGGTAGGCCGCTCAGTGCCATCCGATGTCGATCCCACCTCCAAAGACGTCCGGTGGGAATCTCGACCTGCAGGCATCTGGGTCAAGAAAACAGCCAAACGGCACATAGGAGACGCAGCTAAGCTCGTAACGGGCGTGGATGTTCTCTTTGGTCCCGATGCCGCCGACCCACGCTCCAACTGGGCCGTCTCTCACACCTCACTCTTTCTCGACGCCGCTGGCGACACTCCCGAACCACGCCTCACGGTCCGGAAAGGCCCTGCCATAAGTAATCTACAGAAGCCCGTTCCGCGCATCCGGAAGGACGGCAAATTCAAGATCATGCAAGCCTCTGACCTGCACCTTGCCACCGGCCTGGGCAAGTGTCGTGATGCTATGCCCGCTGGCTCACCCTGTGAAGCAGATACAAGGACCCTCCAATTCGTCGAGCGCCTTTTGGAGGATGAAAAGCCCGATCTCATCATCCTCTCTGGAGACCAGGTTAATGGTGACACCGCGCCGGATGCCCAGACCGCCATCTACAAGTACTCAGCACTGTTCGCGCAATACAAAATACCTTACGCCGGCATCTTCGGCAACCATGATGATGAGGGCAACCTCGATCGTGCAGGCAGCATGGCTATAATGGACGGGCTGCCGTACTCCCTCTCCACAGCTGGCCCAGAAGACATCGACGGTGTCGGCAACTATGTTGTCGAAATTCTCGGCCGTGGCTCTACCTCACACTCCGCGCTCACCCTCTACCTCCTCGATACTCATTCATACTCGCCCGATGAACGCAAATTCCGCGGCTATGATTGGCTGCACAACAACCAGATCGACTGGTTTCGGAGCACATCTCAATCCTTGAAGCGCAAGCACAAGGAATACACGCACATACACATGAATCTTGCCTTTATTCACATCCCTCTTCCGGAGTACCGCAACCCACACCAATTCTCTGTCGTCGGCAACTGGTCCGAGAATCCAACAGCCCCTGGCTATAACAGCGGTTTCATGGATGCGTTGATCCAGGAAAACGTCCTATTGGTCTCCTGCGGACATGACCACGTCAATGATTACTGCGTGCCTGGCGCGAATGAGAAGAAGGAGCCTGCGTTATGGATGTGCTACGGAGGCGGTGCAGGGTTTGGCGGTTACGGGGGGTATTACGGTTACCATAGAAGAATGAGATTCTTCGAGTTTGACATGAACGAGGCGAGGATAACCACGTGGAAGCGGATGGAGTACGGCGATCTGGAAAAGAAGGTGGACGAACAAATCGTTGTCGACGGCGGAAGAATACATGTCGCTGTACAGGAATAGAGTGGCCAGGTTTGTACATATAGCGCCAGGCGTTGGAGGCGTACGCTGTACGAGGTTGTGTCGAGGCGAGAAAACGAAGGAAATGTTTCCACACCATGTCGATGGTGCTCACGGCCGAAGTTGATATTGAATATACTGGAAGAGGAGCGAGGCCGGTAGTGTCTCATTACCATTCATCCATCGTTCAACGTACTGTCTAGTCTAAACCAATTCTGCTCCAAAGTGTATGCCATACTCTTTTACACCTCTGATTGCGTGGGATTCCAGATCTAGTCACCACCACTTCTCGCAGCAGACCTGCTTCTCCGACAACCCAGGCTGCGTCTTCAGTAGCTCCACAAACTCATCTGTCATGGCCGGCAGCCCGCACACGTACACCACCGTATTTGCTCTATCGTCCTCCGGCCCGATAGCCTCGAGCAGATCATCGTGCCGAATCCTCCGCGCCTGGTGCCGAATAGCTACAGACGACTCGTTCTGTCGACCCTGCCCCGACGTCTCGAAGAACGTGTACCGGTACTCGACCACTTCACTGCCGGCCCACTTTTGCGCCAGGCCCGCCAAGCGATCTTCAAAGAGCACCTTCTCGGGCTCGCCGGCAGCGTCGCGCCCGCGGCGACAGGTGTACAGCACGCTGACGCGGCGGGGCATGCCGCCGAGCTTGCGGCCGCCGCGCGCGTGCATGGCGCTGAGCATGCTCATGATGGGGTTGATGCCCACGCCGCCGGCGACGAAGACGGCGCGGTCGATCTTGCTGCATTCATCGTGCGTGAGGTGCGCGGGCGGGTAGACGAAGTTGCCGCCGATGAGGAAGGAGACGGGGGCGTGCAGTATGTCGGGGGTCGCGCGCCAGAGGTAGGCTGCGGGTGGGTTGTTGGGCGAGCGTTGGATGGCGAGCTCGATGTGTGGCGAAGTTGGGTCTCGCGTTGTTAGGGGTGGGGAGGTGATGGTGAAGCCGCCGATGGTGGGGATCGAGGGGATGGAGAGGTCGATATACTGGCCTGGGAGATGGGTCCGTTCGGGCTGTGAATAGTGTGAGCTGGCTGAGGGATGCGAATTCGCCTGTATATTGTAAAGCTTGACTTGGGGCAATGGTTTGAGCTTGGAGTATATGCCGAGTGTGTGGGCTTAACAGGACTGGAAGAGGCACCTACCGCTGCACCGACGATGCCCAGCCGTATTAACCTGATGCTCGAGTTGACTTCATCAATCTGACTGACGGTTGCGTTCCAGACTCCGGCCTGGCGTTGCTCATGCGCTGTTCTAACAACATGTGGTATCGAGTCTTCCCTGACGTTGGCCATTGTACGGCTCGAAATGAAGGTAGAGCGCGGGGTTGTTCGAGAAGCCAGAATCTGGAGCGTTTTACATGGCCAGGCTAGTCTAAGCATCACAAGGTCAACATTGGTCTTTCTGTCATGTCCTCATTGCGCTCGGTACCACAGGAGGCAGATGGCAATGGGCGAAGCAAGAACACCACGGACGCGAGAGACCGCAGTTGGAAGAGACTTGTCAACTGAGCTGCTCTTGCGGATGTTTCGTCAGGTGCACTGGTGCCCTTGCTTCAGCGATCAAAGACGATTTGCAAGGCCGCTTGAGCAAGTCGAAGCAATTAATCATTGAAGCCTAGAAGGTGCGGATGTTGTTCGTCGCGAAGCTACTTCAGGTCGATGATGTATGTTCGGTGGGGTAGTCAAGAAAAGCGCGTTGCCATCCTTCCATCAGCCGTGTCCAAGTACGGTGCACATTCAGCGTCCGCACAGCAACAATGTTATGCAACTGGAGGCAAGAATATGAAACAGCATTCATTGATTTTCATGTCTATCTCCACGAGTGCAGCAGGCAGTAAAAGGTAGAATTCTCGTGAGCGTGATTTACTGCCTGCATCTTTTTGTTGGGCCCAGATCTGTCGCAGACCAAGCTCTATCGGATGTTCAGTGCTCTATGGACGAAACCGCATCTGCAATATCTCGGTCTTGTTGCTTCTGTCCGCAGCACGAGGCCTTTGTCAGTCTAACCCTACGTCTTGATTGATCGCCGCAAGGACGCGTTATATTTGCCATATCGGGCTTCTCGAAGGTGACAACCGAAGGCGTCTGTCGCCGGCTATCGCTTGTGAGTCTTTCACAGCATGGTATTCCATACTGGAGACACCTCGTCTGGGAATAACAACGTAGCATTCCCTAACATCGTCGTTAGCAGCCGGCAACAGTCAGCATGATATCAGCTAAGATGGTTGCAATATAGCTGAAGTGTGCCAGAACCCGAATGAGTACGTGTAAAGAGTCTAGTGAAAGGGAATGTAGAGACTTGAGAGCCGCAACAAAGCCGAAGAGAGACTCTGCGGCAGGTAGATATGTAGACATAGAGCCGTTGCAGTGCCAGATCGATGGCTTCAGCGTGCTTGCATCCTTTGACATCAAGAGAGAAAATGTCTTTCGGAATCAGGGTACTCGACATTGTCAATTGGTGTTGTTGGGCCCTCCCACGCCGGACATAATGGAACAGGTAGGCGATGGAAATGTGGAGGCATCGAGGAAGATGAGAGGCATCGACGTATAGGTATTCGCATCGGCACGACACTAAGAAATTGGGATCGAAGGCGGTAAGCTATCACAGTTTTGTGCCCCTTTTGAATATAGTAATGGCCATGGCTGGCGTTTTGCTCATATCATGTAGTGGAGGTCGCAGCTCATTGCAAAATCTGCAGCAGCTGGGATATGGGCTTTATCGAGGCAGGCGGCATCGTCAGGTCATCAAATTTGGGTGCAATCAGCTCCAGACGGTCAGCTGAGCATCGTGGATGAAATGCAGCACGACATGTTATACATGTCGACGATATAGAAGCTTGACAAGATGGAAGGGGGGTAGACATGTCGTTGATACAGGCGTCGCAACGCCGAGAAATCAGCGCCGCCTTATGCGACCCCCTCGATTTCAGCGCTCCTCCAACCATCCTCCGTTTCTGATATTGCTCATATGGACACCCTACACTCTTTCAACTACCAATAGCGCTTCGGAAACGGTGTCTTCGTAGCCCCACGAAATACCTATGCCTGCAGTGAAGGACCAAATACGGGAAAGAGTCGGATTTTCGGGGGCGACGTATGGTCTACGTCTACTGCGAGGTACCAGCTACCTCGCAAGCTGATGATCATGACTGACAAATGCAACCAGACATCTAATCGCATTCACGAGTAGATATATTTCGACATTCATTGGTCCTCGGAACACCGTTTTCTTATTGCCAACCTACATCACACCACAGTGTTGGCAATAACAATATCAGATGGCGGAAGTCATACCGGCCGCTGGCCCATCCATTGGGCTACCACCTGCAGCTGAGAACAACGAAGATGTCAGCATGGCCAATTCTGAGCAGTATCTGAGGTACGGTTGATTGTATTTTGTGATTCGTTTATATTGGGGTTTTAGTCAGCTGAGACAGGTATACTAATGTGCTATACAACAGTAATCATCAATCGGCATCCTTCGAACAGTCACAAAGGATCATCAAAATGGAAGATGACGACGATGCTACGAACTCAGACGGTCCAGATTCGATCCTGCGAAACCTTCAGACCAGCAGCGAAGCCCGGGACTCTCCGAATAGTTCATTGACTTCAGCTTCAATGATGTCCACACACAATGAACAACGGCCGGGCATCACCTCGAAACCCACAGTCAATTCGGAGACTTCGATCGACAACAGAAATTTCCTCTACACTAGAGCGCCGGTCACCTGCAAGGCGAGGTCTTCGATTCCTCCCCGCCTCCCAGCAAGCGAATACGCACATCAGTGCATCGTAGCTGCCGAGAATTCACGGCTTGATCCCTTCAAACTTCATGAAGACGAGCACAAACTTTTGCAGGACAGGCTGTGCCAGCTGCACGTTACTGTTTATCTGAATATCCGAAATGGGATCCTTCGACTATGGTCACGCAACCCCAGTGTCAGCGTTAGCCTCGAAGAAGCTATTGGCTGCATCAAGGACGAACGCTGGACTCGTCTGGCCTGTTTTGCCTATGAATGGCTTGTGCGAAGAGGATACATCAACTTCGGTTGCGTCGACGCTCCTCTTGCCAACAAGCAATATAAGGGTAAACGAAAGGAAACGCCACGCGAGACTATCGTCGTGATCGGCGGCGGTGTGGCCGGGTTGGGCACGGCGAGACAGCTCACCAATCTTTTCCAGCACTTCCCAGACCAGACACCGCCGAAAGTAATTGTGCTCGAGGGTCGTAGCCGCATTGGTGGCCGCATATACTCACATCCTCTATCTAGCATGCGATCCTCAATTCTGTCTCCCGATCAGCGTGCGACCGCCGAAATGGGAGCCCATATCATTGTGGGCTTCGATAAAGGTAATCCTCTGGATGCCATTATTCGTGGGCAACTGGCCCTCGACCACCACCTCCTGCGTGACCTCTCCACCTTATACGATGTCGATGGGACCCCTGTGAACGGTGCGAGCGATGCCATGATCGAAAGACTCTACAATGATGTGCTAGATCGAACGAGCGAATATCGTGTTAAGCACACCGTCAAGAAGACTGCGGAAGGAGACAAAGATCTCATTGAGGCTTGGCGGGATCCTCCAGCAAATGAAGAGTCGGTCACTATCAAGAAATACGAAGAAGCAGCTGCCTCGGGCACCATCGACCAGATCATGCCCGACAAGAAATCCAGAAGACGTGGCGCAGGACACAAGGCTGCTAAAGGTGACAAGTCAAAAGAAGAAGTCGATACCAACATGGACACCAAGATGCAATTGCCTGCTGCTCGGGCCGCAGAAGAATTCGGGTTCATGCTAAAAAGCACCACCAAGCTGGATGAAACGCTGCAGCTTGAGGAGTTGGCGGCGCAGCCAAACCAGTCACTCGGCAAGATCATGAACTCGGGTATTGAGCAGTATCGGGAATTCCTTGACCTCAAGCCTTACGCATTGCGGCTCATCAATTGGCACTTTGCAAATCTCGAATATGCCAACGCAGCCAATGTTGATAAGCTCAGCCTTCGTGCTTGGGATCAAGACATCGGCAATGAGTTCGAGGGCGAGCACGCTCAAGTGGTCGGCGGTTACCAACAACTGCCTCGTGCATTGTGGCGGCACCCAGAACCTCTCGATGTCCGCACTAATAAGCCTGTCAAGAGTATCAGTTACAGTGCTGTCGGCTCCCAGGGCAAGGCGACAATAATATGCGAAGATGGCGAGTCATTTGAGGCAGACAAGGTTGTGTTTTCGGCACCACTCGGCATTCTGAAAGAACAGTCGATCAAATTCGACCCACCACTTCCTTCATGGAAGAGCGATGCGATCCGCAGAATGGGCTTCGGCTTACTAAACAAGCTTGTTCTGGTCTTCGAGAAGCCATTCTGGGATACCGAACGAGACATGTTTGGCCTCCTTCGCGCACCGAGGGATAACGCCGGCGTGGAACAAGCCAACTACAAACAATGTCGAGGGCAGTTCTACCTATTCTGGAACTGCATTGAGACGAGTGGCCTCCCGGTGCTCATCGCCTTGATGGCCGGCGAATCTGCCTACGAAGCCGAGCGTACCCCTGATGCCTTCCTTGTTGAAGATTGCATGCTACAACTGCGCAACGTCTTCGGTGCCCAGAATGTCCCTTCGCCGGTTGAAACGATTGTCACGCGCTGGGGGTCCGACCGCTTCGCTCGAGGCACCTATTCATACGTTGCCGCAGAGGCTCGCGCGAATGACTACGATCTGATCGCCGCCCCGGTATCTAACCTGTTCTTCGCAGGCGAGGCCACCATTGCCACTCATCCTGCCACTGTTCATGGCGCTTACCTCTCCGGTCTACGTGCTGCCCACGAAGTCTACGAATCTCTTGTTGGTCCCATCGCCATCCCACCTGTCCTCGTTCCACCATCCTCCACAAAATCCTCGTACTTTGCGCCTGCAGTCAAGCAACAGCCCGCAGCCACTGTAGACCTTACTCAAATCGAAGCCCACACAGCGCAAGCTCCTAAGCGCAAGGGCGACGAAGTCCTGCCCGCCGGCACCTTTACGCGCCCGATCAAAGAGAACAACAACGCCCTCCACGAAGCCTGGGACGCTGCTATGTGGGTGCGAATCTACAACGATTTAGGTCCGCCACCTGTTCGTCCCACCAAGCTCAACATCAACGCCTTCCTGCTTTACTCCGGCGAGCAGTGGGACGCCGTCAAGACGCGGCTCGCGGAGCAGAAAGCCGCGGCCGGCAAGCCCAAGAAGACAAAGCAGAGCGAGCGTGACCAGGTGCGCGTCGAGCTGGGCAAAATGTGGGCGGCGCTCAGCGAAGACGAGAAGCAGCCCTACACCGATAGGGTCGCAAAGAACCGGCAGGAGAATGATGACAAGTTTAAGGAATGGAGCGCCAAGGCGGTGGAATGGGACCGTAGGACGTGGGAGGTCAAAGCCGCCTGGATCAAGGAAGGGAACAGCTTTGAGGAGTTTTGTGCTAAAAAGAGGGAGGAAGAGGACGCGATGGACGATGCGAGGGATAAGAGAGTGCGCATCGAATGAGCTAGGCTAGGCGCAAAGACATGTATTTAGCATTGCCTGAAGGCCGGACTTCCAGGGCTTTCAGGGCAGAGGATAGTTCTTATGGCTCTAATTACAGTTGCGATATTGCAGAAAATGAGCCTCTCTCGATTGAGACATTGTGTGAAGCATTCGGCCTATCTGCAGGTCCTGTCGACCTGAGCCCGTACACAGCCACGATGAAATGTAGGAAAGGAAGGCAGTGATGTAAAGGGCACCAGTGCAGGGGCCGACAGAATTGACGGGAGGGCTCCCTCCACTCTCAGCAGACCATGCCTCGAACTCACACGAGCAGAGGCTTTTGGGTGTGGTCGGCTGAGAGTTGAGGGAGGTCTCCAATCACTTTGATCGACCCCCGTTGGTGACCGAAGATCGAGACACACATCAGGAGACGGGAATCATCATTCCATTATCTTGAGTGTTCGTACCATCGCTTTGGGAATTAGAAATTACTAACTCACCCGGCCTCAGGCCCAATATGAATATCGCTCTCTGGTAATTCCAAGAGCGTGTCTCCAAACCTTGCTCTGCTCTGCTCTTCGCTCCTCTCCCACATCCTCTCGCTGCAGTGATTCACTAACTGATTCACTCAAGCCGCCGCCTCCCCACCTTCACTCTCTCTACCACCGCCAGCCTCTCTGCCACCAGCACCACCAGCACCACCAGCAGCGCCTCCCCTGCCGCCTCTCCTCCCGCCTCTCTCCCTACCACGGCCCTTCCTCCCGCCCACACTTCCAAACACGCTGCTCGCCGCCGCCAACGTGCCCCCAAAGCTCTCCAGAAGCCGGTCCAACTCCGCCGCCAGCTCCTCGTTGGTCGCGCCCACCGACATGGCCGCCACGTTCGGGGGCAGCGCCTCCGGCACCTCAACATAGCTGCGCGGCGCGCCACTACTACCACCGGAGGCGGAGGTCACGGAGCCGCCGCTGCCGCCGCGATCGTGCGAGCGCGCCCCAGCAGGCATGGCTGCAGCGGCGGGGCCGGGGAAGCCTTCCTTGCCGATACGAGGGGGTCGGCCGTTGGGGTAGGGGGCGCCCATGGGGTTGGGGGTGAAGGGCTCGGGCCAGGGGTGGTCGGGGAGGATGGTGCGGCCGCGCGTGGCGTAGAAGGCGCCCATGCCGGCGACGGTGGCGGCATCGAGGGTGGCTGGGCCCGGGTAGTCGTCGCTGGCGTGCTCGAGGGAAAAGGGGTCGAAGTCGGCGGACGAGGCGTCGCTATCGGGGTAGTTGTCGCTGGGTGCGGCAGAGAGTGAGGTGGCGGGACGTGCGTGCTGGATCATCTGATCGTCGTCGTCGTCGTCTTCTTCAAGAGTGGAGAAGTCTTGGTGCGTGACTGGCATGGTCATCTGGCGGACTAGTGGGGTTGGACGAGACGGGGTGGTGCGCTGAGGTGCGGAGGACTCGAGTGTGCCAGCAGCAGAAGTGTTGGTAGATTGGAGCTCGGACATGGCGTCGCTGAAGGACCAGTCGAGGGTAGCACGGTCACGGGCGCGAGATGCAGCGCGAGATGGGTATTGCTCTTCCTCCTCTTCGGGGCCTGGTTCGTCCGACGTAGACATGGCAGTCTGCGGGATGTTGCTGGGTGTGGCTTCCGCGAACGGCAGAGGCGCTGACAGAGGAACGTCAGGATCTCGCACCGTACCTCCTCCCATTCCAGCCATAGCATCAGCGAAGGACCAGTCCATAGTAGCGCGAGCGGGGTTCGACGAGGTGATCTCAGCAGCTTCTTGCAGTTCGGGCTGCTTGCCTTTCTCTTTGGTGGATGCCCAGTCCTGCTGCGCAGCTGCGAAGTCATAAGCAGAAACCCCCATGGACTGTCTGTCTGCATCATCGGCGGAGGAAGCGCGACGAGCTGTCAAGTTCTGAGTGGTGGGATCACGCGGCCCTTTGGAGTTGGCACGCTTCTGACGGAGAGTGGAGGCATCGGCAAGACGGATGGTCTGGCCTTTCATAGGAGTGTCGGCATAGGTAGTCTGAATGTTGTCGTCGGTGCGAGGAGCGGCGGGAGCGTAGTCATTGTCGTCGAATTCGCCCAAATCGATGACATTCGAAGCGATAGAGGAGGGACGGTCTTCGGCCATGGCTCTGAAGGGTAGGTCTGATGCTCTGCGCTTCTCTGGCGTTACTTGTTCAGGTATGGGGATGAAGTCGGTCTTGGTCTTGTACTCGTAGGCAGGACCAGACTGGTCGAAAAGGTTGGACAAATCGGCAGCACCGCGATTCACACGCGCTTCGAAGTTGGCCTTTTGCGCTGCGGTCATGTGCCGAGGCGGCGACAGATCTGTGGCCTGTGAAAGGCCTCGAGGAGTGTCTTGGTTTTCAAACTCTGCACTCAAGTTTGAGAGATCGGGAATCTCAAGAATGGTAGAAACACGACGCTCAAAATCTTGAGTTGTGCTGAAATTCCATTCGTCGCTGTCGGTGATTTGTGAATCGGGATCTTCGGTTGCTGCGGCGGGAGCACCTCCAGGCATAAACAGTGAGACACGTTGTCCACCTGTGAACAACCACGCATAGTAATTTTGCACCAATGCTTGCAGATCTTTCGTGGGATGAGTCTCCTCAGTTTCTCTCAAAAAGTCGTGCTCAAGAACGTCTTTCATCGAAGGGCGAGAGCTCACTTCCGGACTGAGCGTGAACTTGACAAGTTCACGTAGACCTTCGCTGAATGATTCGGATTCTGGTAAGGCAATCGCTTGCTTGAGTCGGCGCATTCGCATCTTTAGCTGCTGTCGCTCGCGAAGATCGCTGTTGGGTGGTCTTCCTAACGCGCACTCATACAGAGTGCAGCCATATTCCCAGACATCGACCTCATCGGAATACTCAGGTCTCTCGGTCCACAGCTCGGGAGGCATCCAGTGCAGAGTGCCGATGAATGTCCGTCTCTTATCAGTCCGAGTATCGAGGACGTTGGCAACACCGAAATCGCAGAGTTGCAGGTTTCCCTCCTCGTGTACGAGCACGTTGGCAGCCTTGATGTCTCGGTGGATGATGCCAGCCTCGTGAAGTCCTTTCAGGGCCTTTGCCAACTCTCGAGCGACTATAACAATAAACTTTTCCTCCAAACGATCCTTCGTGGCACGCATCTGCGGAGAGAAGCGTTAGACACCAGGCACTGAGGACGAAGAACATACTTACCAACGTCTTTACGCTTCCACCCGGACAATGTTCGCAGATCAACCACAACTGACTGTGAACGGGAAGGGCTTCAATCATGCGATTGAGGTTGACTGCACCGCTGTCTTGAGCCTGTCTCAGAATTCTGATCTCTCTGTCGAAGTCCCGTATCTGCTCATCCTTCTGTTCACCATACGCAGAGAAATCGGCATCATCGATGTCGAGAACTTTTATGGCAACAATCTTGTTGCTCGACTTCTGGCGGCTGCAGCACCAAAAGTCAGCAAACTCGACAGAAAAAGCCAGCATCTCTTACCCTTTGTAGACTCTGCCGAAGCTACCTTTGCCGATGAGTTCGTCAAAGCTATAGCCGGGGGGGTCTTCGTTGCTTCGCTTGCACTTCTCTGCAACAGCTCGTTCTTGCTGCTTTGCAAGACGCATCGCCTCACGTCGATGGGCGGTCAAAGCCGCGGCAGACTCGGGACGAAGGGACGCCATGATGGGCACGGCTTAGCGTTCCTCGGAAGGGATCCTAATGCGAGCGAACAGCTCTGTAAGCCCGTGGTCTGCGGGACGATCTTCAAGGCAATTGAAAGAAATCTTACGTTGCTTGATACCCCAAGCCTTCTCAATCTCCTTGGCTTCTTCGGAGTTCTCTGGAGTTGCGATTTCGGAGAGTGATTGTGCTGACAACAACCGACGGATGGTGGAGCTGCTCAACTTCAAGTTGGGCAGGTCTTTGCAAGTGGTGATATTCTTGTCAACGAAGTCTGTGTCTTCGTAATAGTCTGGAACCTGGCCGCTGGGCTTGTCGGAGCCTTCAGGCACCGTGTGTTCGGACGATTCGGCTTTGGCGCACGCCTCAAGTTGCTCACGGCGCTTGATGATGCGCAAAGCTGGAGGAGTGAGATCTCGATGCGCTTTCTCCTCGTCTTGAGATGAAGAAAAGTACCCTTTCAGGCTGGAGGACCGTTTTGAATCGGTAGCTGATGGAACACCATTGAAGAGGCCCCGAAGTGGCGACTTTTCTGGCACTGGCGGAGGGCCGCTGTGTGTCTGCCACCAATTATCCGGTTTGAGGAGGACTTTTCTCCTCGCAGGACGCTGCTCAGCGGCCGCTGCCGCGGCTTGCTGTCTCTTGACTAATACTATCGGTTAGCAAAGGCCCCGGATTTCGGTAAATGTTTAACGCAGAAAGAAGGAAGCTCAAATGTAAGGGCGGTGCAGACCTTTCCAGGCGTCGAAAGGGTTGTTGGGGTCGGCCGGAGCCTCCTCATATGCCTTTAATCTCGCTTGGATGGCTTCCATTGTGATGGGCAGCGGAAGGAAGTGATTGCGCAAGGGGTGAAGACGTGGTCTGGTGTGACTTGTGCTCTGGTGAAGTGTTGCGGTGGAAGAGTAAGGGAAGCCATGGCCAGAAACGATCAATATGCGTCGAGTGATCGCAAAAGCGGTGTGACCAGGCAGAAGGCAGACATTCACGCGCCAACTCACCTGTGAATCGAGGGTACCCGTGTGAATGAGTCTTGGCGCCTATTCATTAGGGTTGAGACGATTTGACAGTGAGGTATTGCGGAAGCACATCAACTTCCAATGCCTCCTGTGAGCTATCGAGGGCTGTGCGCATCGCTGAACACCAGAAATTCGAAGATGTATTGCATGAGATACTGCGCTGGCTAGTGGATTGGAGTTCTGGTCAAGGGCGCCCTTCAAGAACCCTCAGAGATGACTGTCAATGTAGGACAGCGACTACCAGTGGTATGAGTGCACCTGTTAGTCAACTGTGAATAGAAACGAGTGGCTCAAAGAAAAGAACAATGATGCGACGCGTGTGTAGTGAGGGTGGTGCAAGGCGCAGAAGGCCAGGAGTTCGACTTCCACCGTCTTGGCATTCATATCAGCCTTGCTAGCGCTTTACAGCCTTGCTCTGTCCTGATTTCGCTGCGAGAAGGGAGTGAGGGAGATTCATTCAATACAGGGAGGTCAGAAGACAGCAAGAGAGGAGCATCGGGGGTGGTCGTGAAGGCTACAGATATCTATCGGTCTATAACAGGCTACTTGAGGTGCAAAGTAGCGTCGTCAGCGCAAGGATAGTTGACCAGGTGCCGAAAGGCAACAAGAACCCAGTGTCAACTGTTGGAATCAGCGTCGATGCGGCATCAGTGGAAGTTGTGGAGGCGGCAGTCCCCGCGGTGGTAGAAGTAGGAATCGTTTCTGCTGTGGTGCTGGTGCTTAAGAAAGACGAGGACGTACTTGTTGGTTGTGCTGACGAGGTGCTCGCGTCAGGATCGCCATCTCTGTTGATTCGAAGGGTGTAGTTGCTTTTGACCTCGGAGACGGTTTCCTCTCCAGCATGCATGATCTCAAAACCAAACTCCAGCTGGCCAAGCCAAAGTGCCCCAGACAGCAAACCGTTCTGCCATATGTAGCGGAACAGGGGAGAATAGTCCGCATCCGCCCTGGTCAGGTTCCGCTCTGCAAGCCAGGAAAAGACATGCTGACCCTGGGCGTTGAAACCATCGTATAACGTAAAATTCATTCCGTCAACTTCGACTCGAGGCGTGTCAGGCGTGGCATCGTAGAATCCCAAGGGCTTGATGGTGGGAGTATACCAATACCAGATCATGATCTCTATAGGAGGGCCAACAAGAGTCGAATTGGTCGCGTTGTCTGATAGGAAAACATCCAATGCGGCGTTGGACCTCAAGTAGATATCGTCAAACTTTGCGGCCTGCTCTTCAGCACTATCGTTCTCCGTGCTCTTGACGTACGTGTCCCACTCGGCTCTGAAGTCCACATTGGACACGTTCCAGAAAGGCACCGGGAGATTCGACGGGTGGGCTTTCATGCGAGGAAATCCTTTGACGAGTTCTGGGTCCCCCGTCCACGTATATGTCACCGACCAGGACTCGCCGCCGTCTTCGACCTGCAGACAAGATTGTCCCGAACCATCGTCGCCCCAGGCATTGTTATTGACTATCGTGTGTCAGACTTCTTCAGACCAAGGGTGCAGACCACTCACACTCGTAGGGAACTCTAGTCGAATTGTACGAATCATTGGCATCGCAGAGGGTGGGACTATTGCTTCGCTGAGCTGCAACAAGATGAGTGCGCCATGACGCCAGTAAGGCAAATACACAGACTAGCACGGCATACATACAGACCTGTTGCTGGGAAGGGAGAAAAGGCTCACACAGGGCGTGCGCCCGAGGATGCGCATAGGCACGGATTACATTTCTGGGCGCCTAGGTCTTCGCACGGTTGGCGTGTGAGACACGTGCGGCAGAAGTCGCCACCGCCACTTCTCCATGGCCCCAACACACGTGCAGAGTTCAGTAGCAGCATTTAAATACTGTTGGGCATGGGCACAACTGATGAACTGATGAGGTGACAGATGGAAGAATGACAAAATGAGGTCTCGAGATGCTTTGCGGCTGGTGATAGAGACGCCAAGTAATTTAACCAATCAACCGGGGTCCCTGGTATTGGGCGGTTGATAAGAAGCTGTGCCACCCTCTTCGACTTTGACCCTCCAAGTTGACGGCAGACCCCTCTCCCAGCATGTTCGTGAGGCAGTAGCATAGCCAGCGAGATCGTCGTTGCCTTGAGTTGCACAGCGATGGACCACGCGCCTGCTGCCTGTGACCCAAGCCAGGGCAGAAAGTCCGGCGCAGCTAGGCGGTGGCTTGCTCATCTGCCTTGACATGATGCCAAAGATCTCCGCGAACCATTGTCACTCCCTCGATTTGGCGCGACGTGGCATGCAGACGGCACTATGGTCATCTGCACAACATGCAAGGGCGGTGTGCATACTGGCGCCCGATCCAATCCCGCACCAACACACGTCTAATGCTTCACCAGCACACGTCTCGCGCGTCGAATCAACGGCCAAGTCCGGGTGAGGCTCAGCGGGCCAGACCTCATTTGACTGGAACCCCAGGTGATGCAGACGACCAACGGCGCCTGAATACTTCAAATGCTATTTACTGCTGCAGCACCCATCCCGCCCTCCTCTGCCTCCTGCACACTCCTTCAACGTTGTCCCAGTAGACCGCCAATTCACTCTCCACTAACCGTATCTCAATGCTATCTGTGATCAGATCGAAAGTGCTGGCGGAAGCCGCCACTGTGCGCACACCCATACCGAAGCTGGCGCCCTGTACGCTCCGGCGTTCCTTCCAAAGCGCATCCCCCGCGCCGCCGCGACATCTCCTGGCGCGCAACGTTGCAAGGCCAGGGTCGTTGGAGCACCAAGCAGCACAGGATTTCGACTTCGGCCCAACCCCGAACGCACAAGCACACCGGACCGATATGCCCCCTCAACCCCACCTCCGAGGAAACGACAGCCATATTAGCTCAACACAGATCCGCCCCGTTCGATTCCCCCTCTCCTTCGATGCGCAGAACCTGCTGCAACAAGAAGCCAGCAAGCTCCGCGCGACCGTCAAGTTCCAGTACTTTCCCGAATGCGCACGGCTGGTGCGCGAGCATCTTGGAGCCGCGCAAGCCGTCCCTTTTGACTGGCGGCAACGGCAGCGGCAACCCCTGAGCAGCGTGAAGCCGGACTGGAGCCACGGCATGCAACCGCCGAAGACGTGTCTCCGCCAGGCTTTGGGAGACGAGGAAGCCGCGTTCTGGGTCGCGCGTGGGTGGGTTGTGGTGTGTCTTTCGCGCGGGCTGATGCTGGGGGATGAAGAGGTGAAGTTGGCCCTTGAGCACGACTCTAAGGTGGATAGTGCTGTTAGGGATAGTCTAGGAAGCTCCGATGTAGCTGGGAGCGGGCCGTGTATTGAGGTGCGGGTGTTGGCGTTGCTGAAATAACAGGACAATGAAGATATAGGGACGCCTGAGAACCGACGTAGCGAGTCATGGATCGTCAGGAATTCATCCAGCCGCGTGGTCTGGATCACGAAAGGCCTCTTATAGCAACGAGAAGAGCAATACCACTCCCACCAGCCCCGCCAGCAGATCTGAAGCCACCACCCTCCTGCTCGCGGCAGCGCCCTCCATGGTCGAATTGAAAGCCAGCACCGGCGCGCCCACATCCTTGACCTGATCTCCATCGATCCAACAGCCGACCTTACACGACCCCCGCCCACTATCGCGACTGACATTGTACGCCACCTCGATCCACTCGATGCCCACCCTAGCCTGCCTCCCGACGGTCATATTGCCACTCCAGTCACCGCCATCGCTCCAGAGATTCAACACCACCGCGCTCGGCTTCTTGGGCACATTGACCGTCTTGTTCAGCACATTGACGCCCTCGACCCACCAGCGACTCACGCCATCCAGCCAGTCCAAACGCTGCGTATTCCACGCCGTCCACTTGACGCCGTCCGGCATCGCGACCTCACTGCTCGCGCCCTCGACGGGCCGGTCCTTCTTGGCATCATAGTCGGGCTGGTTGCTGCAGTGCACGGTACTGGAGTCGTCATCGGTCAAGATCTCCAGATCGCTCTCCTGCGTGTCGCTCTGGTAGGTGAAGAGGCCGAAGACGGCGCCCGTCTCGACGACCGACTGCTGGCCGGCCGAGTCGTTGCTGGCGAGCACGCGCAGCCGCGCCCGCACGCTGAGGTGCTGCATGTCGGTCTCACGCGACGTCAGCTCCGCCACACTCTGGAAGGCGCGGTTGCGGGACGTGCGCAGCGCGAGGAACGTGCCGTTGTTGCGGGAAGAGGAGTCGTCGTCGCCGTCGTTGTCGCCGTCGCCGGAGGCGATGAAGACGTTGCCCGCCGAGGCGACTTGTGGCGTGTGGCTGGAGGAGCTGAAGTTGTAGAGGCCCGTGGCGTTGTTGATGCTCCAGAAGGAGCTCCATGTGGGTGTGGTGAAGTAGGATGAGGTCAGGGCTTCGGTGCCGCTCGTGTCGGCGGCGGTGATGTTGGGGGGTGCTGGGAACGGGCCGCTGGCATTGCGGAAGTCGATGAAGTAATGATGTGTGAAAAAGGTGGGCTTGTTGCCGGTAGGGTCTGACGTGAGGAAGCAGTCACATTGTGGTGATGATTGCTGCTGGGCTGCTACGGTTGCGGGGGCTATGAGTGTAAAGGAGAGGGCTAGGAGGAGGAGCTCCCGAGGAAGGAGTCCCCCGTGATGCATTGGAGATAGCGGCGGCGGCTGACAATGAGATTGACGATACTCGATGTTAATGATGGCTAGTGATAAAGACGGTAAAACCCACAATGACGGTGTCTCGGAAAGTTATGTCTCATTGTGCCACACGCCCGTGTTAAGTCGTTGAGGTTGATGCTTCGACGAGGTGCCAAGGACGCGTCAGCTCTCTCACGGATTGGGCTGTCGCGACCTGCCGCTTCCCTTTAAAGTTCCCGGGGAGGCTGCGCACTCAACTAAAATTCTGTCGCACGCGGACTCGGGCTTATCGCGAGGGGAAGGGGTCGTCAGTATGAATGATTGCATGTGAGGGCTGTGTCCGCTCAAGATCGCTCGGAATAGACCCTGGAGGAGTTGCTAGATGGCCATGATATCTAGGTATACGCCAAGAGGCAGTAAAAGGCATGGCACAGTGCCAATTAGCCATCAGCCATTTCCCCCGGCTTGCGTGTACGTGGTACGCGCCATCGTGTTGCCTCTATCCGAGGTCACCAAAACGACTGCGGTTTGCACTGTGTCACGGTGTCAGTGATGTACCACCTCAGAAACCACCCATGCGTCTTCTCGGCACAATGGGTTTCCTGACCACACCATTGCTGCCCGTTTTCTTGACAGCGGTGCCACTGGACTTCTGCTTCCCTCGTAGAAGCAACGTTTCCTCTTCCTCCTCACGCCGCCTTCTCTCCTCGTCTTTGAGCTTGTCTTCTGCCATCTTCGCTTCAATCTCCATTCTCCGATTGAACTCGCCTTCGATGACTCGCTTCTCCTTGCCACTATACTCTTTGCTCTTGAGACTGTAAAACACGCCCCCCAAGTCGGCCAGCCAATGAGGGTCCACACTTGTGACGCACGACATGTACTCTTTGCTCGTCAGGATCAGTTCGTGATAGATCACGTAGTCCGGCAAGTATCCGAGCCCATACAATGCCGATGTCGGATGAAGCTGTACCGTCACGCTCGTGCGGAGGTTGATGTACTCCCCGATGCCCTTGACTTTGGCCGCCTGATGGTAGTAGCCACTGCAGATGCACTTTCGAATTGTGTCCCAGTCCGTGCCACAGCTCACTAGCTCCATATTCTGCGAATTGACCATTATATCGTGCAATTGCTCCCGAATCTCCTTCGCTCGCCGCAGAGCCTTAGGGTGCAGAAAGTGTCGCACACACCATCCATCGCTATATCCGTTGCTGCGCCACTGCGTATACACGTGCAGTAGCGTCAAATGGTCGGACTCCGGCACGAAGAACTTCTCACGTGCCGCATCCGACTCCTCCTGACGCTCTTTGGGACGGTAGAAGACGCTCGGTACACTCAGCAGCGAGACGATGGTGAGCATCTCTTCAGAGCAGCCATATTCCGTACAGCTAGTGATGAGCATCTTGGCGAGCGATGGGTCCATGGGGAAAGAGGTCATGGTGCGGCCAATTTCCGTGAGGTCGCCAACGTGGTCAATGGCACCCAGCGCCCAGAGATCGAAGAGCGACGTCGTGATTGTGTCTTGCGGCGGTGGGTCCATAAAGTCGAAATCCAGGAGGTCTTTCACGCCGAGCGACTTGAGAAGCAGCACAGTGTTGGACAGATTGGTGCGCTGAATCTCAGGTATTGTTTGTACATAGAGGTCGTTCTTGTATGCGAGCTCCGTGTACAGGTGGAACGCCTTGCCTGGCCCAGTGCGGCCGGCACGACCCGCACGCTGACCGGCGTTGGCTTGCGACACAGGTGTAATTTGGAGAGTGTCCATGCCCATTTTGGGGTTGTAGACTTTGAGCTTGGAGAAGCCTGTGTCCACCACATACATGATGCCATCCACCGTGAGTGAGGTCTCGGCGATATTAGTGGCGACGATGACCTTGCGCACACCTGGCGGCGCCGGATCAAAGATCTTGGCCTGGAGATCTGCTGGCATCTGGGAGTAGATAGGAAGCACCATCAGCTTGGGTGGATCAACAAGGAGCTTGAGACGTTCTTCCACGAGTTCGCACGTCACTTCGATATCTTCCTGGCCAGTCATGAAGACCAAGATATCGCCCGCGCCTTGGGATACGTGAATCGCCAAGACTTGCTTGACGGCGCTGTCGACGTAGTCTTCACACGGTGAGCGCGAGTACTGGATATCGACGGGAAAGGTGCGGCCAGGAATAATGAATTCTGGGGCCCCGCCATAGAATTCTGAGAAGCGTCGGGAGTTCATCGTGGCTGACGTGACAATCAGCTTGAGGTCTCGTCTCCGAGCAACGACTTTCTTGATGAGACCCATCAGCACATCAGTGTTAAGAGCGCGCTCGTGGGCTTCGTCCATGATGATGCATGAGTATTTGTCTAGATCTCGCTGTGTCAACGATTCTCTGAGCAGAACGCCATCCGTCATATCTGGGATCAGTCAGCATTGGTCGAGGAAAAGACAGAACGCACTTACATTTGATGACCGTCTCGTCGCTCGTGCAATCCTCGAAACGGATCGCGTAGCCGACGAGCCCGCCCAGCTTGACCTCCATCTCTTCACTGACACGTTTCGCGACACTCATAGCCGCTACTCTCCGTGGCTGAGTACAACCAATCATGCCCTGCCTTCCATAACCTTCTTCATACAAGAATTGCGTGAGCTGCGTCGTCTTGCCGGATCCAGTCTGGCCGACCACGATGATGACCTGATTATCACGGATGACCCTCATCAACTCTTCTCGTACCGCAAACGCTGGCAAATACTCGCGCTGTTGCTTGAGAGTCTTGGTTTTGCTGAAGGCACTCGTGCCACCCTCGTTCTTTCTAAAGTGATCAGAGAACTTGTTGCTGGTGGTCTTGATGACTTCACCTGGAGCGGCTGCGGCACTGTCTGCATCGTCCTCCTTGACACCCATGATGTTGCCCAGATTGGTGCCGGCTACGTTCGTGGCTTCTTGAGCCTGCTTCTGGCGCTCCTTCTGCTGACGTTTCTCTCGAACCACCTTGCTTCCCTTGCGACTGAAGATGGCCAGGTCACTTTGCGGGTCCTTCACAGCCGGCACGGGGTCGATCTGCTTGGTGAAAACGGTCTTGCCGTCCAAGAACGGTGGCTTTAGATCATGAACTAGTAGATGCACTCTCGTCGTTTGATTGTCGTCTTCGAAGTCGTCCATGTCATCTCGCCGTTGCGCCACTCCGGATGTGAGCATGCGGTTGGTCTCCCATGCATCCACCTCTCTCTGCTTCTGCGCAGCTTTGGCCGTCATGCGCGAGCCCAGCTTCTTGTTTGCTAGAGCCTGTTCGCGCATCCTGTCGCCCCACGAGGCGTCTGCGCCACCGAACGGGTTGTGCGACTCATCTCCAAAAGTGTGCCCAAACTCGTCTCCTAGATACCAGTCCCGGTCAAGGGCTTGAGCCTCTTCGTCCTGAACGAATGGTTCTGGGCCGTCGAACTCGGACTGATGCGGTGTTGAGGCGCCACGGTCGCCACGCGGGGTAGAGGAGCGCGAGTGCCCATTGGCGATCTTTTGACCGGGTCGAAAAGGCCTGCGGAAGTTCGGTCGCTGGAGTGAGGGTCCAAGATCATCGGGGTGAGGCGTCGAAGAGCGACTGTCGTCCAGCTTCCGCCGTTTCGGACTGTGCCCTCGGTCCATCGTTGAGGCACATGTGTGAGGAGGATGGGGCTTCGGTTGAAGTGCAGAGCGTCGCTGAATAAAAATGTTAGGCAGTGGAGTTGACTCTGCCCCAGACTCTTTCCCCTTTAGGGACAATGCTAGGCCGCTTTACGCATTTAGCAGGCAGATTTTGGTCACTGGACAGGCCCGAAGTTTCCCCACTCCCAAGTCTGTCAAGCCTCGATCGATAAGTCTGCCTTTTGATTGTTATCAGAGTGGCGGCAAGAAACATCAGCCCACCATGGCGTCAAACCCAGAAGCCATGCGCAAGCAACAAGGTACGAATCTATCAGAGCGGGCACAGTGGAGTGCTAAGAACGGGCAGACTTGCAAACGCAGTACAGCAATTATAAAAACACGCTTCAGAGTCTCGCCCAGAAAGTGGGAGAAATTGAGCAGGAGATCGAGGAGCACAAGCAAGTACCACAAGCTCTGGACGGGCGACAGAAACTCATTGAGGGGAGTGGCGGCTAATGTGTCGATCCCAGATTGGTTACGGAGACGTTGCAGCCTTTGCCCAAAGACCGCAAATGCTTTCGTTTGATCAATGGTGTCTTGGTGGAGCGGACAATTGAAGATGTCCTGCCCGCGCTGAGCACCAATTCAGACGGCTTGAAGCAGGTCCTGGAAGAACTGGTTAAGCAATACAAGGCAAAGCAGGATGAGCTGGATAAGTGGAAGGCAGGTTCGCTGATCAGGATGCGTAGCATGAGACTAACTGGCACTGCAGAAAAAGAACAACATTCAAGTGGTGCAGAACTGAGTCTTGTGAACCGATGCTTCCTCAGGCAGTCCACAAGCTAACGCACGCTCCGAGTGCGTGAGCAGCAAGTCTACGATTGTTGGCACTCCGATGTCGTCGGACAGGGACGGGGAGGGGGGGCGTGTCTTGCGGCGTGGCTTTACGAGTATGAGCCACAGCCATGTGAGGAACCGGTCACTTTCTGTGGCAGCCAAGACAGACGAACGAACGGGGGGCCATGATCTTATCAGCCGGTCGGCTGAAGCAGCTGCGTTGGGAATGGCGGTTGGTACTACAGTACTCCGTACCGGCAGTCTACAGCTGCTCCGGTACGGGATACGTTCGGCGCATTCCTGCATTCTTGCATTCCTCGCACCGTCGTGAGGCTGATAACGGCGCACGGGTGCTGGCAAAGGGAAACAGGGCAATAGCATGCGCAGCTCTACTGTAGGCACCAAGCGAGCCCCGGGGGCTTTTTATGGCTTTTTATAGCGCTGATCGGCATTGCTGAGAGCCGACGCTGCCAAGTGCTCGCTACTGAGAGACCTGCGGCTCGTAACTCGCACCTTCCTGTTCCTGTCTCTGTTCTTCCAACTTTTCTGCTTTGGCGTCTTGCTTTGGTGGCGCGGCGCCTGACCGCAAGCTTGCCGACGTTTGCTCCAAGCTTCCGCAAAGCTCGTCGTGGCTTGCCAGCACAGATCTGGGCGACCAGGAGTCCGTCAAGCAAAGACCAAAGGTAGAGAGAGCCACCGGGTGGTTCGAAGCGACGTGCAGCTAAGAGAGAATCCGCATGTGCTTCTGCATGTCGTCCGCCACCGGCAGCATGCTACTCTATCGTCCCATCTACGCTTGTCTCGAGCCTCGGGTGTCCGGTGCAAATCGGCTCTTTCCGCCCATATCATCCGGGCCGTCTCTGGCTACGCCTATGACTGTGCACCACTCATGGACCCTGTTCAGCCTGTAGCTGCAACTGCGTGTCTGTCAAGTGAGATCTGCTGAAAAGCTTGTCGTTAGCTCTGCTCACCTGTAGGAGCTTCATAAAGCTCTGGGACAAACCCCATAGGCTTTAGAGATTCACCGTTCTATCCACTCATTCACCCGCTGAACAGTGCAGCGGAATTTGGCCATCGACCGTCTGGCTCCCATCTGGCTCCCATCTGGCTCCCATCCAGGCCTCTGTCGCTACCGCCATCACCCCTGCTCATCTGCACACCATCTTGGGTCTGACGAATTTTACCCCGCCGTCGTCACGTCAATCGGTGCAAGGGGTCGCTGTAGAAGCATTTCAGCCAAAAGCAATTCACCCGCTGCCTCACCCAGCACGGACTCGACCATCACCGCTGCCACGTGCAGCATCTCACTCGCTAGAATAACTCGCTGAAGATCTCTGTCTTCCAGGCGTCAAGCTCATCAGACGCCAGCCTTTCCACTATTCAAGCCACTGTGACTCACCCGCTGTCGCCACTGCAGTCACTGCTTCACGCTGGCTCCGAGCTCGGTACGATTATCTGGAACTCCCCCTCTCTCCAGGCATCTTCCTACTATTTCACTTCGACTGCAACCAGGTCAATCCGTTTTACGATCGCGTGACAACCATGCTCGAGGCTCTCGGACTCTGGTCCCTTCTCATCACTCTGCTCCTGACCGTCGCCGCTGCATCACCACTACGGCAGACTGAACCCATCTCCCCGTCGAAGCCATACCTCGTTACACGTTCGCCAGTCAGTGCCGCTGCTTTCCAAGATGACTGGCCCACCAACGTGGTGATGGTTGGTGGTGCAGAGACCTATGGAATGTGGGTTCCTCAGGACGGCGACTGGCACGACACCTCAGATTTCTCTTGCCTCGATGTACCAGCATACAACATCGTCAACTGCGCAGCCGTCACAATTGACAACATCGGCGTAGTCAGCGGCTACGGTCCATGCACACTCAAAGGCTCTACAGGATGGCAAGCCACCCTCTCCGGCGCCTCCGGGTCCGGCTACACCACCGTTGGCCCACCACAGACAATCGTTCAGGTACAATGTGCAGCCGACGATTGATCTATGCCATCGTCACGGTCTCACCGTGGTCGACCGAAGACCATGGCCACAAGCACACACCGATCGATCGGAGAGCCCTTCCTCCCAATACGACATGCATTATGTGACACCATCATTCCATTTGCCAGCGACGAATCTGCACATAGACTCAACAACAGCAACAATGACAGTCGACGTCTCAGCGTGGAGTGAACATCAGTGGGCTCCATCGATCTTCGAGAGGCGGGGTCCCGGAACCTCAGGAACATACTCCGTACCTGACGTACAATTGAGAGATGCAGATCCCACAGAAGGAAAAATCTTATCATGCGTGCCAGGATCCTTGGTACGCGAGCCCTCTTTTGTGGAGCTTCTCCTTTCCCCAGATTTTCCCTTTGTGATGTACCGGCATCCAGCCAGCCAGCCAGCTAGCTGCACCTGTTCCTGTTCCTGTTCCTGTTCCTGTTCCTGTTCCTGTTCCTGTTCCTGTTCCTGTTCCTGTTCCTGTTCCTGTTCCTGTTCCTGTTCCTGTTC